TCTGGGAGTGCAGTGGAGTGTGCACTCCCATCTTCACAATGGGATGTTTTCAGAACATATCTGATTGTTATCTCAACACTGTAGATATGATTCCTCCTCAAATGTGAACAATGCAAACTCAGCTTGGTGTGCACATTCAGACAAGCAGGAGTGAGTTTGAGATTCTTATTTGTTTTGACCACTGAGCTTCCCTGCACCTAGTCCTGATCACATGTTCTTCACGCTGTGTTTGTTATCTTTCAGGGCAGGTTTGCTCAGTGTCAACAACAACAGGGAAGCCCCAGTGTACAGTCATTCATGCATGCATGCATTTTTGCAAGTGTGTTTGTGAGTACTTCTGTGGGTGTGTGCGGGGTTGTATGCAAATGGCCACCATGGCAACACTGATAAAACTCTCACCCAGGATTCCAAGGTAGTCTATTTTGACTTCCTTGAAATGCCCCATCCAGAAATTCCTTTGTTTACCCCCCAGAGTGTCAGCCTTAGCGACTTCATTCCCTACTCAAAAGGTGGGAACGGTAACCATTTGAGGAATGCCAAATGTGTGGGAAATGTCCCGAGGGAAGGGTGAGTCCATCGACTGCATCATGTGTTTTGGGACTTGATGGGGGGGGGGGGGGGGTCGGTTGTGGTTCAGCAGGGGCAGAGAAAGGTCAGAGAGATCAGTAGGGGCTGAGAGCTTCTCAGGTTACAGCAGTGTCTAGACTGGTCACTGTTGTTGCTTCCTTTAATATCTTGTGCTATTTTCTTGTGTTCATTTATTACAAGCCAGAAGTAAAATGTAAAAGTTATAACAGTCAAACCCAAATGATATACCATGTATGTAAGTATCATAATAGAAGTTTGATTTGAACTATCAGTAACATCATGATAGAGTAACATTTTGAGGACTTTGCATCCTGTGATCAACATTTGTTTGTATAAAAAATATACTATTTTCACTTGGTCTGAAATAAGCGTGGTTCTCTTGACAATGTATTTAATTGTTTCTAATTGACAGTCTTTCCTCTTGTTGTGTAATACATTTTGACTTAAAAATAATAGCTAAGCAGAAATACTTTTTAATACCATCTTCAAGAGTTGAACAACGGTACACAATGAACATGATGTCTTACAAACACCATGACAAGTTTGACATCAGCGGTATCAAGCTGGTTTGTTGTCATCTTGGAAAACAAGGCAAGTTTAGAGTGTTTGAAAATGTCGCAATTTGTAGTCGATGACTGATTTCAGTATGGCTGCCCCAGCATGCGGTCTAGACTATGACAGGTTTAGAAAAGCACTGAGACAGGTTTTGTTAGACTTCATTCACAGAGCAGCGCCGTACAGTAGCACACATCAGCATCCACGTCACGGCTGCTTTGAGTCTGGAAAGCTGAGCTGTGTGTGTCATGTAGGGTGGAGCTGGGAGACAGGTGCAGAGATGAAAAGATTGGTGGTGGTGGTGGTGGGGGGGGGGGGGGAAGAGAGTTGGGTGTGCCTGCTCCATGGCTGTTCTGACAGGCCTTTGGTATTTTTCCAAAGAGTGTGTGTGTGTGTGTGTGTGTGTGTGTGTGTGTGTGTGTGTGTGTGTGTGTGTGCGTGCACGTGTGTGTGTGTGTGAGTCGGAAAACCTGCTCACTTGAGACTCTCTCGGGATGGTGCAGGTGTGTGCGACCGAAGGTATGTGTGCCTTTGTACTAAGTGTGTGCGACAGGAAACTACCCGCTTGCATGTGACCGTGATTGACGTGGGAGCCCAAAGGTGTCGAGAGCCTTTCTAACGCAACTGTGCTTATGTGGCAATATGAGTTTGACAGCTCCAGTGCAAAACTGTTTCTGACTGCAGTTCAGTAGCATATCTAATCCCAGTATGATACTCAGCCCTGTGTCTCTCCATTTGTATTTTTTTTTATAAAGCCAGATGTACTTGTAAAAGATGAAACCCCATTATTTAATCAAGTTGGAAAGAGTTTTTCCCACCCGACATCAGCATCCGTATCGGCCTCGATACGGTTTAAAATGAAGTATTGGTGAGTATGCCCATCAATGCATCATTCAAATACATCACCAACCAGTAACCAAGTAAATTTAAATGGTAAGAAAATAACAAACAAGAACAGTCTAGACATCAAAATCAGTATTAAAAATAATGAAATGGTATTAAAACATCTCTAATGTTGGTGTTGATCAATTCCGCAAATAAAATATCTGAATGAGGAAAGCGGGCTTACATTTTTTAAGAGTTGTGTTTTTATGAAGATATGTCTGGAATTGTATTTGCGTGTGTGTGTGTGTGTGTGTGCGTTTGTGTGTGTGTGTGTGTTTTCAGCTGATGTGAGTGGGCATGTCTGAATAGTAATGATGCTCTTGCTGCTGTTGCGCCAGCCATTGTGTTAATACACTCTCTCTCAATGTGTTAATATACTGCGAGACTGAGGGAAAGAGAGCGAATAATTATGTTTCCCCTTTTGTCTCGGCTCCCTCAATTAAGCCCAAAGAGAGGCAGCCAGAGCACATGTCTACTTATCCACTTAAAGCTCAGCAACAATAGGACCCCCCCCAATGTCGCTCTATCTCTCACTCTTCCTCGCACGCACGCTATAATTCTTCATTTCCTGCTCCCCTTGTTTTATTTTCACTTGTTTTAATATAAAACTTCTATTCATAGCACCATACCCCAAAATGTTCCCCCCCCACACCTCTCTCCCTTCTGTGTCTATACCAACCTCTGCTCCCTCCTTTCCTGTGAATGTGTTTTTGCCTCCAGCCTTGCCTCACCTCTTAGCTCTACAGGGGTTTAGCAGAGAGTTCTCCCCCTCCTCCCCTCGTTACCCTTCTCCCTCCTCCATGCTTTGCTGCAGGGCACAGGGAGAGGAAAAACGAAGAGACTAAACAATTTCGACTGTACATCGCCAGAGGAGAGGCAGCAGTTAGATGTCCCTTGTGTTGTGTTAGGGAGGATTGTTTTGTTTGTTTGGTCTGTGCGTGTTTTTTTTACTACTCTGAGTTTAGACAGATGTATAGATGGACTATGTGGCTTTTCAAAAGCAATTGACAGTTAATGTTATGGAGAGTTCTAAGTTATACTACCTTCTGTTTGTTTAGAGATTTTACAAACCAAATGCTGTATTTTTGTACAGTAAGGGAGTGTATGTTTGCAGCCTCTTTGTATCATTTCATTTACCCAGACTGTATGAATGATCTATCTATACATCGTTAAGGGTACTCATTTTTGCACATTCCTTGACAACAACAACAATTGATGACCACTTAGCTGTATAAAAAAAATAAGCAGGACTAGCTAAGAAAATATGACGCATCTGCAAATCACTGTGAGTAAATGTGTTATTGTTAGAATTGTTTATCTTTTGTGTGTTTTTGTTTGTTTTGGAAAGGTGGGTGGTCAGCATGTGGGGTTGGATTAGCCTGGGAAGAAGGAAGGATGAGAAATAAAGGAGGGGGAGGGGGACAATAATGAGAAGAGGAGGAGAAGTATCGGGGTCAAGTTTATGTTATGTAACCACTTCCCACAGCTGGGGGTAACATTCGATGCTGTAGCTAAGCTATATGTTTAGATACATGAATGTGGACCCATACATGGTATGGTGTCATGTCATAGTTGACCAGTGAAACAAAACATTGTGTATGGTTTCGGTGCATTTTTTCAGCCCTTATCTTCACTTCTCTTTTGTCCTTTCCACTTCTCCTTTTAGAGCTCTCATTTCTTTCTTTTCCCAGAACAACAAAACGCTGCTGCTTCACCGCCCCACAGAAAAACACACTGATTATTAATGATTATTGTTTGATATAATCAAACAATCATCTGATTATTATCAATTACAAAAGCAGCAGTTGTCAAAGTTTCGTGAAAATAAAAGTATGTTCATGCCAATTAGATGGAAAACAAGCAATTTTTTGTAGCATGAAACATTGCCAATAAAAATAACTTAACAGATGTGGACTATCTGAACAGACCATGTGCAGATTAACATCTGCTTTGCCCTTGATCAAGCTGCATTTTCTCTATTTTTGTCTTATTTGACTATTTAATTTTTGCATTTTTTTTTCTTAAAGGCTTACTATAACACAAACGTATCTGACAGCAGTGTCTGCAGCAATAAGGGCTGCAGTCAATCTCCTAGCTGGCCTCCTTCAGACCTCTGAATTCTTTAACTATCCAGCTGAGAAACATCGTCAGTTTTTTTTGTTGTTGCTCAGATTCGTGTAGAAAATACAATTTTATCCGGTTGTGAACCAAAATCTGTACAAAACTACACACAAGCATGCATGCTCGCACTTGCATACCTTCGTACTATACATAGCACATTATGGAAATCACAGTCTAGTCTAAGCAGCTCAGGGCTGGTATTAAGGAAAATTAGGTTGTGTTGGCAAGCATTATTTAATTGACTCTTAAGCTGTAAATAATTTCTCCATAGCTGCTTTCATCTTCTGTCATTTCACCAACAGTATGCGTGAGTGTGAATGTGTGTGCATGTGTCTTTGTCTGCGGGGTAACAAGGGGTGTATCCCACAATGTTCTATGCACATGCTTGAACATGCCTGCATGGTTTCAAGTCATCTGTGACATTCAGGGTGCTCTTCAAAGAACATAGGATTTTTTTGGGTGAAATGTCCCCCCCCCACTCCTCAGGTCTGAGCTGTGTTTGTGATGATCTGTGAGTTTGTGATTAAATGTGTTTTGTAAGCCTTGTATTAACCCCGGGCTTACTGACCACAGTTCTCTTCATTCTCTTTCATCCTGTTTGTTGTTTCTTATCTCATAGACTCCCTCACCGGTGAGCTTCACAGCTTTCCCTTCAAGTTAACTTCATGCGCTTTATGTGACATACCTGGCAGATCCCCTTTCTCTCCCTCGCTGCAGTAGTTTCAGAGAGACCTTTCTGTTCCTTGTCCTATGTCTCCTCTTCTGTGTGCATTTGACACATCGGGTCACTTTGAAGTTTTGAGAGCTTCCCTGTAACACTTCTCTCTCTCTCTCTTCTTGTTCCTCTCAAGGCAAGCTGACACCATCGTTTGAGGATGTGTGGAGGATCATGCAGTCTGTGAAAGATGGCTCCACATTGATGATAAGAAGCTGGTGATGCTGCTGCTTAACTATAGGTAACCACATTTTATACAGAGCAGTCGCTCATTGCTGCAAAAATCTCTGTCAGTGTCAGATTTTGGATTGAATTTTAAGTTGCTCCCTACTCGTTTGAATATCTTTGCTTGTTTGGTTAACATCGGGTATCTGTTATGTGATAGCTCTTAATACTGGATTCAATAATGTGCTTTAACAGATTTTTGACATGTGAGAGAAAAAAAGTTGGTGCGCTGCATTTTGAGCCCACACTGAGAACCTGATGGTGTGGGTTTGACGATGTATGACTCAGAGGATCAACTGATCTGACAGCAGTTGACTCAGCAGCTCCGTGTGCTTATATAACAGAGAGCAGGAGATGGAGATTTGGCAGAATGCAGCAAAAATAATTTGTTTGATAACGTCTGTGAAAATAACTAATGGGAACACCGCTAAGAGAGTACTGAAGACAGGATAAGATGTTTCCTTAATTTTCTGGGATGTGAAGTGCACTCTGCGGTTTCAAAAAGTTAGATTTATCAAAAAGAAATCTTGCATGTTAAAATGTAGGCCTTTGTCGTTGCTTTGAAAAATGAGAATGAAATGCACTCTGAATTCTTTATTAGGAAAACACCGAAACCCACCAAGAACCCCTCTGTGAAATGTAAGCTTTTTATGCTCTAAATACATTTTAAATGAGCTTTATTGTCCCTGTGCTACCCCTTTTCAGTGAGCTGTCCCTGACCGATTTCTAAACATCAGAGTTTAGCTAAATTAGCCAAAACCTGGCAATGCTGTCTCTACCTCATCTGTGGGTGCCTCATTTCATTTGCTTGACAGCTTAACTATACAGAGCATTCAAAGAGATCCCGGATACCTCTGACAAACTACGGCCGGTTAATGGGCAATGAAATGTTACTCACTCATCCAGCACACAGATTGACCTGGTTTTTATAGCAAAAGTGACACAGTAAACATGCCAGCGCCACGGGGGGTAAGGCCGGCTGTTTGGTAATAATTTAAAAGCAGAGTATACCTTCTGGCAATGACAAAAAACGATTCTACGTGCAAACTTCAACAAAAAGTGGGTATTAAAAGTTATTAATTAACAAAGTGGCTATTGTAAATAAACTAAAACATTACCTATTCCGGATCGTTATTTTGCTGAGTGTAACTTTCTTTCCGCAAATCTTTTTTTTCCCTACGAACAGAACCATTATATGTGTATAAAAATACTGTTAACTTCTTACCAAAGACTAAGAAACAGACCCAGCATCTGGTGCCATCTATCTGCTTTTGAAAGATCTTGATAGGCTAACAGCAAACAACATTTAATATCAAAGCACAACGCAAGTAGCGGTTAATTTCTTTCTTATTTTTTTAAAATTTCTACAATCACTTAAAAGCCCATTTCACTCAAGCTGTGAATTCATGAAAACATTTTCGACATTGTCCCGTGATTTGCATGTGTGAACACAAATGGCTGAATCTGTTTTCTCCAGACTTTTTTCCTACCATCCGCCGAGTACAATGTCAGTGTACAGTCAGGATGAATCTGAGAACACAGCAGGAAATAGTCAGGAAAATGTAATGCAAGCAGGGGACTGATGGGTAATGATGTCATTTGAGTGCGGATTTTCTCTGCTTTATACATTTTTAACCTGGTTTATACCTCTGCGCTGAATCCACGCCTAACTATGCCATAGTGGGCTATTACATTGACAGCACTACATACTTGTGCGTTGGTGTGTCTGCATAGTTCTGCAATACTTGGCAGTGTGATTTCTGATGATTGTTATTTAGCTATTTTGTACAGGAAACAAGCGTATAGTATAGGATTCTGAGCTTATATATACCGCAGCGCTTTTCCTTCTGCAGAATTTAAGATACGGCGTTGATTCTGGAAATGTTGTAAATGCTGGAAATAAGATTCTACCCAGTCGACCAATCAGCGGGCTTGTGGTCTGAATCGTTTTGACACGCAGTTACATTTTGGGGAGGTGCATGTCAGGCTACATATGTAGGCTCCCGCACAGGTTCAGGGCTAAGTGAACCTACGGCATATGTTACAGCATGGCTTTGACGCAGAAGTATAAATCGGTGGTCTGTATACTGTTTTCCACTTTGGATTTTGTCCTGCAAGAAACATCTTTATACATCTTTGTGATGTTAAACAGTCACCATTGCAGAAGACTCCGTCTCCTCCTGCACATGCAACCCAGCAGAGTCCCCTCACCTAACATAAAAAATGTCAGCAGTCCATGAGCGGGGACTATAATAGCAGCTTTGTGTTTCCTTTTAGGTTTGCCTTACATCCTTAAAGAGAATCATTGAATAGATGCATGCATGTTAATAACAAAACCAGCTGACGGATATATTTAATTGTTTGCATTGTGTGCCATGAAGTTTATACCTTTTATACCATTCTCTCCATTCAAACACAGAAACAATATGTCAAACCCTGCTTTAAAAAGTTGTGTTAGGACCTTGGTATGAGAGTGATGGCCTAATATGTAACATAACTAATATGAATAGCCCTTTAATTTTAGCTCATATGAGTCGTGTTCAAGTTAATATGTGCAAACATTAGATTGAAAAGTGGCACAGACCAAATCATTTACAGAAACATTTATGTCACTACTTTCTAAGTAAGAATTATCCAAAGCCTAAATTAAAATAATGGTTACATATGTGTGTTTCACAGATTCCTCTTCATTTATTTGCAGTTGAATCATGGGCAACGTAGAGAGTCAGAATGGGGACAGCAGTTTCTACGGTGATGTGACGGGACATCTCTCGCGTAAACATACGTCCCGGTCACTTCGTCTCTCCAATAAACAGCAAATCACACGACGCTCACGACACTCTTCTTCAGTGAAACAAGAACACAGGAACTCTGAAGCCTCAACCCGTTCCTCCAGCACCCCGAGCATCCCGCAATCCTTAGCAGAGAACGGACTGGAACCTTTCAACGCCACTGATGAGTTTGGAGAGTTCGGCATCAACCCCCACTGGACTCAGCGTGTCGCTATGACAATGAGGCCAGAGTCCTATCAGCAGGACGATGACCTCTTGGCCACACCCACGCCTGAGACCTCAGAGGCAGACACCGTGGCTCAGGATGGAGGCGAGGACTCCATGGGGGAAGGGGAGGGGGACGTTATTGGAGAAGAAAGGTACCTTCAGCGGATGACCGAGGGTCCACGGGAGGGGGGGAGTTTTAAAAAGAAGCGGTCCAAGTCTGCAGACATGTGGAGGGAGGACAGCCTGGAGTTCTCTCTGTCGGACCTGAGCCAGGAGCATCTGACCAGCACGGAGGAAATGATCGATGGGGAAGAGGAGGAGCAGTTCACACACCCTAGAGCAAGTGCAGGTGAGGATTGTAAACACACACATATTGGTGAACAGACTACTTTTTTTAGACAGAGAAAACACATGTTCAAATACACACATGTAGTTTTGAGAGATACCTTCTATCCCTGTGATACTTGTGCAATATTTTTTGTTATAGGCCATCAGTACACTGAAGGAATCCTACACAGAAACCAAACAGTACTAGAAAAGGGTTAGTCTATCCCTGCTCCTCATGGCGTCGTGTTTGCATTAAAGAGTGTCTGTAAATAGTTGGTTTCTAACAGTAATACCGCCAAATTAAAATTATCTAAATCTCAGATGACAAAATAAATTGCATTTTGTTATTAACACAGCACACAGTATTTTTGGCGTATCCATAACTGGTATTGTTGTCTGAACAACTGCAGTAGTCTTTCAAATCAAATCATACCTTTCCCCCGAGAAAGGAAACTACAATTGTCAATGTATGGACGTTATATTTCCAATTTTGTTCAAATGAATGGTGACAAAGTTCCATATGCACTATTGTTGTATCTTTGCATGTGTTCAGGGGTGTGAGCTTGATTTGATCCACTTTGCAGTTGATGAGGCTGGTGGGGAAAAAAAATCGCAGACACTCAGAGCGAGAATTTGTGAAAATCTGTTGATTGAAGGTTCCCGCTCTTCCATCGGCTGCAGCACTTCAGTTGATCACAGGGTTGTTAGCTTAACACACACCGTGCGGAAGCCCCTGGATTTCAGTGCAACAGCAGGCGGTAGCTGGTGACTTTACTGCAGAAGGTGTAAGTGCTGCCCCAGGAAGTTGGCTTGCTGGGAATAATGGATGGGCTTGCTGCACATACACACACCTACACACACACTGTTCACTCACAAATTCACACAGATTCACAGGAGCACCCAGACACACATGGAGAAGGTTAATTTACACGTCAAATCTGGCAAAGCAATCTGACAGTAATTGACAGTAATCAGAATACACTACCCTCAATTCCCTCATTCAAACACGTATTTACACACTGCTCTGCAATGTCCACTTGTGTGTGTGTGTGTGTGTGTGTGTGTGTGTGTGTGTGTGTGTGTCAGGTTCCGCTGAAAGGGCATCGTCTCTTGACCATCTGTGCAGCCAGCATAGTCCTGGCCTCAGGGGGCAGAGGAGCCGCTTTGCTAAAAACCGGAGGGAGGCCGAGTGCGATGGAGATGGAGAAGGGGAGGAGGGCTTGATGTCTCCAACTGAGGAGGACTGCGGCGGTTATGGAGCATTCACACTCCCTTGCAGACGCTCACACTGCCTGTCTGAAGGCTTGGCAGGGCTGGGCATCCCGTCTGCACCGCGCCCTGCTTTCCAAGGACGCCGTGCACAAACTACTCAGGTTAGAGCACACAATATGTAAAAAAATGTACACAACAGACAAAGTGGCAATCATGTAAAAAAAAAAAAAAGTATATTTTTCTCTGGTTTCCTTACCCATTTCATTCTTTCTTTATGAAAAAGAGATCCTTTGATTGTTTTGATAGCTTTGTGTAACTGTAGTGCCTAGCAGGTCATGTGTACAAGGGGACACTAGAATCACACAAGAGATTTAGGTTTCCTGTGCGCTAATACTCTTCTGATATGTGTCAAAGTTTTCCTGTATGTGCACCCAAGAGTATATTTATGTAGTGGGGAATGGGATTACGAGGAGACCGATCGCAAAAATGCTGTGGGGTTACTTGTCCAACACTGGCCTGGTTTCTAAATTCCCCCTCCAGAAATTTAAGCATTAAAGCAGAACATCTTTCATGCCCTAGACACTAACCACAAACACACACACGCACACGCACACACACACGCACACACACACACACACACACACACACACACACACACACACACACACACACACACACACACACACACACACACACACACAGAGTCCTAACATGCATAAATATAAACATGGAGATGTATGGATGTAATGTAGAAGCTTTTCTTATGATCTTACAAAAGCACATTCACCCAAGGATAACAGAGAAAGCAGCCAAAAGAAAGGTTGCCATTTATGAAGAGAGTACAGAAGAAATGAACCCGGCTATGCTTTCAACTCTTTTCCCCGAACACCCTAAGCACCTTTGGATGGTGGAGCACCCTAAGTTATCATTATAAATTCATCCAGCCAGGCTAAGGGGGTTGTTAGAGAGGATATAAATAGATCCACAACACTGCAAAACAAAGAGAAAAAGACCAAGGGAGCCTCAGTTTGGTGAAAGAAAAGAGTCAAAGCACAGAAAATATTTTTGTCTAAAGTGAAAAACGTCCTTTAAGCAGAAATGCATTTAAAAAACGTGCACATATTCTAATGCACCAAGCCTCATGGGTATAAATATACACAAATATAAACCCAGAATCAGGTCATGTATGTGTATACCTGGAGTGTCACTTGCTTATGTTTGTGTGTGTGAATATTAATTATTAGTTTCTGTATATTCATACATAATGCATGAGTAAATGAGTTCTGTTTTTCTTGCTGATAGGATATCTCTGGTGTTTTGGGCGAGGGAAGTGAGTATGGCGACAGTGGCATCGATGGTGTCACCACGGAGATAGATGGAGACGGAGAGTTGGTGTCAAGGCGCTGCAAGGCCATGTCGGCTTCTTTCTCTGTGTATTCAGCTACCGAAAGCAGCGTTTTTAACGGGAGCGACAGCGGGAGCAGCAGCGCAGGAGGAGGAGATGGACGAGGCGGTGAAGGAGTCAGGGGAGGAGTTTATGAAAATTTCCGAAAGGAGTTAGAAAATCAAGCCTGGGTGAGTCCCTCTGTTTGTATGTTGTATTTCTGGTTTAATGTTTAATCCAACATGTTTGTTAGAATTACATTTCACCATCTCTTTCTCTTTAGACACATCATGGTCGGGACTGCACGGAGGAGGCTGGCTCCGCCGTGAGTGACGAGCAGAGTAGCGGCACACTGAGCAGCGCATATCCATCAGACGCTCTGATTGGCTGTGCTCAGGGAATAGTGAGGAAAGCAGGGGCTCTGGCGGTGAAGAACTTCTTGGTTCATAAGAAGAACAAGAAAGTGGAACCAGCAACAAAGCGCAAGTGGAAACACTACTGGGTCTCTCTGAAAGGTGTTGCATTTACTACAAATACTATTATGTCTGAGATATTTTTGGATTTCAACTCATATTTGCAGATTACAATGCAAAACATGTGGATGTATAATGACTAAGAGAAAGCAGCTGCAGGTTTATTCTCATTTTGATATAGAAAGTGGTAACATGGGTAACATTTTTGAGCTCAGGATAATCAGGGACATCTCAGTGTAGTGTCACTTTCAGATAAACATCTTTTTCTGACCCCAACCAGTATAATCTCTTACTCTGTCTCTCCTGTTAAACTGTAATCACATCAGTCTCTACACAGTCTGTGCCCTTGGTTGTCACCTCTACTCTCCTCTCTCACCCTCTTCTGTGTGTGGTCTTACATTTCCACTACTCAGCCTCATCACAATTTAATTTTCCGGCGGCAACCGTGTCTAATCCAATCTCATCCACAAGATACAGCATCTGCAGCTGCTTTCTGCCTGCATCCCATCCTTATGTCCGTTATATATCATAGCAGTTAAATGTTAAAGACCTTGGTTGGCTAGTTGGTTTGAAAAAAAATCATAACTTCTGCCTGTTTTTTTAAAATATTAATTTTCTTTGTTTTTCAGGCTGCACTCTCTTTCTATACGAGCATGACTGCCGTTCAGGGATAGACCACAACAGCATCCCTAAACATGCACTGTGGGTGGAGAATAGCATAGTCCAGGCTGTCCCTGAACACCCCAAGAAAGACTTTGTTTTCTGCCTCAGCAACTCAGTGGGAGACGCTTTCCTTTTCCAGGTGAGAGACACATGTTCTTTTAAACATCCATGGAAGATTCAATATGAAATAAAGGAGACAGAAGATGAAATGTTTAGTAAAAATCATTGTTTGGGTGTTCAGTTCTTTCTTTTTTTTCACGGATTGAGCAGCTCAGCAATTGAGAAAGAGTTTGCTTAGAATAAGAAGAGACTTTGCATCCCCTGGGAAATGTGTGATTGTCTGTGTATGGCACACAACTATGTGACATTTAGCTATGTGTGGGAGATAAGCCAGTCCTGTGACTGTGTGTTTGTTCTATGTCTGACATGTTTAAAGGCCACACTGTCATTCTGTGACAGTGATCCACCACACCGACTATTGTGTAACGTTAAAATGTGTCTATTTATATTCATGGCAGCTGTCTACAGTGACATTAAATCAGTGAATGGAAAGATTTGTGGTAATAAATTGATGAGATTATAATGACCACCCTCTGGCTACGGCTAATATTGGCAACAATTCTTATAGCTGTAATTTTATTCATTCTTTTCCTCCATGTTTTCCCCTGTTTAATTTAGTTCTTTATTTTTAGTAGGGGATAAAATCACAAATTGTTTTCCCCTTACTTTCTCCTGTCAGACGTCAGGCCAGACCGAATTGGAGAACTGGATCACAGCGATCCACTCTGCGTGTGCCGCAGCCCTGGCTCGGCAGCATCACAGGGAGGACACGGTGCGGCTGCTGCGAACCGAGATCCGCAAGCTGGAGCAGAAGATCGACATGGACGAGAAGATGAAGAAGATGGGAGACATGCAGCTGTCCACCGTCACTGATGGCAAGAAGAGGAAGACCATACTGGAGCAGGTATGTAAGCTGGGTTATTACTCAGGAAATCTGAAAAGGAGTGAAATAGATTAAAGCTGATTTTTATACATTACCATCAAACAAGGCAAAACACAGGAATCAAATACGAACACAAAAAGATGCAAGAGAAGGAGCAAGAGTCTTTTTATAGTATCAAACTGCAAAAGAGTAAGACTTCATGTACATGTGATGCTGATGTGAACCATCTCTGTGATCACATATGTTGAGCACCCTGCTGAGTGACTGTAGCTTCCTGTTGAGTTGAGTGAAAACACCTAGGGGTCTCTACAGATGCACATCTTTGTACCTTATGAACTGCACTGCATGCTCTCACACACCGAATCTCTGCACAAAATCATCTTTGCTACACGGCGTAATGCACGAATCTCCCAGACAAATGCTCTCGAGGAGCACTTGCAAAGACAGATGGTTTCAAATTTTCTGACTGGTGCCCATTATAAACACATTCAAGTGCAGTGCAATGCAGAATATTCTGCATAACACATGTTAAGACTCATGCGATGCACACATTAGCAGGCATGTGGACACCAAAATCTTTGGTTAATCCTTCTTTATTTGATAGATGTTCTGAAACAAGTCACAGCTGGAATGTCAAACTCTTCTTACATAAGGTTTGTTAACTTTCAGTGAGCCTTTAGTTTTTTTTAAGTACGTCATGCATGTCTGGAGCTGAATGTCAAAGCAAACATATGTAAACATTGCAAGAGAGTTTAAGAATGTGCCCAAAAGACAATAGGCCTCCTTGTTTCAGAAAACCTCCGACTCTTTGTATGTGTGTGGCAAATGGCTGATGGCTAACAAAAGAAAATAGGACTACAAAAAAACCCCAAAGAAGTAGTCAATCTCAATCAAGCAAACTATTTCCCATTTTTGATTGCCTCTGTTAGTACAGTAACATTCACTAAGATTTAGGGATCAAAGCAGCGAAAAGCCTCGGTGACTGATTGAGTCGTTGTAGATCAGAATCTGGAACCTCTTCAATCTGATAAAACATGCTTACATTAATAAACAGGCATGTGAGCTATCTGAAACTGAAGAACCAAAGAAAGAACATTTGCTCTCATTTGTCCTGGAACCGAAAGGTACAAGAAGGAACCAGGAAAAAATGGTTAAGTCCAGATTGTGTTTCATTTCAAGTGTTTGTGTGTGAGTGTGTGTGTCTGTGTGTGTGTGTGTGTGTGTGTGTGTGTCACCGTGTTCCACCTCCCACGGCCCACCCTGTGATACATTGCACATAGCACAGCAGGTCGAGGACTAGTGGGGGCTGTGTTGGTGAGTAATACCTCTCCTCAGGGGCTCCAGCACTCCCACATCTCACTCCTCTGAAATGACCAAATAACAATCCAATAAAGAGGGATCTTAAATGCATATTTTAAATCTTTATTTATTCTCCAAAAGGACACTGAGGTTTCCCCCATTTCCCCCCAAAAACACAACAAACAATCAGAATGAGTGACAAAAAGCACTGTGATCCATTAAAAAATCCATTTATTTATTTATCACTGTTATGGGTTTTATCAGATGCCATATCTGGAGAGATTCCTTTGATGGTTTCTAAATGAATCACTCTTCACTCTTGTTTCTCCTGTGTCAGATCTTCCTGTGGGAGCAGAACTTGGAGCGGTTTCACATGGATCTGTTCCGCTGTCGGTGCTACCTGGCCAGTCTGCAGGGCGGCGAACCCCCTAATCCCAAACGCTTGCTGGGCTTCGCTTCCCGTCCCACCAAGCTGGCCATGGGACGACTGGGCATCTTCTCTGTGTCTTCCTTCCATGCACTGGTACGAATAGAAACGTCCAAGCACTTACTCGCCCCGAGCACACACACTCTTTGTTACTAATTTCTGACTTTCTCTCACTTCTGACTCATTCCATACCTTTTGATAATTTAACTCCACTTAATCCATAAATCAAGTGCTGTCCTACGTGTTTCTACACGTTCCATTACATTGCGTGAGAGGTTCCCAATTCCTGACCCCAAATACCAGCCCAGCTTGTCAAGTGGGTGTGTTTATCTGGCAGTGCAAGCATCTTGTCACATACTGTACGCCTACTGAAAGCAAGAAATTCTGCTTGCCTGACAAATGTGCAAACTAAAAAGGCATTGCATGTAGCCCGAGGATAAAATTGACTAAAACTTGGGTTACATAAGAGCAAAAAAGCAAAAAAGAGAAGGCTAAATAATGAACATCCTATCACTAGTGCGGCACACTAGCTGCTAGGTAAGACTTGTTTTAAAATCCTACACAGCTGTTCTGAAGATGCTGGATGCAGATGTATTGATTTGTTTTCATTTATCTTAATCAGCTGGGAGCAAATAAAAAAAAGAAAATGGGAATTTGTCAACTGTGATCTAAAAATAGCTTCTAATAAGCCAGAGAGATATAGGGCGAAAAACGAAGGTATTACTCATGACACAGACTGGTCAGAACAGAAGTGAGAGGAAGGGGACAGAATTCTGGAAAACAATTTGTTGACAGCCATGAGAAGGAATTTTCTGCACTTTTCTTTAAGCTACAACAAAGACAGTTTGCCAACATGCATCTACAGTCTTAAAATATATTTACTGTTATGTTACTGAAATTCCTTCAAGAAAAAGCCATTTGTTTTTTACTTTTATGTAAAGAAGTGCCGTTTAAAACAATTCAGAGTATGCTAACTGTAGCTGCAACATCATTGGTTTCAATCAAGCCTCTGTCTTAATGCTGCATTATTCAGTTTAATGTTGTAACATTTATTTTTACTTCTCTATTAAAATTCTGTTCTCAACTGTGACAAATCAAATTCAAAGCTCAAGAAAACTAGAACCAAACACATTTGTTTTCACTTCAGAGAGTCGCACAGTCTTTTTATTCTTTCAGTGAAGTTTGGCTCCTTGTAAGGAAATCTATATTTAAGATATGCTCAAATTTACATAACTGCTCACACACTGTCATCACCTCTCACATTCAGATCATTCTCTTCACAAACTTCCCTGATGTTGACTGCTATAGCCTGTGGCTTTAAGCCTAATCATTAGCTCAGTGCTGTGCAGTGTGCACTATGCTCATGTTGTCACCTTTGAGCATTTCAAGAATGTACAGAATGAAAAGTTACCAAAGATGGAATGATATATATGCTGCTGTGTATCACGTTTACGCTCTGTCAAATATCAGCCAGGAAACAAAGAGCAGAGAGGAGAAAAGAAAGGTGGAAGAAACATTTCTTTAGAGCAGTTTCATACAAACAGTCATTCGGATATCCCAAACGCACACACACATTCCCAGAGACACACAACATCAGAGGTTTGTGGTGTGTGTGTGTTGTTTTTTTTATGTGATTGGTGGATCAATATGAACTCTGTTAGTAAGCTGCCATCCCTGAGGCACTTTCCCACAAACAGGCTTAACACTCTCTGCTCTGTTGACCCCCCCCTTTTTTTTACTGCCTACACCCTCACTTCCTTTGTCTCTCTCTGTGTTTCCGACTGTGTCTCCTGTATTCTCTTCTTCTTCTTATCTTTCTTCACACATTTCTCTATCTCAAACCATCTCTCGTGTTTTTCCGCACGTTACCTCCATGTATAAACCCTATTATTTTACGAGTCTTTCGTTATGCAGATTAAGACAGATACACACATACATTTCTCTAGCAAAAGATCACCATGGAAAATTAACCACAGATGTATACATTAACAAAATAAAGAATACAATTAATTATTAAAGGTTTAAACTTTAAAAATCACCCAATTCACATTGCCTATAGCAAAACTGTCTTTAATACAGCTCTTTATTCATCAGGATTGGTATTACCCATGACTCAAGTGACACCACAACACAGTTAACTGTACAGATTCCTCTTGCGTGCTGCTAAGAAGAAGAGTCTTGAGGACAGTTTGACCTATAATGTTTGACATGTGTTTGTCTCACGAGCAGTGATGGGTGAGGAGAGCAATAAGCACGCACACTATCGCGGTACGTGCTTGTGTGCACATACATAGAACACACAAACATACATACATGTGCTTAAAAGTATGTATCAGTGGACAATATAGTGAGTCAGAGCTGCTCCCATAGCTGAGTGACTCAATGTGAATTAACCCAGAAATGCCAGGAGAAGTTCCTTGTTCAATGTGTAGTGGGTCATGAACGAGGCTAGAGGTTGCAAGTGCTCAGTAAGAGCCATTGGTTTACACTGAGGAGCTAGAAATGTATAATTTAACAGAATCATGTCGCGTCACTGTATTGCCTATTTTCAATTCACGTTTTCTGTCTCAGGTGTCAGCCCGTACTGAAAGCAGCCTCAGGAAGCGGAACCAGGCCATGCCTCGTACCTTCAGTAAACGCCGGAGCCGGTTCTCCTCCCTCTGGGGACTGGACACCACCTCAAAGAGAAAGACCATGGGGCACCCTTCAATCAACCAGGTTTTCACAGTCACACTTCCGTAGCTATAGTTTGGAGACAGTGCCAGAGGATGTTATGTGTGTGCAGTTTGCAGGTTAAATAAATGTTCAGTGTTGTTGAGCTGTTATCAGATGTAATTATTGTTTAGTTACTCCTCCATATATGACGTATTAGTATGCAGCCAGCTGTAATGAAATGTTCTCTGCCTGGTTGCAGGTGTTCATTGATGGGATGGAACCAGTGAGAAAGCCATTGGAGCGCATGTTTGAAGACTCATCCAGTGAGAAATCGGTAAGAGTCAGACATCTTTACCAGACAAAAGTACCAAATATATACAATTTCTCATGGATCATAACAGACCTATGTCCATTCTTGAAGTTATATCTGCGTTTTCAGTGTTCAGTGAACCTTAAACTTGAAGCTTGATTAAAGTACAGTAGACCCAAACGCCCTTTTAACTATGTGTTCTCTGACTACTGAAGCCAAAGCAAGATGAAAAAGGCATCACATAATCTTCCAAAAGTTGAACAGAGATCGACAGCTCAAGTAGCTGTAGGCATATCCCTTGTCATTCTTTCTCATAAGTGAACATTGAAATCACTGTTATATCTGATGAAATGTTGTACTTCTATAATGGGTTGTGTTCTTCTTTAGACCCAGAGGCCAGCTACATTTCTAGATTATTTTTTTTTTTTGCTTAACTGAGATCCTTTTGGTGCTCTTGCTCTTCATTTGGGGTCGTCTCTGGGAAACATTCAAATCCTGCACCCTTCTGCATCACTGAACATTTCTTTTGAGGTCATTTCAAACTCCTGCTTAAATGTTTTCAGACATACACTTCCCTCCTAGCTGGAGATGAAAGGAGAAATGTAGTCTGACTGTTACATTTTTAAAAGCTGAAGAATCTTTTCCTCAATGCAATCAGGTCATCATTTAGTTCATTTGTGTTAAATGAACAAACCGTTTTGATTTACTGACGCTGTTCTTTCTCCTTGACCAGTTAACAAATTGTTTGTTTCTCCAGACTTCTTTCCCCTTTCTCTCACTTCTGACCAGTCTGTGACATAAGCACAAATAATACCTTTGTTTCTGCCCTCTACCTCTCTGGCTTATCAGAAGCTATGTTTAGATCAGAGCTGACAGAGTCCCATTTTTTTTTTCATTGGCTCCCAGTTATTCCATCTCTGTCAGCATCACAGAATATCGACCTGGGGGTATATTTCTGTCAGATAATCCCACTGGGACAAATTTGATTTGATATGTTCAGATCATTAGCTTTCTGATGTTTCAACAAATTACACAGACATTTGCTTCCAAAGGACCTGGCAGTTTCACACCATCTGTGCTCCAGTGTGTCTCTGTGGTATTGGCCACATTTAGAGACAATTACAAATAATGAAGAGAGAAAAATAGACGATCCAAAGCTTCCAAAGAATGTAGGTTTCTGGTAGCGCCTTATCACAGCCTTGTAAATGATAAATTAATCTGAACTGTGAGGTCCAAATACTCATAGGTTGGGCAAGGACAAGCATGGGGGGCTCCATATTTTATGAGATCTGGTAAAAGGCAGCAGAGATGAGAAGGGGTGATGGAGAGAGAGGCCTCAGAAAATAGAAGAAAACTCTGCAGCACTAACCCACTCTGACTCCGAGGGCCCCCAGTGGCACTATGAGAGATTGATTTCCTTCCACCCACGCCCCTGCTTCAGCTGGCAGGCTATGGGATGACATTAAAGAACTGCATCGGATGCAGCATGCTTCAGTTGGTTGTGAGACGGAGCTGGAAATGCTGCATCAGAAGCACTGAGCATCTTCAGCAAATGTGTTCCACGTCTTCACATCTGATGGCTTTCACTCTGTTTGTTCTGGGGAATCCCACGGATGGCAGAAAAAAATGGGGGGGGAATGAGGGGAAAATTAAATCTAGTACTCTGCCTAAGACCCCCCCCCCCCCCCCCCCAACCCCCTAAGCAGAGGCATCCTGGATGGGCCAGGAGGGGAGCCAGATGGTGCCAAGCAGGACTGTGGAGTTCAGGGAGTTAGGGGGAGGTGCTAGTTCTAGGCCCCTGGTCTCTTTTCTGAGAAAATGTGTGTGTTTTTTTATAGCTATGTTTTGTTTGTGCTTGTGAACATGTGCGTTTGTTTGTGAGTACAAAAGGGTGCTTTTGCATATTTTTTGCTCCTTCCGTCTCCTTCTCTGTTTAAAGTTCACTCACACAGATTGAAATAAACACACAGACACAGAACCACACATAGATCTTCATCATGTTCATCTAAACAGGGACCACCAGGGCAGATTGGTAACAGTCAGCAGATTGTGTGGCGTGGATGAAACATGGGGAGGAGGGATATGATGAAGTGATGTATGGATGGAAGAAAAAGGGTACCAGAAGGAGAGTGAATGGGGGGAGGATGAAAGAATAAATGAGTTGATGTATGCTGTTACCTGAAAGGAGGAGATAAGGTATCAGTGACAGACAGCGTGAGGTCGAGTTGAAAAGACGAGCGTGACAGATTCTGAGCGAGAGAGGCTGAAGTGGCTGCCAGATTGGCAGAGGTCAGACTGATGGGCTTAAAGGTTACAGATGATAGTTTGGACAGAATGCACCCATATACTTGAAACTGCAAAAGCACATACATATTGTCTGTAACAAACACCAAGGAAGAGACACAATTCTACCAGGAGGCTCTCATCAGCATAAATGAATTAGATTCTGTAATCAGATCTCCTGCTGCTTTCAGGGCCGGCTTCCATCATATTAGTCCAATCAGTCCAAGCAAATCTGGTTTCTTTTGAGGACAAGATGGGAAATAATCCTGAATTATGCAGATTATTACATGATTTCAGATATTCTCATTTTGGATAACAGAATATGAGGCTAAAAGGTTTTTAAGATCACACTGAATTTATTATAATGTGCCTTCTGTTTTCACTGAACACGCGGGCTACTCAAAGATGTATGAACCCCTGTTTGAGCCTATGTGGTGATGTGTTTTCAGAAAGAGAAAGAGGACTCTGTGAAAAGTCTTCCTCAGCAAAACACAGACAGTGACATCTGGGTTCCTGATTACCTGACTCCCTCCTGGGTGTGTCTGCCCAACAATCAGCCTGTCCTGGCCATCGTACAGCCTGGTGAGACAGCGCTGGATGTCCTGAGCGCTGTCTGCAAGGTGAGCCATTAGCAACAGCAAGAACACACATTACATAGCCAGGGACTATTAGCTTGTTAGCTACAAATCTGCTGTACAGCACTTTATGTGCAAGGGGATCTACACAGACATATATCTACAGACCTAAAATTGTGTGTCTGTTTAACAATTTGGATTGACAGGTAACTCATTGTTATGTTTCTTTTCTGTATATATTTTTTGTTTTTGGTTCAACAGAACAAAGAAATAAAAGAAACATCATCTTCTAAGCCCCCACACATCCCACACTCAAGAGACAAAATAGAAAGCAAACTTGCAAAAAGTAACCCAAAACAACAAACTTAAAAAATAAGTAAATTGAAAAACAGTGAAGGAAAACTACGAAAAAAATGAGGTAGGAATTAAGTGAAATGCAATGAAAGGCTGCCGTCTTTTTGTAGACATTGGTAGTGGATCTCTTAAGGAGTATCTCACCTTTTGGAATAATTAGCCAAGATGTAGCTAAACGTGTACGAGAGCTTTGCAGCTGTAACAGAAAAATGTTGTTGTGCACGTTTCCTTGCCATATAGACAGAATCTACAGTATGTAGACACAAACACTACAGCAAAACTGGTAACAGCCTGTTAAAAATGCCAATATTATACTTCAACAGCTTTGTCAAACACATGCAATGTGAGGAATGAGTCTCATAAAACGTCAAGCTGCTCTGTCAGGAGAGTTTTGAGTGGTTACATAAGGATAATAAATCACACCTTTTTACAGGCTATTGACAGCCAACGGCAGGCAAACATGCCGCCGTCAACCATTCAAATCCAGATCAGGGTAGCAGGAAAACATAAATAGTTAGAGGCAGATTTTCAGTTTTCTTCTTGAGCATCAATTGGAATCTAAAAAATACCTTGGGTGTTGAGACTGTATGATTCTTCTTGGAAGGCAGCAAAGTGAACATGTCGCCTGTGCTCTCTTCTACTGGCTGTCACATTTCTTTCAGACGTAAGAATATACGCTGCATAATTCTGACTCACACTGTCTTGTCAGATTCATTTCCAGTTCATCTCCTTTTCTCCCTAATTGGTCTCAGTCAGAGAAACACTAGAATAATGGTAACTAATGATATGTATACGTTCTACTTATGAGTTGGTTGACACATACATGTAAAGCTGATCATCATGTGTGTGGGCGTATTTTCTGAATGCATGCCATAAACATGTCACAAGGAACTGGAGCGTCTAATTCATGGTCCCCTGTGCATAACATGCATGTAGATATACATGGATTACATTTATGATTGGATGCATGCTGGTTATAGGTCTGTGTCCTTTTGTCAGGGTATTTTTATGAGCTGTTTTGTACAGTAATGGTAGAAGTAATGGTGTTTTGACAGGTGAATTTAAAAGAGTGCCCCTTTGTTTCATTAGAAGAAAAGCTTGGCTTCAAAATTGCAGGGAATATAACCCACAAGTAATTAGATTATGTCGGCCTGTTGTTTTGAAGAAGTATAGATACACTGGTTGTAGCTGTCAATTTTATGGTTTTCCTTCCATTAAGCATGACTTTTTCTCTGTTTTGTTTCCTCCAGACCCACAAGATAGATCCATCTAGCCACTACCTGCGTCTGAAGGTGTGGATGGACAACCAGACGCTCTTTTATGTTCCCAAATTTGAAGAGGAAATCTCTGATCTGGTGAGGAAATACACACTGAAGCACCATCATAAGAACTTATAATACATTTAACAATCATTACAAGTAAATGTCCAGATTTTACAGTCAGGATACCGGATTTTAAAAACAGAGCTAACTTCCCTCTTAATTGTAGGAAATGTACTGTTGAAGCAGTCTTTATGTCAGTCCTCGAATAATGGCGATATTATCTATAGACATGCCTCTGTTTCCTCTAAATGTTAAAGTAAGTGCTGTGCTCATGATGGACTAACGTTGGGTCTTTCTAATGAAGCAATGCGTAAGGTCTTATGTATAGTCTCTTTAGAAACCTTTATTATTATGTATTGGTGCTATACAAATAATGATTGATTGATTGATTGATTGATTGATTGATTGATTGATTGATTGATTGACTCTCGGGCTTGACACTCTTGTTTCTCTTGGTAGTTACTCAGTCTCGCAGGTAGTTACTCTTGTTTGATTTCTTTATTGATTGTTTTTTTTAGGTTAAACTGCAGTCTCTGCTGAAATTCAGTGTGGCATTTGAATTATGGGGGCATCACCTTATTATGAATTCATTTTGGTTTCATTTCAGGCAGATCTGGATGCCGGCTTGTGCATGTTTTATGACTCGCTAGCAGATTTGATATGCAATGCATAAAAAATTCCCAGGATGCAAAAGGAGCTTCATCACATATGCTATAAATTATGCAAAATAGCATTCAGAGTGTGTGATGTGCCCCAAGAACTGCACCCATTTGTGTTTGTACTCTTATTATTCATAAAACAATCATTCTCATTGAAAAAGACCTCTCCCTCAAATTACCCAGCCACTGTAAACCCCAAAACGTATTCTCTTTGTGACGGCTCTTTGTAGGTGATACACTGAACTTTGCCTCAAAGCAAAGTCATTGTATAACGCACTCTTTTTCCTCAAGAGGCCTTTTATCTGCCTGCTTTGATCAGTGACTCATTTCACCCTCTTTCATCCTTCGTCTATGATATGACATTATTATTTCTCCACGGTGAAGCCCATTCCACACAGCAGACTTCTGTTCCTGTCTGTTGCTTCATACACACAGCTGTGTGTGTGCTCTCGCCCCACTGCGAGGTCAAAACCTCTTCTGAGCACCCACTCTCTTCTCAGTCTTGACTTGGATTTTGACCCCACAGCCTTCACATGTGATTGCTCTGTTAAGAAGACTGAATAATACATGAATCTATATATTCTTTATTAAGAGTGATAACATGACCTTGACTTCCATCCAATAACACTACTCTCTTTTAATTTTTTTGCCAATTAAAAAGACTCTTCTTGTGTTTGCAGCTCTACAAAGAAATTGAGATTTGCCACAAAGCTACAAAGGTGATCTGCTTTGACAAAGCTGAGTCCTGCACCATCGGATACGGTATGCTAGTCTCTGACAATATCCCTTTTTTTCATCTAGATACACTCAGTTCCAGGCACACTCATAAAATCTCTAACAAATTGATATTGTAATAGATCTTATTGAGTCATGCTTGGTTAACGACTAAAGGGGGGTCCCCCAGTGGGAGCCCATTTTGTCTTAAGTGGATCTAATTGCGGGTAGTTATGCAGCAGTGCACTATGTCAAATTGAGATATTGCAAAGAGCACTATAAGAATTGATGGATTAATCTTTTCTATGTCTTATAATGTATGTCTTTAGGTTTTTCTGTGGCAGTAATAGATGAGGACGGGTTGCAGCAGCTCCATATAACTGAAGTGAAAGAAGATGGACTGGCCTCAGCTAAAGGTAGATATTTTTTATTACCAATGAAACACAATTGTAGATAAATTAAGCACCCTGAAGTTGACATTCAGTCATAAAAAACAACAGAACTTAAATTTTCATTCTTGAATCTGGGTCAGTATCACCAGAGGTTATGTGAAGATGTGTGACAGCTGGGTACATATTTCTCAAGTTGACATTGCGCACCTGTTCTAAGAAGCACCTGAAACTCAGATGACTTCTTATCGGTGCAGCGTTGTGTGACCGCATTGCATTGTCTGCTAAGAAAACATTGCTAAATATTTTGTTTGAGAGAAAAGCCTGGTGGTGCTAGGACAGAGAAGAAATGAGGGGAAGAGATGAAAAACAAAATGCACACCTTTTGAAAAATTGCTAACTGGAAGATGCCAAAGGAACAGGTAGAGAGCTGGTGCAGTCTCTTTTAATGCTTTGGATCAACATTTGAGACAGTGAGTCCACTGAGAGAATCACAGCCCAGAAAGGCCTCCAACATCACTTAATGATATGAATCAGGATCTGCAAAATAGAAAAATTGAGAAAAAATTCATAAAGAAAAAAAACAAAACAATCGGGTCCTTGAAATAAAAAAACATCTTAAATGACTCCATCGCTGCCCTTTTCACTTCATTTGATAGTCTGATGAAAACAAAATTCAGTCTGGGAATGGGCATGATGTGAAGACCCTTAGAATAAAAAGATTGCATATAAGCTATGAAATCTCTGCTTTGCCCTCCTTCCTGAGAGCGAAGGAGAAAAACATAATTCCTTTGTCTTCATCTGATTCCTTTATGAAAATCAGTGCATAAAGATCAACCCCCTTTCATATCTTTGTCTATAAACAGAGCAAGACACATATAATGGGTTTATGAAACACACGGCTTCTCTGTAGATAAACGCTAATGTATAGAAAATAACATGCCCCACTGTTGTGCCCCAGGGTCAGACCAAGGTTACTCAACTGTGAGATTGTGTCCTCCAGCATACTAGCAATCTAAAAGATGCTAACTTAGCAGTCAGAAGGTACAGCTGCACTGTTCCTTCACTGTGAAGGGGAAGAAACAGCTTCCAGACAACACAATACATCTTTGTGAAACTATATTTTGCTGAATCATTGAATTAAGTGTGTCAGGCAGGACATTTGTTGGTCAATGTGTACGCAGGGATGAGCGCGCGTGTGTGGTGTGTGTGTGTGTGTGTGTTTCTCTGAGCGTGAGGAGGATGAATGGGGACTGAAAGAGATCACGCTTTCATTTCCGCAGGGTGCACGCAGAAACCAGGCCAGCACTGGACAAGGAGCCCCAAAGGGTCTTTTCCTCCATCTCTCTCTCTCTCTCTCACACTGTAATTCCTGCTCCCCTTCCCCCCTACAGAAGTGCACACAGACACACATAGCAGAGCACACACAGTCATACACACACCGCACTATAGGGCCTGAGGGGTTATCGCTCTCAGTCCAATAAAGAATCTTCTACAGCTGACATTTCACATCCCAGACAAGTAGGTCATAACTTCGGGCAAAAATGTGTGCGATGTGTGTCTATATATGTAACTGTACGTTCGTCTGCGTTTGTCTGTTGCGTAGTAAAAGCCCTATCCTACATACATTCTATTCAACAGCATGATATAAAATGAGACTGAGGTCAGAGAAAACGATAACAAGCAAACATGTGTGACTGTGCTAACAGGACCAAAACGCTTTGTCTCGGTTCATTCTGCAGCGAGGGGCAGGTGACAGTGCTGTCAGACCGCCTAAACAGCTGTCACAACCAATCAGGTTTATTGGGTGAAGTTCATTGGTAATTGGCGGACTGATTGAGTGCTAATTCTCAATTAGCAGAGCTGGGCACAGGTGGTTGAGGGGAGGGGCTAGAGAGAGAAGCTCAAACTGAAGCTGTGTTCTAGTGAAGCCCATGGTTTTTCCTCTCATCCATATTAACACATGAACCTATATATAATGACAGGACAGGAATAGACAGCCATTGCACCATCCCTCTTCAACTGATCCAGTCATGTTAGATCAGTTTTTGCCTCAAGCAAACAAGCATAGATGATGTATTTTTGATGTTAAGGACCACATTAGAGTCCCAACATGTCCACTCAGCCTCAGAGACGAGCAGTACGGCTCTAAAGTTTCGTTTGTGTCGATCATTTGTTAACATCAAGTTGAGATGATGGCTCACGGGGAGGCTGCTGTGTTGGATGGTCATGTGTATTTTGGAATGACAGATGACCTTTTTTTTATTTACTGTGTGTTGCTTATAAACAGTTGAGGTTGCAGTTTTTCATGTTGTATTTTACTTGTTGATACTTAGTTTTCCCCGCTTGATTTCTCACCAGGTCTGAAAGCAGGGGATGAGATCCTTTTGCTGAATGGTAAACCTGCATCTGCCCTCCAAATGGAAGACATGAGGGCTGCGTTCATAAACCAAGCGTTGACCTTGAGTGTCAGCACCCTGCCCCAGCTGGACTCTCGGTTGTCGTGCACCCTTCCGCCCCGGCGCTCCGATGGCGAGCAGGACCTGGCCACAGACATCTTCTCCCAGAGCCAAGGTAAAAACATCCTTTTTACATATAAAAAAAAAAAAACACGCACACATGGGATCAGTTTATGATATTGTGGTTTATTGAATGATGCAAACAATGTCCTGTGACCCATCTAGCTCAATAGGATGAGGAGGGTTTTTCGTTCAATACAGATCAGATTTATTCATACAGAATAAATCTAAATCTACAGCTTAATGGCAAGTTGCAAATTTCCTATTCATGTGTTTTTTTATATACCATCATACATACTCTATGAAACCTTTTATGTGAGAACGCAGACGGTGATCTCTTTTTAAGCAGAGGTTGAATATGACGATTTTCTAATTATGCGTGGATGCTGTCTGCTAAGCAACCTGCAGGCAGCCGTCAGCTCTCCTCTGACCTGCTCTTTTTATCCACGCAAGGGCACCATTTGTATTCCTTATAAATTGGGGCTGTGCACTGCGCAGGCTGACAAGCTGGCATTGTTTATACAGGGACTCAGAGCAATATGAATATTAATGTGAATCCTTGAGCGGTGTGGAGCTGTCATTGTGTAGGGTATGCTGTACTCAAAGGGTCATCCAGAAGGTAAAGACTATTCAGCAGACAGATGGAGGTTAACAATTATATCATACTAAAGTGGAGACGGGTGTTAAACCAAGTGGCCTTCAACACAGAGGAGACACTAAATGAGACATTTCATACTGAAGCAGTTGGAAAATTTAACAATATTTCTTAATAGTCATTTCAAATAGGAAACATCAAGGTTTTATTGCATCAAGGAGGTTGTTGTTTATATTTATCATCAAATAAAAAGCAGTAGGAATGCCAACTGAGAGGATGCTTTTTCAAGTGTACAATGCATTAATCAAGCAGGATATCCAGACATAGAGGTTGAAGATAAAGTGTTTTCTTTAGTATGTGATGTATGTGCAGTTGCTCAATAAGCTCAGTCCTCCGTTTCTCTCTGTAGAGGACATCCTGGATGAGGTGTCGGGCTTAACAGTGAACAGCCAAGATGAGAGTTTGGATGAAGGACATCGGCTGACCCAGCAGAGCCCTGGAGGTCATCTGGAAGACAAAACCTTTACCGGGATGGGACAGAAGGTAAGGACATGGCAATCAAAGACACAACTTTAATATGTATACACACAAAGCCAAACATAATCAGACACATACCTGCACTAGAGCAGGGGATTAGCAGTTTCTTTTTTCACAGGATGGAGTATCTTATCCATCCTGTCTGCTGATTTGTTTTTTTTAAGCAAATGACTGAAAGTCCGTGTGTGTTTGTGATCATTTAAAATGAATCTGGAAGGTCAAAAGCTTGACATTTCCTCACTCATGTCAGCTTTCTTTTTTTTTGTAGAAAGTGATAGTGAGAAAAGCTGGGACGTGTTCAAAGGCTTTTTCTCTTGTGATGCTTGTGACCTTTACACAAAGGCTGTTCTGAGGCAGAAAAATATTCTGAGACGTGAAACGGTGTTAATGGCTCAACATGCATACACAGCCATTACACCATATTTCACACTCATGTGACTGCTTTGACATTCCTTTTTCGTGAAAACAAGTCCAGCTTGATAAAGAATTCATGCTGAATGTTTGCAATTTCTGTTAAAACTCACAACATACTGTCACACACAGTAGCCTGAATCACATTATTACGTAAGTGTAGTATTACACTTAGCATTTCTACATTGCTGGCATAAGTGTGTGTGTGTGTATGTGTGTATGTGTGTGTGTGTGTGTGTGTGTGTGTGTGTGTAATGACGACCGATAGATGAGCAAAAGAGTGAGCTAACAGCATCACTTTGTAATTAAGATTACGTCTGATCTGATCAGGGTCGGTGCAGAGACACGCTGTATGCCGGCCAGCCTCTCTTGGATACAGCTGTCACTTCCATTACCATGGCGATGTGTGATAACCTGTAACAACCAGAAAAGCTTTTTTTTTCTACCTCTCTGTCGATGGCAGAGACATGGACAAAAGATGCCGAAAGAGAAGGGACAGCGCTGTGTTCTCTCTTGGATATGTGTCAGTGAGCTTCAGTCTGGAGGGAGAACTAATGGGTGAGGTCAGAACCGGCTCCAGTCTAGACTCCAGTAGCCCGTTTGGACAGTGGCGTTTCTGTTACTCCAATTTGCCATTGTTAGGTGGAAGCAAAGTGTGAGGAGATGAGAGACGGAGCGACTGATAGCGTTTTAAGGATGGATGGATAGGAGATAGAGGCCTGCTTAAGTCTCATTTGGTGCACTTGATGTGAGAAAAACCTGAAGCAATTCCAAATGTATTAAACTTAACAGAACTGTATGAGTCTCTGCACAATGCCTTCATAACTCGTGAACAAGTGAGCTAAATAAAGCCCAGTGTTTGCAGAAGACGTCCTCTCAAATCTATTCAGATGAACTAGAAGGCACAAAAAGCCCGCACTCATGATGTAACAGAGTTAATCATACAGTAAATGAGACTCGCTGTAGCATCTTATTTCTATGAAGCTGTGTAGTCTTTGAAGACATCACAACAAAGGCTTGTCCCTTGTGTGTGTTGTTCTTGTGTTTGATGCAAAGCCATCTGCTTTTTCATGTATTGTCTGAGGACGTTCTGCATAAATAGAGAAAGAGAGCCAAGAAGTGCAACAGTATAAACAAAGCTCTGTAAATCTGTGATCTTCATCTCACCTTCCAGTCTTTCACCTCCGGCTCCAGTCTAACATGGGCTGTCGGATTTCTCTCCCTATTTCACATGCGCGTCTGCTTTCTTTTCCTGTACTTGTCCTCATTTTTCATCTCCCCTTATTTTCCCTTGGATAACTGATTAATTATCTTTTTTTTTTTTTTGTCCCCATGACTGAAAGCAACAATATGACCCTGTCCTGTCTCATACACGACAGCTCAAGTGTTCTTTCTCTGTCCATTTTTTGCATCTGTCTCCTTGACCTATTCTCCCATCCTTCCAGTTTCTTTTTAATTTCCTGTCCTACTTCTTCTGCTCCCCTTCCACACCAACCTCCTGTTGTTTATTACCATAAACATGAGGCGTCTCTCGGCTCTCCAGCAGGCTGTGGACCCTGACCTCAGCCTGGAGCTCTTGGACTCTCCCTCTGTCCACAAAGACGATCCAAAGTTGCTACAGAATCACAATGTTCTTTTAAAACCCGGCCATTTATCCCCTCTTCTAAATATTGAGTGACCATTTTTCTGTTTGTTTTGAACATTTTTTTTAATCTTCTTTGGATGGGCTCTGAAGTGCCATGCATTGCGTCTTTCCTCATTTCATTTGCGCCTGCGGTCACATGTTGGCAAGACCAAGGAAAATGAGGCAATGTGGGACAATTTTAATTATCCTCACATTCTAATTACTTCATTCTCCACAGTGTTTCACATCATTTAGTGGAGATAAATGAGTGTCTGCCTAGCCGCAGGAAACAGGGAGGTTCATTATTTTAGACAAAGCACAGAGCCACCTCCTCACTATGATAACCAGAGAATAAAACAACGATTGCCTGTGATAACGGCGATAATAGAGATGACAGTGACTGCTAGTGTTCTCCAAGGTGTAGTCAGCCTCACTGACAAGTGCCGGTTATAATTGACAAACCTCTATCAGTTTGTCTTAGGGGCATATGAAATGAAAAATACATAATTTAGTGCTTAAAGGGAAAGGAGACTCATCAAGGTTTGTGTTGATTGAATCTTGATGGTGTAATTCTGTTTAAATGGCTCTTTGCATACAGTGTAATTGTAAATCCAGCTACTTAAAACAAAAACTCTTTCTTTGGCTCATATTGATTTTACAGAATATACAAAAAACCGCTGATTTAAATGACTCATCCAAATTTGAGCCTATAGCCATAGCGTTGGATGCCATTTTTAATGTTCTATTGGCTGTTCAGCTCTTGGAACCATACTTAAACATATAGAAGTTTGTAATGTAGCCTTCATTCCCAAATTTCGGATCAGTGTGGGTGTGGGTATCAGTGGATGTGTGCACGTATGTTTTTGTTTTTTTGTAAACTGGTTAATTGTTATTTTCTGTTCCTTTTAATAGGATGGTATAACAAGGAAATTGCAAAAAGCATAGTGGAGGGACAATGTTATGTAATAACTAAGGCCCTAATACGTCAGTGCCTAATATATATTTAGCCATAAAAATGTTTTTTTTCTTTTTTATTTTTTTCTTTGACTTCACAAGCCTTTCAGCTTTGTCCTGGTTTTTGCTGTTGTTTCACATTTGTCCACCAGGGGGAGAACTTTGTTGATTATTGAGGCCTGAAAGACAACAGATTGACTGTGAACACACAGCTTGTTAAATAAAAAGTCATGAGTCACAACCAGTATTGACTGCAATATTTCAGTATTTAGCATTTTTTTGTACTCTTTTATTTTTTTTATGTAATCAGTTATAATATTTTAAACATTTAAAACATATTTTAATGTACAAAACTGAATATTTCTTTGCCCTTGTATTAATCCTTGAGAGTCTTTCAGGGAAATAAACGGCTTAGCTTGACACTTACTTTCGACTCGTAACTTCACTGCGTTTGTAGGAAGGTTTCAGACTTACAGAAAATCAACAGCTTTAAAGTCTGAACATTCATGCGTAGAATTGTGAAGACTTGTGTCAAAACATAATCATCCTTTCACTCCAGATTAAATGATTAAAGTCTTTCTATCGCTCTCTCTCTCTCTCTCTCTCTCTCTCTGTCATGGTGGATATCCTGTCATTCCTCATTGGGATTTATGGATTTGCATGTTTCCCTGATTTCAGATGCAACTGAACTTTCAGACTCTCCCTCCCTTTCATTCCTTCTCTCTGTAATCACTGAACATAACAAGTACATGCCTGCTCTCTCTGAAGAAACAATGTCAAAGAAACGGTCAAAACATGAGCACATACAATCAAAGTGTATATCCCTCCAACTGCTACATATGTGCATCTGTATGTCAGAATGCATTTCACCCAGTGCGTGTGTGAATGTGTGTGATGTGTTACGGTACGTCCAATGTGATATGGATGTGTGTAATCTGTGTTTATCCTGGCTCTCAAACACTGTGCATGCCTTGAGCTGACGGGTGTGAGAGCAGGTTTGTGCTTGCCTCGATGCTCCTCCCTCATACTGTACTAGTGTCTCTCTGTTCTGCTGGTAGGGTGTGAGATGTAATACGTGTTGTAAAGGGCTAAAGGTTGGTCTCTGGGATTTCAAAAAATGCTTGTTTCAGACTGGCCAGAGGAAAAGGTAACCCTGTTTGGGGCTCTTTTTATTTACTATAAGTGCCCGCCATGAATACTTTTTATACAAATTATTTTAAAAGCTTTTTTGTTTTTGTTTATGAGTTAAGTGATTTGTTTTGCATCAGTCGCTCTGTGTATCCAAAAATATGTGTATCTGTTGAATAGATTTTTTGTGCATCATCAAAACCAAACTTATAGCATGTGTGGGACGGAAATGATTTCACCATCCCTTCATATTTGTCTTACCTCTACTATGCTGATCAGTCAGAATCAAGGCATGGTGGTCATAGTCTTTAGTGTTGCGTAATACTTGTTTGTCAGGAATGACAAGTTTGCGGCATTGTGTGGAAATGCAACTGTCATTGGATTGACAAGTGTGTCACTGGAAAGGTGAATTTCAGGGTTTTAATGGGTGCAATTATGGTGTTGGAACTGAAACCTCCAGTCAGGTGTGCATCGAATGTCATTTGTACAGTTAACTTGATGCTGCTTTCACCACAAGGAGAAGATGTATGTTTTCTGCATCAGGGCATATATTTTTCTTTTAGATATGTTTAAATTCAAATTAAAAAATTGTGTTTTGATCCCTCAATCTGTGTGAAGCTGATGATCAGTTGCTGCCTTGTGCGTTTGAGATCCATTTTAAAACCCTGAGAGTGAGCGTTATAATATTTACCTTCTGTTTAATGAGGCTGCTGATCATCTCAAGTGTGCTGACAGAAGTCTCTGAGTGTCTGTGGAGAAGATGGGGGGGGGAGGGGGGAGAGAGAGAGAGAGAGAGAGAGAGAGAGAGAAAGCCAGATGCTTGTTTGTCTTCTCCTGTTGGAGAATATTACTCTCACCACCCACTACTTCATCTCGTCTTATTCCCTCCCTCCCCTCTTTTCTTCATCTCTCATGAAGATGTGATGTTTGATCTGGTTATTTAATGTTGCTGCTGCCGCTGCTCTAAAACACCTGGAGGAAAGTGAGGCAGGCAACAAGGACATAGAAAGAGAGCAGCAGAGGAAGAAGAGAGTAAAAACAGAGAGATGACGGGGGAGCCATGCAGAGGCAGTCGATGGGATTTGTAAGGACCGACAGATTGGATAGATGCTGTAGGATAAAGTTACATGGGAGCGCTGTTTTTTGTTGCAATCTGTTCTATTCAATCTGCGTTATGACCTACTTGTTTAGCTGGGACTGTAAAGATGTACCAGCAGCAGTGTCTTGCAGACCAAAGGAAGTGTTGAACAGCAGTTTTTTTATTCTTTTACACTGTTGTCCAGTTTGAGGATCTTTCTACCTACAAAGTGCACCCCTCATATTTGTCAGAAGGGGAAAACACGTTTTTCTTGCACTCATTTGCACGGAAGAATAGAAGCTACATGAAGGGGAAAAGCTGGAGAAGAAATGGACCACTGACTTCTTGTTGAACCTTGTTTTACCTGCCAGTATGTCCGCTTTCTGGAGGAACAGGAACTCCAAACACTCGTCTGAATCCGTCTATGATATGTTACAGCTGGTGAGCCGTGAGTGTGTATGTGTGTGTGTGTAGTTGTGCGATCGATTGTATGGTGGAAATGATCCTCCAGAGGTCAGTGATATTGCCAAGGTTAGAGGCATTTATAGTGATGCAACCCATTAAATTTATGTAAGAATAGTCCGATCAAACATTGAGCCTAAGTGAACCTCTATATACAGACCTTACATCAGCCTGTTTATCTGTTAATGAAATCAATAAAACATTATTCAATGTGTTGTTAAACATGCAGGGTGCTACTTATCCAGTGTAAGTATTGTTAAGAGTGACTCAGCACCACTTTTGGGTGCAACAAATGCAATTTAAACCTTTCTGATCTTATTTTACTCAATCCTTTTATCTCAAAATGTAATCACTTATATGTGAATCCAGATTCATGTTTCAATAACACTTCATCTATTAGTCGCGGTTATACCAAAGTTTTGCAGTATTGTTCTTTCTTTCTCGTGTTAATTAGCGGTGGTAATAAAATCATTATCCCGCCATCTTTCCTCAAACCTTCCCCCCTGTCTCTCTTTCCAACTCCCGCTGTCGTCTGTCTCTGTCACGGCTCCATCTGTCTCTAACCCCTGTGGCTGTCCAAGGGCACAACCTCTCTTATGAGCGGCAAGACTGTCAAAGTCATCACTCTGTTGTTTGTGTTTACAAATATACAGGCATGACTGCAGGCATGGTTTAATGTCTCTGTTTGCACGTTGATCCTGCATGTTTGTCGATATTTTGTCCGTTCAAGGACAACAGAACTAAACGTACTTAATATCATTTTTAACTTCATGATTTACATTTTGTCTATCTGGGTTAGGGTTCACCCAGCTATGGCTGTTTTTTCTGCTGTGGTGGTGTCTAGTTCGTAATGCACTTCATCCTCTCTCATGTTTCATTTTCAGCCCAGGTATCAAATAGTGTGTGCATGCATCCAGCAAAGTTGTCAAACTGGTTTGATACCACCATGGAACATTGTGTTTGTCATTGTCACTGCCTAACAGGAGACTAACCATGGAATCAGCAAAGACAAGCCATGTCCCCAGCTGACCAGCTGTCTGCAAATCAATTATAACAGATGCCGATTGATACAACACACAGATGAGGGACATCTGTGTATCATATAGTTTTTAATAACTTCTGACTACTCTGATGAGCACCTGTTTAATTTCAAGCATTAATCCCATCGTATTTCTTATTTCACTTCCTGTGCGGATAGATACACATTTTGGCTTGCATCATGTGTTCAGCTGTACTCACAAGAGTGCAATTGCAACGACTCACTGTGTCAATGTGTGCCTCTTTGCAGGATTTTCATTGTGCTTATTCTTTTTATCTCCACATGAAGGTGATTTACCTGCCCTTTTAAGTCATAGCTTTTTATTCTTTCAAGGTTTACTTTTTTTTAAGCCGGTTACAGTTCAGTTTGAGGTTCTGATTATATAGAGTTTTGTTAAAGCTGGAAGTAGGCGTGAGATGTTTATCTTGGACAGGAATGATATCTAAAGACACAGAGCATATCAATCCCTTGCATTAGTGCTCAGTGTGTGGGCTGAGTTGATTCAATCCCCCATGTTTCAAGAAGATTCTGTTCCTAATTGTCTGTTTAATCCACTAGTTCTCGCTGAGTAGAGACGGTGAAAGGGTGTAAATTCATATCTGTTGTTCTCTCACTTGTTTCTGTCTCTAGTGCCTACGCACTGTTTCACTCACCTGCAGAGCCTTGTACGAAACTATGAGAAGTGGAGACAACCTCTTAATCCTAACATTTCATTTTTACCTGTGTGGGTTTCACTCTAATTCTTAGGAGAGAAAAAAAAACTGTCTTATTTACTTAAGATGATTCATCTGAACTTTTCCCAGATGTTTTTGACCCTCATTTGCAAAGCCCAGTTTCTTACCCTCTTCATTATTTCTGAATTTAAAAAAGATGCATTAAATGAGTAGCAGCAGCAGCATCAATTAGAATTAGAGTGTTTGGACAGGGAGGGAGTTTTTTAGGGCTGGCAGGTCTGCTCATGCTTGGTATTTTTTTTTTATACAATTGATGTTGGTGGGTGATGTTATGGCAGGTTTTCAAGAATGCACTGTATGTATTGTTAGGGGTGTTTTCTTTCCTGTTTAATTCATAAAACTTCACCTTCAACTTTCACCTCATAAGATAATAAATAGTTATAAGAATTGTGCTAATAGCAGCAATTTGAGACTTTAAGAAATGCAACTACTATGTTTTGTCTCTTTCTCTACAGAGCACGGAGCATGTCACTGCTTTCTGCCGCAGTCTCCATGACATGAATTCCCTGGACTGCCCTATGTCGTCCTCCTCATCGTCGTCCTCGTCGTCCCTCTCCCCGAGCCCTGTGTCAGCTTTACCGCCCACAGCAGCAACCCAAACCCAGAGACAGCTCTCCCACGCAGACAAACTCCGCAAAGTCATCAATGAGCTGGTGGAGACAGAGAAGACGTATGTCAAGGTCAGTACAGGCCCTCCCTGAGTGCTTTTGAATTGTTTTTGGAAACTGCACAAATCAATAACTTATAAGGCAGCTATCCATATCTAGATCTGTGTGATGACAAGGGACAAACAATCTCATATGCGCCACTTCTGGTAAAAAAACAAATGCTAAATTGTTGTTGTTAGCAGTTAAATGAACATTTGAAAAGAGACGCAGAGCGTTGACCTGATTTTTGTGTAATGTGAGTTATGTTCATACTTGTGAAAGCTGCTTTCTTTCTGTTATTAAAAAAAGACCTCAGTAATGACTCAACATCCAACAGCCAAACACCCACACATGCCCTTGCTCATTCCTTATGAACGTCTGATCAATGGTTTATGTTTTTCATATTCCTTTTCTTTTTCAGGACCTGAGGTGCCTAATAGAGTGCTACCTGACACCTCTGCAGAAAGAAAGCTTCCTTACACAGGATGAGGTACTTTCTGTCTGATATCTACGCAACTGTATATAAATTGTCTGCGACATAAATATGATAAACAACAGTCGACGTAATACAACCTCACTTAAGTTGGTAGCAGTGTCAGATTATTGTTCCATGGGTGTGTTACAGCTGGACGTTTTGTTTGGTAACCTCTGTGAGATGGTTGAGTTCCAAGTGGAGTTTCTGCGGACGCTGGAAGATGGAATCAGACTGGTGCCGGATTTGGAGCGTCTGGAAAGGGTGGAGCAATTTAAGGTGAGGGTGAAGTCGATGACACGTCATCTTCAAATGGGCCAACCCAACAAAATGCTGTCATCACCTTTTTACTCCAAAGGGATACAAAACATTTGAGACTATTTCTGCAGAGATTTGTTTTGTTTTAACTTGACATGCTGATATGTGTCTACAGAAAGTGCTCTTCTCCTTGGGTGGTTCATTCCTGTATTATGCCGATCGCTTCAAGATCTACAGCGCCTTCTGTGCCAGCCACACAAAAGTCCCAAAGGTCCTGGCTAAAGGTATAATCACTGCACTTCCACTTGGCTGGCATCAAGCACAAAGCATCTGGTTGTAATGGTTGATGGGCTGGTGTAGTACAGAAAGCATGTTCAATGAATGACTGAACTATTTGAACTCTAAAATTTCTGCACCTACAGCAAAGACTGACCCGGATTTCAAGGCTTTCCTGGCTGTGAGAAACCCCAGACAGCAACATTCGTCCACTCTGGAGTCTTACCTGATCAAACCCATCCAGAGGGTCCTGAAGTACCCGCTGCTGCTGAGGGAGCTCTACTCTCTCACTGACCCAGACAGTGAGGAACACTACCACCTGGATGGTAAAACAATCTCTCTCTTTTCTTTTTTTTTTTGTCATATAATCTGTTCTTTAGACATATACAGTAGTAGTGCACATAATAAACACAGTGTACTAACAATTAAGGAACCAATCCATCTCATGAATGTTTCCCTTTGCAGTTGCAATGAAGGCGATGAACAAAGTCGCGAGTCACATCAATGAAATGCAGAAGCTTCACGAAGAGTACGGGGCTGTTTTCGACCAGCTCATCAATGAGCAGACTGCAGATAAAAAAGAGGTGAACGTGATGAAATACATTTCATTTATCTTAATCAACCCTTAATCCAGTAAAATCTCCAGTTATTCATACTTCACTCTCTGTTGTGTTATTTCTCTTTCTCTCAGGTGGCGGACCTCTCCATGGGGGATCTTCTGCTGCATTCTACTGTGATGTGGATTAACCCTCCGGCCTCTTTGGTAAAGAGCAAAAAGGACCCTGATCTGGCTGCTTTTGGTAAGGATTAATGTGGATTTTGGATTACATTATGTATTTCATGCAGCCCAACTATTGTTTTTTTTTTTAAATAGGACTTTCATAGATTTCAATATTTCCCTTTACTTCCACTGTCTACAGCGGAATAGACAGTACAATACCTTTTACTTAACTGCATTCTTTAAGATGGCTTCAACTTACATTTACAGGTTTTCCAAGCTCTATCCAGTGCAGTAAATTATAACAGCCATGGAGTAAATCCTGTTCATGTTGAGTTTCCTGATCCATAAAATAGACTCTTTATCATTTATTGAACTGCTGGTGTGCGTTTACGTTGCCGCTGATACAGTTTACTTTGAGTCATGATGTGATAAGAAGCCCCACAGTCTTTATTTTCATATCAAAATCTCTCAATATGAACACCTACAAAAACTTGACAACATTTCTCTTTGTATCCTTATGCTCTGGATTGGTCCTAAAATGACATAACATTGAAAATCCTGTTACATGTGCAGGACTCTAGACTGACAGATGATCTGTTAAGCATTCATCTCCAAGCTTTAAGCACTGAAACATTGTCTGGTGTGTTAATGGAATACTACAAAAGTGTCCTAAGCTTTTCTAAGATCAAAAGAAACACTGCATTATCGCATTGTATGTAAGATGACTTAACAATTGCAAGCATTTTGCACTGTACCGTTTCCCACATTATGCCCCTGTGCTAATGGGTGCTATTTCAGGTTGTGCAGAAGCATACTTGATAAAAGGAAAACCTAGTCCTGCTTTTCACACAAGGGACCTTTGGGTTATTTTTCACTTTTCCCATTAAATGCAGCTCACATAAATACATGAAATTCTGAACTTCTCTTCACCAAGAAGTGTCGCTCTGTTAAAATGTTCCTCCACTCAGACACCTTTGCTTATTAATATTACAGTAACATGCTATAAGGGCTTTCCCTAGCTTGGAGATAGTGGCTGGAAGTGGTCGCCTTGTGCATGCAATGTTGTGACTTTGGTCCATTTTTATCTTTTGTGCTGCCAACATAGTGTGCCAGTTTTGTTTTTTTTTCCTTCAAAGCTGAAACTAAAAGCATCCGTGGAGTCACTGCCTCAGCTGGGGACTGAGATGTGTTTTATGTATGTGATGAAGGAATGCAGACCCTACTAATGGTTTCTTTCATTTTTCTTCTTCATCTCTGCTCTTGCCTTCATTTAGTGTTCAAAACTGCGGTTGTATTTGTGTACAAAGACAGCTCCAAGCACAGGAAAAAAATCGTGAGTACTGTTTCTGTAACGTTGTGTTTATTAATGCAATCAGGGGAAGAATGTCTTTCATTGTGGAACTGTGCAGTAAAACAGCGTAATTAGGAAAGTTGTTTGCACTAAAGAGATTGTAAATGCACATTTTGCTGGCCCCATTTAACAGCACAGTATCTGTCAAATCCGCCTCTATCATTGTGCTCTTGTGCTCCCTGCTGTCCAGTTGATGTATTGCGGCAGTTATGTTGGATTTCTAACCAGTCCCTCTGTCTTTCAGGGCGCATCTCACCGTGTGTCTGTGAGTGATGACAGAGATCCTTTCCGTTTCCGTCACATGATTGCAACAGACTCTCTTCAAGTCCGCACCCTTGCAAGTAGGTCTTTTCTAAGTGTCAAGCAGAAAATGTAATTTTTAAGTTTTGCATCACTATTCTTCCAGGTGTCATCAGCGCTTTGAGGTCTTTTGGGTTTCGAGCATTTCTGCGTGGGCGTGTTTAACTTGGCACCTGTTCAATTTCACACCAATTATAATTCTTCTGTCCTAACCTTGTTGAGTATTTAAAAACAACAACTACATTAATTTGACAATTTAAAAAGAGTATAAAAGTAGGAGACCATTTAACATCGATGACAACTCTTTGAATTGTTTGTGAAGTATTCTAATTGGAATAAATGACCTTTGTGCAGAAAAAAACATTTGAATTATCCAGCAGTTAGTCGAAAAATATGTTTGACAAGGACTGAAACATTTTTCAAAGCTCTTTTGAGGCGCCATGTGGAGACATTAATTTGTTTTGCTAGGGAAGCATGGATCACAAAATGTATTGTCAGCCTGCCAGATGTCTGTAATGAAAGGTTGTTCAGTGGAAACGTATGAAAGGTATCTTGTTTTTCCACGTGTAACGGATTGTGCCAAATGAAAAAAATAGTGAATTTATCAGAGAATATGTTTTGAATTTGCCTTAAACATACGTTGTGACCCAAATGTATCTAAATAGGTGAGATATTGGAGTTATTTAAAAAAAAAGATACATTTTTCACCTAGATTTGCTCACCATTTGAAAGTATACAGTTGCCTTATCTTTGTTTTCTTAGGAACAAATAGATTCTTCATTTTAATTCTAAAGTTATAGCAAACATAATTTGCATGAGTCCACTGGGGGTCTCACTCCTGCAGAAAATAAATGATAGCCTTTTCAAACAAAACAGATGAATAACCATTAGTAGGTCTGCATGTGTTTTTTTTACCTCACATCCAATCTGTGTCCTAAATGAAACTTAAATGAGCCTCTGGCAGTTCAGCTCAAGCGTTATCGTTTATCTGCCTAATGGCCTGTGGTTAAGGGGAAAGAAACTGATGATGGAAATTAAGCTCAAAGCTTTTCTAAATGTGGATCACATCTCTCTTCTCTCAGACTCTGAGGGCACAGTGGTGTGCGAGATAGTTCACACAAGATCTGAATCTGAGGGAAGACCAGAGAGAACCTTCCAGCTGTGCTGCAGGTACGATTTATTTATTTTTGTAACTCTATAAATGTGCACAAACTCCTTCTCTCTTAAAAAAAAAAAAAAAAAAAAAAAAAATCGATCATCCCTTTTCTTTAATTCACAGTTCTCCAGACAGTAAGAAGGACTTCCTGAAAGCAGTACATTCTATCCTTCGAGACAAGCAGCGGCGCCAGCTTCTGAAGACAGAGTCTCTGCCCCCAAATCAGCAGTATGTACCGTTTGGGGGCAAACGTCTGTTTGCTCTTAAAGGGGCAAGGCCAGCCATGAACAGAGCAGGTATAGCTTTTGTTCACAGATACATATAATGCCCATAACTCTCCAGACTTAGGCCTGTTTACACCTGGTTATATGCAATCACAAATGGACAGCCTTAAGTACAGGTTTAAATAGACCCAAGAGTCACTGGGGGTGCATTGAGATCCAATTACTCAGGCTCCATGGACGACACATCTCTACCTCCTCCATTTTACAAAAGTGAAGCCAAAACACTCCTGTGATGGGCGTCAATGAATAGTGCTGATGACATAATTTGTAGCCAGAGTTTGCATTACACTCTGTTTTGTAGTTTTCTAGTTAGAGCTTATGACCTACAGGATACAGCAACCAGTCCGTAAAGGGGAGCTCCACTCTCTGGATTGAGGAAAGCTTTAAGGTCTAATTTGATGTAAATATTGTCTGATGTCTGACGTCTAAACTTCTTTTCTAAGTCACATAAAAATATTTGGGCTTTATAACAGTAATGGACACATTTGGAGATGCATGATAATATCAGGTGTAAACAGGGCGTACATTATTCATACCTATGTTTGTGAATTAAATTCTTCTCTCTCTATTAAGCGTCAGCTCCATCACGAACGCTGGCCCGCAGGAAGCTGGTGAGAAACCGCTTCACCATAGATACCGACCTCGTTTTCCACGGAAACAACAACAGCGATTCAGAGCCTTCCTCGCACTCAACGCCATCCCAGCATGCTCGTCTTCAATCCAACAAACCTCAAGGGGAGGACACGGACCGTTGGGTGGAGGAGCAGTTCGACCTCGCTTGCTACGAGGACCAGGGAGAGGGTATCGACGTGGGGCAGCTTAAGGAGACGGACATTTTGAGCGACGATGATGAGTACTGTAAGTCCGTTAGAGCTGCGTCTTTAGAACCTCTGGACCTGCACGGCAAGATGCGAGGACTCAATTTGAATGGAGGAGTAGAGACTGACAGCGATGTCATGCGCGGCAGGATGCAAGAGGGTGAAGTTAATCAAATTAAGAACAGCAATGAAACAGGCTCAGTAGACTCCTTCACCTCCTGCGGTGTGACTCTTGCCCGCTGTGAACCCCAGACGATAAAGTTCGCCCCCTCGAAGCAGTGTGCTGTAGATGGAGCCACAAACAAGGACCATAATGAAATCTGGGTGCGGCGGGAGGACATTGCTAACGTATGCAACAGTGATGTTTTCTGATTGGGATAGAAGCCAAATAGGTGGAGAAGGGGGACAAGTGCTTGTCCGTTGAGAGCAAGAAAACAGGGGAGAGATTAGATGCAAGCTTTAAACATGTGACATTCAGAGGACCAAGTGTTTATAGAGGGTTTTTGAACCTCAGTCAGCCCTTCCTGTAACTACACACAACCCCCCTCCCTCCCAACTCACCTGCATCTCCCTTCCTCTGACAATCCTAAAGTACTTAAACTGTGAGTGATAAGGAAAGTGTGCTCAGCTTCATTAGCCGAGATTCGATATTCTTATCCTTAATAATAAACTACATAAAATCATCACTGTTTTGGAAAAAAAAACCCAGGCATCACACACAACTGTGGAATTGTATTTTATGACTAAGACGGCACTGCATGTACAAGCGTGTATAAGTGTGTATAGTACACCGAAGCACCGACACAGGGACTCTAGGCAGCTACTGTACTGTCTGCACGCTGTACCCAAGATGCGCCCTCACTGAACTGTGACCTTGTGGCCAAAAAAATGTCTATTTTTCAACACAGGAATGTGGGTGTTATATTTTTTCTGACTCAGAAACTTGTGTTTGTATTTTAACACTCAAAGGGCTGTGTGTTACTGAACTTCTCTTCAGGGGCCTTTTTTGGCTTAACGACTGCTGTGTAAAAAAAAAAACAAGATGGTGAGATTCAACAACTAGCTTTATTGTGCTTTTGAACTGTTTTTAACAATATGAGCTGCACATTGTTGTATAGTCAGAGTATGATCGAGTGCCGTTAACCTCTTGTATGAAAATGTTTTGATGCTCACTTTGGTCTCCTCGTATACCCTTTTTTAAAGAGCGTTTGGACGACAGATAGTTTACCTATGCTTTATTTAATGATTGCCTTTTTTTATGTAATTTTCATGTTTACAACACAATCAGCTGCCCAGTGTTACAAACCACATTTTGTGTGTTTGGGGCCAGAAACAGGCTTGAGAAAGCCAACGCTTGTGCCCTTCACATGAATGTCCACTCTTCACTTTTGTCAGTCAAGTAAAGGCATTGCTATTTCAGTAAATTATGAAATTCATCACATCAGTTATAAACTGGACCCTCTTTGCCCCTCAGGCCATGCTTCCTTAATGCTCCAGCTTTTTAATAGTATAAAACTCCGACAACAATCCTGTTTTACTTGAATTTTCTTTGTTGTTTTGAAAGGTGTTCAGGAGAGCCATGTTAGGGACTGTACTGTTACTCCAAGAATCAATCATGCAGTTAATCTTATTCTCCAAATGCAATCCAGCTTTTTATTATTATTTTTTTTACATTTTTTTCATGTCCAGCAGAAAACACAAAGACAGACTTTTAATCTATGAAATGAACCCTCATTGCATTTCACTTCTCCTCTTCTGCATTTGTTCTTCTTTCCACCAGGCTGTGCTGTTTCACTTTATGTCATCACACCAACATGCTGATTGCTGAGATCAACAAAGTCATGCGCACCTTAATGGATGTATTGAACATGCACTTAATACCCAACTGTGAGGAAGAAATCTGTGAGCTACTCTGAACAGAGTGTGTGTAGAGTAGAGGGAAACAATACACTTTGGATGTTTTTACTATTGTCTTCTTCCTATGATGCTGGTTTCCTAGAGTTTCCCTTACTGGCTGCTGATTCTGGCCCAGTAAGGACGTTCAGACTGTGAGGTACAATCACCTGGCCGCGGAGGCAAACCCTGTGAGACCCTCTGACTGCTCCCTTTGTACTTTGAAAACTGTGTTCGTATATAAAACTGTGGAGTATTATCATTTTTATGTTAAAATAAATTTTCTTAAATTAATTTTGTGTGGATGTGCTTATTTATTTATTTAATTTGACACACTAAGTCTGTGGGCTGATTTTCTCTCCCCCCCCCCCCCCGCCTCAAATGTAGACCTTGCATTTCAACATCAACTGCCTCATAGAGGTTATTGGAAGATCCCATTCAGTTGATCGAATAAAAATGATTTATGCCAGATGCTTTTGCAGATTGAATTGCAGTCCCTGAATACAATGAATAGTCTTGAATTTAAGGTATAATGAAATAAAGGATAAATTTTGATGGATGACTGAACCAAAAATGTTAAAGTAGAGCTAATTAAAACTTCAAAGAGAGAAGAGTTTAAGAAACTTTTTTGATAGATAGAATACCACTGTACATAAATAGGTCAAAATGTCATTTACCAAGAAGATTAACTTACCTCTGTCTAGTTATTTTGAATTTGTTTTCCTGTATTCAGTATGATGTTTATCCTCTTGCAGACATTTAACATGCATGATATCTAACGGACTACTCATTATTCATGTTTGGAGTTGGGATTGATGCCAATGGTCTCCATCTGTAGGGGCTCGATAGTCATTTAGAGTTAATGAAGTTTGTCCATAGGCTGCTTGTTTGTCAGAGGTCCAGGTTGAGTTGGCAGATTGGCAATCTTGTCCACATCACTCTTGTTTTCCAGCTCTGAAAAAGTTTGCAAACAGTGTGATAGACAAAATATAAATTCTAACATGATGAGCAATTTCCTTGAAGACAACAAAAGCTTAATATGACTGCCTTTGCCCCTTCTACACTTAACACAACGACAGTTCTAGTTAAAACAAATCTAATGAAAGTTTGGCATGTAAAATGTCGTCTATTTATTTACACCAACAACAAACCTCAAGCAGATTTTAAAATGTATTTTTGGTGAGTGCAGTGAGGGGACTACTACTCTTAATTTTAGATGTAAAAATTCAGTCCAGTATTTAAACACTCTCACTTTCAATAGTACTGAGGCATGATGGGAAGGCATCCCGTGACCCAGTAAAATAGACCTTGCCTGTCTGCAGTGAGAGATAATCTGGCATCTGCGCTGTAACCTGAAGATTATTCTCCTCTCATCAGGACCAGTGGAGAGAACCGCTGCCAATCCATCTGCTCCTTAATCCAACCTGCACTGAGCCAAACTAGTGTTGGATCACGCGCCTTCAGAATAAAAGCTTGTCGAGCCATTGAAGTGTTAAAGAAAGAAAGAAATGGTGACAAATAATACATCCGTCTCAATTTACTTTATTTCCATATATATTACAACAATTACTGGTTATATATAATACTGGTAATTAATGGTTAAAATATCTGTTTGAGCTGAATTAGTGAGGTCAAGCTGTTTATGCTTGATATCACGTTGTGGACACTACAGTATAAACCATGTGGCATATGACCGAACTTTTCACAAATATATACTTCTGTCAACAGCAAGTGTATCCAAAACACCTCTGTGTCCAGGTGTGCGCTGTATCTTAAATGTTTATTATTGTATTATTTTGAAAAGTCGTACCAGGAATCACTTGTGATTCTGCAAGTTTGACGCTGATCCGCGCGCTCTCTCTCCCTCCAGCTGCTGCCACCCCGGAGGCGCACTGACTGGTGAGTAAAAGTGGACGCGTTGACGTCGGCTCGCTCTTTCTGTCGCAGCCAGTTTTTGTTCAGAATATTGACTTGGAGTACATTTCAAAGGAAAGTTGGATCCATGCGACTGACATGTTTCGTTTTTTTTGATGCGATGGAGTGATGCAGAGTGTTCAAGGATCGCAGTGGGGATAAAACTTGGGGTTGCGCGCTGGCATGGCACTTCAGGTGTTCCAGCGCTCGGATAGAAGCTGTTTCTATGCTCTGTCATGGTGTCACTATCTGCGGTGAGATTGCCCGGAGCACTATGGAGGAAAGAAAGAGACTTTTCTTCTATCTTCTCCTCTCGGCGCAGCTCTGCCTGAGCTCTACACAAGTCCTTAGAATCGGTAAGCGCAACAGCTGTTTACGCACGGAGCTGTCAGTGATTCTCTGCTTGTGTGTGAGGTGGATGGAAGAGTCTGAACCAACAAAGCTACATATGAGGTTTCTATTTTATGAAAGAAAAAATAATGGTATCTCTGAAATGTCACATTTGAAGTATTTGGTTGTGATAAATGTGTTTTTTGTGACCTTAAGATTATTCATTTGCCCTCAATTTGGCATCACTCAGTTTTTTGTGCCACGTTGCCTCATACAAGTGATTATAGGATCACTTGTCCTTGGTAATGGATGTAATTACAGTCATTTTGTGTCAGATGAGGGAAAAAAAATACATCAAATGACAACTTCACTCCCTTGTGGATAATTTATTTCAGGACATAAATGGTGCCATACATCAGCTCTTATTCATTGTGGATTCTTTTTCTTCCTGAAGGATGTTATTATAGTCTGGATGAATTTAATACTGTACAGAAATAAAATGTTTGCAAGATCCCAGTGGAAATGTTCACTCTGAGTCTGAGCTCATCAGATTTGTAATTTCATCATACTGAACAGACAGTATCTCCTAGTAATTGTTGTTCTGTTAAAGTGTATTCCAAAATAGTAGAAAAGTCGAAGTTTTCTTTTAGAATATTGTTCAAATTCATCTTTCAGCACCCTTTCCCATCAGAGGGGTTGTTTCACATTTTGTATTAATGCAGTATGTTTTAAACCATTTACATTTTAATTGGATCTCAAGTTAAATCATATAACTTAATGTATTTTATGCTCTACTCAGCCCCTCAAATAGCTGAAAATAATAGATTATTGATTCCTCCATGTGTTTTCATGCGGCTGTATACCAGACACTACTGCTGGGGTGTTTTAAATCAGAATAGTCTGCAAACAGCTGATCTTTAGACACTGACTCCTCTCCATCACTGAGATGGATAAGTAGGCTAGGGACAGGGATGTAATCATCTTTTGTCCCTCTGTCATGGGTCTTGAAGTCTGGTTTAAAGACGCAAGAGGACTTCACCAATACTTTAGTGGAAAGGAGGAGGTGGTGAGCACTTTAGACTGTGTTGATTATCCCATCGTCTCACTCTAAGAATTTGAATCAGACCAGAGTAAAAATGTCGATCCAATCACATTAGAGCCAGGTGGATTTTAAAGATAAAACTGATTTTAGATTTGCTGATATGTTGGCTATTAACTTTGAGTTGGAATGACTTTTCCATGTGGATTTTGCACATAATAAGGCATGCATTCATAAAATAAGGTTATAACGGTTTATGTTACATTATTATACACTCTCATTCTTGTCGTCTGGTTAATAGTGGCTCTGCGTATGTACTGAAGATAATACTTAAAGAATGGTAATCCATAAAGTCCCAGTGCATTTTTTCTGGACAAAAAAAAACGGATGCACGTCTGTTTTATAAAGAAAAGTTTAAAATGAGAGCATAGCATGCTTTTAAAAGCTTACACTGTATGACAGTAGTATTTCAACAAAAATGAACCATTACGGGCATATAAAGGATGTGGAGTATTTAGAATATGGGTCTACATTTTGGTGAACAATCCCCTTGCTGGCTGCGCCTTCTGACAGAATAATTTGCTCTTTTTAAAAAGTCCAATTACAAGCTATTCTGTCTTTCTCCTTGAAAAATCATGAATAAATGAATATGCAAATATTAGGCTATTCATTTCAAAAGTTTAACTTCTTGACAAAGGCTGTCCTACTTTCCTAAAAACTCAATTCTCTGTGTATATGTTCACTGGATATTTGAGTTTCCACTCTGTACTCTTGTAAGTTGCATGTCGGACAGTGATCGCTGGGTCATCACATAATCAGCTTGTTATACTCAGACGAAGGGTTTAAAACTGATTGTTTGAAACACGGTCTTAACACCTCCACCCACCCCATCCTCAGACACACCCCTCAAAAAAGTTGAGCCGCCCCCCCCTGGCTCCTCTGTAATTTTGTAAGAAAACATTCATTTTATTTTTGTAACATATATATTTCATTTTTAAACTAATCCCACGGAGACATCGACCTGAGTTTAATAATACATTGGCCATAAAATTAAACATAATCAGATTTTTTATTCATGTAATGACGTTTCAGTGACGTAAGTGATGATGACCTTACCGTTGCTGCTGTATTTGATTGGTTGGTTCATATTGTTGTTGTTGCAAGTTCTCACAGTTTGTAGTCATTTTAAGTGTCTAGTTTTAAGTGAAAGTCTTGAGTCACTTCAGTGAAATACAATAAGGGTGTGCCAAATCGCTGAGTAGGGACAAATTTACTTTGTTATCCTTAAGTAACAAGGAAGAGAGGAGTATATAGTTGGGATAGCAACAGAATGGTCTATCAACCAATTATTATGCTAACATAATAATGGGAGGTCGTGTTGTCAGAGATGGTGAATAATGAGGACAACGAGGAGGACGGCGATAAAGCGGACTGTTCAAACAATAGACCTTCCATGGTTCACAGCTGTAGGGTCAACGTCGTGAGCCAAAAGTAAGCTCCTTCTGTTGTGCTGCTGAGTGCTTCAGGGTACTAACTACAGTTAGCTTTTTTATTTGATATACTTTATTAATCTCTGAGGGAAATTCGGGTTTGCACTCTGTTATTTATAGGGACATGCTTCTCACACACATAGGCCCGAATCACACGCATGCACAAACAGGACTTGTGGACATGCATTGGTGGAGAGATGTCAGAGTGGGGCTGCTACAAGCTGCTAAGCAGAGAGCACAACAGAGCAGTTGGGGGTTCGGTGCCTTGCTCAGGGGCTCCTCGAGAGTGTTCGGAAAGTGGCCTGGTGCCCTGGTTACCAGACCAACTTCTAGATTTGGTCCGCACCAGGATTGAGCCTGCGACCCTCCGGTTGCCAACCCAGGCCCCTATGGACTGAGCTACCGCCACGAGCTGGTTAGCTGGTTAGCTGGTTAGCTGGTTAGCTGCGAGATGATTTATCATGGTTAACGTTAGTGATGTTAGTGATGAGCCTTTTAATGAATCTGCTTAGCTTTTATTTCAACTTTCATCGTGGTTTTTGAGATTATGTTTCTATACTATTTGTATGCCTTTTGTTTTGATTGAAAGTAATGTACTTGCCTGTCAACACAAGCTCTTAGATGTTAGTTAGCCAAGTAGGCGACTCATGAGAAGCGATTTATTAATGTGCCGTTTGAGACAAACACAGAATTTAAGCTTTATAAATGTAGAAGTGACATAAAAAAGTAATTCACTGTTTCTTTAATGGTATTATATTGTCACAAATCAGGGCGGTGCATCTTCACTGGTCTCACGATTTTGGATCAGGTTACAATTTCGATAACATGATGCTTCCTCAATTTTCTACATTACTGCACATTGCTACTTTTTCATCAAAGACGAACAGTCAGCTGAATATAAACTATCTTTTTATTATTAAGAAAGTGCTTTAGAAATCAATGTCAACATTAATGTCTTAACTTTGTAAATCAAATTAAAGAAATTACACTGGTCCAGCTGGACAATCTTTATTGAAAGTCAACTCAGTGAACATAAACTATTTTTCTGTCACTGCGATACATCATGAAAATGATTAATTTCAACACTTCTATCACTACATCACTATAGCAGCCTTTAATCAATGGACACCTATGGACTGGAAACCACATGCCAAGTAAATTATAGTCGAATCAAGGGCTGGTTATCTTGATAACATCACTGTAAACTGGCCGGTCTTTCTTTTTCAATATGGACGGCATGTGTTTGTTTTATCAGTTGAAGGCCACAGTGGCACATGCAGGGGGTTTCTGATCTAGAGTTTAGCTCTTGGTCACAAATTCATATTCAGCACCATTTCAGCCCAATTAGTTCAGGTTTGATGGTTCATCTCAGATCTCCTTGAACCACACCAGATCAAACATTCACAGTGTCCCTGCATTGCATACAGTTCGGCTCCTTTCTCTTAAAAGTGAGTAAAGTTATGTTGGTGCTGTGACTTACAATTTACTCACGATACCTGCTTAATTTTATTCATTAGTTCCTTTCTCTCCAACAACTGGCCATTAGGAAAACAAATGAATGTCTTTGCAGCCAAATTGCCAGAGTTTTGGAAAGTTGGCCTCACTTCTGTCTGAGATATATGCACGGAGAAACAGTGGAATCGGCTCACTTCGGAGCGCGATCGTTCATCATGCTGGCAGAAACCCAGGATTCCTGGTTGTGAGAAAGGAGAGAGAGCTGTTGTTTGTCATGGAATTGCATGGTGCATATTAGTTACTCATTTGTTTGAATCGATGGTGTTGTTTCATGAGGCTTTTCTTGTGATGTGCAGGCTGAGTTTAGGTTGGTGAGTTAACCATCACTTTCTGCGTCTTTTCAGTCTGATTTGTGACACTTTTGTCTTCTAACTTGTGAAGACAATATAACAAGAAAGGAAGCTGTTGTTGGTTTTAAAGATCATTTTTGGGGCCGTTTTCCCTTTATTGGACAGGACAGCTGAAGAGAGAGTGGGGGAATGATATGCAGCAAAGGGTCGAGGTCGGAGTTGAACCCACAGCCGCTGCGCTGAGGACCACTGTCTCCTTACACGGGTCGCCTCTTAACTGCTAGGCTATCGGCACCTTGTTGTTGTTTTTTTTTGCATCATTAGTTAATTTATCTATCTTCAAATCAGATTTTTTTCAGTCCTGTACAGAAGATTTGATTTGAAATTAATTCCTACTTTTTCAGGAGTTCTCTGATACGCTCTTGGTGAACGATCAGATTCGTAGATCATCATCCTTTTGGAGCCCTAACAGTCATTTTCAGTCGTTTCTCTCCGTCTCTCTTTTCTCTTCTGACATCCCTGATTGCATGTTTGTTTTGTTTCCCTTGATTTGTTGTCGGGAAATAAAATGTTTCCCCTGTGTTTTCTAACCCAGGGTGCAATGAAATGTCTGTCATTCAGTCTGACACCTGAGACCTCCCCTTTTTTTTTTTAAACCAGATGCATTTCCTCCTGCCTGCAGCTACATCGCCTCTTTCAAGTGTTTTCACAGAGACACAGATGGCAGTGGTTCCTATAACTGTCATCAAAAAGGCAAACTCTCTTACTTGTCCAACTCAGGGATCCTTCATTGCTGTTCCAAAGATCCACATTTGCACTGAGAAGCCATTTGATGTGTAACTGCCCTCTGCTGAAATGTAGTGCTAAAAAAGATGACTCAACTAAAGTGTGCTTTTTGGTGAACATCATCTGGAGGTCAGATGGGTTTGAATGAAAGTTTATTTTCTTACTTTTCCTTCCCAGAAACCTCACTTGATCAGAATGGGTAGAATATGTTGCTGCTACAATTAGGTAACCTTGCATACTAATATATTTAATTGACACTGAATCACTCCATTTTCAATCTGTAGCGTGTAACTCAACAGAGTTAGATTTAGTGTTTTTTTTTTGTTTTTTTTGCAGTTGGACAGGCTCATGTTTTTAGAGGCACAGGAGATTTCTAAAACCCCATAATTTCCCGAACACACCTGCTCCATCCAGATTGTGCCAGTGTTAAAAATGCCTCTGTAATCTCTATGCAAATGGCAGGTACATGTTTGTATCTGCAAGTCAAAAATCTTTTGTTTGAAAATGAGAAATCCAGTGTGTTCCAGTTGTTCAAAAAGAAAAAAAGAAAATGGAGGCATGGAGGTGGTCCAGCTGTAACACTTTCATTTTTTGTATACTCTCATCCTCAATTTGGCACTAATGAGCCGCCTGTGTTTCCAGCAGTGCATCTTGAGTGTGCTCATGTTTTATGCAGATAAAATCTACCTGCGACTCCAGGCGCATGTTAAAAAAGCATTTACAGAGTCCTGGGGTTCATCTGAAACTTTTAACACTCATTTATGCTGCCTTGTTGGCCAGATGGATATGTGTTCCTGTGGCAAATAATTCCTCATTATTTGGGAGCTGAATGAATGCTTTTAGTGCTCTGAGGCTACATTAATTCATTTACAAAGAAAAAACCTTCTTCAAAAAATATGCCAATCGTTATGAATGACGCAGTTGCAACTCACAGTAGAGTTCAAGCTACGCAAGAGCGGGTGACACATGACGAAGGTGAAACATAATTATTTGTAATTAAACAGTGTAGTGATGGATGGTGTAAGACTCTCCACACACTCGCACACAACCATCTTCATCTCCCCGAGAGATTGATCAATCCTGCATGACGGATTGGCACATGGCTCCGTTTGGTTCTTCAGCTTTCCTGCTTTATGTTTTCCTCCCACCGCAGCAGGCAGCTAAATCTCTCACGAGTCTATTGTACCGAAACCATATCTACATTTCTATTCTTCCAATTATAGCCATGGACCCAGTAATCACTGTAATCGCAGCAGGAATGACTTTTTTATGTTAATGGACTAATGGGTCTTTGCTATAATTACTAATTGGCTTTAGTTGCAGTTACATGAACGGATGTGTGACACAACATCTTTAGAGTGTCTGTATCTATGTAATGTGGGTAATCTATGCATGTGTGTATGATTGTATGGATGCATGAGTTTCATTTAGCATACAGAGCTTTTCAGATAAGTCATTTTGCACAGGGTCTGTATCAGCCATTAATCGTGAGATTAATCGTGACACCAGTCGACATTGAATCAGGTTAAATGTACAAGTAGGATTTCCAAGATGTTTGAATGGTTAAATCCTGCTTACTGTATCTTCTTGACATACACAGATGGAGCCCCTTGAGCACTAGTAAATGTACAGTAACTGATCAGCAGTTCTCTGACCATGTCCTGATGTTTTTTTCTACCCTGCCACTTTTACGATAGTTTCTTTAAATCTCTGAGCAGGCTAAATTAAATAGAAGCCAGGATGTCTCACAGACTCTGCTGAACTGTAAAAACTGCATGTTTGTGGGAATGTGAAACTAGAGTGGAGAAGTTTACAAACTCACATAATAAAACTCATATGCCTTTTGTTCTGTGTCGAACTTCTCACAAATACTTCGATTGTAGCACAAATTCATATCAGACATTTCAGGGCCTGATTTGATTCTGTGTCTTGTTTTTTTAAAGGTTCTTGAGTGGCTGCTTTTGTTTTGCAAATGCTTTAATTACCTTTTTTTTTGGGGGGGGGCAGGGTATAATATAACTAAAATGATTTTGTGAGAGAAGGAAAGAAGTCAGCGAAGGATTTGACTTGTCTTCAAAAAGCCCGTTTGGAACATCCACGAGAAGCTTTGTTTCAACATTTCATACCGTCAGGAGCAATTACGCTACTTCCATTTCATCTTGCCTCTGAGTCCCCACTTCACATCTTCTGCACCACAGATGACAGGACATTAGTGCGTAGATTCTGGGCCATTTCAGAAGTCTGTCTGAACGGCATTGTTTCTCCGAAGCCTGCTGACAGCTGATCCATGCACTGAGCAGTGTGTGGCCTTGGGTCCCCCATAATATAAAACGTGAAAACAATGAAATAGCAGCAACTATATATCAACTATGAGTCTGTGACTTTCTCTGCCACATTAAGAAATAAAGTGTCTGGACTTTTCTTGTTGCCTCGGAGTAAAAGTTTGATTATTTTTTTTCTTAGCGTTTAAAATTCATCCTCATTTGTATGCTTCTGTGAGAATTCCAAATTTATTCTCTGCTCGTTAAATATTGAAACTGGAGGCATTGGAACTACAAATATTATCTTTTATTGTGGACATCACATATTTATCGCTTGCTTTATGACTGTGAGATGTGGTTTGCATAAAAAAGGACTGATCTGAAATTAAATGACCCCCATTAAGTCAGGCTGCTGATAGCATGAGGTGTAGTTTAAGGTAAAGAAACAAATAAGTGTTTTGTCATGTTTAACTGATGCTCAGGTTGTGTGTTAGCAATATGCTACATTAAAATTAAACTTTCCATAAAAAAAACAAAGTCAAGAATGGGGAGCACCGATACGTTCAAAGTTATGTCGTGTGCCCCATGTACAAAGGTTATAGTACTGTTGTGGGATTGAATGCGACCTCGGTCAAAGAGGCCCAAAAAATAACTAAAGAACAAGAATATGTAACCTTTTAGAAAGGTCTCATACTAGCATTTGTGCCCATTGAAGTATGTTAAATAGATGGAAAGGTTGACAACAAAACACATTGGGAGAACTCACAAATAACAAAATGATTGCATACAGGTGAAAATTTAGCTGCCATATTGTAAGATGACTATCTTGTCTAAGTTTGTGTTATGGATTTAGAATCATTAATCAGAGGTAGCAGAAGTTATTAAATCTACACAGGAGCTCAGAAGTGTCTTTGTTCTCCATCTCCTGATGCAGGTGGTATTTTTGAGACCCGGGAGAGTGAGTTAGTGAGTGTGGACGAGCTGGCGTTCAAGTTTGCTGTAAATAGCATAAACCGCAACAAGACCCTGATGCCCAACACCACACTGACCTACGACATCCAGAGGATCAACCTGTTCGATGGCTTTGAGGCTTCCAGGAGAGGTGAGACATGATAATGAGACCTAGGTCTTTACACTAAACTTAGTCATTATAGCATAACGATTCCCAAACAACTGTTGCTTTTTAAGGTTTATTTAACTATTTAACCATCTTATTCTAGCCATTTAAATGTGTTTGCAGCAGGTTGAATCAGTTACATTAACAATGCCATCCTTAAAGCCCCTATGTTTTTTTTTTACTTGTTATGAAACAGACTGAAATAAATATTGATACCTTTTTAAAGACCAACAAAACCAAGAGACCCACAGTGACAAGACTAAATATTTCTATACAATATTTGTTTAATGCTTATAACCACTGCCATGGATAGTTTGTGTCAAACAAGACAATTTACAGCATGCTGCAGAAACTGCATTTAAAAAAAAAAATGTAATAACATTTTCCACATAGAATATTAACACTGAGTCATCAATTTGATTGTTGAAACTTAAAAGAAAGCAAAGTAATACTTTTGCTAGAAAACACTTCCCCAACATCTGCAGGATAAGGTCAACAAAGAGATACGGCTTTGTCGACATGGGGCGCCAAAGTTGACACGCACTGAAAGTTCTCAGGAGTTTAACTTTTTGGGTCTACAGGATAAATTACATCTCTCTAAGGCATATAAATGCATTTTTAGGGTGTCCAAACATTGATACTGGACCATAATCAAAATATTAAACCCTTCTAGCAGATACAAGAAAAAAGGTGTCTTTCCGACCATTTGATTGACTCTGAATTGGGTGAATCTTGGATCCAGTTGGATACTTGTCTTAATCTCACTTTCTCACACAAGACAAAAAGGAAGTCTACTAAGTGAACATGGATATGATTTGAACTAGTTGTAAAACACTGTTGCATCCTCTTGTTCAAGCACCAATAACCTGTATTTGTGTTTCCCTTTGCTCCCAGTGTGTGACCAGCTGGCTCTTGGGGTGGTTGCGGTGTTTGGCCCCTCTCACAGCTCTTCTGTCAGTGCTGTTCAGTCCATCTGCAATGCCCTGGAGGTCCCTCACATACAGACCCGCTGGAAACACCCATCAGTGGACAACAAAGACACTTTCTTCATCAACCTGTATCCAGAGTACACGGCCATCGCCAGGGCCATCCTGGACGTGGTCACATTCTTCAAATGGAGGAAGCTAACAGTGGTCTATGAGGACAGCACGGGTAAGGCTTGTTGTTTTATCAGTCAGACTCTCATTATTACTTTCAAAGATTATTTATATACCCAAAAAACTTTAATAGCCTTAGCTTTTTTTTTTACTTCAGTGCATGAACACACCCTGTCTGTATTAAGTACATGGGTTTATTCGAGATGGGTCTTCAATTATTTTTGAACACAACTCTTGAAAAATGTTTTTTAAACCTGTAAGAATATTTACCTATATACACGATTAGGCTATTGATGAACACATACAATAACAAATCATTAAATTGATCTTGCTTTGTGAGACACCACATCTCTGCCAACCTGCTGCACTGAGAGAGAGATAAGACCCCTGTTAATATACTCATGTATGAGTGCTGTGCAGACATGTAGGCCTGCAGAGCTGTCATAGCATATCAGAGTGTTTTTTATTGTGTAATGTAGATAGAATAGACAACCGTTAAAATTCAGCATGAGATCCATAATAAAACCTGAATGATTGATATTTGAACCTTTAATTCAATGAATAAACAAAGGACATATGTTTGTTCAGCTTTCATTTTGATCAAGTTGCGGGAGACTCCAGTGCTGATGGATGCACATGCTTTGGATTCACTCGCAAATATTAAGCTCAAGCTTATGGTTTACCTTCTTCCTCTCACAACTAAGCAGTCTGGCTTTTTTTTTATCAGCTTTATTTAATCTTTTCAAGTGTCTGCTGCTTCTTCTCCTTTTTATTCCATAAATGTGAAAACTGACACCTTTTCAGGACAGCACACAGAGAACAGAAAACTTGTGGCCTTTTAAAGACAATTTAAAAACACTTAACTTAACTTAACACTAAATCAACGGCAGCATCTAAATGAGAACACTGGTATTTTTTCCAAACTTGCAGCCATCCCTGGTTAGTGAGAGACTCATTCTTTAATTTGAGTTTTTACATGCTTTTACATTTATATATATATATACATACCGGTATATGGAAATAAGAAACAAACAGTAGTAAGAGTAGTACCAATGATCTCTGGAAGGTATTTTTGTTGAGGGGAAAACGCTGCTTATGTATCGATGATGATCAAACAGATAAAGGTAGAATCAGTTCAGGTTAATTTTACTTGGCTACAGATTTTAGATAAGCCCAAAAATGCGTCTCTTCATCATTGATTTGATTGATTGATTGTCTTTAATGTCAGCCATATCCCCAAGTTACAACCGTACATTTATTATAGCATAATATCAATATTTAAAGATGGATTTTTATGTTTTAAAAACACAAACACTTTTTCTCCACATCTGCAGGGAAAATGAATTGTGCTTCCTGCTGCATCATATCAACCACAACATTGCATGACATTTGAAAGAAAGAACTGAGAGGGAGAAGAGGTCAGAACTGCTGAATTGTGTTTTCTGGACCTTACAATATATTCATATGCCAGGGTTATAATTACTCACAAAAAAAGAAAAAAACTATTCCACTGTCAGCTGCAGTCACCTTCCTCGTGCTGGCCAGTGAACCCAATCTGTGACGGGGCACGAGAGCCTCGCATCAAGCAGCTGCCAGTTTCCCTGCCCTCTGACTTCACACCTCGAAGAGCCAGACAACAACAATGAATCGAGCGGTGTCCCACATAGAGCCCCTGCCAACAACGTAGACCATATAAAACTAGCGCTGTTGAAATGTCATTGTTTATAGATTTTTTTTTTTTCTCTATCAGAAATTACTTTTGATGAAATGTCGCTCAGATTCATACCTGCAAAATTACACACTCTTGTTCTCGCATTTATGGAGAGGATATAAGAAAGCAGAGTATGTGTGTAAGCTGCAGTGTGTTTGTTTGTCATTGGTGTGCAGAAAAATAAAATAGAAGACTCTGAGATGCTGTTGTGAATGTAGATTTCATCTCTCGGTTACAGGATACCTGTCCAAGTTTTCGTGACAGGAAGTTCCCAAACTACAGTCATGTTCTGTATCTGACCCTGATCTTTCTGGAGGAGAGGGACGATAGAATTTTTTCAAAGGGGATAAATGGGTAGTTGAATTTTCTGTTTCCTTTGTAAGGTCTGATGCGGATGCAGGAACTGATCAAGGCTCCTGCCAAGTTCAACCTAAAGATTAAGATCCGCCAGCTGACCCCGGGTAACCAAGACGCCCGCCCGCTGCTCAAGGAACTGAAGAAAGACAAAGAATTCTTTATACTTTTTGACTGCTCCTACCGTATGGCTGCAGAGCTCCTTAAGCAGGTTGGTCCAGGGATTGATCTTCTCATTTGTTCTTTTTATAACACATTCATGTATCCCTTGGGGCCCACAACTTTTGTGATTCTTGTCAAGCAATTTTTTTCTATGTGCCAGAAATTCAAAAGAAACCCATTAGCATGTTTTCAGAGGCTTAGATTTTGATTTAAATGACACCCATTAAAGGATGTGATAAAGAAAAGTTGTTGATTTGCCTCTTTAGGATGAAATAGCACTTCCCTTTTCAAAGTCATAATTTTAAATGGCCCAGAACTTATTTCCTAACACACTGGTTTGCTATTTTTGGAGGGGAAAAAAAAAATCGTCATCCGAGTTAGATGATGACAGATGGTAGCTGATTATATCTGATTTACAGACATGCTGACAAACATATTTTTGACTATCCATGTGTGCCTCATTTCCAAAATGGCTGATGGACTGGATAGTGTAAAGTTTCATATCCACTTGTGTTCTCATGAAACTTTGTAATTAAAATGCAGCTGTACAAAAACAAAGAAGAGAACCTTGTGTAATTTTATTCAGTCGTTTCATTTGTAGCTCATGTGTAGTTAAAGTCAATCATTTTTCTCTGTGAAGGGTGACACCCTCTATCATAAAACAAAATAAACCTAAGCGTATAAATGTACAACACATGCGATGGACCGTGCAAAAATTGAAATGACCTGCCAAATGACTTTGTTATTGAAGATGTGACACTGTAGCTGCAGCACCAGAGAGCTCATCACCTTTAAAATAAGCAATAAGGCTCAGAATTTTCTCCATTACTTTATTTCTTCTTTTCAATTTGCAGCTTTCATCTATGGGAATGATGACGGAGTACTACCATTTCTTCTTCACGACTTTGGTGAGTGAGAAAAGTGTATCATCTAAAGCTGTTCTGTTGAAGAAAACAGTCAAAGTTAAAGTCCTCATCTCCGTCTCCTCCCTCCACTCACAGGATTTGTTTGCGTTGGACTTGGAGCCGTACCGCTACAGCGGGGTCAACATGACTGGCTTCAGACTGCTGAATGTTGACGACCCATATGTGGCCTCAACCATGGACAAGTGGGCAATGGAAAGACTGCAGGGTCCCAAACAAGAGAGCGGCCTTGTGGATGGAATCATGACTGTAAGCCCCCTTGCAGTTGTTTTTTTCATGTAACTGAGCAATAACAAAACTAACACCTGCTCCACTGAAAGCAAATGATGCTTATTTGTATGCTGCATGCATGTTTGAATAACAATTGTAAACTGCAAGCATCTGCTCTCCTGCAAATCTTTGTTGGAGCTATATTTCTACATGGTAAAAATGATATATTGGTTCCTTCATTATATACAGTATATACTAGAGGTATATTGCTATATCTTGTTCACTTGTTTACTCATTAAGGTGTACAACCACTATCAATCATATTACATTTTCATCGACCAGCCATGATTTCAGCTGTTTACTGATGTTTGTTTGTTTGTTAACTGTATCGTGTAGGAGAATAATAACAACAAAACCTCCTCCTCTGACTTTCTCCTCTGCAGACAGACGCGGCCCTGATGTATGACGCCGTGTTCATGGTTGCTGTAGCATCCCAGCGAGCCACTCAAATGACCGTCAGCTCCCTGCAGTGTCACCGCCACAAACCCTGGCGCTTCGGACCTCGCTTCATGAACCTCTTCAAAGAGGTCAGTAGCAGATAGTAGCTTGTAGATCACAGCGAACGGAAAAAAACCTGTTACACCACGAGTATGGCTCAAACACACCCCTGTCGCTTTTCGTTTGACCACCGTGCATGTTCAAAAAATACATTTTAGTTTGTTTTTGAAAAAGGCTCAGTGAGTACAATAACCTTCTTCTAATCTCTGTTGCAAATTGGTAAATGAACAAACCTAGGTGTCAGATCTTGTCACGTGATATAGGTCCCCTCTCACAGGCTCTGCTCCTAAGAGTACACACTTTAAAAATATATCAAATGTATGTACATATAAGCATACAGCTTAGCCCAGCGGTCAGCCTCGACTGGATGCCTGCAGACGGAGATGAGGCCTTTGATGCACGAGTGTTTTGATCTCTTAAGTCTTAAATCCAGCAGAGGACCATTGCCTGCCATGGAGAGGGAACATTATCATTCAATCCCCTCACTCATATTTCCTCTTCATGCCCCCCTCCCCCCTTTTACCCCCTCCCCCCTTTTATTTTTTTCATTTTCTTTGCATCTCCATTTGGCTCTCTTCCTCAGCTTTCTTTTTTGTTTGCCCCTGCCCATCCTTTGAAGCATCTGTCCTCCTGTGCCATTCATCACTAGATAAGAGCCTTTGTTGATTGCACGAACCAGTAATGTGTCTCACACAGCACTCGATTAAAAACCATTTCTGACCAGAGAGAGCAAAATATGAGGACACAGCTTTCATTTCAACTGCTGAAATAAAATCCCAGCGCTATAACCTTTTGTGTGTTTGCTATCTCCCCGTTGGCTATTGTCGCTCAAATTATTCAGTTTTTCTGTGGACAAAATTAAATGTATTGTGTTTTAAATGTCTGAACACATATTTTTTATTTGAATTCCCATCATTTCAGGGCTGAAACAAACAAAGAAGGTAATGAAATTTGAACTGTTGACCACTTGATGATAGTAGGTTTTTTAATTACATGTTTGTACTGACTGATTGTTTTTTTAGAACCTGTTTTCACTACATGATGTGATGTGTAAGCGTTTACCTGTTCAGAATAAAAAGATAAACACAGAGAAGAGCTGCAAAAATCTATGTCTGTGGCGGTATAATAGCTTCAATTTGAGCATTTCCAATTTAAATGTTCTAACTCTGAAACCATTGGGCTACAGACAACCAGGCATATCAGATCTCAGAGTATACTGTATTCACAGGTTTGGATCACTTTTCTTTATTCTAGCCTTGAATATGCTAGAGGTTTCTCTCATTTGCAATGATTCCAAGATACTGAAACACGTACAGTACCATTAAAACAAACCAAAAAAGAGCATTCCCAAAGTAAACTTTACATTGAGGTGTACTGGTTTGACGTTTTGTTGTTTGACTCTACCAGAAATGGAAGTGCCAATCTTAAGAATGTGTTATAAATATGTTTGAAGCAACAAAAAAAACTTGTAATATTTAATGTTCAGATTTAGAAAATGACTGTCCACCGATAACGACCAGTAAATATGATGTACAAAGTGCACACACGCACACATACATTATAATGACATATTTAATAAAAGTAAGTCATTAGCATTTTTTATTCAAATTTAAATAAAGGGTTTGATTGTTTGTTAACACAGTACGAATTTGACTGTGAATGTCGTTATCATTGCTGTCATAAGCATTAACCTTCATGCATTTTAAGACTGCACTACAGAGCAACCAGTAGCTGTCTTTCAGTCTCCACCTGAGTCTTTGAGCCGTCTGTCAACACTGACTTCTCTCGCTGCCTCGATCTCCTTCACTTGCCCTCCTGGGACTCTGCTGCAGAGCTTCAATGAGGCGCCGCTCATACACTGAACTTAGCCGGCATTCGAGACTTTCTCCCACATCTCTCTCTCCCTTTGCATCTCTTTTTCTCTGCAGGCACAGTGGGAGGGACTGACGGGGCACATTGTTCTTAATAAGACAGATGGCCTGAGGAGAGACTTTGATTTGGACATCATCAGCCTGAAAGAGGATGGCACTGCCAGGGTGAGCACACGGGCCTGGAACAGACAATTACACCACTCCCATGCTCCTTCCTCGCTGGCTGATTCACATTATATGTGTGTGTGTGTATGTGTGTGTTTGTGTGTTTGAAAGGGAGATAGAGTTTCCTACAATCCTCATACACCTTTTATTATTTGGCTTAGATGTCCAGTCATGAATGTCAATTATGTTGCAACAACTTATAATTTTTTTCCACACTGCTTCATCTTGCCCTCTCTACATTTTCAAAAGGGAGTTACGGAGGGTGTAAGTCGGCTCACGAAAAGATGGATCAAGGTTCGTGCCAGTGCCATGTTTGTTCAAAGCTTTTTTTTTTTTTCTTTCCCCTCGCCCACCCTCCCGTCTTCACCCACTCTGTATGCCACACACCGCCCTGCTCCTTGCCTCGTCAACCTTGTTTCTCTTCACTGATTTTGTGTACAGCAATGCCAATGTATTTGACATTTCAGTTTGCCCCGTGTTTGGGTTCAGGCGCCGCTCTGACGCTTGTCAAAACTTTGTCAGCAGTGGTAAAAAAATAAATAAATATCACAGGCTATTCCTTTTTCAAACATCACAATACTTCCATGTGAAGTAAGGAAAAAGTCACGCAACAACATCATTCAGTTTCTACTGACAGTAGAAAATAATACAAATAAAATGTACCCTTACTTAACTTTTCAAGACTTGTCAGTCCACTACTTTAAATGTGCTTGGCTATTAGAAGGCCTTCATGCTGTCATGGGGATCATACAGGCTAGCAATATTTAATTGCAGCCAAAAGGGATCCATCCAGCTGAGGACACAATAGCTTAAGACGTGCAGTAACACTGTAACACTTTCTTTTGGTGGATACATGCGAAAATACTCAGTCCAATTATTTTTAACAACCTAGTTTTTATAATCAGAGCTTTCTTCTATGCCATCTCTAAAACATGTATTAAGGAAATTAGGCTAATTATCAGCTGGGCATTCAGTGAATTGAGCCATCATTGTTTTGTTAATGTTAGCTCTCTTGCTATTTCTGTAAAATTGCTGAATAGCTAACATCATAAAACTGTCTTTAGTGGATGACTTCAAAATACAAGGGCTTTGTTGACTTGTAGCGGGAGTGCAGAGTGCTTTACAAAGCATCCTACTCCTACACCACATCTATGCAGCGTTGCTACAATAAGCTAAGCTAAACTGGCTTACTTTCTTCAGAAAAACATCAGTTGGCTATCATCGCAAATTACTTTACCAGCAAGGGTCAGGTTTCTTAATTGATGCACCTCCAATGAGACCTGGGCCACCGCACATATTCAATCCTAATTCTAATGGTTCAGAAAGCGTATTTCAGACACTAACAAAGATGTACCATGTAAAACAAAAGTGTTTAGCTAACATGATGCCAAGTTCCCTCGTTTGTATTTTGAGAGAAGCTGATAGCTGGCTTAAGCTTCATCTTACTGCATCGAAATGGTGTGAAAGTATACCCAGGCCTCAAGCCGTAAAATGTACTCATGCTGGGTGAGAATGAATGGCTTGTTTACATGAAATCTTTATTCTTATTTGCTGCAATAAATTCTGACCTTTTTTGATAAGTTAATTGAGAATGCTCATATTGCGATAACTTGCACAGCCCTACATGGAATTTTCTGAAAAGAGCAAATAAAAAATCATAAGCTTTGTTTATTATTGCTCCTTTATGTGGTCTCCCACGATCCACTGTAATGTTATTTACTTTAAATTCACCTTTGCTTATCTTCTTAAAACTAACGTGATGACTGAAAGGGCAAATGGTGAATTAATTCGGTACCTCAAAGACATTTTACTTCCAAAAGTTGGCAATGTTTTTCCTTTCCAACTGGCTTAGTTATCAGACAGACAGGTATGCAGGCAGGCAGCAGCTGTCAACTTTCTAAAGCAGTGATTTATACTGTAATGGTATTTTAATTCCATTCAGTACTTTAGACCTAAAAAGCCTCTCCTCAGAGGAAATACCCCCAACATGGGGAGCACATCACATAAAACGCTCGACTTCATGGTCATGAAAAATGAATTATCAGCCCGCTGCAGTTGTGTTAGTTCTTGGGCACTGGAGTGTTAAATACACTTTGAAGAGGATGATGGGACTAGACAAAGTTAAAGTCTCCTGAGAAATAAAGTATTTTCTCTTAAAGTTGTTGACTTTCTGGAAATAAGGTTTTATTTTTTTTTTCCCTCCTGGCTTTCTTGGCCTTGCTTAGTGTGTCTCCAGCTTTGTGGAAACGGTTCTCCAGTCTGATTTGGTTCTGGAAGAAGATGAGCTTTAGTATGCAGCGATAATATTTAACTTGCAGCGTTTGAGAGCGAGTTTTTTCTGTCAGTTTTTATAGCACACTTTGTAGTCGGAAGCTTCTCTGCTATGCACGATAAATTTGCAAGCCTGTACACAGTAAATCCATGACTTAGGGCTTTAAAAAGATGATGACTGTATGTTGTGCGGTTGTCCTAAGATAAATTTTAGCATTGACTTCATTGGCTTGGTCAGATTACTTCATTTCTAAAACTTAAAAACTGAATAATCGTGCAGCTGATATTTCATAGAGGATGATACCATCCCCAAAATAACAACATGAGAATGTGAAACTGCACAATCTAAGAACAAAACACCTTCCACACCCTTCAAAAATGATTGTTCTCACTCTGTCCATTTATCTTTGAGATTGAGAACAATACAATTAATTAAACCCAACCCCAGCCGCTGTGTTGCTCATCTGCAGTGTCCAGAGATAAGACAGATTTATGGACTCCTGCACAGAGCGGACCCTTTTGCAAAAGTGCCACGTCGGAGATATAGAGTGCTTTTAGCAAGGTTATAAGTGAGCACATTTTCTGTCTGTGTGACTCTGAATAAGATAGAGCGTAATGAAGAGTGAAGAGCATGTTATCTTTTCAAATAGGTAATCCCACACAGCCCTTTTCGGAAAACCAAGTCTTGAAAAGAATGCCTTCGCTTCTGTAGAGCTCCATTTAATAAGAGGTACTGATGCGTTCACTACTACTCATCGTCTCACGCAGTGAATGACTGAACAGGCCATTGTTTCTGAATGAACATACCCATATTCATTACTTTCTTTACAGAGCAAACTGCAGGAAGAAGGAGAGCTTGTCTCCATCATTCACTTGAATTCTTATCGACAATGAAGCTTGATGGTTTAATGCACTTAACAGTATCACATTGCTGTCATGAGCCCCCCCTGACCTTTGCTCAGCTCTTAATGAGTGAGGGGATTTGAAAGGGTCGAAATCCAGCTGCCAGACGCCTCTTCTAATCTGATAACTGTCTGGATTATACCGCCTGGTCTGATGAACCAGACACTTTCAGTCACTGTTACAGTGAAGGCAAACACCATGCCGTCCTCTATTTATACAGTCAACTGCTGTACACACCTTCAAACCATCTCTGGCCCCTCCCTTTGTGGTTCCCAACTCCTCACCACCCCTTCTTGTAGAGCTGCAAGTAACGTATTTTTAGTTGTTGATTATTACTGTGATTGTCCTCTGAGTTGATAGATGTATCCTTTGCTCAAACAATAATAGTGTCCTTATATAATGTTCTAAAGCCAAATGAAAAGTTCTAAAGGTCTTGTTTTGGATTTTGTTACAAAAAAGGAAGTACATAGCTTATATTTGTTACTGAAAAACATGGTAAGGTCTGACATAAATGTAATGTATATTTTTTGTCTATTGGCTAATTGGCTAATTGAGTTACTCTAGAATGAAGCATTATTATAAAGAAACACACCTGATCTAATGGTTAAATGTATTGAAAATGGATTCTCATAAATGATAATTTTTTGAAAATGTTAGCTATGTAGACTCAGTTATACATTGAAGGCCGACATGATGCGAGAAAAATATGCAATGTGTGACGACATAGTTCAGCATTGGGATACCGATATAAAGTGTGATAAAAACACAAATGGCAGGGTGCATATATGAGCCATAACTCAGTTGCTGTGTCCATCTGTTGTCCCTCCTTAAGACAGTACCTGTGTTCACAACATGTTCCTCCAGAATCCCAAACAAATCTAAAAAGCAGTTTTAGTTTCACTACTATGTTGGCACCTATAAATCAAAGGGGAGCTGATAGCTGACTTGAGGTTCATTAGACTGCATTAAAATGGTGTTAGAGCATCGCCATTATACCTAGGCCTCCATCCTATAGATATAACGTATATAGCCTACTGTATACTGTGTAAGAAAGCGATACATGTGTGTTTATTGTGAATTTGTGCAAGAAGTCCTTTCCTGTCCTAAGCATTAATAACTCATATACGAGTCGTTTTCTTCTTATTTGTTATTAAAAACATTTTTACTCGGGCTGCACACTGTGTTCATTACCCTGGAGAAATCACCGAGCCCTATGGGAGTGATATTGGTTTGCTTCAATAGAGCTGTAAAATTTTTACCTGGAAGTTTTTAACAAGCTACTCCTTCATTTTCATACTCACTGTACATAAGGTGAAGATTTTGGCACTTTACCAGCAATCATCAGAGCAAAGCCGAGCAAAGGGAAATGTTGTAGAGTAGTGAATGGAGCAGAAGGCTGAACATGTGCCAGGAGTGTCAGGTCTTTAAAACCCTTTATGCTTCTTTTTCATTTTTCTGTTCGATGAATCAGAAAATATGATTAATATGCCGCGTATGGGAGCAGTTCAGGTTCCTGTGAAGACTCCAGGACTAAATCTGAGTCTGTTTGTTGTATGCCAGGGTTAATAAGGACAATCAATCAGCTTCTTGTAAAAAAAAAAAAAGATAATTATTTTGATGGTTCAAACACGGCTTGACTCAAAGTTTTAACAGAACTAAACATCTAACTTCAATAGCAAGTGTCAAATGGCTCTATCAGGATTCAATAAATCTAACGCCCTGTTTGCCTTTTCAGATTGCTGTGTGGAACTCGTACAAGGGGATGAACCTGACGGAGTCCAGCCGAGACAAGAATAACAATGTGACCGACTCCCTGGCTAACAGGACTCTTATTGTCACTACCATTCTGGTGAGGAGGAAGGTTAAACAGAGGACAGTATAAAGAGAAGGAGAAGCATATATGGGATGTGAAGTGGGAAGAGAGTGGGGGGGGGGAGACTCTGAACTGGAGAGTTTGGACAGGGGGAATTTGGATTTTTCCACAGTGCTGTCTTATTGTGCTCATAGTCGACCATACACAGATAAAAGAAGCTTATAATGAATGTTTTACACTAAAATTTTCATAGTTTAATTCATCGAATATTCATACAAATTTGAGGCAGATGGATTTTTCTCATTGTTTGTCCACTCATTAAAGAGTCATCTCAAAGTTTCAGTATTCTTTAGTTAAGAAGTGTAGAGGGAATGTATTAACAGTTGAATAGTTTTAATTTTTCTTTCTTTCAGGAAAATCCGTATGTGATGTATAAAAAGTCTGAAAAGGAGCTGTCTGGGAATGATCGCTTCGAGGGATACTGCCTGGACCTTTTGAAAGAGCTCTCCAACATCTTGGGTTTTACGTATGAAGTCAAACTGGTGGGCGACGGCAAATACGGAGCCCAGAATGACAAGGGGGAGTGGAACGGGATGGTCCGCGAGCTGATTGACCACGTGAGTTTACTGCAGATACTTTTAATGTATGAATATAACCACTAGAGGTATGTTAGTCCAGTGCTTTTAAAAACAAGAGATCAGGTCCTTTAAGGGCGATTCAGTCATCTGAGTGACTGAGATGTTAATTGTGTAGTGAAGAAGATAAAACTTTCATACAAATCTTTAGTCAATTTTTGTAAAAATGGCAAGACATTGTTTCAAAAGCTTGAGAAGTTCATTTTACAGGTAATGAACACAACATTAATACTCATGTCTCTGTATGATCATTTGACTGTTAAAAGAAAGGATGATATTTATTTATTATTGAAACAGTATTTATGCAGATACAGGACAAAATCAGTAAAGAGATTAGAGGTACTGCTTTGTCCACAGACTGAAAGTTCCTCACAGGAGCTTTAAATCATGTAGCGAAGTAAAATGTATCTTTAGTGAAGCAGCTGACAACTCGAAGACATCTGAAACCTGAAATGAGCCCCTGTAAACATTTCTTAATCTGTCAGAGCTCACAAACATTTTAACAAGAAAACTATTAAGCAGCTCTAAGTTTAGTTTAAGACCAGTATTAAGAAACACAACACAGGAATAAAAAAAGTTGAGTTCAAATACCCCAAAGTATACTTCAAGTGCATGATTTGATTTAATGCACTGCTACTCCTTACACATTTTCTACTATTAATCCAAACGGGTCCAAATAAGGTTAAATACTTTTTTTATAAAGTTTATTAAAGGTCCACCTCCACACAAACTAAGTCTAATCATTGAATTTGAACATTGATTTGGCAAATAAAATCTATTATAAAGTTCAAACAGCAGTCTGGGGCAGCATTGCTCGGTTTGTACCAGCTGCTGCCTCTGGCTGAACTTTTGAACTCATTAAACGTAGTCAGTAGTGGTGAATTATGGGAGATTTTTTTTTTACTCCTGCATATTAATAGCTTTAAATTTTGCCCATGGACCTTTAAAACTCAGTTGTTTAAAGATAGCTGTTGCTCACATCCAGTATCCTGTCACCAGTCTAATGGAGAAGAGAGTTTTAATCTTTCTCCATTCATCACTTTGAGCTCTTTTGTTACATTTAATGTTCCATATTTTCTTATGTATATATTTTCATAGTTTAATCTTTATATCTTGAAGATGATAAGTAAAGAATTTTCCTGGATATACACAGAAACTTGTGATATTGATGGTGTTCTATAGTATTGCTAACTTTGTTTTCTTTTCTTTTTTTTTAAAGGTTGCAGACCTCGCTGTGGCTCCCTTGACTATCACCTACGTTCGAGAGAAAGTCATCGACTTCTCGAAGCCCTTCATGACTTTAGGAATCAGCATCCTGTACCGAAAACCTAACGGAACAAATCCAGGCGTGTTCTCCTTCCTCAATCCCTTGTCTCCTGACATCTGGATGTACGTGCTGCTAGCCTGCACAGGAGTGAGCTGTGTGCTCTTTGTGATCGCTAGGTAAGAGGTTGGATTGTTGCCCGTGATAATGACATGATGTCGGATTGGATTGAAGGTAAAAGGGTTGCAGGAGAGTAAGCTGTAGACCACAATGATGTTGATTGCTTACAGAAAAGTCAGTGTTTCGGATAAACTCTGAGCCTTTTTAATAAGAGCCCACTGGCGATTCTGATGTATCAAATTCACATGAAAAAAATAACAATTTGTTTGTACAAATTGGCATGATTGTACCTCAGCAAATCTCTAATTTTGCATTGAAATCCTTAATTGTAAAAATCATGCTTTTAGCTGCCAGTTCGGCTTTCAATGTGGTTGTGAAGTAGCCGGGAGTAATTGCGAGCTCGCTCTTCACTCCCTCTCAGGTATTGTGTGAAAGCACTTTCAGTAGGTTGCTGTCAGAAACCAATAACTGAGACATACATCTGCTGTGAAAACCAAAGTGTTGATCGCATTGGTGAAGAACTCCACTGAAGAGAAGTGCCAGTGTGCAAACAGGCCTCAAGTAAAGCTCCAATATGACACTAAGATGAGGTTTGCTTCCTAAGATGTTTCGAGTTTCTCTCTGAGTTTGAAATGTCATCTACTTTTTCTCTCTCTGTTCTTTTATTGTCTTGCAGGTTTACTCCATATGAGTGGTACAACCCTCATCCATGCAACCCATCCTCCACTCTCATACAGAACAATTTCACTTTACTCAACAGTTTCTGGTTTGGAGTTGGGGCTCTCATGCGACAAGGTATTTATCTCACAGTCAAAGGGATTTGAATCAGTATTTTTGTGTGGATTGAATCATTACTTCTATGTGGAAGAGGTTGAAAAAGCACCTGAATAACTGCTATGCCTGTGTTCTCAGACTTTTTTTAGGATTAGACACACACACAAAAAAAAAAAAAAAACATGGGGTGCAGATGGCCTAGCGGTTACCATAGCTCACGCCCGATGTACGAAGGCAATAGTCCTAAAGTAGGCGGCCGGTGTTTGAGTTTGACCTGTGGGTCCTTTCCTAGATGTCATTCCCCATGAAAGCTACACATGAGTGACGTCACTCCGGCTTCGTCCATTAACATTTACAGTCTATGGTTTTAGATAAGGTAAAGTCATTGTTAAGGTTATTCTATGATGGGGATCTTCATGGAAAAAGACGGTGACTATAGGTTTTTAGTTCATTGTTTTGGTTTTTGTTTATTTTATTTTTTTTGTATTCCCTCTCGTCTGTTTCCTTTCTGTCTCTGGTGCTTTCAGCCTAAAAGCTTTAAGAAATCAGCGAGTAGCTTGATTGGTGTTCTAGTGGACCAGTACTTCTTCTTTAGAACAAAATAAATAATTACTGGACTTTTTACAAGGGATATATATTCTCAGGTAGTGAGAAACATAACTCCTAAAATATCAAATATAGCAGGTTGAATGCGTTACTAATAGCAACGACTGCAAAGGCCAATGCGCTCTTGCTGAATAGCTGTCTGGAATCCCTGTACAGCAGTAAAATCTGAACCAACACTGCTCGAAGCTGTTTGAATCAATACTTGCCTCCAATTTTCAGCAAATGTCTTTTTCATTTAGCCTGGATTCACTCCCAATGAATGGCAAACAGGCCCCGTCATAAGAATTATGTTGCAATTCACTTGGAGTTGACCTCCCCTAAGGCGAGAGATTTGGGCTAGATAAGTCCCATATGTCTGATTGGACGAACGACAAACCTACTGACAACACCAATTCACTACAAAATGATGATTCAGATGAGATTCAGATGACTTGTGCTGACAGCTAGCAACATTTGTCAAATTAAGGTGAACAATGTGAAGGCCTTTACCTTTTTTTCTGATGCAAACCAGATTACTGATAAAGATACAACATCCCTGTTCCTGCTGATGAGGTGTTATTCATAATAGAATCCATCATCTTATCCCAAACAAGCTCAGACAAGTATTACAGTGAATGTAATGTAAGTGATGGGTGGCATGCCCACATGTCGGTGGTGTGTAATTTAGCTGTTTGCTGTCCTTGAGCTCTCCTGGGACTCTGTGCCTGAGAATAACTGACCGTTATGTAAACAATTCTCCCTGATCTGTTCTTTACTCTGAGAGAGAGCACTTAAGAATATGTCTACTCCATAGGGAGAAAGCATAAAATAGTCCAAACTTATCATAAGAGATGAAATGATTGTGTCCTTCAGTTACTTCATCGGTTGTCTTTGCTTTCCTCTCTGCACGGATAAAGATACATAAAGAACAGAGAACGTTGTTCCTTCACTTTAATGTTGTGTTGCATTTTTTTTTTGGTATGTTGTGTTCCCTCATTTCTTCATGTTCAGCTTTGTTTCTTCTATCACTTCTTTCAATGTGTCCTTTTTTGTTATGCCTGCTTTTTCCACACAAATCTGTTCTTTTTTAACTCTGTTTAAAAACAAGTATTACAGAGAGAGAAACTACACACACACACACACACACACACACACACACACACACACACACACACACACACACACACACACAGCCACACTGTATGAAGAGGTGCACAATTTATCATTTCGGGCTTAGCTAGAAATCCAATTGGAGCGTTGGTGTGATTTCAGCTCTAAAGATAACCCCTTTAAGACCTGAGTCTTTGACTTTGCTTTGGTAGAATATAAACGTTTCTCATTGTTTTATGCATTTACGTCCAGGTTCGGAGCTGATGCCTAAGGCTCTATCCACTCGAATAGTTGGGGGCATCTGGTGGTTCTTCACCTTAATTATCATCTCGTCCTACACGGCTAACTTGGCTGCCTTCCTCACCGTGGAGCGAATGGATGCGCCCATTGACTCAGCAGATGACCTGGCCAAGCAGACCAGGATTGAATACGGGGCAGTGAGGGATGGATCCACCATGACCTTCTTCAAGGTAAAACTGGTGTAGATGATTGATCACCTGTGCAGTTTAAGTCACAGTGTGTAGTAACACAGACTTTAGAAGTTATAAACTAAAATAACATGTATTTTGGTTTTAAATATTTAACTTTTCACAATGTAAAAAGTTGTCTTAGAGGAGTATACTCCCTTTCTGTGATCTCAGTCAAACTTGTATGTGAGTATGAGTCAATGTTAGAGTACCATCGTCATGGATCTTTGGCAAACATCCCATAAAAAGGGAAGAATCTAAAGACTTTGAAAAAGAGTTGAAAACATTTAGTCTAATTTAAGGAAACGCATTCATCTAGAGTTGAGTATAGGAAGTAGAGTCAAGAAGATGAATGTTGAGACCTCTTGTGTGTGCGCTTGTCACTTAAACATAGGTTAACTTTTTAGTTTCTATCATAAAATGTATCGCTGCGCTGAAGTCCTCTGGCAGGGCTGTCACTTCCTTCCCCCCCATTGCCCCACACTCTCCTTGCATCCTGGTGGCTCAGCAGGGGTGATCCATGGAGGGCTTTATCCTCCCAGATTGCAGCCAGTGATTACGGCTGCCTGGGTAGGAAGAAGCAGGCTGTGTTGATGGCTAGAACAAATTGAATCAGCTGGAGGAGATTAAGAACACAGCTGTCCCATTTTCTCTGACTGAGCAAGAAGAAACACACACACACACACACACACACACACACACACACACACACACACACACACACACACACACACGTGTACACCAAGACACACACACCCTCAAAGAAAGATAGAGTCTCACACATCCTGTATGCAAACTTACATGTGTTTACGATGCTTTTTAGAGTAGAAGTGCATACATGGTGTGTATAAGTGCAGCCACCAAAACATGTAGCCTGTGTGATTTCAAAGTCATTACACTTCTCTCTAACTTTGGCAGAAATCAAAGATCTCCACCTATGAGAAGATGTGGGCGTTCATGAGCAGCAGGAAGAACACGGCTCTTGTTAAGAACAACAGGGAGGGCATCACGAGGGTCCTGACCACAGACTACGCCATGCTGATGGAGTCCACCAGCATCGAATATATCAGCCAGAGAAACTGCAACCTCACTCAGATCGGAGGTCTGATAGACTCAAAGGGCTACGGAGTGGGAACACCTATTGGTAAGCAGAAGATGATGTGATATTATGATACTCCTAAACACCATCTGTGTTTGTCAGAAAGCTCTGCAGTACATTCTAGACAATCACTGTTTGTTTGTTTTCAGTTTAGTAAAAGCAAGCCTTACATAGGTCACATTCATACATGTTTTCCAAAATGCTAAAATGCACTGAAGGTTTATTAAAAAAACATTTGAATAGAGCCTTCGTAATTAAAGATACAAACTTCATTTTGTTTGGACTTTGTATTTTCATTCTTCAGGAGTTTCAGTTCAGAGCTGCTCTCCTCAACATGCAGATGCACTTCCATTAAAAAGCTCTGCCAGCTGTTCAGAGCAAATGTTCAAGTGAGATTTCAGGCCAAAACGTAAACTGGAAGCAAGTCAACCCACTGGACCGCAGGCGCTACTGTTGGATGTTTACTTAAGCTGTTTTTAACATCCTGTGTCTCTCATGTGTTTACTCTCATCCTCACTAGAACTGTGTTTTTTTTTCTAACGTCCTTTTCTAGTTCATCTTAAATTATTCTCCTCCTCAGTTGTCTGACTCACTCTAGAGTTAGTAATTTATTTTAAATCTGGGGTAGTTTAACTGAGCACAACCTGACCTCACCTTAAACAACCTCCACACAGGCATTAGTTAGGCACATCCAGGTACAGGGCAAACTTTTAAAGGTTTTTGACACAACAATGGCAATAATGAGTGTGAGGAAATCTCCATCCAGTGTATATTTGTAATAACCAAGACATATATATGGACTGTCAGTAACTTTAGCATCGTCATTATACCACAAATTAAAACATCCGGCTGCATTGTAAATTACAATTTTGTTTATATCAAAATATGAGCATTCGCACTGAACACATCACAAAAGTCTGAATTTATCGCTAAAAATAAGAACAATTATTTTATGTAAACAAGTAAAGCTTTCTCACTCGGCATGCACGCATGTTGCATATTGCATGGAGGCCTGAGTATGATGGCCATGCGTTCACACCATTTTCATGCAGTCAGATGAAGCTCAGATAAAATACTGGCTATATTGAACACACATCGCATTTTTTTCTCATGTTGCTCAGACCTCATTCGCTCTGCTCTAGATCTAGGTAGAGTAACAGAACTATAGAAATATTCATCCTGACGGAAACATCTGTACAAATGACTTCTTATGGGATTTACAACAGATGAATGCACAATTATTTCAAAAGGTGTAAAAGATGTGTTAATGTGTTGAAGAAGCAGAGCGAGATTTTCTGGCACAACGTCACCAACTACCAATGTGCATGATGAGTGAAAGGCTTGAAGAGGTCAAACATCTCCAGCAAACACTTGTAGTATGAAGATCAACTTAATTAACAAATCAGACCAACGTGTTTAAGCTTGTGATGAAGGCATGTTTGTTTCAAACAGAGAATACCAGATAATTCCTCACAGCAGTGTCCTGACATAAGGATGAGTTTGTTGGAGTTGAAATATTTCGAGAATCATTAGCAGAGAGAGAGTTGTTCCACTCAATGCAAGCAAGCCGATGGACAAACTTGTTGATTCGATGGCTGTGGCTCTGGCCCTGCTGGGTACGCTCTGCGGTGCAGGATATATTGATGGCCATCGCATAATGGACGATATCTGCAGATGGAAAATGAGCAGATCTTCAGAAAGTTAAGCTGGCACTGACCCCTTTCGTTGTGGGCAGTGGGTGCTGCTTATCCATTCCAGTGTGATATTGAGCTGTGGGTGGTTTCACCCACATCATTATTCTGAATTCAATCTGGAACAAACTGCAAGAACAAGCTTGCCTGATCCATAGACCGATGCTCTGCGGGCCACTGGGTAGAGTGATGACTTTGTTGAGAAAGCTGCCCTCAGTTAGAGTTCTTCCCTCCAATTACCTCAAGCCTTTTTCTGTTGCTTGATGTGTCTGACATAATTTTATCCACAGCACAGGTTCAGAATTAGGTTAAAGACATACCTTTAAAAGAAGCACAGCTAAGAGGAACACCTCTTAAGCACCCTGAGGCTGATGCCCTCAGGGCAGATGCATCCATACCTTCGCTGGGCTGACAGCTCAGTCTATTGGAGGTGGATTGTGGAGGGGAATTTGTTAGAGGAGTTCAATGGGCTGAAGCCTCTTTGTCAAACCTAATAAAAGTGGTTTAATTCCTTCATCTCTTTGACTCTCCAACTTCTCCTGCAATTACTTGAGATCTGATTTGCTCATGGGTACTGATGGTTTACTAGCCTCTGCCTTCCTGCCTCGTCTTGTTCAGTTAGAGTTTCCTCTCCCTCTTCCTGCAGCTGATCTTCCCCTGAGCTGTCCTCTCTGTCAGATATATGAGTGTCTACTTCTTATTCTTCCTTCCCTCCTTCCTGCAGCCTTTTCTCCCCTCATATCTTACATCTATGGTTCCAGTCTGTCACCTCAGAACAGTCTCATCATTCTTCTGTGACCACTTCCTCACAGTTCTCACAGGCTGTAGCTAAAGCTTTTTCATATAAGGCTTAGTTCTGCCTCACTAAGCAAAGCTTGCATATAGGAGGAGCATTTCACCTCAGCCAAGATCAGTTTGTACTGCAGCAGATACAAGTTAATCCTGGCGTGTGTATTGCATTAGGTCAAGTGGATTTCTTAACCTTATATAATAGAGAGTATAGAATTATATAACCTAAAATTACACATTTTCCTCAAAGGACTTTAGAGTTTAACACCTCCAGGTAAAGATAAACCAGGATCAGTAACATTTCTGAACATTTCTTGCAGTAGTGGTTGAAATAGAAGCATTCTTAAGACTACTAAAAAGGAGAGCACAAATGTATTTTTTTTACATAAGAGCGCAGATCTGCAGTGCTTCTTGAGATACATTTGAAATAACAATAAACCAATGCAGATTTTGAGTTCTATATCCTAAAGATAAATGTATAGACATGCTTCCTGTCACAGATGTTAATTCTGTTCTCGAAGCAAAGGCTTAAAACGTGAAGTTGAAAATGATTATGCTATGCGGGTTGCATGCCATACTGCATTTGATAAACGTGGAATATAAATGTTTTTTTTAAGGCAAACACTTACAGACTGTAATTATTCTTATCCTCACAGGTTCGCCTTACAGGGATAAAGTGACCATCGCCATCCTCCAGCTGCAGGAGGAGGGGAAGCTGCACATGATGAAGGAGAAGTGGTGGCGAGGTAACGGCTGTCCAGAGGAGGACAACAAGGAAGCCAACGCTCTGGGCGTGGAAAACATCGGCGGCATCTTCATCGTCCTGGCTGCCGGTTTGGTTCTCTCTGTGTTTGTGGCCATCGGGGAGTTCATCTACAAAGCCCGCAGGAACGCCGACATAGAGGAGGTGAGTGGGGAAAAGGAGCTGCTGAGGAGACTTAAATGTATTTTTTGTCATACAGTAGAGTACCTGGTCTCATTCAGTTTAGATTATTTAAAATCACAATCAGGAGAAATCAGAAAGTATATGCTAATTTATTCCCACGCACATTTCATTGTTGGACACTAATAAATCTTTTAATTAAAATGGTCAGAAGATGTTTGCTGTGTCAGAATTAATTTGTTAAAACACATTTGTTATGATTTGCACTTGGTTTGGTTTTAATAAGAACAAAAAAGTCCCCAGATGAATTTTCAAGACGCAATGTAATTAAGATTAAAATGAAGTATGGGTAATAGATTTTAATTATAGAAGAAAACAGGCTGATATGTCATTAATGCTGCATCATGTCTGCACTCCCATGATTTGCTTCCTGATTTTTGGTGTTATTCTTTCCATCATTGTTAAGAAAGAACATTTTCATTCCTAATATTAGTTGGTTTGGCCTCGCTTTCATGTCCTAATATGCTCTGTTTTCCATTTCTTATTGTCATTTCACATCAAATTATTCAATTTTTTTTGTTTTATGTTCTCATTTCTTTTTTTTCTCTTTGCTGTTCTTTTCTTTGCATGCTCGTGTCAGGCTTTTTGTTTCTTTTATGGGGTGCAGTCCCGTCAGTTCCAGCGGAGAGGCTCCACCTCCTCCTCCGGCACTTCCTTATCCACTGATCTGGAGAGCGGCAGGCTACTGGGAGATGACACAGACTAGCCATGGCAGCACATTTACAACACATTCATACATAGATGATAGGTTTGTAAGTGAAGGTGTCCTTCTCTCTGCCCCTGTCTTGCCACAGTCACCACCGCCCGAACACCTTCAGTACCTTATCCTGTGCTCAGCTGCTCACACTCCTTCCCTGAAAAGTGTCCCCTTTTTTATTGGTTTCAAATGTTTTCAAATGTTTTTATATTGTGCTAAGACCAAAAGTTAAAGATATAATTTAACTTGATATTTTAGGAATGACCTAACTTGTTCTACAGCATAAACATTTTCAGGCATTACAGCTTCATATGAGACCAACTCCAATAACAACGATTGCCAAAAAAATACTAATAATTGAAAACACTTGTGTCTTCTGGAAAGGTTTTTTTTAATTGCAAGTTATAAAATGCAATGTGTGAGTCCCCTGTTTGGTTTATTACCAGCAAAAAAAAATATTAAAATTCAGGATCTCTGCAAAATGTGGCACTCTAGTTCAGTTTGGAGCTCCTCTGTGCTGCCCTGCTGACTCTCTCGCTTGCAGCCTTCCAATACCAGCCCACAAGTTTTTCTTTATTCAATAAGTCTGTCTCAGTAGGCACTTGAGTACACTTTAGAAGCAGACTTAGAATGCCTTGAGGGAAATCAAAAGATAGGCATACGGTTTTGAATATTTTCCCCCTCATTAAGCTCGTTAGCAATGTGGTTTGGTCGGTTAAAATTTAGATAACAAGGTGAAGGAACAACCCAAATGTGTCTGGTTAAGACGTCCCCTGACAACAGATCCAGTGCAAAAGTAAAGTTGTGATTTCATTCTAGCGGCTGCAGGACATTTTAACTGTAGTGATGATGGATGAGATCACAGTGAGATATACAGACTCTCAAGGTCCTCACTGCTCCACTGGACTGACCTTGTTATGAAGTTAGAAAAATAACATCTCTCACATGTACTAAGAAACACCAACAATTTATTCTGCTAGTTATCGCAAATATTAACGATCACAATGAGGAATAATTAATGGCACTGTCGATTAAAAAAGACAATGATTTAAACAACCTAAAGAATAAAAAAGATAATTTATTGGATAAGATATTAATTAGGATAAGATACACGTAATTGTCCCCTTTTTTTTCTTGGACTCAAAACACTCAGCTGCTTCCACTAGAATCAATAAATAAATAAAAATAGAAAAAACACATCCACATGTAAACAGAAAGGTACATACCAATGCAAAATCACACAACATACTGTATATTGCACAAGGTCTGCAAAAACACAGCATGAGAGATAAGATAACAAAGCTAAAAGAATATAAAAACATAGAAACACCATGATGCTATTGCACAACCTGCACGGCATTCAAAAATGTGATCCCTAATTTGATTGATGTAGGATCAAAAGAGTTCTTAAGGCGGTAATTGGATGGGATGTTTTGAGTCTGTGATGTTTCTGTGTCTTACGTAGAGTCTCCATTAGTAGACCTGTGCTGCTGAATGATTCTTAATTCTTTATTCCTCTATATTAACAGTAAAATGATCTGAAGTTAAAACTTTGGTTTTGGTTCCTGTTTGTAGGTTTCAGGTTTCGTGTTGTACCAAGTCTCTAAATGAGCATTGAATCTTCCGTTTCCTCCTCTTTCTCAGACTTAAAGTCCAGAGGTTGATATCAGGTAGCTTTGCTCACTGACACTCAGATTTACTGGTATTTGTGGGAAACCCTGCAGGAAGCTGAATTCAATTGAGAAGCCTTAGGCGGGGGCCGAGGATGAAAGAAGGAGATCTTCCAAGGTCCTTTAGGTGCTAAAAAAACAACAGATAGAAAATGTGATGACGTCGTGTTGTGAATGATCATTTTTGTAAATAAATTTAGTTTGCGACCCCCTCTGGAGAAGGAAAACTGAAAAGGAGAATAAACATGACTGAAGATGAATGAATACGATGTATTATTCTGCTGAATGGAATGAGACGCTCCGCTCTTTGGTCATTTAAAATGATTACAGCATGAATTCACAGCTCCCTTTATTAGTATGTGGCACAGCATAGACTGTTCTTCATCTTTTGTTTGTGTAAGTCTCTTTCATTTTGTATAAAATGACAGTCCTGGTGTTTGTCTGGTTGGACTTTTGAGCTGGCTGGAAACACCGACCGAATCTTATAATATTACCTCCAGAAAAAACTGTGAAGAGCAAAGCCGTAAGTCAATGCTGTATCTAGCATTTGCGCAGTTGATCCAGTTATTGTGTCGGCAGTTTGATGACTTTTCACTTCATGGTGAAAATTCCTGATGACTTTATTGGAAATCAGCTCTATTGATGTATTGAAGCAAGCCTTTGTTGTTTTCTCTTTGGCAGTGCAAGTCCTTTAGCGCCATGATGGAGGAGTTGGGCATTTCCCTGCAGTGTTACAAAGGCGTCCGGAGGAGGTCGCGGCCCCACAGCGTAGCAAGGTCTGCTTGTATCTTCTGTCAACCCAAACGCACGCCAAAGCAAGAGGGAGGGAGACGGGACTCCAGCACGTGAGCCTTGGAACTATAAACAGTTGGAACATAGATCAGAGACTGACTTTTGATCACTTTCCACTCCTCAGATTTGTTTGTGGAAGACCAGAGGATATGATACGCCCCCCCCCCCCCCCCCCTCATAATCTTCTTTATACTGTTTGTGTATGGATAAAACATAAAGCTTTCTATTGTAGATGTAGTAAACAGAGTCTAGGCCTTGTATCAACATAACTGATGTTAAAACAGGTGATGACTACGTGAATGAAAGCTCTCTCATAGTGTTACTGTTCCCTCATGGCTGTAAGTCACTGTTCTGAGCAGTTTGCAGAGTTGAATCTGCACACTTTATAAATACTCCCATCTTGTAAATGTGTGACAACTTCACTGATTTTCAGAGTAAAAATGTTTTTGCATTTTTTAAACCGATGTGCGATTTACTGTTTTTTTGTTGTTCATGGTTTTGGGGCATGTCTCTTTGTGTGCCCACTGGCAGGCTGAAACGTAGCTTCAGAGCAGTTTGCTGAGCCAACCCTGGCCAGAGAAAAGAGATAAGGACCCCTGAGGAAAGTCAGGAGCACACCTGCTGTTTTATACCCTTCAAGCCCCGACATCACAGACACACACTGCCTCACAACACTTGTCATCCGGGTAAAATATAGCTGTCTGTGCACGAGAGGAAGAAAATGATACAGAGAGAAGGAAAGAACAAAATGAGAAGCAGGTTTTTTTTCCTCTCTCTCTTTTTGTACGCATAAAATTCTCAGGAGGTCAAAGACAACGCACGATTTTCTTTTTCCCTGGGGAGTAAAAGTCTTTTCTGTTTGCAGTCGTCGAATTTGAAAGCCTGGGGGGAGATTGTGTCTCCAAGTCGTGACAGTGGTTCTCTGTGGCTGTGTGCATTTATGAAAGAGTAAAGATTCTCTTAACGTACTCGACAAGGTTGGGCATACATTTTAGAAACCTTACCCACCTGCCGATATGAGGAGCATTATAAGTTATGGTGAGAGAGATTATGATCCATAGATAGAACCACTATATCATAGATCATGAAATCTTTATGTCGACAGAAATCACTTACACAAAAGTGTTCCTCCTAAAATGTTCCTTGTTAAAAAAAAAATAGAAACATACAGGCGTAAAGATCTTTCATCAAAGGGACATTTGAGTACATTATTAATGGATGTCAAATCACTGTTAATGGTTAATTAATTACAATGAAGCATTAAACACTGTGTTTACTTATGACAGGAAACTGAGTTTCTACTCTTGAACTCTTCCAGCAGTGCCTTCAAGTACCAGGATGCATAGCACACTTTCAGCTGTAGCGTTGGCCTTTCTTTAAAAAAAAAAGAACAACACTAAATATCTAAGTCAGCCAAATGTTTCCTCATCATAACATTATCTGTATCTAAAGAGGAGCATTTGCGTTAAGCACTTAACATACCCCTGATATGAAGATTGTAGGAGTTTTTACAAAAAGAAAAAAGCCATGTTTTCTGACTCAGCATGCATACAATTGAACCTGTCTGACAGAGCCCTTTGTATAATGGACATGCTTTCACAACATTTTCATGCAGTCAGGTAATGCTCAAGCTAGCTTTCTGCTACCCTCAGAATAATTGGAGCCAATTTAGTGGTGGGGGAAAAAAAGCTTTTCAGATTCATTTTGGATTCAGGAGGGACATGTTGTAAACAGGAAGAAACAGGAAGAACAGCAGATAGACATAGAAACTGAGTAATTGCTAATTAAGGTTTTCGTTTTTGTTCATCACATTTCGTATCCTGAGCACAACATCAAATGAAAGTATGAGACATTGCCTAGTTTTCTTTTTTCATGCAGGTCTACTTTGTATTCATGTTTTTAATTCCTTTTGTATCTGTTTGTATCTCACTTTTGAAGCTAGTTGACATTTCAAACAAAAGCCGATATACCACAAATACAAGTTGAGATAGTTTGTTCTTTATTTTAAATTTCAAATGACAGCACCGATGCCAGAAAAAAACATACGACGGACACAGACCACCTGCAGTGACTTATAGATTTTCTCGCAATATTTACATTGCCGGAAAAGCAGCTGTGGCACAATCACCTCTCTGCAGCATGAACACAGAGAGCATTAATTCATATTTGCATTAACAAATCCTTCAAAGCTTCATGTTGCAATTGGAGTTCTTATATCCTGAGGTTGGCTTTCATCTAATCACGGAGAAGGTATTGAAAAATCACAGTTCACTAATGCTCTTCGTCTTTGTCACCTTTAGCCCTAACCTTTGACCCTCGTCTCTTTATCATCCCATACACAGAAGTCCTTCTTTCATCTCTTTAGTCTAAACATACAGCTGTCATATTTGGACATACTACACAATTGTATTCCCCACATTTTAGATATCCTGCCATCAGTAAAATTATAATCAAGTATGGGTGCAAATCAGTCCACACAGGAAATGCTTATGAAAGTGTAAACATGACCAAATGATGGTGAAAAAAAAACCCCGAATAATAACAGAGGGGTAAACAAGGAGGAGATCTGAGTACAATTCATCACCAATAATGTCGGGAATTACAGAGCAAACCTCTGGATCTCAGCTTTTACCAGCTAATGCTTTGACATTTCAAAGAGGAAAGAGCGATAAATTGATATTAACACTTAATAAAATATGTGTGTCAGAGGTTTTGTTGTGACATTTCTCTCCGTAGTGGATGGTGTGCATCCTGAGAGAACTGGACCGAGCTTTTCTTAATCTCTTCATGTAATGAGTTTTCTCTTTTTTTGGTATTCAGATTAATTCTGGGATTGGGCTCCAATCCAATGCCGTAGTGCTTGCTTGTCTCTAATCTCCTAACCCCATAATTCTTAATCAAAACCAAAGTCAGTTTTTTTTTTTTGTCATCATCTAATCCGTCATGGATTACAATTCTGACCTTGGCATCCTGTACAGCTGAGCAGGACCTCCTCCCTCCCTCTCTCGTAACCTAAAATGACCTCACCTGAAATATGTCCTTCCTCATGTTGGATGTGTCTTTCTTCACCTGCATGTCCTTGTTTTTGTTTTCAGCCACAGAAACTATCTGTCTTGAGTGATTCTAAAACACAGAGACAACATCCTTAGTGTTGGAGAGGTGAGCAGAATGTGGCGAGATAAAGGGATAAGGCATCTGTCTGTTTGTGCCTTTGGTAAGAAGGGTAGAGATTATATTCCATTCTGCGAGACCTCTTGCACAGACAAGGAGAAAAAGATTGTGCGAAAGGAGAGAATGGGAGATTCAGAGACAGCCAAATAGAAATCTTGATGTGATACTTTTTTTCTTTTGGCACTTTTTGCATAAAACAAACTGCTTCATCACGAAGCTCTTCTTGCAGATTTTCTACCTCTCAGCATATCTTAAATCTCACATTTAAATCTCTCAAACCTGTCAAATCTGCCTCCCGATCACTGCACAGGGCTCTCAGCTGTACATGCGAGTACAGAGGAATCAAATCTGCACTCTGATTCCAACAGAAAAGAGTGGCAGACGTTTGAGTGCGTCCCATCCATCACAATGAGACGAGCAGTCTCCAGGGCTGATAAGGCAGGTCTGTGTCAACAGCCTGTCAATGAAGACAAACGAGGAGGAGGACGACTCCTGGAGGTACATAGCATCATTTATCTCTCTCTGTTTGTCTCCCTGAGTCTCTGTCTCTCTCTACTAGCGTCTGAAAGCCTGGCAGTAAAAATTTCAGGGGCAATGCTCTCATCTGCTGGTGTGCAGGTGAAGTGGCCTTACAGATAGAAAAAGACACTGAATAAATCAGAACGAGAGGACTTGAGCACTTTTTCTCTGAGAGAATCACAGGTTGTAACTTATGGCTTTTATTGTATACTTCTCTAAAGACTTGCTTAGCTGGAAAAAAAACTTTGCGATGACCACAGACAGACACACGCACACATAGACACGCACACACATACATACACGCACACACAGTATAAACAAACAGATGCTCTATTTATTCCTCCGCAGCAGCAGCTTTTATAACACGAGAACTTCATTCTGAGCAACTGCCTCATTGCACAGCTATTGCACAGCCGAACACCGTCCCAGCGGTATGACCGTGTCACTCAAAGCGGAGCCGGCGCTATGAGCATTTTTGCGGGCTACTGTCATGTCATCTGAGACATTTAATTGGAGCCGGGCCGCCACGGGGAGACAGCGGGCGGCATTCCTTCTCAGCCCGAGTCCTGTTGTGTTGCTATCTGCCGCGTGTCTGCTTGTCCGTGGATAACATGTCCAAAACCCACGCAGAGCTGAACTGAAGGAGAACGCGTGACTGGAGAGCGGTCGTTTTGACTTTGATTGAAAACTTCTAAACAAAAAAAAAAAAACAGCTGGAGACTCGAAAGAAAGTGGAAGTCCGCTTTTTTTTTGGGAGAGAGAGTTTCGTCATAGCTTCTGAATTTGCGCAGAGGAACTTCGGCTGAGTAACTTCTGAGACATCGAAAGTGGCCTGACGGAAAACAACGACTATCTATCTTAAGGACTTTTAACTGTTACCTGATTTTTAACCATTTCTTCGGATTTCTTGGGTCGGGTTCGTGTGCTTCAGGTAAACTAACCTGTTGGCCCAGCTATTCGCTGCATGGTGAGGATAGTCCATGTTCACATCACCACACTATCGTTGTCATGCAGTACATGTATCAAGGCCTATCATGTAGGATATATACATGTTTTAGTCTCCATAATAATTGTGGATTGTATACCTTCAACGTGCACTTTTAGACTCCTCAACTCACAGTGATGTAAAAAAAAACAACAAAAAAACAAAAACATTCTTCAGTCATTGTCCACAAAATTTGACCTTCCAACTCTGTCTAGCAGCCAAGAGAGACGCACATTTAAAAAAAAAGTGCTTATTTGCTGATGCAGAAGGTCATTTAGACATGTTGTGTGGGGCAGGGGGTTTAGCGGGGTTAAAGCAGGCAAATGTCCTGTTATAAAAAGCCGGTGCATTCACTGGAGGGGGGCATGCAAAATCCAGACCTCAGAGTCAGTCTGTCAGAGCTCCCTAATTATTTCATCCCAACACATGCATAAATGCATGATGAAACTGGCTGCTGTGTGTTTTATTAAGGCAGCATACTTTAATAGGTCGGGTTTGATAGGCTGTTTTATTTTTAAGGCTAATTTCAACAGAACTTTGCACTTGGCAAGTTTATTTTTCTTGGTAAAAGTCATAAATTAGCCTACTTGTTTGGATGGGAAAAAAACTTTATTTCCTTCTTCTAGGGCAGATTGGACACATTCTACATACAATATAGTCGGTGTAACGAATGTATATGCAAATAATGCATCTAACAATCGGTTATTTGTGCTGAAATTGTGAGGGAAAAAAAATTCACAGAGACCTCGATGGAATTTTTAAATTGTGTTATGTTCAAGCAACAATTTAGAACAATAAACATAAACTAAACAACCCAAAGAGAGTCAATTAACAGTGATCTAAAACGGAGATATTGTGGAAATCAACACATTTATATAGTTGAAGGTGATTTTTATGAAGGTGTCTGTCAAAAGCTGTTGGTTATTTTTGAAGTTACTCAACATATTTCGCCATCCCTCATCTTTAATGAGAGCCTGTTGATTGTGTTAACAGCTCTGTTTTGTGCCTGCGGCTCAAGGGATAAATGATCACCTCAACCAGAAGAGTGTCTCCCGATAAATCTGAAGTAAGAATCGCCTTCAGCCTCGACGACACATCAGGTATACACACACGCATACGGTAGCCATCCACACACGAATGCCCTACATGCACCTGCGCTCCTCTACCATCGCACACTGATCTTAAAACTTACTTGGAGTTTAATTACACGCATTACTCAACTGATCATTTAGTGCGTAAGCTTGGGGCTCTACTCTCGCTGTATTTCCAGTATGTGTGGAACACATGCACAACATTCTTCCCACCAAAACAGACCAGGCACAATCTGCCCCCCCCCACACACACACACACACACACACACACACACACACCATATCACTTGAACTGTGTTCATTCTTCGAGGCTGTAGCTGAGACAGGTGCTCCCTCTATTTCTGTTCAAATACAACTTCACATGCATGTGATTGTGCATGTCTTGTTAAAAGTGCAGTTTTGCAGCTTTTATACGACTATAATGTTTCATTCTTTAATATTCAGTCGAAACGTGCACATCTTTCATTGTCACTCCCTTTCGCACCAATCTCAAAGGTCTACCTGTGATCTGACGACTGTCAGTCAGGATGTTTTACTGCAGTGGGGCCCGGCACTGGGACAGCAGCTGCAGCTATGCAATGGCAGAGTCAAGTTTCCCCCTCTAATACTAACAGTCTGTCCCACTGCCTGATTCACTGTTCAGCTTTTAGAACTCTGGCCTATATTTATAAGCAGTTAACACTTCCAGTCCTGCTCCACCCATCTCTGATCCCCCTTGTCTTTCTCTTAGGAGGTGAGATGAAGGGCTGCAGTTGGAGGGACACACTCAAATCCCACACAGATTCAAGGGATGACATTCTGCTTATCATCTTCACAAAGACACTTTCCCTGAATTGCCTCATTTTCACATCTAAATAATCAACATAATGTTTTTTTTTCTTTCTAGCTAGATTATTTGTCTTCCATCAATAATCCAAAAGAAGACCGGAAAGCACCGTAGATCTTGTTTTCAAAAGGCTTCTCCTTTTTTTTGTGTGATTCTTAAGGGTCACAGTGACTGCATCGTGTCTGATTTAGTTGGCAGCATGATAACATGACTTACTTTGAGTGTACTTGAAGCTTCAGAGTTGCTAATGGTAACTCTATCCCTCACCTCCAGAATCAGATGTCCCCCCCCCCCCAGCCTACGACCATGTTGTCGTCTCTTTGAACTTGTGTTTCTCAGCATGGGGACTGAGACCCGCGCTCTGTCCGGGGATCATCCTCTAGGCCCTTCATGACTTCATGCCGGGCATACTTATAACCCCATGCTGTGTGGATCCTGAGCATGAGAACTGTATTTATTCCACATCATAATTGCCCCCATGGCTGCAGGCTAATACTTCTTCTTTTAGACGGTTGCATCATCCCAGGATTCTCCACATGTGTTCCACAACTCCAGGGGGACATTACTGGCGAGGCAGAGGCTGGTGCAGACAACCTGTCTGTATTTGTCTGTCTGAATCCCTCTCTGTCCATACATCTGGCTCTGTCTGTGTTTGTCTGTCTGTTCACATAGTTCTTTCTCTGTATTCTGTGTCGCCCCCCCCCCCCCCCCAGCCTGACAGCTAATTACTTCTGGACAGTAAGAGGACATGGCTCATTCATAAGTTTAGCACTGTGTTGCCATGTTGTGGTGTCATATTAGAGGCCTCTATAGTGTTTCATTTTGAGCCTTTTTATGAGGTGAAGAAAGGTATTAAAGCAACTGCCTGTAGGACAAGTCACTTGGCTGTACGTCAAGGACATGCAGCAAGCAATATTTATGGAAAAAAAAGTAAACCCAAAAGCTGTCATTATGAATTCACTTTGTCCTTCAACAGTCACAGTTAAAATGATAGATTATTGTGTGCCTCTTTTTAAACAACATACCTCATGATTACAACACTTTGTTTTAGTCTATATTGAAAATAACAGCTTTCTTCAGTGCCTCAAATATATGAATGCTGTCCCTGAATGCAGGTGTATCACAACATCATTCCTAAATAAAAGACATAAGAGGTAGATTTATCAGAATAGTCTCTGTCTCACAAGTTTCAAGTGTCTGAAGGAGAATCGTAATACTAATACTTAAAGGATCACTATTATAGATTAAACCATGTGTTTACTTTAGCCCAGAGCAGACAAACCAATCACAGGCTCTTCAAAGAGCTTTTGTCTTTTGGAGAGTTCTGCATTTTCCTTAAGTTCCACTCGTCCCTTCAGAAGAGAGGTGGATGTGGAGGTTTATGAGATGGCTGCATTCTGCAAAATGACCATCAGATGTCACTTTATCCTACTTTCACTCCTTCAATAAAGTGAAAGTAAAGTAAACAAGTACTTCTGTCATCGAAAACTGTTCAACATTTGACCACTTTTCATCAGGGGTAACATTAGATTGAACTGTATTTATCTAACAGCCAAAGTTGATTCTTACTTTACACACAAAGATTTCATACAAAATGGTATTCATCTTATCAAAAGAAGCATTTATAAAGAATAAAATAATCCACAACATGTGAAAATAATATCCCCAACATGTGTCACTTACATGTTTTAACAATGATTAGCTTATGATACAGCTATGTTTATTTTTCCACTGATCAGTATGTTTACTAAATATTTAACATTTGACACTTACAGGTGACGTTTTGCTGATTACATTATTGTCCTGTTGTAATGTTTGTTTTACTGACGTTTGTCTTCAAGCATAACACATTTTACATTTTTCTTTCCTGAAAGATATTTTCTGTTTTAACAGAAGTAAAAGATGTGGAGGATGTCAATCAAACTTTCCCCGATCTTGAGCAGCGATTACAGGTATGCGGTACATGCAGCAGTGTCACATTACATTGGACACACACGTTGTGTTGTCGTCAGAGCAGCACAAGTGAGGACAGGCAGAATATAAAAAAAACAAGGCAGTGACCTACCCTTTTGAAAGTTCATGTCCGATTCTGTGTAATACTGTGTTTGTCATATGCCAGTGGACCAGTCAAACAATGAGAAGCCAAATCATTTCAAACAAAAAGCACTTTCAGATGTTACTTCTAGATTCATCAACCTGGAAGAAAGCTGGCCTGGTGGAGAGAATAAACAATACTAAATATATCCTGAAATAGACTGGACATTACAGGCTGATATAAGCAGTTGAGTGTTAGGGATGATTTTCTCTCAGGCTCTGTATTTTGTTTGTTTTGTTGTTTTTTTTAGGCCAAAGCTGAAGCATAAGGGAAACTTGTGCTTTAGTTTATCAGCCCTGTAAATCAATGTTTTCACTGTGTGAGCTCACCCTGCTATTACAGTTGTCATTGAAATATCCTTCAATGAGTGCCAAAGCCAGGGTCACATAAAGTGCATGTTGGTTTAGAGTGTCAAATGAGAACAGTAGTAGCATGCCATCGAATGATAGCATACATATGCTGTACTAGAGGTGAAAAGGTTTAGGTTTTGCACTGATTTTTATTTTTTATGTTTATTTTCAATGTAGTATATTGACATACAGGTGGTGATTTATGTTGGTCCCTGGGGAATTGAATGGGTCCATAATAAAAAATGAAACTATTTTAATAATTGTATGATTGAATACAGGACATTTCTCACATTTAAGCCTGTACTAATGGGAAAAAAGTGTCCTGTTTAAAATTCAGTTCAATACAACATTGAAGTTAATGTGTTTATTTATATGGATAAAAGCAAAGTTGTTTAAAGGTCACATATTTCGCAAAATACCCTTCACCATGTTTTTCTAACACTAATACATGTCCCTAGTCTGTCTAAAAAAAACCCAATTATAAGAAAAGTCCATCCTCTCCATCTTTTGCCTGTTTCACTTTTTATAACATGTGCGCTCAAACAGGCTGTTTGGAGATTTTCCCTTCATGACATCACAAAGGACAGTAACCCCTCCCCCAGGTGGCTGTCACACCCACAGCTAGCTGTTTGTACTGTCCTCTGAGTCTGCCTTCTCATAATAAACAAGGCATAATAAACATATCATTAAAATAGATGATAATGGTACTACTGGGGCACTATGAGAAAAGTCAGAGAGTCACTTAAGGCAGTGGTTCTCAACTGGTGGCTCTTAGGTGGATTGCAAATGTGTACCTGAAATAAAAATTGTAGCTCAAAAGTCTATGAAAACCTTTGCGTTTGTTTGTTTGGTTTCTTTGTCACAAAAAATCAGAAACTTGGGTTGCGACTTTTCCTGAAGGAGATGTTGGTGGGTCTCAGTAGTGAACCACAGACTTAAGGCATTAGGAATCATCTCCTTTGCAGCTTAGCAATAGACGTGTCAAAGGAAAGGGAATACACATCGGAGCATCCTAAAACTTCCCCGTGGAAAAAAAATGTTGCTCCATATATCAGCTTTAGCTTTGTGCATAGAGCTGCTTGTTCAATGTCATCTTGAACTAATACTGCATCTTTGTGATGTCACATGTTTCTCTGTGACCTCTTGCAGCCCGTGCCCCCCTGTGTTGCACTGAGAGAGAGCGTTCAGGTGTACAAGGAGCACTGCAGGATGGCAAGAGAGTTCCACCAGGTCAAACATGACATTGCTGTGCTTGAGGACCGCAAGTGAGTCTCTCTCTCTCTCTTTGAATGATTTTCACAAACAAAAAAACAAATGGGGAGTCCTAGTGATGCAACATCTGACTCCAGAGCAGACATTTGTGCTAATTTCCCTCCAAGTGTAACGACAGCAGAAAAACAATCCCAGTCTTAGTGTTTGTGCAGGTTGTTTTTTTTACTCCCAGCGTGCACCATTTATTGTGATATTTCTCTATGTTTGGAAGATAAATACTCATATTTCAAAATCCCACTCGAGCTACCTTTGCTAAACAAGCATACACTTTGTAACGGTGCGGCCTGACTATACATGTCAAAGCCAAGATGCATAGAGATGCAGCGCCCAGCTCCACTGCTCACTAGGTGTCTTAAATTGAGGAGTCTTCTTAATACAAACTGCACTGCACTCCATACGATTTATGTACTAAACAGTTCAACACTTTTTTCTTTAGATGCATGATTTTGATATGATGAGGGATTTAAACAACGACTGAGCAGCAAAGCTTGGCGCTGGCTCTCTACACGTCTTGGATGTGTGCAGTGTCTGCGTAGTAAGGATTTTTGATCAACACGTCCACCAGGTGGCACATGTTTATTGCTAACATCCAGTATTGAACACATGATCTACTGAGAGCAGTTTTTTATTAAACGATATTTACACTCCTGATGATTCATGACTTTAAAATGAGATTCATTTAAAATAGAAACAAGCTCAAGAAAGTGTAACGAGTTTCCAGTGTCTGGCTCATATTTGAACAACATAGCACCTTGTTTAGTAAGGTTTCACTCACATCAGACTTTGAAAAGGAGTACTTTGAATTACCTGCTGGATACTTAAATGCACACATATGTACTGCATTTAAGCATGAGTGTAAACCACACACACAGACACACACACACACAGTGCCCACTGTCCCCTGTGCCCTCAGCAGCTGTGGGTAGTATTAGCAAAAGGATTTTCAAGGCCCTCGCTGTTACCCCCACCACTACCACCCACACATTCACAAACTCACACACACATAGGTATGCTCTCACAGATAAAAAAAAACCACACACATACACACACACACACACACACACACACACACACACACATGCACACAACTTACACCAATTGGCAGTTCCTAAATAGAGAGCAGCAGGCAGACTGCTGGGATGTGTCTAGCCTTGAGTTTAGATACGAGCTTGATGGGTCAGGTCAGTAGAAACTCTTGGTTCTCTCTTTCAGGTGTCGCTTGTGCCAACATCTACATTCTCATAAACACACAAAGTCAGAATTAAATGGAAACACAACATGACAAAATGGTGCTTTTACTATACTCAATCCAGGTATCACTGATACTGACATTTTTTATTGATTGAAACAATTAATTCACTTCTGTGGAAGAGAAATATGTGGAGCCAGAACTGCACACTTTGAATAATATTTTATTACTTTAAATATGGGGGAAGTTGACAGCAGAGCTACAGACATGCAGTGTAGTGTTGCAATGATGACAACAGGAACAATACTTTAACACACTGAGAGGGGAATTCCAACATTTACTCACTGTGCTTTTGGTCAGTTACAATCTAAGTGCTAATTGTGTCATGAATGAGGTATTTGAGATGGTTTAATATATTTTGGTGTCCTTCAAGTGGGCAGTGTATGAGATGTTTGGGGCAAATTGTAAATCTTCACAAATTACACAGAAAACACTCTTCTGTTGAATAATGTCAAAAAGGCCAGTACCATTGAGGTCAGATTTATTCATGATACGTCCAGTTTCTGAATGAATGCTTTCAGGCTTAAAAAGACCTCGTCCCTTTTTTTAGGCTTCTGCTGAATACACATGCATGCATGCAGGCACACACACACACACACACACACAAGCATGCATCTACACATTGGCAATTGTATTATAATTTTGTGTGTCAGAATGTTTAAGAAAATTTAAATACAGAACTGCCTGCATACTAAGGATTAAATTACAAGAAATGTTTAAAACCCAATACACACATTTTCCCCTAAAGAGTTTTGTATTACATGTATTGATACTTGAAAAGAGGATAACCTTGTGTATATAAAAGCACTGCAGTTATCTTCTTTCACAGTTAGCTCTCTGTAGCTCCATGGACGTCCTGTATTGTAGCCTTAATACTTTTGTTTCTTCTCTTTCTGTGTTGCTGCTGCTGTTATAGTTTGGGATCTCCTCCCGTAACAAAACATTGACAATCACAGTGTGAGGCCATGACACACACATTTTACACACAAGTGTATGTGTGCGTAAGCTCACACTCACTTTCAAACTTTCGTGGTATTCTGCTTTCTGCTCTCTCACAATCCACCATCATAGTCTCTAAAAGAAAACGCTGAAGAAGTACTTGATTTCTTAAGGCCCCTATTGTTTATTCTAGTTGAGAATACATTCACACCTTTTCTCTATTTTAAAAACTATAACATTTTGTTCCACTGCTATGCTGATGATGCACTATTTTACCGACTAGTTTTATGTGGCAGTACCTGCCCACTGGACAACCTTTTAACTGTTAAGATATTTCATTTTGAATGAAGAGGATTTTCCTACAACTTAATAAAGCAACAATATGTAACATTTCCACCTTAAAATAGTAGACTCAACGCTGATCTAATAGGACAATCACTTTCAACAGGGAGAATGGTGTCTATCCCTTTTCCACAGAGCGTCCTGGTCGTCTGCACTCAGTAATATGTCATTTTGGCAGCGGGTCGTTGTTTTCTCGTGAGAGGTGCATACAGCTTTAAGACACACATCTGCTTTAATCTAAAAGGAGGCCAGATAGCACTTCTTGGAACTGTTTGATACAATGGCTGGGGCTTAGAGAATAAAGAGGACATGGGCAGGTGAAGGTAGGAAGATCAGAAAAGAGAGTGACTTTGGGAGAGCTGATAGCCTAGCGGTTATGTCTTGCACCCCATGTACAGAGGCTATAGTCCTCGTCCCAGCGTGTTTGGGTTCAAATCCATCATTGACCCTTAGCTGCATGTCATCCCCTACTCTCTCCTCCCAACATTTCCTGTCTTTCTTTGGCTGTCCTTTCCAATATAGGGCAAAAGGCCCGAAAAATACTACAAGTGAGCGATCAAGAAGCCGGACTAGAATAATTATTGGACAGGCTTTTACACTTTGGCGAGAGCTTGGCAAAACAGTCCCATAGGCTAAAAGTCCAACGCTGAGCTGGCTATGTCAATACACTTTGTTTCCCAGCCTGAATTCCTCCATAATACGGCTTTAACAAGTTGATACTTTTTCACCACATTTAGAATAATCTTGTACTATTAGGTCTAAAGGGCTCCTCTTAGGTCTCACTTTAACTTCTTTCATTCCTTCACTCACACCTCAAATCAAAAGGTGAGTCGGCTTTCTCAGTTGCAGTCTCCCATTTCACAAATCAAATTTAAAGACACCTTTTTTCTCTTGCTCCTTTAATCATTTATACTTTTACCGAGGCAGATTTTAAACCGACTGTAATCACTTCAAAGCAATTTGGTTCAACTTCTGTTGTGTGACTTGAATTATATCTAAGAAACAGTATTGTCTGAGCACCATAATCAATAGACTGTGCTTGCTAATAGCTTATACAGTTCTTTAATCTGTGTTTTACTTTGTAAGCCAGCTCAGCCCTTTCCTGTAAATTTGCTTTGTTTCAATATTTATTTGGGTTTACCTCATTTCCTCTCAAGTTCTTGGACAGCTGGAGAATCCTAATTGCTCAGACATATGAATGTGAATGATGGTTTATTTAACAAGAGATCTGTTTTTGGTGTTTCTGGCCACTGGTAAAAGACAAACTGATGCAGTCTACAGCTGAACAAAAAAAACAGGGAGAGATAGAAATAAAACAAACAGGGAGAGAGTGAATTGTTTGCACTCTGCGGAGAAAAACTATAGTTGGTCAAATATTTCTCTCATTTGTTTATTTAGGCGAAAGTTGCTGGCAGAGCTGGTAGAGGATGAAAAAGTTGCAGTTGAAATCGCCCGTCTAGAGGAGGAGTTTCGGCGTCTAATGGAGGAGAACCGCACCCTGGTGACTGTCCACAACGAGCGCGCTCAGCAGCTGGAGACGCTCTGCTTGACCAGTCGCACGACGCAGGACTCCTCGTGACCCCCGACCTCCACGGAACCTGAGACCTACAAAACATCCAGCTGGACATTCAGGCCAGGAAACCAACCAGAAATAAAGACTCATTCTACAAAACAACAGTCAATGAATCAGCTAAATACACGGAAAGGCGCTGTATTTATTCATGTGTGAGTCATTTGTTTTAACCACAGACTTGCTGTCATCATAAGTGTGAAGCTGTTTGAGTGATTCTACCAAGCTAGGACACAAGGCCTCCCTTTCTGGGTGCTGTTTTCTGTTATGTGATCTCGCAGATCCTTTCAGGCTCTAATACCTCAGTGTATTCAATGTCAGCCGCTGTGAATGTGACCACATATTCTGACATTTTTCTCAGGTCCTGTGGAGACTCAGATCTTTTACCTGAGGTTTGATGAGGGAGCCAAAGGTGGTATGTTGTGGTCCAAATGTCGTATTATGAGGAGTGCCATCCCTACGTATCCCTCCTCTTGCCCTAGCAGTTCCTGTTATTATAAAAGGGGAAATGATTGTTTCAGGCAGCATCGAGGATCAGGGAATTGAAGCCATTTTTGAGGAAGAGTTAAAAGAAGAAGGCTGATTGTTTGTTTCACAATAAGTTTCAGCTGCGACACAACACTGTTGGAGTTGTACATTTTTTTAGATGTCTCATCCACCGGCAGAAGAGGAAGAAAAAAACGACAAAACAACCTTGCTTATCATCCTCGTCTATTAATAAACACATTTTATTTTAACATCCGCATCAGTTCCTTTGTTTCATTTCTCCATGACAGTGGTGTGAACAATGCATAGCTTACATGGAAAGAGGAACTCGTTTTTTTTTTCGTTTTTTTTTCTACAAAAGGAGATTAGCTCATCCTGGAATTATGAAACGACAACTGGAGACCAGTTTGACTCTGAGGCTTCCCCCTTCCTCCTCAAAATCATATGACTGAGTGGCATTAGTACTTTGTTGTGATGACAACTCCACTTTTATATACTTCTCTGCCCGCTGCTATGAAGGCAGGCTGTCACTAGTGTTGTCAACTTGGAAAACATTTGGCAGTACTATTATGCCAACACAGTAATCATGTTGCAGATTTTGTCTGATTACAGTTGAGGACACCTCAAAGCTTCCCCACAAAAAAATAATATTCACATAAAGACAAGAGTTCAATTGCATTTGTTGCAATGGTACAGGTGTTTATTTTGTGTGACTCTTCCAATAATACATGCTCTCTCTCGCTCTCTCTCTCTCTCTCTGTCTCTAGATGTCTTTCTCTGACAGACAGAAACACATACCAAAGACTGAGCTCACACAAAGATATGCCACTGCCTCACAAAGTGAGCAAAACAACAACCTCCTGAGAAATATGAACTTTTAAAACTTCATAGAAGCCTCGCTTTTCTTTAAACAGCTCAGTTTTGCTTATTTGTTTTTATTTGTTTTTAAACTGAATTAACTCAAATAGCTCTTAATCTTCAGTAACTCCACAGATAGAGAGACACACAATAGATGTTATCCTGAGTAATCACGAGGTTTATATTCCCAAACTCCACCTTAATCCCTGCATTGTGTTCAAGGAAAATCTATACAAGTATTTTTCTGGGAAAACGCCTGTCAGTTTACCAGACAGATTCCAAGGGTGGGATTGGTATGGTCGGGAAAACTGCTTGCTCACCCTATATCAGCAGGAGTGCATGAGTCAGCACTCACTCTGTTACACCCAGAGTTGTTGCGACACACACACACAAACACCCACATACACACACTCACTCACTGTCTCTCTCTCCCTCTATTATCTCTCCCTCCCTCTCACACACAGGCCATATGACTGAGTCAAGCTCAGTTTTTAGTTTGTAGCCGTGTTGAGATAAGGCTTTCTGGGAAACACAGCCTTGTTGAACAGCATTCCAGTTAGAAATAACCATGTCGGCTCAACAGCTGGGACTTTCTGAAACGCTCTAAAACACTTGGATATAGAAAGTCATCCTTCTAAGGTAGGCAATGATTCTGCTGTTATTTTTTTTTATCTACAGGCCTACTTTTTTTCTTTTTTTTTTAATTTACCTGATGAGAGAAAATAGTTAACCATGAGCGTGTTCTTTGTGTTAAGTTGTAGATGTCCCTGAAGGCCATGTCTGCGCCGCGCTCGTCTGTGTTTACATTTGAGTCTACAGTTCATTCCTCCCATGTGCTGGGCCGGCTTGACGAGCAGCGTCGCCGGGACACGCTGTGTGATGTTACCGTGGTGGTGGAAGGTCAGAGTTTCAGAGCGCACCGCTCAGTGCTCGCTTCCTGTAGCGAGTACTTCACACACAGGATCTCGTCGCTCACACAGCAAGGAGCGGTCATCAGTCTGCCGCAGGAGGTGAGATGTCATGAAGCCGAACAGATAAAAAAAGTAATCAAACATACCGCCTCACAGCAAATCTGTATGTGAGAAAAGTAATGCAGGGTTTATTCCCTCAACCAGTCTCCACGGTACAAAGATTTAGTGTGGAAGAAAAATAGAATGAAGCTATTTTCCTCTTGAATATTTTCGTGATTTGTGACTGCGTTTTGTTCTTAATGTTCATAATGATTTCAGGTTTTCAAAGCCAAGCAGAACAAAATGTATCCCCCAAAGAAGACTGGCTTTACTAAGAGTTTCAAAGTAAAGAAAAATAAGAAGTAAACAAGGCCGAGAAGTTTGAGATTTTTACCTTTAAGATAAAACACATCCAGAGTTCAAACTTTTTTTTTAAATGTGTTAATAGATCTTAATCACCGGCTCCTTGTACCACTTTTTATTTGATCTTTTCACTTATTCAACAAGCAATGAGCATCAAAAGACGTTTTAATTACAGGAAGTGCCTGTTTTAAACTTCTTCATTTTAGCTGCTGCAGAAAACTAGATTTTTTTTTCTTGTTGTCACATGTGGTTTCTACACGAGTACAGTTTTACTTTCCTGTTCTTTATTTCACTGAATATATTCTGAGCCTAAAGTTTGATTAGAATAACCTGTCACTCAGACAACATCTAGAAAATGATAATATATCAGATTTTTCTGCTTTTGCAGGTGTCAGTCGCTGGCTTTGAACCCTTGCTGAAGTTTGCCTACACATCCAAACTCCTCTTCGGAAAAGACGACGTGCTAGAAGTACGAAACTCAGCCTCCATTCTTGGTTTCAGGGACCTGGACGAGGCTTGCTTTGAGTTCCTCCTCCCTAAGTTCTCCTCTAGCACCCAGGGCTCTGCTCTTTTTCCAAGAAAGACCTGCTGTAAAAAGAATTGCAAGAGGCAATTATCAGACGACGGCATAGGCATATACTCTGACGAAGTTTTGTTGGATGAGAAAGCAGTAAAACCAGTTGCTGAGTCACCATTTCAGCAGGAAGAGGCTTTTCTGTTTAACAAATCAGTCAACAGCCAATTGGGAAGTCAGAGCAGCTCAGGCACTCTTACACCTGTAACTGAAGAGACAAATTACATCTTTCAACAAGGTCCGAAGTATCGCAAGTTCCAGCTAGCCTGTGGGAAGGAAACTTGTTTCCCAGAGAAAAGTGTGAACAATCCCCTCACAGTTATCAGTAATGACTGTGACCTCTCCTGTTCCCCATGCTGCAGCAGTTTGAACATTAAGAATGAAAGTGAGGTCGAATTCTCTGGAAATTCATCCTCAACTCTCGTCCGACAGAGCAGAGGCGAGGCTGATGACTCGAGGAAATTTGAAATACATGACAGGACAACGGAGGCTGATATTATTAAGGCAGAAACAGATGAAACGCAGGAAAGAGGAGGGAAAATGAAGAAGAAATGCATATGGAGGAAGGCGTCAGCTGTTCAGTCCTATCCAGAGCCAACGCAGTCGCCTTGGGGCCAAGTACAACGCCTTTTGGGGGGCCATCAGGGTCAATAATGCACCATTGCCCCTTGAAAACCCTCAGTGACTGCCCTGCCATCACTGGGTCAGTAGGACACAAGAGGTTCGTCATGGACATTACAGAGGACGGGAAAACAAGGGACTTTGGTTTACAAGTATCCATTCATCATGAGGCAAAGGAAGAGAAAGAGGCAGAGCAGAGAAGGGTCAATGATGAGATAGAAAGAGGGCAAACAGTTAGCATGGAGAGAGCAATGAATAATGCCAGAGAAAGGAGCACCGTGGAGAGAGAGGTGGCTGAACACCTAGTTAAGTGTCAGGGTTCCGACTGGCATTCAACCCAACCAAACTTCCATGATGGGAGTTGTTACCAAACAGGGAGCAGACAGAGTGGACATGGCGCTCCTTCAGAGTGGCCCCACGTCAACCTCAGCTTCACCACGAGCTGCCCCTTCATCCAAGATCTGGACCAGGGCAAATGTTTGCGGAAGGGAGCAGATCTGTCTGAGTGCGAGGGGGCTTCTCAGTCAGGAGTGTCGTCCTTTAACTCGGGGGAGGACGGAGACACCGAGACGGAAACAGAGGGAGACAGCGAGGCCTACACGAGAGAGAGGGCCAGACAGGTGAGCAAGGCCCCCGCCCCCATTTCACCTGTCCTCCTACAGGTGTCAAGTTCAGCTTGTACTAAAGTTAATCAGCTTAAATAAACATCAGCAAGCTCAGCCTACCTGGAGGTTACTTCATGTTGTTTTCTCTTAGATAAGACACTTCGATACGGGAACAAAAAAGAGATGACAGTGTGTGTGTTTAGTTAATTAGTTCAGAGTCCAGTTCAGCTGAAGTGACAGCTCAGCTTACTGAGTTACCAATGACTACAGGCAACACAAACAACCCATTTGAGGAACTTCCCCTGCTGCTATCCTGTCTTAACTATTTCCATTACAAAATTAGGAAGAGCGCATACAAAGTCCGGGTCATTTCAGAGCAGAAACAGTGCTTTCGTTTTACAGTGACAAAAATACTACAGCATTTATTTTTGCTCCAGTAAACAGGTGTGTGTACATGTCCTGTCCCACACTGGCATCAGTAATCATCCATTACCAGACCTGCTTTCGAACGTTAACTGCTCATAGTTGTGGTTTAATTATTAACAGCTTGGCAAGAATATATTTTTCCAATCTTCTCCAAACAGATTGTGTAACATCAACAACTGTTTAATTCCATTTTGCAATAGTATTTATCTAATGTTTTATTGACTATCAGTTTTATATTCTTCTTACTCAAGAAATACAGTTTGCAATCTGTTATGATTATCATAAATCCAATCATTTTTTACACTACAAACCTGCTGCTCTATATCAGTCTTTTGTTAACATTTTTTTCCCCTGCTGTCTTCAGATGCAGTTGCCCTTCTCTGTAGACTGGATTGTGGATCAAAGCAGAAATGAATTCCAACAACTCCTGAAGACGCAGGAGTTTACACGTGAACAGCTGGAGTTTGTGCACGATATGAGACGGCGCAGCAAGAACCGCCTCGCAGCCCAGCGTTGCCGTAAGAGGAAACTAGACTGCATCTATAACCTGCAGTGTGAAATCAACAAGCTGGTAAAACATGATTTACAATCAGCACATTTCGTTTGACGCCAGCTTTTGTGTACAGATATGTTCATCTGAATTTGTGTACTGCATGCGTGTATTGCAGAAGACGGAGAGGGAGAAACTGATCACGGAGAGGAGCCAGCTGAGTCAGCTGAAGTTGAAAACATGTCACAATGTCACCGCTCTGTGCCAGAAGGTCTGCAGTGAAGCCGACCTGCAGCCAGACCAGCTACAGGTGTTAGCCAAATACACCTCCCCAGACTGCCCTCTGTCCACTCTCATTCCTCACATAGACACACTCCTTTCACAGCCCGAGCTGCAACACCGGCTTCAGGCGTCCCTCTCGGCCCCTTCTATGGGCCCTCACCAGTACGGGGCTTCAGAGCAGGCTTTCTCTAGCTCCAGCAAGGATGCATTCACAGGTGACGGTCCACATTAGCTACATATCAAAGCAAATCAAAAGTCATGGGGTGGTAAAACGTGTGGTAATCTTGTGAAACCAAAGATTTCACAACACCTTGTGTGTAAGGACATAACATGGACGGTGACTTGTGTACAGGCTGCAATATAAAGCAGACAAACACTTGTGAGCTCATTAGTGTGATAACTCCCCTCTAATGACAATGTCATGAGAAGCACAATTTTTACTTAACATTTTTCAATTCAAAAATGAGACAGCGATGCATTCCTATATTTGACTTTTCCAACCATTATATTGTGTTTCAGAACTTTCTGTAGTGTATGCCTCCAGCTTTGCAAAAAATGATTCTTACTGTTAGTTTTGTGGTAAAAAAAAAAAAAAAAAAAACCTTCTGTCAAATCAATGCTGCCATATTGAATGTTTTAAAAAAAACAAAGTTTATTTTAAAGAGACAATCACAACTTTAATCAAACATCATAAATAATCATCTCTGTAAGTGTATGTAATGTGCTTCTATGCTCAGCAACCTCAGGACTCATACTTATGTACACAGATGACTTTATTATAAAAAAAACAAAAAAAAAAACATTTTGGTACTTTTTAACAAAAAGATTCTCAGGTCATGATAGTAAGATTCAGTACACTCATTACCTCTTGCACTCAGTTCAGAACGACATTTTGCACCGCGACTAGACCACTCATCAAATAGACTTGACACAGCGTGCGATGTTTACTTTCTGACTCTTAAGATTTCATGCTGTCCTTGTGGCCTCCTGACCACAGTGACACAGCTCTCCTCAGCTGCACTCACCAGGACAGACCTCACAAACTGACCTTAATATGTTTCATGTGCTGTTTTAAAAAGCCCACACCTTAAATGCTGCCTCACAATGTGTGATTACAATATTAGAAGTCTTTAAGTGTGTGTCTGTTCTAAGTACGTAACCAACTACCTGGTTATCTCTGACAACCTTATCTATATTACAGTCAAGGGTCAAGAGAACAATGTAGCTATATTTTAAAGACGGTTACAGTACGAGCTGATTTATGTTTTTATTTTGTGCCAGGCATTATTTACAGTACTATCATTCTGGTTTTCGTTCTTGAAGCTTTTTCGGTTCCAATTTTCTCCCTGCCTATACAAAAGCACATCTTCAACACTTTGCAATGTATTCCTCACTCCTAGTGATCAATGTTGACTATATCATATGCACAATTATGTATGGATTTAATTGTATTCTTTTCACTCATTACAGCTGTTGGAAAATGCAGCTGTTTTTGATTTAAGCTCAAATGATTAATTCAGTAACAATACAAAAAACATTGGTTTTAATGAGGAAATGCTGAGTAAGCACACTAAATGTTTGAAGACTGTGTCTTTTTTTAGGGTGTGAAAATGTTTAGAGATGATGAATGATGTAGGAATGTTTTTTTTTTATGTCGTAATTTTCTTCAGCTGTACTTTCAAAGCAATGCATGAAAACACTGGCGCTAACGCCCCCTAGTGGCAGTGCACGCACAGTCACTTGAGTTGTACAGATGTGTTCATTATGCTGCACAAATAGCATTTTTTTACTGTTGTCATATAATTTCTATTACACAAATGACATTCCTCTCGTTCCATGACAATGTCCAAATGGATTCCTGCATTTTTTAAGCAAAAGTGACACTGAACAAATCAACATTAAAATGTGTAAAAAAAAAAAAAATCCTCTAAATAGTCAAAGCTGTCTGTTATCATCCTCTATTCACTGAGATGGGAGCTAGTGCAATGCAGTGTCATTGAAAAGTCATCAGTAAGGTTAATGAGATGTAAAATCTGTCAGCGTTCAGTGTGAGTGATGAATAGCCAAGCTCACGAGGTCTTCAGAGAACTCATCTCTCAACCTGGACAGATATATTAATGATTGAATACCTCGCTTAGCCTTTCAAGTTTCTCCCTCCTGAGTCCAACTCACTCTCTCCGGCTCTCTGTTACTTTTAATCTACTCTAAGTTTCTCTTCACTCTTTCCTCGAGCCCTCCTCTCTGTTTTCTCTCTGGAGGATATTAAATCAGCAAAGTCTGTTTTTACATCTCTTTTTCTAAACTTAACCTAATACTCCCAGAATGACTACTAACCTAAACTGAAGTCTATAAATCACGGTAATGCTGCTCATTCTCACTGGCTATGATCATAGAGAGCGACTTAATGGGGATATCAGCTCCCTCAGTTTAATAGATTTTGGCACAGGGGAGTGGGAACAGAAAGTGGCTGAGGTCCCAGGGCTTTGAGAGGAGAAATTCGCCCTCACAGAGGAGGTCATTTGCTCGGGTTTTCACACGCTGTAATTAAGTCTTAAATCCAGTTATTCTCAAGTGACTGCACTTCACTTTAGGGCATCAGTGTGTTGCGTTGTTGTATAGCCTCAGAAATCAGGTAATCTATGTCTCAAAGTGAGATATCACCTATACTATGAACGTTGTTGTAGTTTTATTCAGAAAAAAAGGAGAGGTAAGCAAATGGTAATTAAAAAAAGGAAAAACCCTTTCAGAATGCTGTGCTGCTGCTGCTGTGCTCTTAGTTTGCCAGCAGATGGCATCACATGAACATGTATTAACAGAGGACAGAGGGGAAAAAAGGTTTGATAGTGATCAGTTGAAGCTTTCTTTTAGATTGAAGATTAATGTGTGTCCAGACAAACTCTATTGCTCTTCATGTGGTTAAACCTGCTGCATATGTTATTATCTGCGTTTTAAGGCATGATCTGCTAGCTATAGTCTGAATTCTGATAGAAAATATCTTACAAGCTGCTGAATTAGACCTGTTTGATTCTCGTCTTTAGCTGCATTCCCCCCTAATGAGCTGCCTCTAATCTTTTGTCGCTGCAAGATTTAAGTGTCACTTTTGTTCCATCTCATTGTCTTCCCTCACTACCTCCTTTCCTACCCATCCCTCTTCTCTCAGTGTCTCTTTCTCTCAGAGAGAATATGTGGGTGTTTTTTTTCTGTAGGTGGTTCTCTGGCACAGCCGGAGAATCACAGCGAGCACAATATGGTGGGCTCATAATCCCAATAATGAATAGTTAGATCCGTGCCAGCTGTTGTCGTAGGAAGAGTTAACAAGACAAGAACTTTGGGATTTTTTCCCACCCGAAATGAAATTAAAAGTTGAGTCATATTGTTTAATTGTTATTTCCATCTTTGGAATTAGAATTAGAATTCTAACATTATTACTGTTACTCTTTCAACTCCATTTATGTTCAGGACATTGTTGAAGTCAGGAGAGAGCTTGTTTTGTACTCTGTGTGCCTATTTATTTATGTTTTATATCTTTTTGATATCATTTGATGAATTCCAGATGATAAAAGTTGTCCAAAGTGGTTTTTGAAGCCTTTTTGTATCATTGTATGCGTTGTCGGTGGTGAGATGTCTTTGTATGAGCCAAGAGCAGAGGACCAAATCTTATCCCTCAGACGGAGAATAATCCACTCAGTCATGTGGCTTTAATGAGAACCTGAGAGTCCTGGACGCACACACACACACACGCACACACACACACACATATTTGGAAGCTGCTCCACTGTCTCTTGCAGTTATTTGTGAAACTCAACAAAAGACTTTCAGTGATCATGAGGATGTCAAATGGTTAGTTCCGGGTCAAAAGTTTTTAAAGACATCAGTGAACTTTGGTGTCACATTATATTCATGTGTTACAAACACAGCAGCATGTGCGAAATTGGCTCGTTTATTTTTTACTTCTTTACAATAAATAACGTGCAGAATGCAATCCGCAAGAAGACGTGCAGATCCCTTGTGGGTCAAAGGAAAAAACAGTAGGGTTTTGTCCTACACAGACAGACACACGTGTGTGTTCCTGACTGCTTGTGGGTGTGCAGCTTTTTCTAAAGTTCAAATCAGTTCAAAAATCTATATAGTGAGACCACAGTGGTGTCACATGATGCATCCCTTTGCACAGCCTCATGATGACCCAGACGAACACTGTGAGGTTGTAATCCTGTGGGAAAGGTAACTTTTGAGTCCATTAGGCCTTAATGTGCACGCTGTCGATTAGCACCAAGAACACACACTATGACATATGACACTACTGTGATCTGGCTAATAACTGTGCAACCACAGCTGACGACTAGACACATAAGAAAGCGATTACACATGTACACTATCATGCACTTTCTGTAATCTGTGTGAATCTTAATAGACCATGTAATACAATGAATTTGATCTGGCTTCAGCACACCCAAGACTTAAGTAAACATGCAGCTTGTATCAGATCATAAAATTGTATGTGCCTTAAGTAACAGTAATAAAAGTGACACACCTGTGACAACAGTGTGTTGAGCTAGCTTAGCTTTTCCTGAATAAATTGCTTTCAAGCAATCCACAGATCCACCAAAAAGCAGAAAACAGTCACATTAATGCAACCACTGTCAACTTGTTGGAAGAACACTAATTAAAACTGTTTATGTGGGTGTGTAGTTGAGCCTGTGCAGTTTTGTGTAATTGTGCAGTACATGCTGAATCAGAGAAGAAAGTACAGGAAAGGGGGGCTGGTGACATTTAAAAGGAAGACATCCATGCTGAGCGAGGCCAGAGTTTTTAAGATAAAAAAAAAAAAAAAAAAAAATGTTAAGAAGGAAAACAAAATGTAACAAGGACATTGAAAACAGAAAAATATGTGCGTATACATGTGTTTGTACCTTGTGTGTGTACATTTATGTCTGTATGGTTGGGAGTACAGCAAGAAATAGCTTCACACAGACGTTTGAGGATACCCATAAAAAAGACTTGATCCAGTTACCATGGATACAGAGGGTTCGGGACTGGCAGGCAAACTCATAAGAAAGTCTGGTTTACATCCAGACAATCAATGCTCTTTTCCTTCAGATGAAGAAAAAAATAACCAACACACACACACACACACACACACACACACACACACACACACACACACACACACACACACACACACACACACACACTTAGACACACACAGGACACCCACTCTCCTCCATTAACAAACAAACATGTCTGACAAACCGACTGAACTGAACTTCTTCACTGGCAGCCCACAGGCCATAAAGGACGAGTTACCACACACAAACTCCAGGATGTTTGTGTGTGTGAGTGTTGAACTGTGTCTTTCCTTGCAGCTGCTTGCCCCCCAACAAATTGTGGCTATTATTAGGAATGCATTGTTACTTAATTAGCCTGCTTTTATAGGACTTACACAATGGTCATTTGTAGGGAGTATTTAAGCAGATTTACATCATAAACTAACCAGCATAACATAAATAGTATTTCCTAAATGCAAACTGTAAATAAATTAAAACTACAATAAAAACAAGCAATGCATGTGCAAATCCACATAAATACACTCTAGTCATCCTTTTCGATCGTTGAAAGCTGTCAATACTGTGTTTCTTTTGCTGGTGAAAGAAAGGAATCACAATAAATGGTGAAGAGCAGATTTAAATTTGAATCAGACTTCCAATTAGCTGTTGAGTTTAGTTGCTTGTGCATGCTGCCCTTTGAGTTTGTTTCATGGCGCATGCTGGGAGAATTGACTCCACTGTTTATTCTGGTCTGGCCACGCAGTCTCAGATGAACTGTTTTCAAGGAACTGTAAACTAGCACAGAACAAACCCAAAGGTCCAAAATAATGGCGTGATAAATTAAGTCTGAACGCATTATTGTTTCGCTGGTAAGAATTTTAAACTCACAGTTTGTCAAGTTAGCAAAGTCTGTTAAATTCATGTGCAATCTGAGGCCATCAGATCCTGACGCAAACTCAAATCGTCACCTCCATTGTGGAACAAAGAAGCCATGTGCCTGTCCCTCTATGTCCAACTATGTCTCTCAGGAGTTCTCTTCAGACGTGGATTATGCCGTCCACTGATTATTTCAGGCAGCTAGAGCAGCTCGACTGCCTGTTGTTGTACTGAGGTGAGATGGTGTCTGGTATCACGCTTTTCAAGATCTCATTCTCTGTTGCCATGATGTGCTTGACCAGGAAGTTTGCAGCTTCACAGATGTTCTGATTGTCCTGAGGGAGAGAGAAAGTCACAGTTAGTTATGGATCTGTAATGAATGTCAACTTGACTTTTCTCAATCTGCAGAGGGCTGTACAAAGGAGAGTCACAAATATCAGTTTTAAGTTAACCAAGTAATCATGACCACCAAGATAAAAACAACTTAAAAAGCACACTAGGAAGCAACAATACTATCAACCTATCAGTCGATCAGACCTGATTCGTAAAGCACTTTTCATGTGACAAAGTGTAACACAAAGTGCTCTACAGAGAAAGAAAATCAATAAAAACAATCTGCACCCCTAACCCTTGATACATGCAAAATGTAAAAGCAAGAAATATCCTATTGACAAGGGACTCAGTGAAAACAGGAACTGAAGAACTTTCATATACACTTAAAGATGGAACACAGAAGATAGGATTCAAATGTAAAAACTCAAGAAAGAAAAATAAGATAGTAATAAAATGAAGGGAAAAATAAGACAATAAAACACTAACAGCCAAACCAAAAACGTAGGTTTGGATTGGAATTGGTGACATTTAATGCATTTGTTGGGATGTTTAAATTGGTTACTACGCTCACAGCTTCATGTGAACGGCACCGTGTGTGCACACTGCACCTCAAAGTGTCTAAAAATCACTTCCAATAGGTGCTGTCAACATTTTCTTTAAACTGCTTCAAAAGAAGGACGTGTATGTCTGTTTGCTCAGCCGCTCTCCGACACCTCTCACTGAACCTGCACCCTATGCACCTCTGACCTCTCAGAATGTTGAGTCTCTATGTCACCTGAACATCGACACACTTAAATTGCTGCAACACATTACTGTCAATATGGAAAGTGTGAATGAGGACAACATTTGTGCATTTTATATGTGTGACAGTACAGCAGTGTTGATAATAGTTTTTAATATAAGGTTAATTCAAACTGACATACTACATTAAAATGAAAGTCTTCTGGGACGCAGATTAACAGGTCAATCAATATAATCGAACCATACAAAGAAGGAGCTGTTCAAACCAACATATCTCTAAAAGTCTAGCCTTGTGTTTCTGACTGTATATTTCACATATATTTTGGGACATACAGTACTGATGTACTCTGCTTAGATTTTCTATCTCTGTGTTTCTATAATTCCATGAGGAAACATGTATATTTCAAATAGCAATATACTGACAAAGCATTAAGATGTGCTGCTCATTAAGAAGATATTAAACATAATGTGGTTAAATAGCTTTTGAAGAGCATTAAATGGTTGAAGAAATTAAATATATTTGAACACGTTGTGAAAAAGATAACAAACACATAAAAAAAATCGTTGTAATTCTTGTACCATTTCCTTCAAATAAGTAGTTCTTCTGCCTCTCTTTTGTAAAAGAAAATTTATCTCATGGAGCCACTTTCCACAAGCATATGAAATTCCAGTCGGCTCTGTGGGGATGTTTTTCACTGACTGAAGTGACCTGAGCGGGGGAAGATGTTCACTGACTGTGTCAGCCTCTCACTGCGAAGGCCTATTTCACACTTTCATTATCATGTTGACAATTAAGGAAACGCGCTGGAGTATTTTCTGGACGAATGCACTTACTTGTATCTTGGCTGGCAGTTACATAAGAAGTGTCCTTTAGTTAAATATGAAGTTACTGCCAGGAGGCATTTAGCTTAGCTAAGCTTACAGAAAGACTGCTAAGCTGGTTCTGTTTGTATCTGTCTGTCTGCCTGTCTGCCTGTCTGTCTGTCTGTCTGTCTGTCTGTCTGTCTGTCTGTCTGTCTGTCTGCCTGCTGCCTGCCTGCCTGCCTGCCTGCCTGCCTGTCTACCTGCCTGCCTGCCTGCCTGTCTGTCTGTCTGTCTGTCTGTCCACCTGCCTGCCTGCCTGTCTGTCTGTCTGTCTGCCTGTCTGCCTGTCTGTCTGCCTGCCTGCCTGCCTGCCTGTCTGTCTGTCTGTCTGTCTGTCTGTCTGTCTGTCTGTCTGTCTGTCCGCCTGCCTGCCTGTCTGTCTGCCTGTCTGTCCTGTCTGTCTGTCTGTCTGTCTGTCTGTCTGTCTGTCTGTCCGCCTGCCTGCCTGTCTGTCTGTCTGTCTGTCTGTCTGTCTGTCCACCTGCCTGCCTGCCTGTCTGTCTGTCTGCCTGTCTGCCTGCCTGTCTGTCCGCCTGCCTGCCTGCCTGCCTGTCTGTCTGTCTGCCTGCCTGTCTGTCTGCCTGCCTACCTGTCTGTCTGTCTGTATGTCCGCCTGCCTGTCTGCCTGTCTGTCCGCCTGCCTGTCTGCCTGTCTGTCTGTCCGCCTGCCTGTCTGTCTGTATGTCCGCCTGCCTGTCTGTCTGTCCGCCTGCCTGTCTGTCTGTCTGCCTGCCTATCTGTCTGTCTGTCTGTCTGTCTGTCTGTCTGTCTGTCTGTCTGCCTGCCTGCCTGTCTGTATGTCCGCCTGCCTGTCTGTCTGTCCGCCTGCCTGCCTGTCTGTCTGTATGTCCGCCTGCCTGTCTGTCTGTCTGTCCGCCTGCCTGTCTGTCTGTCTGCCTACCTGTCTGTCTGTCTGTATGTCTGTCTGTCTGCCTGCCTTCCTGTCTGTCCGTCTGTCTGTCTGTCTGCCTGCCTGCCTGCCTGCCTGTCTGTCTGTCTACCTGCCTGCATGTCTGCATGTCTGCCTGTCTGTCTGTCTACCTGCCTGCATGTCTGCATGTCTGCCTGTCTGTCTGTCTGTCTGTCTGTCTACCTGCCTGCATGTCTGCATGTCTGCCTGTCTGTCTGTCTACCTGCCTGCATGTCTGCCTGTCTGTCTGTCTGTCTGTCTGTCTGTCTGTCTGTCTGTCTGAAGAGCCATCCATGTGTGTAAAATATATGGAATAGAGAGATAGACCTACAGAAACAGAGTTGTATACTTGGCGTTATGCTGATATGCTAATCCTCCATTGGCTCCTGAATTAAATGTACCTGACAGAAGTCTAGGTGAGGTTATCTCATCAGGTAAGAGCATTTCCACCCAAATTGGCCTTTTCTTTGTTTTTATCCAATGACAGTCTGGAAAAAGAATTCCCCACATCAAACACACATGTTCAGTAATACCATATTCTAACCTTTGCGGACGTTTCAAACCAGCCGACAAAGCCGTGGTCCTTACAGAACTGGTCCATTTTGATGCCATTGCTGGTCATCTCTCGGCCCTGGTCACACTTGTTAGCCAGCAGCACTGTAGCAATGCTCTGTCCGTCCGCTAGCGTTAACTTGGAGTCCAGGTCTTCTTTCCACTTCACCACAGCCTCGAAGGTGCTGTGTCGCGTCACGTCGTACACTATGAAGGCTCCCATGGCTTCTCTGTAGTAAACTCTTGTCATGTTTCCAAAACGTTCTTGACCTGTGTTGAACCACCACACACACACACACACACACACACCCCACACACACACACACACACACACACACCCCCCCACACACACACACACACGCAAACACACATATAGGGAGCTTAAGTCATTATTGTTGCAAAATTGTGTTTCTCAGCCTTCAGTTTAATGAGGGATTCATTGTTTTCCTGATTTTTGCAGCAAAACAACTTATGCAGTTGGCAGTGCCTGCCTGCTTTTCCTTGAAACAGCACATTCCTGAGGTCTTACTGTCACGTTGCACTTAACAAGACAGGCAATGCAACCGCTTGTTCGTGCTGATAATAGGCCTACTTAAATTAAAACCCGTACTTTGCCCAAACTGAACCCGAAAATAAACATTGACCTTAAGTTTACCTGAATTCATGCGATATGATTTTGAAAATATAACCAATGGCAACGTCTGTGTACAGGTTTGCACGTGAGCGAGCTCATCCATGCTTGTGTGTGTTAGAAATGGAAATTAGGCCCTTAGGGCTAGAACAGCTGTCAACATGACATTTCCTGGGGGTGTGTGTTCTGCTGTCAAACCTATTTGCAGATTCAAAACCTAAGATGAAGGCATTTGCATCTAGCTTATTTTACACATCATGTCCTCTAAATGTGAACTTTGACGAGGACAAAAATGCTGTCGTTCGCCTCAAGACTAAGAAGAAATGGAAAATCTGACTAAATGGATTGAGAACTTCCTCCTTTCATGCCAGAGGAGGACAACCATGCACAGTTCTGTGACAGCAGTGTGAGACAGACACTAACGCCTCACTCACACCACCTGACACGCTGTCATTCAATAAATGGTGCAAGTGGTGGTCATGGCGCAATTCAAAAGCTTGAAAGGACATTTAAGAAGAATATGTCATGTTGTTTCTCTCTGGTTTAAAGCAGGTAGTCAAGACTAAATCAGACGCGTAATCTCATTCGGTGGGTCAAAATGAAGCTCTTGAAGCATGTGCCTGCATGTGTGTGCTGTAATTATGTTTGTTTTTTATTTAGACTACAATGACACTCCTGTGACTGGCCTTTAAATCTTCCTCACATGGTTTATATTCACATGATGCAGTACCACACCTTAAATGAATGACTTAAAGAGTGCGTGCTGCTCATCCCTTATCAATGAGTGTGTGTGTGTGTGTGTGTGTGTGTGTGTGTGTGTGTGTGTGTGTGCGTGTGCAAGAGAATACTGTGTAAGTGTCAGATACCAGCTCTCCACAGTGACAGTACATCTTTCAGAGGATTTCATAATTTCACAACAGTCATGCGTGTCCATTTCAAAGAAGGTATTATCTCCTTGGCCATCAATTTTCTCCTTAACTCAACCAGCCTTGCGACACAGCTTTTTGACTTTTCATTGAGACTGTGGTTCTTTGCATGCCTCACATTTTAACACATAAACATTTAAAACCCCACATGGTGCACAATATGAATGCATTATACCCCATTTTCACTCTACATATAACCCTGCAGATGATCAATGGTTTATATTGAGTTTTTATTGTGACCCCATAGAATGATAACGATATCCAGTTTCAAAAATAAAAATTCTTCACCTGCAATGTCCCAAAGTTGAAGCCTGATAGTCTTTGAGTTCCAGTTGAGCACCTTCAGGGCGAAGTCCACCCCGATGGTGGCCCTGTAGTTGGTGGAGTAGGTCTGATGCACGTACCGCCGGATGATGGAGGTCTTCCCCACCCCCAGGTCCCCGATGACCAGCACCTTGTACAGGTGCTCCTTCCGCAGGTTCTGCATGCCGTTGCTGTACGACGAGATGTTGGTCATGCTCACCCCACTTCAAACAACTTTCAGCAACTTTGACGCGCAATGAGTGAGAGAGTTTCAGCCTTCACCCCCAGGTCCTGATCCCTGCGTATCTCCCGTATACGTGTTTAGGACCCGCCCTCCCGGCGGGGAAGTGTGTGTGTGTGTGTGTGTGTCGGTGTGTGTGTGCTGTGCTCGGGAGCTTGTGACCTCGCCTCGTCACCCTGAGGAGACGCGCAGTGCGCACGGGTTTCCGTAGGCGCTTCGTAGTGGACTAGTTCCTGTTCTAGAGGGCTTCTTTAGTGCAAAATACTTTTCACATTATGCAACTGTTGTCATGTGTTAACCTTTTGTGGGTTGCGAAACAGTCTGGCCAGTTTCTTGCTCTTTTTTTTTTTTTTTTTTGAGAAGTGTCCTTTCAAAATGCCAAATTTAAACTCCTCACAGTTAGTCCGCATTATCTGACCTGAAGAGGGAAAACTCCTAAAGGACACCTTCATACTGTATGCTGCTTATTTAAACAAAGCCATGGTGCAGTAAAGGAAGACCTGTCAGTTAGATGTCAAACTATGCTTTCACTGAGATGGGATGGGCGAATCAATGTAACCTAAATCAAGTGGCATTTTAGGCAAATCCTCATCTATGCAGGCCACTCTTTCAAAAAAGAAGAGCAACACTTGGAATCTAACAGCAAGTAAAGAAGGAAAAAATAACTAATTTCTTTAACAATTAATGATGGCTCTCCAATTAGGCTACTACATCATAGAGCGTGTATTTCACTGCTTTGCACAAGGCTCTGTGTAAAGGCATTGGTACAAAAATATTTCAAAAGTTGTAGTTCACAGACACCAGATGGCTAACATTAAACCTACTCAAGCCACAGCTTTACTAAATTAGATGTTTTGGAGGTTAAATACTCCAGAAAAAAGTTACAGCAATGAGACAGCTTCAGATATTATTAACCCAACTTAAGTAAAGAAAACAAGTACATTCAGACAGAGGCAGTGTCTTCCCTAGTCCTGTACCTTCAGCCAGGTTGGCAGCCTTGTTTCATCATCATCATCATCATCATCATCATCAACCTTTATTTAAGTTCTAGGAGAGATCATTGAGGGCGACCCTCATTTACAATGATGCCGAGAAAACATACATAAATGATAAAACAACGAGTGTGCTGAACAGTAACTGTTCTCTGTCCTCCACCTAAGTGACAAAGTGAAGTCTCTTTTGCAGGGCCGTTCATGAGGGGGGTAAAAGGGGGAACATTTTCTACCCTGAATAGCGAACCCTTGAAGAATCACAAAATTGATCATCATTGAAATATTTGGCAGTTAGTTTTCTTCTGAATGGTAATTATTGCTTCTTTTTTGCAACTCTTACCCTGACATCCTGCTGCACCTTGCCTCGTTGTATAGCTTTATGTGAAATCAGGGAAATTGTACTTTTGTTTTGTTTGCACACTGCTTATGCACACAAAGTATAGCAGCTGAACCGTTTATTTTCAGTTGCCTTCATTAACACGTACATGTATGCCAAGCCAGTGATGAGTAAGGCTGTGATTATACATATGCTTCTGTAAAAACACCACCCGTGTGCTATAGCTACAGATAGCAATGTTGCCCATGTGAGATGTAATTGTGTGAAATCTAAATTGGTTTGTAAGAGTCAGGGAATATCATGAATTTCCTTCAGGTTGAAAACAGTAACTTCTGACTGCATCAGTTTAGACTATTGACAAAGTTCAGCTAAAATACATCCTGAAGGTTTGAATGTTCAGTGTTTGCTGAAGGTGTTAATTAACTTTATGGTCATTTTGAGTCTGGAGGTTGTTATGCTGCTGTATCTCTATCAGTGCGGGGGCAGATAATACCGTCATCACATCTCAAGGACAAACAATGAGTTTTTCCATTAAAGCACTTCTCTGTCCCCCGACTCATCAAAGCTATTATGCTCAAAACTTTGCCCACCATCTTCTGAATATTAATTTTCCTGTTCAACTTTACCGCATAGGAAATTATCTCACATGTTATTTAATGAAGAGTGCCCTAGAAACCCTGTTTCCTGTGAGGTTTATTAATTATCGCACTGTGATTTGACACAATTAACTTCTTATTTAGAAAAGGCTCATAAGTAACATAAGCTGAGGAAGTGTAAAAATAACACAGCACACAGTCGACGTGTTGGCGTGAACAGGAAACGTGACTAGATAAATTGCAACAAGCAATCGGATTTTAAGAGTCATTTAGAAATAGCCGACACTTGCAAAATCACAAGACTGTTTCAGTACCAAACTAGTATTATAAAGAATCATTTTCAGGCCTTTTCTTCCATTTAGAGTAATACTTGGTTTTTGATTAGTAATAAAACATTTCTAAAATTAAGATAAAGAAATTCATGTTTTGTGATCAAAGTCATTTTCCTTTGATGGAAAAAAATAGCATTTTAAATAAATCACAGATGATTGTAAAAAGAAGGTTTTGCAGAATATAAACCTTTAATGCAGCACAAGTCCAAATACTAAGTTTTGACTTTCTGAAAGGCGACTGGCGACGTAAAACCAGGACAAATGTCATCTGTAGATAGTCTTTAAACTATTAGCTGAAATTGTAATATATGCACCTGATTTCAATTTCAGGAGGCACTAACGTGCATGCAAATAAGACAATTGTCCTGGTTGATTTTAACATTAAAAAACAGCTTAGAGAACACATTCCTGCTCAGAAAAACATCAGATAAAGAAGAAGACGGCTGCATATGTGTATCATAAGTTACATCTGCTCGCGGGTGAATCCATACTATCATTAATGTGCATCTGTAGAAAGGCCAAAACACAGACACAGACAAAAGGTATACAGGAAAAGAATATTTAGTGAATAAGTGCATGCATAAGAAAAATCTCATGAAATATATTAAAAGAATGGCTGAAATGCTTTAGAGAATCACAATGGGCTCACAGTAAAAATGTGCCCAATAAAACACAATGTAACTTACAGCAGGGAGATATTGACACGTACAGTGTGTAGTGTGTAGGTCAAAAGCCAAGCTGGAAACAAGCTGTTTTTTTCCCCAGCAATTAATGCTTGAAATCCTCTCTCCCATCAAAACTAAGATGAAAAACATATAAATATGAAAAGTGACATAGTGGTTTTTTTTTTCTAAAATTGCGTGAAGAAATTCATGTATTGTGATCAAAGTGTTCCTACAATGAAAAAGTAGCATTTACAATAAATTACAGATTATTGTAAAAAAAGACGGTTTTACAGGATATAATGAGACACAAATCTAAATAATAAATGGAATCTAAATGGCCAACAGGGTACCCCCATGCACAGCCTAAACACGTTCTCAGGTGCGCGCGGTTGCAGGAACAAACCACAAAAAATAAATAGTCTGTGGCACACTGAAAATAACTTTACTATATTTTTTTGTGAGCGAACAACGAGTTTGGCTAGTTTCCTCAGGTTCGCCCAGCACAATCACAGGGCTTAGTTTAAATACAAATGGTCATGTGACCATTTACCCGCCGGCGTTGTTCGCTCAAAATGAAATATAGTAAAATTATTTTCAGTTTGCCATGGACTTTTGATTTACTAAATAATAAATTTGAAGTTTCTGAAAGGCGAATGAAGACATAAGAATAAGACAAATGTCTGCTGTAGATAACTGTTGGCTTACATTTCAGGAGGCACTAACCTGCATGCAAATATGGCAATTGTCCAGAGAGATATTGGCACGTACAGTGTCTAGGTAAAAAGCCAGGCTGAAAACAAGCTTCTTTTTTTTGTTGTTGCAATAAACGCTTGAATATTGTTACATACTTCCAGTTCCCTCCTCTCCATAAAACGTCTATGAAAAACATATAAATACCACTCATATAGAATAACATTGCTACCGTATCTATTAATCTTAATAGGCCTGACGTGTAAAATATCCAAGAGTATTACACTAAAGAGTGCAAACAAATGTTGACATCATGCAAACTGGAAACAGAGAGTGGTGCTCGTTTGGCAGGTAGGAGCTGACGTCAGAGAGTATTTTGGTTCAAACAAATCCTGAGGTGGAAGATCAGTTTGGTCCACTTCAAAAGACAAGTTATGGTACATTCAAATAAGTCATATCATAAATAATTAAATAAGACATCCAAATAGTCCATAAGGTCTTTGTGGGTATAAACACCTGATGTTGTGTCCATTGAGACATTGTTTTAAGTTCCCCTCGGATGTACTGTCCTCTTTGAATAAAAGTGGTTTTGTTCTCAGTAAATATTCTGCTTGAAATGTCATTGAGTCATTTCCTCTCAACCTGCCTCTTGCTTTGAAAATTCAAGCATCTATACACTTCCTCCTTTAGCATCACAATACAAAACGCTCGCCTAAAGGGAAGGAAAAAAGGGTACAGGCAAAGTTATTAGAGTGTTTTTTCCCCCTGGACAGATACTGATACAGAGTGTATACCATCTGCATCCATCTATGTTTCAAAGTGTTTAAGATAATGGCAGTTTACAAGAAAACAAAAAGTGACAATATACTGAGAGAGCCAACAGAAATACTGTGGTATGAGCAAGAAAAACAAACCACTAATCGCATTTAATCAACAAATCATCTATCCTTAGTCATCTAATGCCTTACCTCAAAAAAGAAAATGCCATTCTATGATTACAAATATGAGCAAACCTCCCCCAGAAAACTTCTTATAACAACTCCATCAATCCCCTCTTCTTATGTTTAATAATCATTTTAAAATGACATAGTCTCATCAGTACTTCTTTGGAACTTTGAAAGTTTTAAACCAGTCAGAAACCTCTTTGAAATGTCATCCAAATGCCCGTGTGATGTTTCAGTTCCAGTGACAAAAGATCAAGCGCTGACATTGATAATATATTCTACATTGACCCTTTGCAGTCTTGTATTTCTCTACATTTGGAGGCATGTGTAGGTGTATCAAGTAAGACAAAAATGCTTAAATATTCAGAATATCCACACGTAGAAAGGCATCCAAGAGTTTGGTCGAGTCCGAAGCTTGTACTTTTTCATGAAATAATCCAAATGAAGGAGAAACGACGAGGACAAAAAAAGAGCAGCGAGATGATTTAAAGAGAGGAAGAGCTCTGGCTGTAGTGTCTCAGCAATAGTTGGTCATATTCAGCCTCAGAGGCCGGCGACATTGAGTGGGTTGAGCTGCTGTCAGAGCTTAAAGATGAGTCTCTAAATGGTGACGGAGGCGTCAGAGCCACCAGCTCCTCCATATCCTTTGCTCTCCTGCTACTCAGATGCTCATAAATCTTACCCGCTGGTCTGTTCTCGCAGTAATTAGAAACTGGAGCGACCTCGGCATACGTGGTGACCGTGGAAGGAGCTTGTCTGCCCCTGGATGCGAGGTACTGTGGTGGGCAGTTGGCTGCGTCTGCGGCAGGGGGCTGAGGGGTCGTGGTAGCGGTGCTAACGGTGACTCCCCCCGGCAGCATCATGGTGTTCAGCTCACTGATGTTGGCGGTGAAGCGGTTAACTACGCAGCTGATTTGGTCCATGATGGTGGTGCCCTGGGGCTGTCCGCCGATCATCCCCATGCCGATGTCACCCACGCCTATGACGCTTATGTCCCCGCCGTCCACCATGCCGACGCCCTGACCGTTTTCCCCGCCTCTTCTCCTCACCTCTGCGGGATGCTCGGGGACGTAGGTGGGTAACGGTTCCTCTCTGTCCTCTCCTGGCTGGAAGCACGGCTGAGATGGCTGTGGCTCTTCATACTGCTCTATGACACCTGTGTCTGCAGGCGTGTCTGCACCTTTAGAGAAGGGCTTTATGATCGCCGTCTGGTTCACCTCCACTGCTTCTTTCTTCTTGACATGGAACGACATCCTCTTCCAAAGATTGGGCCTGTGCCTCTGCTCATTCTGCCCCCATGTCACAGATTTACCATTGGAGCTGCAAAACATATTAAAGACACAAGGCATTAAATTGGTTTACCATGGTTGAATTATGATTCGAAAAATGTCTGATCTAATGAGGAATTCTGCACGGTGTGCTACAGAATCAGGAGGGAGGGCTACCAGGGTCTTTAACCCTTCACTGAAAGAGGCTGAGTCCCCCCTGAGCACCCAAAACCTCAAGTAATTTGTGATGAACCTTATTCAAGCAAAATAAACTGTAATACATTGTTATAGAGCTATCTACATAAAAACACATTTTAATAATCATATTCAAATGACATAATGACATTTCATTAACATGAGTGAAGATGGCCATTGTCCTTTTCTGCTTGTTGTGCATTTTGATTCGTTGTTTTGTAATGTTGCATGTGGGATTGTATGATAGGGACAACATAAACATGCATTACTTTAACAGTGATGGAGCGGCATTAAACTGTAAGTTCGCGTCACAAGCTAAAGCTAAGCTTCTTCTGCCATGTGCTCTGTGCCTAGCCAGCAGCTGGCAGGTGGTTACATGCTGCTGTAACAATAGATGAAGCCTCGATACAATACTTATCGCTAATGAGCGCAACAGTTGTTTTTACTAACGGCTGACGTAAATCCACAGATACTTTTTGTTGTTGCTTTCATTTGCATTGTGGTTGTTTTCAATTCTTGGAGCCGTTTTATCTGCATTCAATTCTCAGTAGTGAAGTGTGTGAATCATCGTGCTTGCATATTAATTGTGCATGTAATTAAATCTTCGTTTTGTAGTAATATTGATTATAATTTGGTTCGCACAAAATCTTTAGCACACACAATCCACCCTCGATAGCTCCCTCCAATCACAATTCCCCTTGCATTACTGTACATCTTTTAAAGAGATACAAACTGTATGTATTGTTACATATTTCACATTTAGAGAATAATCTTCGCCATCTACTCTAAGGTTCTTGTTCCACTTCTTCTCGTCAGTGTTTCTACCATCCCCCCTTCTACCATTCACTCTCTGTGTAATTTTACATCTCCCTACATTTTCTTTTATCTTCCCTAGAAAGAGAAATCCTTAAAGGCAGCGGGGTCTCCGCTGGGAGTACTTAACCCAAATGAGGTAGCCCTTTTTTTTTTTTTTTTCAGCTCATGGAGCAGTTTTCTCAGCAGATTTAGCCTGTTGTGGTGGATTCAGCTCATTTACGGTCGAAGGACCAAGTAACATTCTTGGCAATAACTCAGCAGAGTTGTTTTTGTTCCTCTATGCAAGAGCTGCTACACAAAAACAACAATAGTATGTGGCTGGTAAGAGATTCATTCTGATTGTCAAACCAAGGAAAGTGTGTAGTTTTATGAGACTGTGCCATGTCTGCCACTGCAAGCGAATATTCTCTTCCACTTCTAACTAGACTTCATCCTTTTGTCTCTAGCACTTTAATGAATAAAAACCTTTACAAAAGTAACATTCTGAGTGATTTTAACGCAAACCAAGATTGTGCTGGTAGCGTTATTGATAAAGTGATGTGACAAAAACAGCTTGAAAAATGCAGTTAACATACTTTGATAACACAGCAATCAGACACAGGTGTTTCATAAAGTGAGTGTGCATTTATTCATTATTAGCTAAATACCCCCTCAGTTCCTCCATGTACCTGACATCATCCTGCGCTGACCCACCGCGTCTGAAAAAGTTGGCCATGCTGCTGGAGGATTTGCCGGTCTTGGCAGCCTTCTTGGCGTCACCCACGTGCATGCGCACCACTGTGGATGTTGTGAAAGCACTCCGGACATTTTTCTCAGGCTTGGCAAGCATGATGTACACCTGACCAGTAAGAAGGCGAAAAAAAGTAACAACCAGCAGAAAGATGAAAGGGTACAAAAATGATATCAGATGAGGGGAATAGTCTTTTATGAGATTGTGTTTTATACTGTAACTCTAATGCTGTGAGATGTACTTTCCTTACCTTTGGAACAAACATGCAGCAGAGAGCAACCGTGGCACTGAGGCTGACACTAAAGCACATGGTTATGATCTTGTAGTTGGAGCCAAAGTAAATAGGAACAAAAGCCAGCCAGATGATACAGGTGGTGTACATGGTAAAGGCAATATACTTTGCCTCGTTAAAGTTAGCCGGAACATTCCGAGTCTGAAGGAGAAAAGTGGAAATGAAACTTTTAAAGCAGAATAAGTTGAAGCAAAGAAGAAAAAGTAGCATATAGAAAATAATATAGGGAGAAGTATAATGGGGCAAACTGGTGCATTATCAGTAATGTCATATTGAAGTACCTTGAAGGCGTAGAAGGTGCAGCTGAGGATAAGCAGGCCATTATAGCCCAGAGGCGCCACCACCCCCAGAGTGGTCATATTGCAGATCAAGTGGACCTCTCGGATACTCGGGTAGTCATAGATCACCTAAGAGGGGAGACAGGCAGGGGTCGCTCTATTAGTCTAAGTCAATGCAAATGAGCATCCCCCACATTTAAAAAAAACATATACGCACAAACCTGTGGTGGCTCTATGATGAGAAGTGCCACAATAATCCCGAGCTGCAGCAGTATGAGTAGGAAGGCGATGACCAATTGTGCGCAGGCGGACATGAAGCGCGGCTTCTTGGTGCAGATCTTCTTCTTGCTGCCTGCCAGGATCCGTGCTATTCGGTTGGTCTGGAATCGAAAATAGATCAAATGGTTATGCAGGCTTCACATGCATCGACTGTGGATAATACCGCTCGCACTGATTCATAACAATAATCCCCTTTTTCAGTTCCCAGATCTCAAACAGCCACCTCAGCCCACACTAGAATATCTCCCTGACAATTGGCCATCATCCAAACTCTGGAGGTAGCTTTTCACATTTCCCTTATTCTCAGATGGCCTGAAACAAAACCTTCAAAACATTGATCTGCGATAGTAGACAAGTTGTCTGATGAGATGTTGTTGCACAAACACTTTAATTAGACAGTTAGTAACCATTTAAAATACCTTTGCTATGTCAATGTTAAAGTTTTTTTAAATGTATTCAAGCACTCAGAGATCAACCTGCTCTGCCAAAAAACATCTGTTTATAATATAGTCTCATATGCAACATTTCTTCCAGGCTGCTTACACACTCCTCTTGGTGAGGGTCCTACACATACATAATACTACACACTGTATGTTCCTCCTGTGTGTCCTCCACCTCCTCAGTGAGTGTGTGTGATGAAGCAGTAAGGGCTCTTCCACAGCTACATTTAGGGTTGATTTTGCAGTTTTATTCTGATGCTTCTAATCATGATCCCAACATCCTCTTTCATCTTAAAATGTGTCCAAAAATGGGCGACAGATTGACGTAATATGGTTTTTCTGAAAAAGTAAGATATCAGATAAACCTGGTGAATGAACAATAAGAGCTTTAACTGACAGATATTTGCAAAAAAGTGAAACAAGACAGTTACCTATACTAAATCGAGGTGTGTGTTAATCTGTGTACAAATACTGTAATGCATATACTGTACCTTAGTGACCAAGGCAGAGTAGCTCATGGCAGGTGACAGGCCGATTCCCAGGCGCTGCAGGTAGCAGTAGACTATGTGAGGCTTGGCGATAAGGCTGAACGTGCACAGGTAGCCCAAACATATTCCAGCCAGGATGATGTAGCAGAGCTCACGGCTGGAAGACTTTACCACAGGGGTGTCCCAAAACCTACAGGTAGATCAAACTTAAGTTAGTCAAATATAGTTGGGTGAGTTAAGGACTTTACTTGCTCCTTGATACTCAAACAAGTTTGTATTTATGACACTATTTTTAGATTTCATATCTATAGATAAATTATTCATATCAGTTAATATTAATGTAGACATCTGCACCAAGACATACTGCATACCACAACATAAAAAAACGACATGTCTTCTATATTTTGTGTTTTATGGACACATCAAAATTCATTGTATAACACATCAATCTGTTGTTTTGACCCATAATTAGTTCCATTTTTGGATTTTGTGTAACCAAACTAAAATGTGATATTTTGACCCCGTTTCACAACAACAAGCTTTTCTTCTTATAAGTGCAAAGGTTACTCATATTAGTCAATGTGGTAACCAATGATGGAGATGAATTCAATAATCCAGGATAAAATTTAGTTTGTGTAAATAAATCAAAACAGGTAACACTAACACTGGGTCAAAGCACCACCATGATGGTTGTCGTTCAAAGGGTGTCGAAAAAAGTTGACCTATTGTTGTTAAGAATGCATATCACTGATATTATGGATTTGACTGTGTTTAATGTAATTTATATTGCACAGTGTAATAATTACTTGATAAAGACAGAAGTAACAAAAAGTGTGGCCAGGAGCCCCAGACAGGCAAAGACCACTGCAGCGATGGGCTCTGGATCCCCCCATTGCACGTATTGCACCGGGATAGGCTCACAACCTGACGGACAAAAGAATAGTAAAGGATTTGAATTCATGTGTTTGCATGCAGCTTGATGTGGATGCAGCAAAAATGGACTCATGACTAATTTACACACTCATTCTGAAGCTATGTTTTATCCATTGACTAAAGGGATCAGAGAGAGACAACAGATGAAAGGATAAACACTGCTGATCTGTGGAGAATACAGCTATGATACAAGCTTCATGTAGTTGTTTTTTTTGCAGGAGGTGATAATTATTGCAAGAGACAACAAATGTTTATAAAGTGCAGGAAATTGATTTTTTTTTTTAAATGTTGTTACAGAGTTTTTAGATTTGAAACCTAGTTTCAGCCAAATCCTTCATTCATGTTCTAATATCTCTCTCTAGTACACTACTTTTCTACATCAGTGAGAGAGTCTTAGCCAGGAGTGTTTTTCAGTTTGTGGTATGTGTGTGTGTGAGTGTGTATGTGTTAAGTAACATGTCAGGGGATTTTGGGTGCATTAGAAGTCCATGACCCAGATCCTCTGGCTTGTTTGAAACTTTTTTTCTTTTTCTTTCAAATAATAGGAGACACATGAACAAAGTGTGTTTACCAGTGAGGTCGTCTGTGGGCCAGGAGCCGAGGAGACACGCTCGACATGTGTACTCATCAAACACAAACTCGTTGTCCTTGCAGGGAGTGCAGTCCAACAGCAGCTCACCTCTCCTTTACGGATCACCTGCAGACAGAGACAGACACACACATATACACAAAGCGGTATGAATAGGCAGACAGGTCTCACAGCTCCAATGGCACTTTTCTGTAGCTAATCTTACACTCTGGCTGCCCTGCAGGCCAGGGAAATGAAATAAGGATTTCATCATCATGGGATCACAAGAAAATAAAGGAAGATGTTTTGAAAAGCTTAGGTCCTTGAACGCCGATATGGAGTAAAAAAAAAAGCTAATTAAAGCAGAGAAATGGTCAAGTTCTATGTCCGTACATAAACTGGTGTTGTAATTATTAATAGGTCCATCTGGGTTTCCCCTGTGGGCTTCAGCTTCTTCTCACAGTCTAAAGACATAAAGGTCAGGGATCTGGACACTGTAAGCTGTCCTTGCGTGTGAACATTTGCTTTGTACTTGCCATGTGATATCAATCCTTGGACAGCCTGAATTGGTTGATGAAAAGGAATACAGGTGTAGCGGGAAAGTGGCAACTTTAAAAGAATATGTATGTTTTTTTTCTGCAAAAATGTGTAAAATTGCTCAGTTAGCACAGATTGCAGAGCAGCAGGCGGCTTGTAAAGCGAAAGCTTTGAAAATGGGCCTCACAAGCGTATGCATCGGTTTAGTATTTTGAATTCCTTACAAGCTTCCACATTAGAGGGAGTCGGTGATGAGTGTGTAGGAAGGGTTTAATGATGGAGACTTCTGGGATGATAAAGAAGAGGCAGACATCAGTGTTTTCCTTGATTTGGAAGGGATGCAGGGAGTTACAACAGCCCAGATGGGACATGATTAAGGCTTGAACAAAGAGCTTTACTGTGTCCCTGGTCGGGGACTTGAGGATCTGATTGGACCAAATGTTTTAGATTGCAAACTTGTGGAACCAAATCAAGCTCACTGTGTGGGTCTTGCTTCACAGCTTTTTTTTTTGTCCAGCAAAGCTGTGAAATGTTCTTCTTTGGTTTAAAGTGCAGCATCAATGTATGAAACCATGTATTTTGGTTCGAGGCTATAACAAAATAAGCTGCAAATATGTATGCATGCATTCATGCAAATAAAAAGTGTAAGAACAGTTTGCGTTCTGCAGTTTTTGTGCGTACCTTTATCTGTGCCTTCTGGCAGGGTTCAGAGCAGACTGACATGATGACTTCACTTTCATTACTCCAGATTTCCTCATCGTTCATTTTCAGGCCACCCTGATCCCAGCTTCCCACATGGATGTAAGCGTATTCCTCCTCACCAATGTGCTTGAAGTTCATGATTTCATACCTGAGGGACATTCATTATATGCATGATACATTTTAAGAATTGATATATATTTTTTTCTCTTCTTCCCTCTCAACATGCTCCTTACCTGCCAGGTGAGTCTCCGTTCTCGTCGAAGAGGATGGCCTCCCCAGATACACCAGTGAAGTTGGTTTTCATCAGGAATTCCAGCAGCTTTCGACCATCAATGGGCCTCATGTCTTCACACAAACCCTGGAGCCGGATTAAAAGCAAACATGTTCAGAGCTGTCGTACTGAATCTGAATGCTTTCAATTGAATTGCGATTTATTTTTGTCACACCTTATATCCTGGACAGAGGGTTTGCTGCATAGCATGCAGGCCATAAGCCATGGAATAAATGGCGTTTATCACAAAACCCATCTTGGTGTCTTGGGCGTACTGATGGCGCAGCGACTCCCTCCCTGTGGAGAAGACTGAGCTGCTCATGCTGAGAAATCTTCTAACCCTAAACTGATGGCGTGAATACAAACAAGAGAAGTACTTTAAGGAGCAGTGTAAATGTGATGTCTGCGTTGTTCTTACAGGTGCAGGTGCGGTTGAATATGTTGCTCTCCTGTGGATGTCCCCTCAGCCTGCACTGGAAGCGATGCTGCCAGAACTCAGGATACCAGGGATTCCTCAGGTTGGAGTCGGGTTTCAGGTTCAGGTAATAATCATCAAACCAGGTCACATACGCTGACTTTAGCTTTATAGTGATTCCACCTGCTGCCTCCTTTTGGAAACCATCCGTGACATCATACCTGTCCGCCCAGCCATCACTGCACACGAGGAGAAAAGGTACAGCAGGTTGTTAGCTGGTGAAATAATTACTCCAAAATAACACACATTTCTTTATGTACTTATTTATTCTAAATGTTGCCTGACACAGATATTCTTCGTATTTTCTATTGCTTTTTTTTAATTAAATCAGCATTTTAATTTTAAGTTATAGGATACATAGAGGCATTTTTTGCATATATAACAGCTGCCTTATTCTTACACAGAGTCCACTCAGTATTCACGAGCATCTTGGTAAACTGTTGCTCAAGATTGCATTGCACAGCGAGATTTGACTGTTTACATAACTCTGCTGCCTCAGCAAGAACTGATGAAAAGCTTTTATTGTCTAGCATTTATAAGGAGCCTTCTGTAGAGCTGACATGAGAGCAAATGATCCAAAAGCATAACTCCATAAATCTGGAAACTGAGTATGATGTCAGAGTTGGAGACTTTATTGTGATTATGTATTCTGCACAGGGAGACAGCTCCCCCTCCCTTTACTAACAGTTCACTCATTCACTGGGGTTCTACACTTAGCTGTGGACCTGGTTTACTCAGTGAAACATAACTTAGTGTATCTTTGCATAGCCCAGCTTTAAGCTAAATACAAGATTAGGGTACAGCAGATTTGTATTAAGATCAAAAAAGCACCCAGTTCATGATCACAGATTTTGGAGCCTATAGGCCTGCTGTAAAAAAAAAAGTTTAATCTGTGCTAATTACCACATTTAAGAGCACTATTTGCACAGATTTAAGGAGACAGGTGGTGCAGAGAGTTACAGTAGAATAAAATATTTATTATGATGTGCTAACTCAAGACTAAGAGGGTGATGAAAATAGAAAGTATTTGCTCTCATATCCAAGTTAAAAATTTTGAAGTGATTTTTTTTTATTATGTTCATGTGCAAAGATAATCTGTATAAAACTTCAACGCTCAAAGGTTGGTGCAAGAGGACTTGGCTAGCTTTGACAGAGAGCTAGAATGTCTTTTCTTTCAAATTGCTGATTTGTGATGCGTGTTTTATTTTTGTGTATTACTTTTATGGTCACATAACTTTGTTTGCAAAGCTTATGTGGGACTCTGAAGGTTCATTTGTGTGAAGTCCACTGAGACGCATTTGTATTAAAGAGCTTATTGATTTACTTGACCTTAACAACTTCAGAAAAAGATTTTTTAGTGCACATGCAAGTCCTCATTATAGAAAAACACTTTTCTTATAACCCAATCTCTGAATGTATTTTTAATTCTGAAAAGTCCAAGCAAATATTGATTTGTTCCTCAAAAATGTCAAGTCAATTACCATTTGGCTTTGTTCTACAGAGTATATATATATATACGCCTTATGCGTACCGATACAAAGCAGACCTTGTGCTTAATTAGCATTAAACACCAGACACACAACGGCAGACTGCAGCGTCTGCAGACACATCTGTTCTGACGTTCAAAAACATTGAGGGCTTTGACTAAAAAGGCTATTTCATCAGTGCGCAAATGTTCTTCTGCTGTCTATTATTATCTCTCCCTCTGGACGCGTGTCTACAATCAACAACAGCGTGCTGATTACACCTCAACACATGTGCATACATGTAAACACGTCCACCCACTGACACAACCAAATGCACTCCTCTCTTTCTAACTCACAAAAAAAGGAAAATAAGTCATTTTTGAAAACTTATAACTCCAGTGAACAGAGCTGGAGTTATACAACAGCAATGTGGGTGGATTTTGTGTGATGCCTGGTTCTCTGGTTGAGGTAGGAGATCATTTCATAACTCATCCTTAGAGAAGCGAGCACAGAAATTGTACACTGCCATAAAAAAAGGATGGGAATGGATATGAAAAGCATAAAGAGCTTTGACACTGGTTAGTTTGAATCACACTTGAACGAGAGCTTTGAAACCCACACATGGACCTGGTAGGTCAATATGCTGTTTGCAGCGTGTTGGCTGCACCACCTACAAGCCTGAAGACATGCACAAGTGTGTGCTTGTGCTCTTTCTCTCTCTCTCACAATAATGATCAACTTCCAGCCAGATCTTTTCTGAGTGCACACTAGAACTCTAGAGTGGCAGGAACTTCAGGCTGAAAATATTTATATCTCTAAAATGAAACTAAACAAGATGTGAAAATGTAAGAAAAAGTGAAACAGCTGCCAAAAATGAGCTGCTGTGTTTCGTGAGGGGCTTCAACAAGCAGATGGCAGTACCTGCTGATGGAAAAGCTGATAGGAATCAGGTGGCTTTATGAGTACTTGAAACATTAGTGGGTCAGAGTAAGCTCAGTGAAAAAAGACCCCATTTCAGATAAAACGAACTAAGTTGAACTAAACATGGTCTAACAATGACTTCAGGATCAGAGGAAGTAAATTGTAATTTTCTCAATTTAAATATTTTTAAAATTTCAGATAGGAGTCACGTTTGATATTTCACAACAACATTTTTTTTTAGAACTTTTCCAGAGTTTAAGGTATTTGTAGTAACATAGCAACTTAATTGAGTGGCACTAAACGTTAAAGGTCACATATTATGAAAAACACACTTTACCATGGTTTTCAAAAAGTAATGTTACCCTAGTCTGTCTACAAACCCCCCCCCCCCAATTGTGAGAAAAGTCATCTCCACGTTTCCAAAAATGTGTGCTCAAACAGGCCGTTTGGAGGTTTTCCCTTCATGACATCACAAAGGGAAGTAACCCCTCCCCCAGGTGAGTGACACTCCCGCAGCTAGCTGTTTGTTCTGCCCTCTGAGTCCGTCTTTCCCCAGTATGCAAATCATAGCTCTCAGTGACGCCTGGAGGGCAAAAAGAGCTGAGGAAAGCAGTGGCTGCTGTTGAACACACTGTGGAGCTGCAGCACGGGCTTGATCATTTTTCATCTCTTCAAAACGACCCAAGTTTAAATCAACTGATGACCATAAAAAAAACTAAGATATTAAGATTAACTTCAAGTTTTGGGCACTTGCGACCTTTATACAGCACACAGGACACCATTTCAATCTAGAAACATGGCAAAGTCCTTGCCAGAACTTAAACACGGTTGATGTTTACTTTTATTTAGAGGAGAATCATTCCCCTTACACTGCTGCAGGAATAAAGCCTACAGACATACGGACAGCTTTACTGTGTTTTCGATATGGATGGGTTAATTATCCTTATGGTTTGGGAAGAGAAGGGCAAGAAATTCATTATCAAAGCGTAAGTGAGTGCTAATTAGTTTGCATTAGCAAGTTAACGTTAACATCAGGATCACTGCCATGCAGCTGTCACATTCAGTCCGTGTTTTTGGGTCGTAGTGTTAGTTATAAGGCTGTAACACTTTGCTCAAGTTAACACAATATTTTAAAGCAGGATTAGAAGAAGTCCATTCTTTTGTTCTCTCAGATGACCTTAGCGGTTAATAGCGTCAATCAACAATCTCCTCTCTGGGTTGGGGTTTTCTCTTTCTCGAAGTTTACCATATTCACCATCTTAATTTAAGTTTGTCAGCATGCTAAAATTTGTGAATTAGAATGAAATACAAAGCTTAGGCTAGGACTGTCATAACATTTCAGGTGTATGGAAATAAATAAGAGGCGTTCATAACACATCTGAAAAGTGAACTGACTACTGTCCTTTGATCGCATTACCTCCTTTAGAAGTGGAGCTCCTCCACCAGGTAACTGAGCACATTTTAGCTAATCAGTGATAAACAGTCAGTAACTTCCTAATGAGAAACCTAATAATTGACAATGAAAGCCTCAAATACACTCAGAATAATATACCTATGGTCATTCAACACTTCTGCACTGGAATATTCGGTTCATCTGCTACTTTAGCACATAACTAAATTTGACAGCCTGGACAAAAATAAATAAAAAACTGGCCTGAACACAGGATGTGCAAAGAACACTGTGACACAAACACCTATTTTGGCTGTAGCTGCATTGCTAGATGCAAAGTCAAATACATACTGAGGGAACCAATTACTCAGTACCAAATGAAATGGCAAACTTTCCAGCAGTTACACAGATATTTCATATCTTTAATGACAAAAAACAAACATGTCAACATGTTGCTGTACTTTCAAATGTCTGTACATTATTTCATTAAGCCACCCAATTGTTGGAAAAAAAAACAAAGTGGGTAATAACACTCTGAGTATCTTAACTGTGTATTGTCCAAGGGATGTGTGCAAGAATTTCATTTCTCCATCTATTTTTGTACAGTCAAGCTGAAGGCCGACATTGGCATGAAAACAGCAGTTCAGAACCAGCTAAGGCAGTGCTGGCAACTGAACAGAACAAGAAAAAAAACCCTCATCTGCTGCTTCAGTCTCTCCTTTTTCTGAAAATGTAACACAAGCACATATCCACTGCACACTAACAGTACACAAACCATGGTGCAGGTGAACAAACTCAAACACAAAGTCCATGGTGAATTTGATAATTTGGTGCTAAAATCTAACTTTTAAAGGGCATACATTTTATATGTCACATAGTAGTGCAGTCTAATGTAAGAGTGCCTTAAAGCATGAGCGTTAAAAGAAGACTCAAATAAAACTAACCTCAAACAAACATTTAAGAAAATGACCTTATATGAGAACATGACAACAGCAAAACTGTGTAAAAGCCCTGTATAGTAATATGGCTTATAGAGCCTGGTGTTTTGCAATATGTAGTTCAAGGTTATTTTATTTTTCCTGCCGTCACATTTGAGCGACAGCCTACATATGTGGCTCTTAATGAGTAGAGGCATTTATAGAACACCACGGACGAGAGAGAGCAAGAGAGCTAAACCTTAAAATAAGACATGTCAATCTCAGACTATGAGAGACAGAGTGAAAACTCCTGCTTTCTTAATGCCCCCTTTTTCGACTAATTGTAACATTTTGTTTTGTACTTTAAATGTGGTCTTCATTTTCTAATTCAAAGTTTTCACCATTTAAATGTTTGAATGTCTAGCCAAGCTAATAAAACACAGAGTAACCCTGCTGTGGAAAAAATGATTTAACTTCTATGGAAGCGTCATGCAACTTGTTTGAAATTTGCTCTCTGAAAACGTTAATTCAAAATTACCTTGATTTTCCGTTACGAAGTGGATGTATGTGATGAAGATGAAAACACGGATGATGATGAGACAAACACATCTTGTCTGCTGATGGTACTGTAGATATCTGGAGACACTCTGGATTGAAAATGAATGCAAAACACACACACACAAAAAAACTCAAGCACAAGTTTGTTAGTCATTTCTTTTGGCCCCCTTAAAAAAATCATGAAATCCATTTCACACAATCCTCCGCTCACCTGCCAACCAGCAGAAACTCCCCCACCAGGCGCTGTCGTCTCATGGCCATCAGTATGCCTCTGACAGTCATGCCCTCGCAGAAGCAGGCCACCACCCTGGCTTTGGGCAGATGGGCTCGCAGCTTTTGCAAAGCTTATCGAAACCCTGTTCCCCTGCGTTGCTATATATCTTATCAGAGTGGGCGATGCAGATCCCCTCCTTTGCTGCCATGTCTTTAAAAGCCTCCATACCACTCTCTCCATAATTACCTACAGAGGAGGAAACATTAAGGGAATGGTGATACATACAATAATGCACGCAAATCATCTGGGGTTTGTCACCTTATTAAATGAAGCAAACAAGCCTTTGAGAATGTGATAAAATACTCTAGTTGCCAGGATTCTTTAAGAGAGCAGTTTAGATGCATATACACTGGGGCAATGCCAGCTCACACTTGAGAATCAGGTAATTTTGTTCCCATAATGGGAGCAGTCAGGGGTTTGACTCCCCTGTTTTTGCTAGAAATTAGGTCACCTACTTTCTGCTGCTTTGCAAGAGTGCTCTTACTCTGGTCACGTCACTGGTTGAGGCGTCCTTTTCATTACTCCATGTGATTTTTTCCTGCCATATGTGGCATGCCTACTCGAGTGGTAACACAGTCGTGCTTTTTTAAACTTTATTTTCACCTTGAGTCAACCTTCTGCTAAGGTTGCTGATGATGCTGCCCTATGTTTGGATTTCAATTATTACAATTTCCTCTTTCATATATCTTTCCTTTTATTTTTCACTCTTCAAGAGGCCTTTTTTCCCCTCAATGAAGACAACATGGGCCTTAATTACAGATATCTTCCCAAATTTTTCTTAAATTTCTTCTGAGGTGGATCCTAAAGAAGTCTTCGGCGGATTCATGCAAAATTGTTAACACCTGTGTTCTTAAATGGATGATTTCCATTCCCCCATTAGCTATAAGCTCAAGTATGTTTTTCCTAATTAGCGCAGATAATCGTTATTTTCCATACAAGGGCATAAGACTGAGACACACAGAAGTCACACATGATTGAAAAGAGAAGTACACAGACATCAGGACTGCCCAAAGTAAAATCTAAAAAGGATTGTGCAGAGGACATAAAGTATAAGAAATACTATTCTAATTTAAAGTACATGTAGTGCTGCTCGAAATGAAGCCTAAACAGGCTAAATTAAGAAAACACAATGATCTAATTTTGTCCAGGCATGTCCGCATTCAAGTCTGCGTATGAGTGCTCTCAAATTTTTTTGAATTTTGGTCATAGCTATGAACAAACTTTCCATTCACATTGGTGAATGTCAAAATCTTCTTGAAAACTGCCCAAGTGTGTTTCAAGGACAAATTTCTTCCTACAGACAATGTTATTAAGAATGAGTTTGTCGCCTACAGGTGAAGGCAAAATGAAATCTTAAAGCTACAGTACAGTGTTCAACACTTCCACAACCTGTGATTTTCAGTATATATGGATTATTTGCATCTCAACCTGACTAGTCATATAAACAATATAATGAAATAGAAAGCCTTTCACTGTCAGAGTAGCAGCAGCCCTGGTTGATGCGTAAATGTTAGAAGGACACTGGCGCACATGATATTAAAAAAACACTCTAACCGACAAAGCTCGTCTCGCACCATTAAAAAGAAACACATAAATGTATGAAACAAACATGCCAAACATATGAATAATAAATACAGAATAAAATGAATAAATAGCAAGGTAAAGTGTCGGCTTAAAGTTAAAATACTTTGTAGCTGATAATTAGGGAAAGTTAATGTCACTTCTGAGTTATTCATCTTTCATTAGTTTATGCAAATGCATGCAAAGTAAAAAGCAAAGTGTGTCTGCACTTTAGAAAGACTTCAGCACACTAAAATGTGTATTAATTATGCATAAAATGAGTTGTCTCTGAAATAAGCAGAACATTTGTACAACAATGTCTGGGTAGTTTTGTATAGGATAATAAAAATAAACAATCCAATGTTGTACGTATAATAACATACATAGCAGCATGTGTTACTAGGCCAATAGTCTCCAGCATAGTTGTTAAACTGAAGGGCTTTTCTTTCATGACAAGACGTTTTAAACCACAAAAAGTACCTTTGGCATGCAAAAGAACTTTTAAAATCCTTCTCTCAAAGCTTTGGTATTATACATAATTAACAGGAATGATAAGGTTTGGATTTAGATCTTATTCTTATCAAGACAGATTAATATAAAAACGTATGTTCTCAGTCACTAAGAGGTTTAAAGAAAATGGTGTGGAAGTGGAAAATAACAGTATGGTATATTGAGGTTGATGCTGATACCCTGTGCTTGGTTTCTAGATAGATTAAGGATTCAGGGACGGAAACCTTTACACTTGTGGTAATCCATGTGTGGTAATAATGCCTACATAACTCAACTACAGGTTAGAGATCGCCTTTTATCTGCACTGTATGATGGAGTCACTTGAAGCAAAAATGTAATACATAGCTTTTTTAAAAAAAGCTATAGATAGGACAATAAACATAGAGTTATTAAATGTGAATCTGATATTTAGCAGCTGCTCCAAGAAAGTGTCCACTGGCTGAAACCAGTGGACAGAGCTCCACAACAGCCAGAGAGTTCAAAGCCAATAGCAGATGTTCCCAGTGAGGCTTGGCCAATGATGACCAGCATTACAGAGAATAAATAATCAGACTTTAGTTTATTTACATTTTATATTCATGGCATGATTAAAGAGCCCCCAGAGTATTGTGAAAACTCAAATCGGAGGTTTGAAAAGAGGAGTGGGTGTGTGTTTTCTTTTTTGTTCTCGTCTGTGTGAAGGCTTCTTTTTGGCTCCCGTGTTTCTTGCTGCGGCAAGCTTTGCACACAAAGTTACATGCAATTGGATTTGGGGCTTTTTCTACAATGACGCAAGGTCACAATGTCAGGGAGTAAAAGTATAATGATTCTCTTTTAGCTCAGTCAGGCTGAGAACTATAAAAACTGAAACAAAGAACTGATGTAGATACATGTCGTTCTCCATCTCTGACCAATTGTCTAAAACATTCTCCCCATAAAGATCCCTTTATTTATATTAGACCTTAATATGTATCCATAACACTAATGAACATTGTGTGTTATCATGATGTAAATGTTATGAACGAGTAGACGAGAAAGAGACAAAAACAGAAGGACAGATATAAAACAGTAACACACATTACCCTCTGTGTGTATAGCAGACACGTAGCTCCAGTTGTATCTCTTGACGATGTCCACCATGGCTCTGGCCTGTTGCATATCTGATGGCACCACCCTCATGAAATATTTATACAGGCTCTGGGGAAAGTAAAATAATGTACAAATACTTCTTCACTGTACTTGAGTAGGATATATTAGGCATGACAACTTCTTACCTCCCTACATTTTAACAAAAAAAAAAAAAAAACATACAATTTTATTTCACACATTTCAAAACCAAAGTTAAAATTAAATCATTTCTATTTTACATCATTGAGGTCCAATTTCCACCTTAATGGTTGTTTAATTTAACTAGTCTAGTAGTCTCCCAGATATGAGGGTGGCTCAGATTGTTACAGAAACAGCTGGTGAAAATATATGCTATGAGCACTTTTAAGCACCTGTACTTTGTAAGTTATCCTTCAGTGAAGCTGAAAGTTCAAAGTACTTCTGCTTGGATGAAGAATGTGTGTACTTTTCCATGTAGAAGTTTGAAGTTTTTATTTGATTACTGTGTCATACATACATATGCCCAGCCTGCATGGGGTTTACACGACACCATGAATTAAAACGTTCCAGGGTCAACGTGCATAGTAGGTCTATTCATTGTGATAGAATTGATCATATAAATATAGAATTTGAGACCCTCTACTTTGTTTCACAGGCATCCAAAACTCATTTTCCACCAATGTTATTATTCGTGAAATCCATCAGGATGTTCACTTCAGGAGAAGGTGTTACAGTAACGAATATGTCAAATCTGCACTGATTTAATGTCCCACCAACTAGTGGTTTGCTTTTATTAAAGTAAAAAAGCCTCAGGTGGACGCCATTGTTTTTGTGGAGTGGTCTTACCTTGTCACTGAGGTCCATGCTCGTGGCCGAGTACGCTATCTGTGGGATGTTAAAGAGCTGGAGGAGATTTTGCACCTGGATGGCCACAGAGCTGGACCCTGGTCCAATCAGGCCCACGATGGGCTTCTTCCCCTGCATCAGCATGCTCCCTTGCTCTGCAGTGCACTTGCCCTGGTTCTCCTCCTCTTCGTTCGACACAAGCGTGTCCCGGATGAACTCGATGCTCTGCTCCAGTGCCACAGCAGAGTGCCAGCACGAGTCCCTGGTGAGGAATGGATGAGTTCTTATTGTTATTTGTGAAATAAGTGGATTCAGTGGATGATAGCTTGTAGTAGCCACTTGAGGAAGGAAGCAATTTGTAAGAACCACTTACTTACAAGAACTTAACTACAGCTGAATTGAGGCTTTAGTAGTTCTTAGTCAGTTAAATCCAGAAAGTATCTTCAAAGGACATTCCTAAGTACTTTTTTTTTTGCATATATTGTTTCCTTTGATGGTGTGTCTTTTATGAGCTGAAGCTTATTTAGAACATTTATCCGGTTAATTTTGTCCCCCATAACTTACAATGTAGATGAGTTTTCAATGTAACCCTCATCACCACTCACAGAGAGGAAAAATGATAGCAGCAACCAAAAACTTCTAACATACTGTACTTATTGGAATTTCCGAGCCGTAGAAGCTTTTAGTCCAGGTAGTGTCTTTTTGACACACTTTGATTCGTCATAGATTAAGAATCCCTTGTAGATTTGACTTGTGGGTCTCAAAGCCTGAAATGCTGATTTACTGCAGGTCATTGGTAGTGGACTTGTGCCTCTGTGTGGCTCACTTCATTAGCTACCCTATTAAATAATCAGTCTTCTCCTATAGGGCTTCCATCTCCAGCCACAGTTCACCTGTCTAGAACAAGTCCTCAGCAGTCTGCTGTCTCCCTGACGGTTTGTCCTCTCCTTTTAATGAAACACTGAATTTATTACTGGCACTTGTTAACTTAAACACATTTTCACCTTGCATACTTAACTGTTGTTGGCAGATGTGTCAGTTATGAAAGCTTGTTTTGGGTACTTTTAAGAGACCAGTGAAAGCTTTTTCAAACCTGAAATGACTGGCATTGAAAAATGTCATGAATAGATCTGTGCACCACTTCGCCTATGCTTGTCAAAGTGCATTTGGTAAAAGATGAATCCAAATAAAATGTTCCTCAATATTTTGATGATTATCTAACTGCTGGTGACACCTAACATCTCTGTAAAGTTCAGGCACATATCTTTTTTTTTTTTGTCCTTTCCTACTGTATCTGAATTTGCTCCAAATTGTTTAGAACAGTTTAAACTCCTGAGTTATATTCCAACAAGTTGGCAATACAGACTGTCTACATGATAAACAATATACTTTATTTACAGTCTATCTCTTATACTAACAGAAGAGCCAACATTTTAGCAGGTTAGCCCTTTTTTGTGTGATAATTCTTCATCATGGAAATACTTGGTCCACTCATCATCTAAGATTCAGGTCAATAACAATTAAAAGCTGAGGAAGAAAAAACAGTTTGCTGATTGGTTTCTGACCTGATCTCACAGCCCAGAGTGATGTTGGGGAGGATAGAAGGGTCTGCATTGATTCGATCCAGAGTGTGCATCATGGCCTCCACTCTCTGGATCCCGTACTGCTCTCGCACCGCACCACATTTTCGCTCATGAACCTGAACAAAATAGAGCCTAAGTGGATTACTAACATTCATCACATGTGGAGTAAACGAGCAAACACATAAACACACATACATGCCATAGCCTACCTTGTCTGCAGGTGGTTGGTGGTGGACTGAGAAGAGAGCCCCTATGATGATGTCCCCGGGGATGTGAGCCAATACCCTCCTCTCAGTGTTCTGGGCATAGACCCCCAAATGGTCTCTAATACCAAGCCAGCTTAGTATCACACACACAGCCAGCAGCCTCACATGTAACCCTTGAGGATGTCCCATCAGTGCGTTCATCCTTACACATCCTGCCATCCTCTGTCGTCTTAGAGCTCGGGGACAGATGAATGCTTTGTCTTTGAGGTAGTGCTGGTGAAGGTTAGATCTCTAAAAGAAAGGGAAAAATCAGAATCAGGTTTATGTCAAGGAGATCTTAACAGACTGTCCATTTTTTCTTTTTCATTTTGCTGCAAAACACTTAGCATAGATATTGAATATGATACACTTTAAAAAAGGAAGTAAGAAAACATCAGCATTCCTATGCCAATAAAGCAAATCAAATTACAAGTGAAAATTGTGAAACAATAGGTGCATTATCACGCATTATGTCAGATAGGCTTAACATTAATGTAATATTAAATGACAGTAAATAATACAGTGTGTTAGCAGGTGTATGTTTAATAGGCAAAGACCAATACTTTATAGAACAGAACCTTTTCAGTCAAGTTAGTATGTTTTTTAGGCTACAGAGAAGAAAAAAAACCCATTTGAAATAGGTGGGGGAAAGAAGAATAGACTACTCAGGCAGTAATATCACATTAACAGCCGCCCATGGTGATGCAAATAAGTGGGCTGGTGCTCCAATTATCAACACCCTACAGTTTGTTATTACACTCATTATCTCTACTGAATGTAAGATTTCATTTCAGCATATCCAAAGTAAGAGAAAAACTTCAACCGACCTCTCATTTGTTTGCAGCTTTGGAGATGCCATCCCTTCTGATCAGACCGTTTCCATCACAGAGGAAGAAGACGAAGAAGGAGAAACATCGCTGCAGGTTTCTGCTCAGGCTCACTCTGACGCCTGGCTACAGCAAACTGCAAATAGCAGCATATAGCCCGTTATTGGAACATGTTTGACTTACTGACGCACACGGAGGGGCCCCCCTCCTTCTCCACCACCACCCCCCTCCTCCACCTCCTACTCCTACTCCAAAACAGTGGAAAGCATGGAGCATTTCTCGTGACTAATTTGGTGTATCTATGGAAGGCTAAGGGAAGAGATCTGTACAGGTTTTGAAGGGACAACAGAGCGATACAAACGAATATGGTGAAAGCGCCTACAGTGTTGTTTAGGAGGAGTGTGTTATCAATTCATAGTGCAGCTGTGTTCACTTGGACGTAAAACTTCCAACTGGCCTCCCTCCCTCCTCTTCTCTACCATCTTATTGTGACGGATATGAAATGGGAAATTAATCATTATTTAGACAAAGTATAATTGGGAAGTTTCGGCTCATACAGTGCCATCTTTTAGCTTACGATAGGCTACATATTACGCCAGCTGAGCTCTACCCAGTGTTTCGATTCATCGAGTGACCCTGTTAAATGGTGACTTTCAGCCGCACGCGCCCGTGGTTGTCGTAGTTGGAGGCTGAGTCTGTGTTAGCGAATGCCTCTTTCTTTAGTTTTCGTAAGAGACATCTAATCATCGTTTTTTTTCCCGACATAATAACTAAAAAAGTGAGCACCAAAATCGACGAGGCACTCGCAAGGGCAGCTTCTCATTCTCTCTGAACTGCGGTGTTGTAACTCCGTCAACAGCAACAGAGGCATTCGGCTGGAAGGCACCAGTTAATCGGGTCGCTCGTTCAACCGAAACACCGGAAGGAAAACCGGAATCACCCAACTTTTATTGTTAAACTGTCACTTTGAAATACCAAAACAGTAACCTTGAAAACACGTTTTTTTTGATTTGGTATCGATTGTGTCTTTTTTTTGTTGGCTGGCTGTTGAAGAAAAAGTTTGTGAAATAGCCTATATGCACAAATTTAGGCTACCACATTGCTATGTTTAGTAGGCCTACGTGTTAGGCCCTATGGTTTGGCCAGGATAACACATTAATAAGCCTACAATTCAATGTAAATGTTTTCTTTTGAGTGAGAGATGTTTGGATAATCTAAACAAATTGAGGTCAAATAAAGTCTAGTTTTCAGATGTTTCTGTGAGAGGGGATTCCTAATTGGAGCCCAAAGAAAGGCACAATTAATATGTCTGTTAAAATGTGGTTTGTTGGTTGCCTTGAGAGAAAGACGAGGCATCACTGTTGAATTTCAAGAGTGAGAATGGTCTTGGAAGTGATCGCATTGCGCCCTCTAGTGGGGACTGGAGCCTACTATTTGCAATCACGGGCTTAACTGCAGGCTATTGCCTTGAGAATATCACATGCAAACAGTCTCACAATCATGAGACCAAAGGTTAGAAGTCATTCGGTCGCAGGTGTAGCTAGTCATATGAGATAGTGATTCAGAGAGAGCTTACAAACGTTTATTCAGAGGAGTCAGGAAAGTGTAATGCCTTCTGGCCTTTCCCAAAAAGCAATGTATAAATGTTAACCTCACATAGTCTTACCCTAGGCAACAGCTGGCCTTTATTATGGTTCTCCTATCAGGTGGTCCTCAATAAATCCTTTGTTTTTAGTTCCGGTGTCAGCTCATATGGTGGGTGTAGTAAATACTACTACTAATATGTAGTAAAGTGGTATCACATGAAATTAAGTAAAAAAAAAGTTAACTTTCCCAAAAAGTAGAGATTCTGAGTTGATAGATACGGTATATGTACTTTATTGATGTCAAACTGGGAAAATGTGATGTCAAAGCATCAGGTTATCATATAAAAAAAAACCAGGAAAAACTTAATTATAAGTCCTAACAAATAGAAAGAAGTATTTTAAGATGGACATTCAATTCAATTAATTAAATAAAATACAATTTAAATTAAAAAAAATAACCAGCTAGTTTTACCATTTTGAGTTTATACATGCCACATTTTGCGATTGTAAAATCTTTGAGGCTTCATATTTAAATGTGAGGGGCCACTAAGTTCATCCTATATAACTCTATGATCCTAGGGTTGTCATGGTGATTTTCATACCATAATGTCAGGAAAAACTGTTTTCTTAAGCCCTATTTGTGGTTGTGTGTGTGGTTGTGTTTGAAGACAATCCTTGAGGTATGTGCCTCTTTTAATCTGTTGACCCTGAGTGGAAAGTTAGACCACATAATTGGCAAAACAAATCTCTGTAAAATCATAAAAACGTCAAGCTATGGGCTGATATAGATCTCAATACGACAGTTCCTACAATGTTTTATTTGTCTTTGGAGATTTAATTTTAAATTTTTATCTATTCAATTCGAACATATAATGGATGTGGTAATATTAACAATCATCACCTCATTTGGCTCTAAATCCCCTGGAAAAAAAAACCTTCAATGAACTTTCATATAAGTAATGTTTTTTTTTTTTTCCCCTGAGGGAAGTCTGGCTGCGGTTTTGGGTTGTGTGCATCGAGGCAGTTTTGCCGCCCCTCACGATGTAAGCTTCACCCTGAGGTTAAGCGGCATGTGACTGGCTCAACAAAGAGGAGGGGGTGCCCAGAAAAAAAAAAAAAACCCTGAAGAATTTAAGGCATTGTGACTCACATGGGCTCTCCCACTTTGTGTGTTTGGTTCGTTTGCCAGGGACAGCTGTCCTGCTATGATGTGGTCCCTATTTTTTATTAGTTTTATATCATTTTTTACACTTTCCCATCAACAGTTTCCTCGTCTGTGTGCCAATCGGGAGTCACTTCTCTCCAAGGAGTGCTGCCCGGCCTGGGAAGGCGATGGCTCGCCCTGCGGAGTCAGCTCGGGCCGGGGCTCCTGCCAGGATGTGGTGGTGCCGGAGGAACCGGATGGGCCGCAGTACCCCTTCTCCGGTTTGGACGACAGGGAGAAGTGGCCGTTAGTTTTCTACAACAGGACTTGTCAGTGTGAGGGGAACTTCATGGGTTACAACTGTTTAGACTGTAAGTTTGGCTACTATGGGGAGAACTGTACTCAGTGGAGGGCGTCTCTGAGGAGGAATGTTTTTCATCTATCCCATGATGAGAAGATCAAACTTGTGTCCTATTTGAATCTGGCCAAGCAGACAGTCAGCAGGGACTATGTTGTGGCCACAGGAACATACCAGGAGATGGAAAACGGCTCTATCCCCATGTTTTCTGATGTGTCTGTGTATGATGTGTTTGTGTGGTTACATTACTACGTGTCCAGGGAGGCTCTGTTAGGCGGCCCTGGAAATGTATGGAGCAATGTGGACTTTGCTCACTGGGCCCCTGCATTCCTCCCCTGGCACCGTCTGTACCTGCTGCTGTGGGAGCATGAGATCCGGAAGCTGACTGGAGATATGACCTTTACGATCCCGTACTGGGACTGGAGAGATGCCCAGACATGTGACGTGTGCACAGATGAGTTGATGGGGGGCAGTAACCCCCCAGGATCCCAGTTTCCTCAGCCCAGGCTCGGTCTTCTCTTCTTGGCAGGTAAACACAAACACACAAGAATAACTACTCCAGCTTCTTGAGGTGCAAAAACATTTCTCCCCCCTCTATTTTTTTTTTTTTTTTTGCATCTCTAGTCCACAGTAGGCCTATTATGTAACAGTGTGACTTTCCAGTTGAAATATTGAAATAGGATTTAGTTCTAAAATATTGTCTAAAGCCTACACAGTCAAACATTTGTACAACATGAGATTGTAAACCTTTGTCCTAGATGGAAAAGTGAAAACAGAAATGGTTCAAGCTTTTGTCCGAATTGGAAAAGTATGATTAAAGTAGATGTTCCTCATAAACAGTATAACCTGTTTTTTAGATGAAAATGAATGAGACGTGCACCTAAACTTATTTTTAAATATCTGTTGTTTAAAGGTTTGTATAAAAACCAGCCTTCATGTGATTAATCTATTAGTTATCAACTAGGTATTACATCGACCTCAAACTAATTGATTTATCAGTCTGAGTGAAACTTGAATTAAAAAAAAAAAAGTCAAAGCTCTCTGATTCCAGCTCGTTTAATGATTAGTTTTCTTGTTTCTGAACTTCTCTATTTGAGTAAATTTGCTTATCATTATTATTATAGCTTAAAACAAATGTCTCGTATACACTTCATTGTTGGGATTTGTGTTTCCATTGACAGGTACTTTGCTCCAAAGCAGAGGAGTACAGTCTTCAAGGTGTTTTATGTGATGTCACCGAAGAAGGACCGTTGCGCCGTAACCCTGGAAACCACAACCGTAACCTAGTTCAACGGTTACCAACTTCAGCAGAGGTGGCGTTCGCTCTCAGTCTGAGCAACTATGACACTGGACCCATGGACCGCAGTGCCAACATGAGCTTCAGGAACACTGTGGAAGGTAAGACAAGCGTGACAAACACACAGAGACACACACACACACACACACACACTGAAAGTCCTGCTCCTCACTTGGCTTCTTCATCATACTGTTTTCACTTCACTCTTGTTGATAGTACAGGGATGATCACCAATGCCAAAAAGACTTACAATCAGAAAAAAACATGTTTGTTTTAATAATAATGTCTAAATACAGTATAGGCCTATCTTATTTACCATAAGAAGCTGGTAAAATGACTTTACTAATGGATGGATATTTTAATGTAAGAAATACAAACCTTTACTGAAACTGTAAAAGCCTATCACTAAACTGTTATGATGCAGATTTCACAAAAATTCTGAACTCTATCTGGTGTGCACATTTTAAACACAAGAATCCTAGAGCTAATCGAACATTTTATTGAGTGAAGCAAAGGTCAGATGAATACAGTTTGGATAAATGGAGGATTCTTCTGCATTTTCAAAATGCACGTACAATAAAATATCAATCAGTGCATCTTCTCGCAGACCACACAAAGAGAAAACGAAACAATGTAGTTAAATCATATTACATAGTTGATTCAACCACAATGGTAGCGGAAATATTTTCCCCATTTTAAAAATGGATACATGAAAACAGACACTTCCTCAATTCCATTCATATATTTTGATTTGGTAACAGGTATACTGTATTTGGTAACTCTATATAAGTATAACTGTATAGCTATTTAGAGGCTCCAAATAGCCATCTGTTGTTTTTCAATTCTGCAGCATTTGCATTAACAGCTCTAAAGCAAAACTGCACGACCTATTTCTAAATTATTTATACACAAATTGGATTTGATTATCATGCCACTGAGGTGCTGCAGAATCAGGCTGTAAAAACAACATTTGATCTACCTATTCAGTTGATCCATCAAACTTGTCAAGAAAGAATGAAGAAAAGTAAAAAGGAGTTTTGTTTCGAGCCACTCGATGAATGAAAGCCCAATATTCACTGTACTCCCTCATCTGTGTTATTCATCTCTACCTGTCCTGGGGAGATATGAGGTGCTTTAGCTAAATGCTAAATTATGGTCATGAGCCAGCAGCTAACTTAGTTTCTGTTTTTGCAGCAAGACAAATAGCCTATAGTGTCATTTTTGAGCTTTCATTCTGGAAACTCTGATCTTCTGTGGCCAAAAAACAGCTCCATAAGAGAATTGCATGTTACCTAAAACAATACATGACGGTCTCAGACAACCTAATTTGCAGCAGCTAACATGCTGTATGTATGACCTCACTTACTCCTTCTCTTTAATCTGCCCTGTCAGTGAGTCTCTCCACCCACTCTATTGCCTCCAACAAGCTTCAAACATAAGATACTTGAACAGTAAATCCTTTCAGGGATTCGTTGAATGTGACATTTAGTGGAACGGAGGTCAACAATAAACAAAAGGACAGTTGTCCATTGTTGATATCTATTTTAATGATGAGCCTTTTGTGCATCACACACGTCTGCTGAGTCTCATGTGATTGCTGCTAACACAAGGATGGGTTAAATGAAAACTGATACACTTGTTTTTTTGTTAAATGTGAATTCCCTGCAGAACTATCTGAACAAAGTGCAAACCCCAAAAGGATTTTATCGCCTCCCTGGGTTACATATTTTCATTCTTAATAGAAAAACAAGTAATCTGTTTGATGAATTATTTCCTAAATGCACTTTCTTTTTTTTTTTTTTAAGCATTCATCTTAGTTCTCTGTGTTTCCAATGCAAAATCACCGTTTGGTTTTTATATCGTCAATGAAAGACATCTCTAGGTTTGGCAGACTATGTTCCCCCTGCATCTTTTTTTTTTTCCAATTTGTGCTGATTCTTTTTTGTCCAGCCTTTGAATCTGTCTTATTACGTATTTCACACTTCCCTAACTGGCTCTGTGGGCCTGTAGTCTTAATGATGGAGCAACAGTAACCATCACAAGTGTTGTAAAATTCACAACACATTTGTGCAACAACTTTACATCTTCTACCAGAATCTATAACACAGTTTTTTTCTGCAAATTTGCAATGTTTAGCCCCAGCTCACTGCTGCTCGACAGTAATTTGTTCTGTCTACATCAAATTCCTTTGCTTCCCAAACAACTGCTCGCTGAAATGCTGATTTCATACTTATCGTCTCGCAGGATTCGGGGATCCTCAGACGGGGATAGGAAACAGCCCTCGTTTAAACATGCATGCTGCTCTCCATGTTTTCATGAATGGATCCATGTCTTCAGTGCAGGGCTCAGCAAATGACCCCATATTCCTTCTCCACCATGCTTATGTTGACAGGTTAGGCATGCATGGACACATTCATGTTTTGTATTTAAAGTACACCTACACACTTGGCACCAAATAATGGGAGTGCGTTTCTTTTCCTTTTTTTCTCTGGAAGTATTTTCGAAGAGTGGCTCAGGAGGCATAACCCGTCTTCTGCACAGTATCCAGAGTCCAATGCTCCCATAGGACACAACGCCCGATACCACATGGTGCCCTACCTGCCCCTCCGCAGAAACAGAGACTTCTTTATTTCAACCAAAGAGCTGGGATATGAATATTCAAATCTGTTAAATTCTAGTAAGTGGCACTTGCTGTTTTTCTACCTAAAAACTTCCTGAATTGTGTTATACTTGCAATTTACATTTACTCTTCCTCTGCATTATCAAAATGTTTTTTTTTTTTTTTAAATCCTATAAATCTTTACCCAAAAAGAATTCAAACTAAAAGTAAAGTAAAACATGTTAGCTACATTTCTGTAACAGCTTTTGTCTTTTATCCTCAGACCAGCGGATAGCAGAAGCCATGCGTCCTTACCTGGATGAATTGAGGAATGTGTGGCCCTGGCTTCTGTTTGCTGGGCTCATGGGAGGAATTTTAGCGGTGTCCCTGGTTGCTGCTTTCCTAAAGGTTAAACAGCGATACCAATGGCGACCCATGGGGGATTGGAACAACCCCTGTTCATACTTTACTGCCTACTTATTCAAACTTTTCCGGATCCCAGAGAAAAAGCCAATTATCTTGGACAGCATCACAGAAAAACAACCACTTATCCTGGGCAATGTCACAGAGGAAACCAGCGCCCGTAACTACCAGACAACTATATGAAGGCACAGACCACCCTATATGATAAAGCACATATATATGAATATTAATTTCCTGAGCACTGTGAATTATACATTATATTGATGATTGTGATGACCCTATTATCTTTGTTAATGGCACTGTATTTAAACTGTATTAAAAGTGTAAAAAAAAAATGCATGTAGCAACTTTTTAAATGGGTTATATTAAAGGCACATTCCACCCACAACTTGTAACTTGTCAAATTGTACCGATTAGACAATTTCAGACATGGTCTGTGGAACTTATATGGTTTCTGTCATAATGACTTTCCACATTTATTCTCTTGGGTTAAAGTGGATTTAGCTTAAAAAAAAAAAAAACATGCTCTGCAGTTTGTTGCATCAGCCATGGACGCAGGGTTAATCATATCTTACATGCTACTAACTGCCAGAGTAACATTAAGTCTTCCATTCTATTTTTCAGAGGACCTGAGGGACTTTTCTTGTGTGGGAGTCAGATGAACCGCACTATTTGGCTACCACCAAATTGATTGTTTGTGCTGCGAGACATGCTTGTGGAAAGAAAAAAAAACTGTGATCATGTCTGCATAGATGTCAATGTCTGAGACATCTCTTCAGAATCCTGACACAGTTCACTTTTCTAAACTTAGTCTTGCATAATATTTTTCCAAAACTTGATGACTTTTCATAGAAGAAAGCAATTCCCATGTTGCTTGCGGTCTGAAACGTTTGCTTGACAGGTTGCACCTACTTGAATCCAAGAGAAATGTTCTCACTTGACAAGGTCATAATTATTAGATGAGTTTGGCTCTTAAGTAACCTCGTAAAAAATGTTGTCCACATTAGAATCATATGCATTAGAAATACTGACAAGGGATAGAAATCTGTCACATACACACACACATCAGCCCTGTTTTAAAAAAAAGTTCAACACAGAAGTTTATTTTTGGTAAGATGAATTGGTTCCATATTCATTATCTCCTTACATCATGGCCTCATTCAGCCAAATATAATTCATACATTCCAATCCTTGAGACATGCTGCCTAGCAAGGCATTTTCAATTGTACAGTACTTGAGTTGCTTAAAATACCTTGTGTTCAAATGGCATTCTCAGATATACAGTACATTCTCATTATTAAAACTGCGCTTTATGTTGACAAGAAAATAGATAAATAGAAGATTGGATCATTTTGATGTTTAACTTGTACAAAATATACATCAGATATAATCATGTAAAAAATAAAAGAAGAACTGGAGCAATTAAGAAAAACAACTGAGGAAAGGTTTGAGTGGGAATGAAGCTGTAAACCTGATTCTAAGAGCCAGAGGGAACTAATTGATTGGGTAGTACATATTTTATTCAGAGTAAACTTTTTACAAGCTTGGACACCTTGTAATTTCAGATTTTTTACTCAAACTACAGAAGCTTTATCTGACATGGGTATATATCTGTGACAAAGGCATTTATGCAGAGCAGTGCGATCAGGTAAATGAAATGTAAAGATGGAATTAATCTTTAACCCAACCATGTTGAAATAGAAACCAGTAACAACTGTGGTCCACTAGATTAATTGTTGTGACTAGTCCATATGAAAGGTTTTATGGGTCTGAGATCAAGCGTGGTCAAACTGGGCTCTCATCTAACTGCATGGGTTTATTTTCCCAATGAATTTCAGTGTAAATAACAAGTTTGTCTGACTTTTATTAAAGTGAACTAAAAGTTGGTGTTCCCTTAGATATCGTTCAGTGCTTGAGTGAAAAACTGTTTAAAAATACTTTTGTGTCCCTAGCATTCCAACATACACGACAACCAATTAAAAAGGTCCAAAACGTTTGGAAAACCAGACAAAAGAAATCAAGTAGGATGACATGAAAGAATGAAAGGGTAAAAAGCAATGTGACTTTAAAGAATGGAGGCCAAAGTTCAGACTCGTTAAAGATTCAAGGAATGGACTGCACGGCCTTGGATTCAGCTAAAAATGAACTCTATGATTGCATTTTAATTCCTCATCATTCATCATTCATCTTCATCTTCGCTTTCACTCTCCTCCTCTTTCTTGTCACTCTCCTTGGGAGGGGGGACGGGGGGTGGGAGGTCCAGTCGAGCCCACGACATGGGCTCGGACTTCTTCATGACAACCTCGATCTTTGCAGCCATCATGTTCACTGCACTTTTACTCACATCTATCACCTGCAAAGAAAGAAGAGGGTGTGACTCGGAATGGTTTGGTACACAGATCGTCTATGTTGTAGATGTGATGAGACATTTTACATCTGGTTGAAAGTGACGCGATACTTACTCCCCACAAGCTGATTTTCTGCGCAAATTCCTTCTCTCCCTCAAATATAATATGGATATCGAGCTGAAAGGCAAAAAAAAATAAATGTGAGATTGTGAAGAACGCAATTAAAATATAAGCCCTTAAGCTATGGACGGATATCTGACAGACTAGGGTATCCCTCACCGATGTGCTGTTGGCATCCACAAAGCTCAGCTCTGGGACACCATTCTTGGCGTAGATGGAAATGATGACCTGTGCCCCGGTCTGGTGCCAGTCAAATCGACATGGAACTACTTTCTTACCCTGCAATATTATAAAAAAACAACAACATTCAAAACATTACTTGATACACTCATTCAGCCAGATTTTTTTATAAGGCAGAAGTGTTTGCAACAAACCACTAGATGGCGTCACAGCTGAGGCTCTCTCCTGCAGACTTTACACACACAAGCCATTGCCTGCTGTCAAACAGGAACACCTACCTCATCTTTTTTCCTCCATAGATGTGTCCCCTTGAAGCAGCCCTCTTGAGAGAGGAAAGTGTTGAAGTCTGAGGTTTTCCGCTTACAGCAGCTCCAGTATTTCATCCTGTAGAGGCCGGAAAAGAGATACAACTGTTGTTGTTTTTTTTTTAGCAGTTAGTGGTGAACTGTCACTCAAAAGTGCTAGTTAACAAGACTAACAGGAAACTTAGAGATATGGCCCCTGAGCTTCTTTTACAGTTTCAAGGTTTATCTGTCCTTATTAATGTTGATGCAATGAAAAGTTTAAGGTTTTTAACCTTTTACTGAAATATTCTAAAAAGAAAAGTTGTTAAGAAATACTGACCCTTCATGGAAGATAGGAAAACCAGGATGTGATGAGCACACTTCTGAGTCGCTTGCAGGTCCATCAAAACTCTGTAGATAATAAAAGCTAAGATCAGAAGAGATATAAAAACTACAAATAGGGTTGAATTGCACATGTATGGCACTTCAGTCTTTCACAACTTGTACTGTAATACTCTGATTCAATATGCATCACAAAAAACGGTTTTAAAAGAGTTCTCTAATACTCTTATTTCTTTGTAGATGAATGGAGAAATATTTCTGTGATAGAAGTGAAAGGACAATTTTCTGGGAATGGGCAAAGACAAAATAAAAGCTCTATTTCTTTCCTCTAGCAAGACCTCAATTGATTAATCAACTAAAAGCAGGCAGTCCTTGAGAGAAGATCTCAAGGCTTTCAAGATATCTGTTAAAGTTTATTTATGTAAATCATCAAGTCCAACTCCAAGCTTCTTCAAACCCTAAGTCAGTGCAATTTTTCATTACAATTTGTTCTGTAATCGAGGGGTTTCTGCTATGACAGGTCCGATTAACTTGCAGACTTTTTTCTTGCTGTGCATTTGTCTCAGAGCAAATGTGGAGGAGGATGAGGAAAACAAGCCAGAGCGGAACACTTCAGACTTAAAATACTTAGCACGGATCATTATGTTGTATTTGACTGACCTCTATTTTGTGCAGATCCCACAATAAAAAAAATAAAACATAGCATCAATTAGACGGAAAATATAACAAAAATGAAGCTGCGGTTCCTGAAGCCCTGCAGACAGTAATGTCACATTCACCTACTTTAGTACATCCTCCATTTTTACAAGATGTTCCGATCTTGATCTCGTCACTTTCTTCCTCTGGAAAGACGGAGAAATGAATAAACACAGACAGATAACTGACACCAATACGAGCATCTTAAAATTGCATCTGCAGTTATGATGAGTTGTCCTGTCGGCTTTAACTCCCAAAACCACGACGTGAATGACACAGGTGACGGCTAATCCCCAGCGGCTGTCCCATTAACTTCCAGAGTCGACATGACCTTCCTGTCTATTTTAACAATAAAATGATTGTAGGCCATTTATAAAGAGAACAGCAAGGGTTTGGTATGGTTCTGTACTCACCTTTCTCTTCTGCTGAATTTTCAGAAAGTTTGAGTTTCTCCAGGGCCTGCTTCAGGGAGGTCGAGACTTTATGCTGCAATCTCACCATCGGCTCGTCAGGACTAGAATGGCAAAGACAAAAATCATGAATAAAAAGAAGAGAAAATGAAGGAACAAAAGGTATGTTTTATTAAAGGTTTGTTAATAACTATTTTGAAGGTAAACTGTAATTTGAAAAATACATTACTGCCAAGATCTGTTTAAATCAGGCTTCTGAAGCGAAGCCCGTCTAAAGACCATTAGATGATTTGAAAAGAGTTTCACTTTCTTGGTAACTATGGCCTCATCAGTCGCTTCTGCTTCTTTAGATGATAAAAAATAAATAAAACTGTTAAAGCCTGATGTGCAACCTTGGTCTGCGTATCGCCTCCTGAGGCATTGGTGCGGAAATGATGTACTCGTTAAACTTTGGTTTTTGGTCATCTGTGTCCTTGTCTCCTGGTGATATCACATCTGGTTTCACCGGCTCAGGGGGCTTCTCCTTGTTGTGAGGTCCTTTTGTACAGCCCTGTACACGAGACAAAGTCACTGCATCTGACTCACAGGAAATGAGAGTCATGGCCAATATATGGCCACAGGAAAAGGTGGCATTCAATGCTTATGAAGACAATAAACAATGGAGAGCTGACTATGGGGGATTAAAAGTATGGATTAAAAAATCAGGAACAAATACTTACAACAATGCTTAGAAAGTCGGAGAAGTCGGTAGTTCTTCTCTTGCAACAGGACCATCCCTGGAGAAAGTCAGACAAATAATTAGTGTGACCAGAAAACAGTATACATTGAGTAATTTTTATTTTCAGGAATCCTACCTTTAAAGCATCATGGAATACTGGGACTCCTGGATGATAGGTGCAGCCATCTGGGGGGGGGGGGAAAAGCAGAATTGCAATTCATTAAAGGGAAAAATCAGTGGTGAGATAAAAAGACTGTGGCAGAAAATGTACACATGAACATTTGCCTTGAGAGAGAAAAGTAATTTCTGATCGTTTTTTTTTTTTTTTTTAAAAGCAACAGATAGAAAATTCACAGAGTATGAGAGACATTTTTTTTTTTTGCAATATTTTTTTTGAGTAACAGAAACAGCTTTCTTGAGACGTTTTCAAAGGATTCTGAACTCTTTCTGCTCTGTGTTACTTCTACATGAGCGATGCCCGGTGTTCCTCCCCCCCCCCCCCGACCCCGACATTAATGTGTGGAACACTCTGTACGGACTTGGACCAGCAGTGTTTGATGTTGCCTTCATGTTTTACCTGTCAAAATTACTTTGTACAGACTGAGGTGCTTCAAGTTAGCTACAGGAGTGAAACAGTCCCCCTGAAGCATCTCCAAAATGAAACAGCAAAAAGTTTCACCAGTTTGCCTTGAATTGCAAGTACATCATTTTTTTCCTCTACCCAGGAAGTTGCCCTAAAAGATACATTAGTGTGAAATGAATAAAAAAAATAGCTGTATGACACTATAAATCAAGCATGTTTTTTTTAAAGTCTACTCTAAACTTTGCCCCCTCCATGCTGTTGCCTTAGAGACACCCCTCTTAGATGCCCCTAAAGGTAATGCTAATATAGTCCACTGTAATGAAAAGAGACATCTGATTAAAATGCTAATTTAACCTGACTTTTTGTGCATTGCCAGACATCCAATGTTATATAACTGGAAAACAAAAGGCAGACATTTTAAACACAAGAGATACAAAGAAGTCATAAAGGTTTCACCGTGGGGATGAAGCCAACAAAAGCACTTTGATGGTTCAATTATATAGAGATCAGTGAGTGATGTGAGCAAACTTTACAAGTAAGGAAACTAAAAAATAAGGAATGATCTATGGAGACAATGATCTATCCCCCTACACCACTTCATATATATGAAACAGTTGTCTTGTTGGGGTAATTACTTTTTGAAGTACACAGGCTTTCCTGAAGAAAACGGGATAATAATTTTGACAAATCACTGAATGTTGTGGAGGGAGAAAAAAAAACACCTCCACTATTTCTCACATAAAACAAAGATGTCAAAACCAAAACCTTCAAACACTAACTGAAGCCTGACTTTGAATACTGGGAAGTGAATCCCTTTCCCCACAAATAGTAAAGAGTGACATTAAATATGCATGTTTTCTTATGCAGCTATTGTTACAGCAAACAGTGTCAAGGATTTGCCCACTGTTTTTTTGTGAAAATAAGCACTTAAAACCAGTATGACCTTATCTGTCAGATTTAGTTTTTTTTTTTAAACTGACAGCACACAGTGTGGGTTCAGAAAACACTTTCATGGAGCCCTTTAGTCGTAAGGAAAAAGTAGCGTTAATATGAAGTTTACAAGTTTTTCATCTCTGCATGCTTCAGCAGGCAGTCAAGCAATACATAGACCAGGGGTGGGCAACTGGCGGCCCCCCATCAACCCTCAACGTGGCCCTCAGGTTAATTTTTTTACACATCAATTATTTGAAAACATGACAAAATCTGCCATGAAATCATGAAACCCAGAAATATGTCCATAATAATATTTGATCTACTTGTATATTTTGTATTCTACAATTTGGCCCCTCTGGCAGTGAGAATTAAATGAATGTGGCCCCTTGCTGGGACCAAAGTTGCCCATCCCTGACATAGACCTCTGTGATTACAAGCTATACTTACTCACTACGAGGATTACACTAAGTTAAATCAGTTTGAAACGAAACTTTCTCATGTCTGTATGTAGTGGGGTTGGGCACAGTAAGTAGGCTGTGATGGGCTTTTAGCATTGTCTCACTCTCACTTTAGTTTAGCATTATTTGTGTCAGCTTACAATATATAGAAGCTACGTAACAAACCATACAAGTGACCATTTGAAAGACATGACACTTGAAGTTTCTTCCCTTTAAAAAGCCATGCTCACTCTTCCTTATCATTCTGTAGAGCTGTTCCTCACTGTATGCTAAAAACAAATCTATTTAAACGACCTGTTTAGTAATGTAAATGGATATCAAACATGCTATTTTTAAAGTCTTTTCTACTGTAGCTGACTTTGAGGGGCTCACAGTGTGTACACCTTCCCGGGACAATGGCTCTTCAAAGGCTAATGTTACTCTCTAACCTGCTAATGCTTGAGCATAACATGCTAACAACGTCCTGCTCTCTCTGTCACAGCAGGGCCCACGTGTCTTTAACACCCCCGAGTTATTAGCAACAACATTGTTGATGTTTTTAAGTTACATATATGTGGAGTCCAGTCAGCTAGTAACAGGTTAGCAGTCTAACATGGTTACACCTGGCCTACTCGTCTAGAAATTTCCAGAGCGCCGAAGGTTTAACGTTAGCATGCCAGACAAGTTACAGGACAGCGCGATAGTTGACCCAAGATACTACTCACCGTCTGGGTTGTTTTCGGGATCAAATCGCTGTCCACATGCTTTGTTGTAACACAGAGCAGACATAGTGGCGACTGGAGTAAGTTTAATAAACGGCTAACTACTGGAAGCTTCTGTGTTGTGAGATACGGAGCCGCCTTAGTAGAAGTCGGCTGCTGCACATTACACTGGCCTCACTTCCGGATGTTGTCGGCTAAACTCGGCAAAGTTCGGCGCTCGCCCAGCCCGCCGCCTCCAATCCTGCGAGCGCTCAGTGGTCCCGCACAAGCGACAACTGATGCTGACCGCTTCCAAACTTGGCGCTGAGCGACATGTTCTTTATACACATTTACTCTCCAGCAAATGAACACCTTAAAAGGTTTTAACGTCAGTTTTTTGCGTGAACTATTTCAGATTGCCACTGCACTCAGGGATACAGTAGTCAGGTGCATGAAACTGGGGCAATAGCTATTTAGTTTTATACGAGGATGGCTGCATCCTAGTAGACAACTGCCTCTCGGGATATGTTCACATGAATTTTCCATTTCGGGCATCACCATCGACTTCTGCGCGGCTGCTTTGTGCGTTTCTCCCTTTCATTCTTTCTTTTTTCCCCCCTGAATTACATTGGAGAAAGGATGTGGAAGGATTTGCTTTCAATGATCACAGCTGTTTCGTCCAAAGGGAGGACACGCCGCGATGTGTGAGTATGGCATGTATGAGATAGATTACAGCCTTGTTAATTAATGTCCAGACTGTAGCTCCAGGCTTTAGCTCACAAACTCGCAGATTTTCCACGGAGGAGAGCTCCCCTGCTTGTGCAGCAGCAAAGGAGATGCATCTCCCGGGACAGTCTCCCTATGCTGAATTGTGAATTGAGTCGTTATAATCTGACAGCCCTTTTGGCGCTTATATAAATTTATAGAATCGGTCCTGCATACAGTGGGCAAAAGGTGGGCTCGATTTCCATTGTATCAGTTAAATAATATTTTCTAATTAAGTTTCTCTAAAAGTTGTATAATTATCTTAGCGTTAATGTGTCATTGATTTTGATTTAAAAAAAAAAAGAAAAAGTAATTGACATTAAAAAGTAAATAATTATTTTTAAACAAGATGCCCTATTCTCCGTTTCATTTCATTTCTGTCAGTTTCTCAATTTGGGTTTTAGCTGGCTTTGTATCCGAGTTTAGACTACCTGATGATAACAGCTTGAAACAAAAGGTGTTTGTGTAGCACATGATTTCCCTGGTAGTCACTGTCAAAAGAACAATGTATTAATATTTTTATTGCATGAAAAGGGAATTTTCCTGAGCCCTTTTAACTGGAGTTATGTTTCACTTAGGCTGTGTTAAGTGCACTGTGTATTGATGTGCTATGTTTTAAGGGTTGTCTTTGCTCCTGTGCATTCCAGGGTAAAATAATCAGTATTTAATGCAACCTGTTTGAGCTCAACATTGAATATTTTATCATGCGCCGTAGTGACACCAAACCACAAAGATCTTTAAAACTTTGTCTGACAGTTTTCCATGTCTTTTTTTAAGCATGCAGAGCATATTCATCTAAAAAAAAAAATCACCAACTGAACACAGATCTATTTTTCTTGTTATTCTTCCATTTATAGGGTGACTTGGTGATGGAATAGTGATGAAGCCTAATCGGTGGGGAAATATGCTTCCTCCACCGATCTTCTCTCTCTTTTTCCGTTTCATATACCTTTCCCCCCTCCTCTGCTTCCCCTTACGCCATGCTCAGTTCCTGCCAGAAATGAGAGCAGGACAAGGTCTGCTTCTCTTCACCCAGCCCGCATATAATGCTACTATCTTTGAAAACTCTGCTGCAAGAACATATGCCAGAAGCCTGATCAAAATGGGCATCGTTCTTGGCCCACCTCGGTCTTTAGATATAAAATACTCCATTGAGTCGGGAGACAACGAGGGAATCTTTCAGACTGAAGCATTTTTAATTGGAGATTTTTGTTTCCTTCGTGTACGTACGAACGGGGGCAGTGGGGCCATTTTGAATCGGGAAGTACAGGACAATTACACGGTGACTGTTAAGGCATCTGCCCAAGGCGGCCTAGAGGCCTTAGCTTCTGTTTATATCAAGGTCTTGGATACCAATGATCTCAGACCTCTCTTTTCCCCAACCTCATATTCATTCGTTGTCCCCGAAAGTGCCCCTTTGGGTGCCAGCATTGGACGTGTAACAGCCACAGATGCTGACATGGGCTCCAATGGAGAGTTCTACTACTTCTTCAAGAACAGAGTTGACCTCTTTGCTGTACACCCAACCAGTGGGCTCATAACCCTAACAGGTCAGCCCAGAATAGACAAACAAGACACATTCGAGTTGGAGGTACAGGTGGTTGACAGAGGCATGAAACTCTATGGGAACAATGGTATCAGCAGTACTGCCAAGCTGTTCTTAAGTGTGGGGCGGGTGAATGAATTTGCCCCTGTTATCAGTGCAGTTGCAATCCTTCCATCATGGCTGGACAAGGACCCAATCTATGCCATAGTGACTGTGGAGGACAAAGACGATGGGGTATCAGGGGATGTAGAGTGGGTATCCATCATTGAGGGTGACCCCTTTGAACAGTTTGTGGTGGATCGATCACCTGTCGGGAATGAATACAGGGTTAAATCATCAGACACAGTCGACTGGGATTCATTCCCTTATGGCTGCAACTTAACCTTCCAGGCCAAAGACAGGGGTACACCTCCTAAGTTCTCTAATACACAAGTTGTTCAGTTATTAGTCACTAAACCAGAGCCTGTGTTGGCGAATTTTGAGAAGGATGTTTATGTAGTCAAGCTGAGTGAAATAGCTCCCCCAGGCACTATTGTAGAGGTGGTGAAAATCTCCCCAGCTCCTCTGAGTGTCAATTACAGCTTCAGCAGCCTCTCAGATCCAATGTACTTTGATATAAACCCTTTGACTGGAGTTATTATGACCACGAGGCAGCTGACAAGGATATCACAGGATTTCATGGAGATGGAGGTGGTTGATATTTATAGTCAGAAGCAAGCAAGGGTCCAAATCACCATAGAGGATGCTAATGATAACTCTCCCCTGTTTAACAGGCCATTCTACGATGTTGCGGTCAATGAAAGCTTACCTGTAGGAACTGTTGTTCTTGTGGTGTCAGCGGTGGATGATGATAAGGGGGAGAATGGATATGTCACCCTCACAATAAGTGGTGAAAAATCTCTTCCTTTTAGCATAGATCAGGACACAGGGGAGGTGAGGATAACAAGAGATCTCGACTTTGAGTCTTCAGAGGATGTCTATACGTTTGCCGTACGGGCCTCTGATTGGGGTTCACCCTACAGAAGGGAGAGTGAAGTTAATGTCACAATTCGTCTTATAAATATCAATGACAACCAGCCTCTTTTTGAGAGTGTTTCTTGCAGGGGGATGATAAGCCGGGAATTCCCGATCAGGGAGACTATTGTCACCCTATCAGCTGTAGACATGGATGAGCTGGGAATGGTAAAGTACAAAATACTATCCGGGAATGAGTTAGATTATTTTGACTTGAACCCAGACTCTGGGGCCTTGTTGTTAAAAAGATCTTTAGCAGTGGATAATTTAAAAAGTGGGGTCTTCAACTTGAAAATTGTTGCAACAGATGGAGAGATGTTCTCTGATCCCACTTTCGTGAATGTATCTGTGGTGAGGGGCAGGATGCCAGCCAAGGGGTTCAACTGCAGGGAGACCAGGGTAGCCCAGTTGCTGGCTGAAAAAATGCTCGCCAAAGTGTCCGCAATGTCTAGACCGAGAACAGACGAGACATACGTAGACATTTTCTCCATGAACAAACAGGCTCCACAGTTTGAAGCCTTGCCCACGAGTATTTTAGTGAGAGAAGACCTTGCTGCTGACGCCAGTGTATTTCAAGTGAGAGCCCGAGATGGTGACACTGGCTTCAACGGCCGTGTTCTCTTTTCCATATCCGATGGTAACAAAGATAACTGCTTTAAAATCAACATGGAGAATGGTCTGATTACTGTATTGCAGTCCCTGGACCGCGAGAGAGCGGATCGTTACTTCCTTAATATCACCATCTATGATCAGGGCATTCCTCAGATGTCCAATTGGAGATTACTGACCGTGATAATAGAGGATGCAAATGACAATGACCCCCAGTTCTATGAGGACAATCCCTCAGCTCTTGTTCCAGAAAATTCAGCCATTGGCATGGAAGTTGTAACCATGACTGCATTTGACAGAGACAGTGGTCAAAATGGACAGCTCACCTATGTCATGCTGACCAGTGTCCCCCAGTTTGGCATTGACAGCGAAACAGGGAGTGTATTTGTTGCGAGCCACTTGGACAGAGAAACCTTCCCAATGTTCATACTGAAGATTGAAGTGAGAGACAAGGCCGAGAGAGGCACTCGAAGATCTTCAGTGACTACCCTGACTATAATAGTGGAGGATGTCAATGATTGCGCCCCAGTTTTCATCCCAAGCAGCTATAGTGCTCGGGTGCTTGAGGACCTCCCGCCAGGGGCTGTGATTACGTGGGTGCAGGCTCAAGACCCTGACATTGGCCCAGGGGGACAGGTCCGATACTCCTTGCTTAATGACTTCAATGGCACATTTGAGGTAGGTGATGTGTGACTACTTCTAATGTCCTTACTTTAGCAAATGGTGATCCTCTTTTTATTGACACATTGTGATGAATGAGACTGTAATGCTTTGTGCAGGTCGATTCTATGAGTGGAGTGTTGAGGATAAGGAAAGAGTTGGACTTTGAAAAACAACAGTTTTTCAACCTGACAATGCTCGCCGAAGACAGGGGAATACCCAGCCTCATCAGTCAGACGTACGTGGAGGTGGAGGTGTGTAAAACACATAAAAACCACATATACACGCACACACACACACACACACACACACACACACACACACACACACACACACACACACACACACACACTTTTTCCCCCCGGAAACATTTCTATGATCAGATTCATCAATGAAGCATTACAACTGATAGTTCCTCTGATTCACTCCAAGCTTTTAAATATTGTGGCAATTTTTGTGTTTTTCATTTTTTCATTTTTATTCTAAGGAGAGAAATACCTGGGTTATAACATTAAGATCAGAGTTTTGCACTAACACTCCCCAGACGAACCCATAATAATGAAATATTATGATGGTTTAAAGACAAGTTGCATGCCTCACAATTCAGGTCAATTAAATTCAACTCTTTCAGGGTTTTTTTTTTCAGTTAAACTGAAAATAAGCTAAAATAATTTAATGAACAAATAATTCCTGTTGGGAATAATGTTGTTAGTGGACAAGTAATCAAAGGCGGCGTAATACTTTTTGGCCTAGTTGTGTTTTGTTTTTACATTCCTAAAGTGTAATACTACACATCTCTGCCTTCACTAGTTCTACACATGTTAGGTCAAAAATTAACATAAATCTTTACATTTCTTCAGGTGGTGGATGTCAATGAGAATTTGTATGCACCCTACTTCTCCGACTTTGCTGTGAGAGGCTCAGTGAAAGAGAACTCTCGTGCAGGAACAAGTGTCCTGACAGTGAGCGCAAAGGACGACGACAAGGGACGTGATGGCGTCCTGAGGTACTCTGTCAGAGGAGGCAGCGGACTGGGCACTTTCACCATTGATGAAGACACAGGTGAGATACAAGATCAATTTTGAAGTCTATTTATGTAAAGTGAAAATCCACTAACATATGCCATGCATACAGTATCAACACTTTACTGCATCATGCGTCTCTATATATAATAGGAAGGGTTTACCACCCTCTGCCATTTCTTTATGATTTCATGTGTTTTTAGTTGTTGTGCAGATTTTTGGTTGTTTTATACCCCTGTCACATTGTGGGTTTGCATTGGAAATGGTTTACAGAAAGTGCTACAACTTGACATGATTTTTGGGGGTTTTATATGAATGTGTGTATAAGTAGTAGAGAGGAGGAGAGAGTATGATGTACAGACAGAGACAGAGTTTTGATGGGGCCTCACGTGGGAACTGTGTACTGGGACATCATTACTGTAATGAGGGCAGCATGGCAGCTACACTGGCTGGGCCTCGGGCCACTCAGTACAACTGATCCAGTGCTGTGTGGATAACATTGATCAAGGCACTCCTGCACAGCACCACCATCCATTCCAAGGGTAGTGAATCACAGTGACTTATTCAAGAAGGCCTGACCCAAAATAAAAATCCCGCCGTTGTTTTCAACAGTCCGGCAGTCTCCTAATCTAGCTGAAAACATGATGCATTCAAACAGGACTCACTCACCCAGGGATACAATGAATCAAATAGCAAGTACAAAAATAGGACAGTTCACTTCACAGTTCATATTGGCTTTCTATACTGTAGAATGAAATGCCAACTACTTGTTTGTATCTATCTATCTATCTATCTATCTATCTATCTATCTATCTATCTATCTATCTATCAATCAATCTACATATAAAGCATTAAAAGGCATAAATGCATAATGTTACTTATGTGTATGGTACCAACTTACTTACATTTTTACAAACAAATGAAGTAGACAAGGTGTTGTGAAGAAAGTTGGCAACTCAACACTTCAACAGATTCATATTTCACCTAGGGGAAGAGATGTTCATGCGACGTAACAACAAGATCGCCTTGACAATTTCCCTGCATTTATATTGTTTTTGGGAAATCGGACTCCCTGAGTACAAATATGTAAGCTTGATTTTAAAAGTTTTCCATTGACAGCACTGTTATTACCAACTGGGCAAAGTTTGCATCCTTAACTTTTCCATCTCAATAGAAGTAGTCATAACTGAGACCTTTTGCCCCACGTTAAGGCTCATTGCAGGCTCTGTCACTATCCATGGTGCTGAAGACTTTAAACCCAATTACCCACTGTGTCTCTCTCCATGGTGCTGAAACACTCAAACTTCTAACTCTCAAAGCAGTCCCTCATTCTATCTTCTCTGCATGATGCCGTCCTCCGTAGTGCGCTGTGTTTCATAATCACCCTTGATGCAGTGAAGTGTTGGCACTGACAGGTCCTCTATTTCAAAGGTGAGATTTAATGGGGCTTAAGATGGAAATCCCTATTTAACTGTTTAAAAGTAAGCAGCCAGTCGTATATCCCTTTCTTCCTGCCAGTTTCTACTTATACTTAACCCAATGAACTGTTTTACAGAAAACAATAAGCAATAGTTTGATTTAATCATAGCTTATCATCATAACCAAAATGTTCTATTCTAATTTCCCACCCATACACCCATCAATGCTTTTGAAAAAACACACCCAGTTTGTCTTAATTTTTACAACTTCTTTTGTTTGCTCTTAAAATCATCAAACTTTAAATTCAACTTATCTCCATTTAAACAGCAGAGCTTTATAACATGTATTTATAGCCACTTGCTAGTTATATAATTAGAACAGTAATCTATTGTACAGCAACGGCCAAAATCAATTGTAATTAGTAATTGGAAATGTGGAAACCTGTGCTGCTAAAAGGTAAGCTGTACCATTCATTTTAGCTGGTTGTTGATTTAGCATTTATTTTTGTACGGGAAACACTGGCTGTGTTCCTCTGTTGGCCTCTCTCCTCACCTTTTGGCACACTGGTCTCTACAGTACATGACTTGCACTGGAGGCCTGTGCTGACCTTTAACTAGGCTAATTAGTATTGACAGTAGATGAGAAAGAAACTGATGAACAAATGGAGGGGAATGTGTCTCGCCCTCGTTTTGCCTGTATCTCTTTATGTATAGAACTATGTACACATAATTACACACTGTTTGCACAGTGTATCTACTGTACTGAAAGATAAAACAGTATTGGAAAACTTAGACAGATCCCTACAGTCTTCAGAGTTAAAGCCTCAGTAAGGAGCATCACAGCCAGCAAGAACGTTTATTGAGTGCAGATTTTCCAGGGGAAATCAGGGTGCTTGTTAGAGCAGAAAGAGAAGTGAGAGGGGAGTGAATGTGAAGCGAAGAGAGGAAGGAAGAGGATGCAGGGGAGTCTATAGTACAGAAAGAAGTGTCAGAAGAAAATACACCTTTCTTTTCCCCAGGACTTTTTAGACATATCATTTTTCTTTTCAAAGTTTGTTTGTACAACTGGTGGCTTTTGTTGTTTTCCTAGCAAATATCAAATGTGATGTCTCTTGACCAGTGCCTTTATCAGAATAAGATTATCAGACACAGTAAGCACAGCATGGTAAATTATTGTACATCAAGCGCTTCATTTTTGTCTTGTAGCATAGAAGTCAGTTTTGTCAGGCGTGGACAGAGAAACTCCGCAATGTCCTCCCACCGTGCATTTAGATGCCATGTTGAGTAGCTCTGCTTTGACTGCTTGTCAATCTGTGGCTCTTAGTGCCAAAAGTAAGTATGTGAAGATAGAGTGTGACAGACAGTGAAGAAGAATAAAAGAGACAGAGAGAATGAGAAAATGTGTGAGAAATCTATTTTTTAAAGCCTGTTTTAACCTCCCGACACACACACAGAACTATATTTTGCTAAATGACATTATGATGGCATCTCGGGCAAACTATGACATCCACAATGTTTGCTTTACTTGCTTATGAGTGCCCCCTTGTATCCCACACTTGATGTTAAAATGTATAAGATGACTCACTCCAATATGGATAGAAAATAAAGGGGTTATCTATCAGGAAAAAAAAAGACTTGGGATCTTCTCTGGCTTAAATTCTTACCAATGCTGTACTTTGAAGAAAAATTGGTATTCTTGTCATTGGTACAGGTGAAAGCAAGCCCTGCAATTTCTCATTGGGTAGCTGTCAGAAGCCACCGCTCCTCTATTAGTGCATTTGTAAGACCCAGGATTTGTCACAGTCAAGATAGAGAAGTCTAGGTTTGTGCAAACACACTTCAAAATGTAATTTATTCGGCATTTGTTAAAAATCAAGAGGCTATATTTCCATCTTTTTTTCCATTTTTTTTCTGCTGCACATAGAGCTATTCAGTTTTGTCTAAAAGTGCAGGGAAATGCACTCAGTCTTCTCTCATCAATCATGGAATTGATTATTGGGTATGGTGGCATTAGTTCGATTGAGGGACCCCAAAAAACTGTTTCTCAAGACAGCAGAAATTGAATTGACATGACAGATAGATGTAAACCCAAGCACACGGCAAACTTCTAAATGAGAAAATATGCCATGACCCTTCAAATTTTTTGTTCCCTCTTTGAAGTGTGTTATTTATGGTGAGAATGGATGCTGTCAAGATAGATTTATATTGAATCCACTGAATAGTGCCTGTCGGTCTTAAAGTTCAAAGAGCTTTTGAAACAGCCAGCTCTGTTTTCCTCGTCTCTCTCTGTCGAGCTCTCTGACAGAGATGAGATGTGGTTTGAAAAGGACATGGCCAAGGACGACAGAGCAGGGATGTGTTTCAGCAAACACTTTTACTTTGCATTGTGCATGCCCTGGGCAGATGCTTAGTCATAATCTGACATGTACACACACTTCTTGGTGATAAGGTAACACCTTAACCAGGCGGCTGAAGAAGCTGCAACGAGATTGACTGGAGTGCATTAAAAAAAAGGCCACACAGTCACACTTCTAGTCACTGATTTGTATTCTAGTTGACTGTAACCTCTGCATGTGGGGTGCTGAGTGGAGGGCAAGGCCAACAGCAGGCATCTAATGCATTACAGCAAACTCATTTAATTTATCTGCATACTTACAAAAAATGCACTCATGAATGGTTTGTTTTTGCCTTTAATAAATAATTTTAACAATCTACTCGGAAAGAATCACTGACATTGTGATAAAGATCTCTGGCCAGAGTTGTTCACTAGACAATATGTTTTTATGATTTTTTAGATTATATCCTCCAAAAACAATTTAATGGGGGGCCAAGGGCAGGGAAACAAGAGAGAGTGGCATTAAGAATGTTTATCCCAAGGGTTTGGAGTCTGGGCTGCACCGTCCAAGCTCTCTTTGCCTCCCTGGAGTCACAAACATCAGTGGCATTTATTTTGGTCAAATTAAAGGAATCCTCGGTTCAGTCCTCTACTTTCACTGCATGGCTAGAGGTAAAATAAGTAGTTTTAGATTCAGTTCTATCTGACTATCTATCTTGAGGCTGTCACTTGTTATTTGGAGTATAGAGTGATGTTACTTACCGTACTACTCTGTTATTTGTCATACTACAGTTATGTCGTCATGGCTACAATGTGGTCATGTTAGAAAATAAAACACATATAAGGTTATTTTAATTTGATTCAGGCTCGACGTCAAGCTATTAAACACTGCCAAATACTAAATATGCTGCCACTACATCTACTTCTAGGACTAATTCTAATGTCAATATGAACACATTGTCTGTCTCTTTAAAGGGACAAAGTCCAGATGGTGGAGGATGAACATACGCTTAGAGACATCAACCAGTCTTTAACTATAAAAAGCATTAAAGCAGTTTTAGGCAAAGAAAAAGGAACCAATGCAAATACTGTACATACGTACCTGCTCTCATGTCCAGGAAGTCACAGCTCTGTTATTTGCTTGCAGGCATTGGTGCTTGCATAGACTCTGCAAGCATTTACACATACTGGTATGTGGTACTTCATACTTATTTCCTTTCTGTTAGTCAAAATGACTGACTCATGCTGCTGTTTTTTTTTAGTTTTTTGTGCACTATAAACATATGCATCTACAGCTTCCTTTGCCCGATTGACAAGTTTGGTCAATATTCCCTAGCTGACTTGTGTAATTTTTAGCTTCTAATGGAGATAATGCAATTACGTATACAGTACAGTTTCATTTTGACCCTGATGATGTTTGGACTGGTTCTCCTTCTATCTCTCAGATCATTTTGTCCATTCATGTCTGAGAATACTACTCCTTTCTTTGGTGTGCCTCAGGGATCTGGGCTGAGTCCTGTATTATTTTGCCTCTGTATGCTTGCGTTTTGTTATAAGCAAATTCAAAGGTATCACTTATCACTCCTATGCTGATGATATTCAGTGGTATATACCGTATGTATTAAATGCTCTACTACTTTTGCTACTCATTTTTTACTATCTGTGTAGCACTTTGAGACGGTGCTCTGTGAAAGGTGCCATCCTTAATAAGGTAAACTTGCTTACTTGTTTAAAAGAAACACACTCATTACCTTGCACAATTGTGTTGTGATGCTCATTAGCTTAGAAATAACATAAGGAACTAAAAAAACTAGAGAATTGTCCAGCATGTGTAATTTTTTTTCTGCCATTATTCCGGTCCTGCTTGGCAGATTTGTAAAAAATAAAAAGCTACCCTTGTGTCATCCATTGTAAGTGTTCCCTTTGTCCCTCAAGAGGTCACCAAAGCTGTCAGCTACTCATCTTCCTTAGGGCCACTAAACACCCGCCAGTCAATGTGTGTGAGTGTCTGACTGTCTGTGTCTGCGTCTTTATCGGTGCAGGGCAGTTTGGGTACGTTTAGCACTAACCGAATTGCAACGGGAGCAGTTTGGTCAGCTGTGATTAGCTGTTGAGAAGCTGAAACATTGAAGGTGACTACAGCAGAGCCTGTAATGCCTGTGAATGTCACTGAAGCCAGGACATGAAGTTTACTCCAAATTTGTGTCTTTGCCTCTGGAAACTTAGTATTCAAAGACTTGCCTTGTGAGATCTTTTAGGGATGTATTCAGCTGATGACACACACACACACACACACACACACACACACACACACACACACACACACACACACACGCCTAATATATGTATTATCAAGCCGTAGTAACAACTGCATTAATCTTTGTCCTCTGTTTCAACAGGGGTGATTTACACTGCTGGTATCCTGGACTGTGAGACCAAAGACTCCTATTGGCTTACAGTTTATGCCACAGACAGAGGGGTCACACCCTTGTCAGCTTCTGTTGAAGTCTTCATACAGGTACCCACATTCAGCTGCAAATACTCAGGACATGTTTATCATGCACAAAAGGCCTTAAATAGAGTAATATCTTTGGATTTTTGCACTGAGAAACAAGCATTAAGATTAAATGCTTCAAGCAGGGCTGGTGTAAGATAGTCTAATGTTGGGGAAGTGGTGGAGTTAGCCTATACACACCCCTGTTGTTAGGTTATTTGCATATTTGCACACATATAACCTATTCAGGAGTTGTGACATTTTATGAAAGGTTGATGTAAACAAAATAGCTTTTTGTGTCTATCTGTCACTATTACCCTCCTACATTTGCAAACATGTTACTGCAGTCTAGAATTAAGTCTTTTAGGCATCCTTATTGTGCTGATACTTAAAATAAACAAAGCATGCACAAGAGACCGTATAGAGGGAATGTCATCAATTTGTTATTAACTGAAAGACAAGCAGATAAACTTTAATGCATATTAATTCTGCACAAATTAGATACACTACAGATTTTTTTGTTTTAAGTGATATTGTTTTGATATTTTCCAAACATCTTTTCAAACTTGGGGGTGGGGGGGGGCTATGTGCTATTTAAATAATAGAAAAAAACACTTCTGGCATATTTTTACTTCTTAAAAATATTATGAAAATTGTATGAAACATATTAGCATCTTTGTCCGTATCCATCATTTAAACATTGATACATTTTTGCAAAGATTTAACTGCAGGCCCGTTTTCATGCTTTACAAAATAACAGTATGATGGTAAGCTATCACTGTGTCATTTTCTGAAATAATAATGTTGCTCTGTGCAGTGGATAATCATAGCAATGCTGACTGTCTGTAAGCAAGTGATACGCACTGGAGGGAATTCTCTGCTTCAGTTTCTGTTGTGTTTGGCAGTAACTAATCCACTGTCTAAACAGTGGAGTGCACACATCACTGCTACAACCCTGCTTGCCCTTTGGGGGAGAGTTCAGTGGTGTATATAAAAAACAAACAGCCTTTTCTGGCTTTAGGATATCCAGGTGTGGGGATGTGATCGGGTGCTTTACTCTCAGCCTCTTCATCACAGACAAAAATAGGGAGATTAATCAGGCACAGGTGCTCCTCGTGCGGCTGAACCATCTTGGCTCTGTGTGCCTCCCAGCAAACACTCAATCAACGCACTGTTTGCTATAAATATTCTAGATCTATGCTGTAAGAAGAGAAATTAATCTGCAGTACATTTTATGTGACATCTATGACATTACTGGTGAACACATTTGGTGATTTATAACCCAGATCATGTGTGTGCTCCATTTCATGAGGCGTTGATTAAAAAAGACCCTAAAATCTGTAGATAGAGTTTCCTTACAACAATAAGATATTAAAGTGCAGGCAGATTTATAAGGTTAGGTTTTATCAACTTGACAACTGCCAGCTCAGATCAAACTCAGAAGATAGTTAAGCTAAAAACAAAAAACTTTTTTTATTCCTCTCTTTTGCCCAATACTTGTTTCCTTTTCTCTCTCTCTCTCTCTCTCTCTCTCTCTCTCTCCTGTGTTCTCTCTCTCCCTGTTCCTCATCTTTTCTTCTTTTTCTTTCCCAGGTAGAAGACGTAAACGACAATGCTCCTCTCACCTCTGATCCAATCTACCACCCAGTCGTCATGGAGAACTCTCCGAAGGATGTGTCAGTCATCCGTATCCAGGCGCAGGACCCTGACCTCACCGCCACGCCCAGTCGGCTGAGTTATCGCATCAGTGCTGGCAACCCGCAGAATTTCTTCTCTATCAACCCCAAAACAGGTTCGACTTGCAGACAGACACACCATTTGAAAAAGCTGAACTATCTTGGTTGTTTTCTCTGAGGTTAGACATTGAATACTAATGCTATAAGTTGTATATTCTTGAAAATAATAACGATTATGTTTCTGCTAATTTGTTTACGATACGCTAGAATGTACTTTTCTCACACCACTAAGTCTGCATTCATTCAAAAGAAGGCTTAAGTTCCCACACGACGAATCAAAAAGACCCACATACACACACACACACACACACACACACACACACACACACACACACACACACACACACACACACACACACACACACACACACACACACTCTTCACTTAATATTGCTTCCAGTCTTTTTTATGGGTCAAAGCTCCTCAATGCTCTTGAGAAATTGAATGAAGTATGTTTTTTATTAAGCCCACGTGTGGGTAAAGTTGGCAAACTGTTTCAGGAGAATCTCCTAAGACCTGCAATTTGATTTTTATTCAAAACATGTGGTTGCCAACTACCTTATGGGTTCACCATGAGCCCAACTGGATCAAGAAAGTGAAAGAGTCTTACCTTGTGAAAAGATTTACACAAAGCCTGTGGCTGTATTTTACCTTTTTGAGTCTGTAGGAAAATACTGCATGAAAAATTAAAGCCTGTGAATGTGAAAAAATCCTCGCACAAAAGATACAATTTGCATCTTTTTCTGATCCTGCCTATTTTACCTTAATGTGTTTCCATGAATGTGGCCTAATCTTCTGATTGGTTGATTGAGCATTGCACTTCTTTAACATGGACAAGGAGCTTTCAAAATTGAGTAAATAGATGCAACAGATCCAGACGTCTTCTTTTTATGATTGATATTCCTCGTCCTTGTCAAAGTCTTGTGCCTACATTACCCACAATGCAACCATTGACGGTTTGACTTTTGGAGGTGTGAGATTTGGGATTGTTATGCTACTTTTGGCTATTGTAGCCTTGAGCTTCCAGCTTCAGAGATGTGCAGCGGGCTACAGAGGACTGGTTAGCTCAGTTCTTGCAAACTTGTCGTCTGAAGTTCAACGTGACATCACTTGAGGAAATTGTTTGATTTTTGCTATGCTTTATGCTACTTTTTTCTTAACCTAAGAACAGATTTTATTATAGGTGGATTTCTCCTTAATTGTTTGAGACACAGAGTTGGAGCTTTCCATTTAAATCATACACACGGCTTCCCTGATATTAGTCAGTTACTAAGACGTTCAAAAATAGTTCTAGGTTATATAATTGTTGTGTAACCTTACAGTTAAGATGATTTGTGTGCATATTTTATTTATACATCCGTAAAGTGTTTCTAGAACCACTAACCTTTTACACTTATCTGTGAATTTTATACAATTTCTGTTTTTACATCCCCACATGAAATCCCTAAGAGCTCACAAAAGCCTAAAAAAAAGAGAGGATTTACAACTTCAGCATATGAACTGAATATCATCTCACAACTTGATGTTTTAACACCTCTCTAATCTGTTTGAAAGCCAAGTTTCAGTCAGTGCCTGTCTTGATCCTGTACTTGTCATGGAAAAGCCTCTCTTATTTTTGAGTAATCCTGATTTGATTGACACAATCTTTGAAGTCTAACAGACTTGCCATATATGTGCACAACATGTTAACACGTTTAAAAAAAACGCTGAATCAATTCAGATGCGTGTCTGTTTTTTTTTTGCAGCTGAGATTGAAGTCTAGGGAGGTCCCTGTGCATTCTCAGCACAAGCTTTCCTTGAAGCCTCCATTAAAGAATTATTGAAGAGGTGAAATGTTTTATTTAAATGCAGAGAGAAAAAAAAGTTGTGTAGTCGTTTCCTTCTCTGCCCTAGATTAAGTTATGAGTGTTTAAGTAAACAACAAAGGATGTGAATTCTGATTGAAAGAAGCATCAAGGTAGTCATCAAAAACTGATGTACTAAATGCAACATTCAGCATTTCAGTTTTTTAATCTTATGGCAGAAAGAATCCCCTAATGGTGTGTTTCTGAATGTTCACTATGTGGTGGGCATTCTCTTTAAGTCCTCCATCATTAGTCTTTCAGACATCATACATACACTGTTAATATTGATCATATATGAGAGGAAGCAAATTGAAAAGGCTAATAGTGATGCTAGAGGAGATTTACTGATCCTCACTCACTAATGAACTTCACACAATACACACTTACTCTGACTTTGTTCTAATCTTTAAAAACCTTGAGAATAAAATGACACAGATATATTTTAAGTTATAACCTCTCACTGTGCCTGAGTTAATGCGTGACGTAAAAGCTATGAATAAATAATAACACACTGTTCATAACAAGCACTGTTAGTGCACTGTTAGTGCTTGTTCATTTAACTACTGTATGTGTGGCTGTGTGTGAGGGAGGTAAGGAGTTAAGTGTCATTTTAATCAATTGGTTACAACAGTGTGTTAGAGAGGGAAGCTGTGTTGCAAGGAGCCGATGACGATGATCCACCTCATATTGTATGAAGCTCAAATGACTCCTAAGCGCACATGTGTTAGCCGACTATGTGAGCCAGGAAAAAGACACAACAGCTGCATAAAATCATTTGATTTAGTGTGTCAAAGAGTGCGTCTTTATGTATGTGTGTGTGTGTCTGTTTACTTTCATGTGCCACAGGGGAGTCTTTTAAGCCATCTGAGCCCTGCTGTCTGTCTCTGTCAAACAGCCACAGCTTTTTGTCATGTGTTACTTATTAATTCTACACAAGGAGACTCATATTGATGACTGCCATGTTCAAACTGTGATCAATGTGCTTTCAGGGCAATACTGAAAAGGTTTTGAAAGTATTTTGCAAGCTTTTCTCTCAGACATCAGGTCTACTTCTATCAGCATATCAAAGCCTTTAATGAATAACATATGACCATTACAGATGTTCAAATACCATTTCTCCTTCCAGATACAAATTCTGACTCTCATTCTAACAGAACCAGATAGAAACACGGACCCAAATTTGCAGACTCACGCGAGGCCGAGTTCAGTAGAAGGCAGAGTTTTAATAAAAAGGTCAGTGGCTAACAAAGGTTAGTGGTGCAAAACCCCCCAAAGGGGCAGGCTAAAGGCAAAAACGAGAAGTCAGGCAATGGTCAAGTAAGGAGCAATAAAAGCTGGCACAAGGCGACACAAGGGAACACACAATAAATTGGCAACAAGAGCGGGACACACTAGGATTAAATACACAACCAATCAGGGGGTAACGAGACACAGGTGAGCAAAATCAGGGCGGGGAGGGGGGAGCACAAGGCGGGAAAACAGAGGGATCAGGATGTGAAAGACAGAGACAAGGGTGAATACAAAGTAAAACAGGAAATTACAAAATACTAAAATAAAGGAATAAAAAGAAAAACATTAGCCTACCTCAAGTAACTTGACAGGTTGTTATTACATTCTGATTCCTAGTCTTTATCACTACTGGTTAATGCTTCGACACTATTGCAATAATAAAATGTAATTATTATTATTATTTGAAGATGTAAAGCTAGAGGCAATGGTTGTCGTCATTTTCTGTCTACAACTAGCGAATTACACTGAATCCTAACCTGAAAACAAGCTTAGCACAGAGAAACTAGCTTGGCTGACATTAGCCGCAACTTAGCGTACTAAGCTCCTGATATTTTGAGAGACTTTTTTGGTAACACAACACTATTTTTGTGCCTTTGTATCATCATACGTACCAAAACGCTGACTATTGTTGTGTTGCTAGCTTCAACCAGAGTTTTACTAGCTAGCTGCACACTGTTCCTGTTTGCCACTTGTAAACAGCAGAGTAGGCGTTTGTTAACGCTGTGTAATCTACTATTATGAATTAGAAACAAGTCACATTTTGTTTGGGCTTATAAATCATGGTACATGTGTTGACTTTTACAAAACAAATCCTTAAACAGCATTTTAGGAATTATCATAGCCTTTTATGATACTGGTATGGCTTTCTAAACTACTCAGAAAATGTTCTGGAAATACAAAAAAAACATCTATAAACTGTGAGTGTCATTACACTGGTCTAGAGAAATGGGACTGACAGTGCAAGCCTATTACTTTTGGTAATGATGAGACGTGCATGAGTGAGAGGTGCGTTCACTCTGAATCACTTCTCATACTGTTTACCAAGTCAAAAACTTTCTAAGCGCTAGACTGACTTCATTGGATAGATGAATAAACAAACCCCAGCCATTGATTTGCTTTCATAAAGCAGCTGTCATCCACACTAAGATCTGCGCCGCAGGCAAATCTCACCCTTCAAGTTTCAGATTGTTTGTCAAAACTTGGTTCTTGGGTGGTTGAAAGTTATACATTTTTCAGGTTCTCTCTTGAAGTGTCAGTTTGATGGGTTTTGAGGTTCTGCAACAATTCCCAAACTGTTTTTGAGCAGAACTTTGAATGAGCGCAAAGTGTGTTAATGTGCTGTGACAGCTTACAATGTTGTCTGTTTATCTCAGGGTGTGCGAATGAAGCCTTCTTTCCTTTTGGGGCGAAGCAAGAAGAGAGAAGTGTTGACACAGGGTGTTGCATTGAGTGTTTCTCACATGATTGCTTGGCTATGTCATGGAATCATAGAGGCTCTCTGTGACCTGTTATATAGACCACAAATAGATGGTATTGGTTTTGTTTGCCAACATCTAAAAAAATCCATTGTATTAGTTGAGTCAATGTTCTAATTAACTATGAGAAAGTGTATGATGTTTCAAAATCTGAAGATTGTAATATTATTATTCCAAAGTTAGCAAATATCGCACAGTTCTCCCCTTTACACAACAAAGATTCAAGCTCTACATTGATGTTCTTTGCTTTGTTTTATTAGAAGAAAAAAAATATATATAATATGGCCAATAATACACTTATGTGAATATGTGAAGATGTGGGTGGAGATGTTGTACATTTTCTAGTGTCCAATTAAAACAGGATTGTTCAACCATAGATTTGCTGTGTGGTGTAGATCATTGATTATCATTAGAGTTGTTACTCGCACTCTGTTCTGCTGAACAAGCCCCCCCCCCTTCCACTAACCCCTCCAGTCTCTCTCCTGCAGCTTGTGACCGCTGCTCTACATTCACTCCTAATTTGCTTAATTGAAGTTAGCCAGCGTAGCAAGCTCAAGGTGACACTGTTATATGTGCAAGCACGAGCGTGAGAGCGCACAAGTGTGTTTGTGCGCCGTGGTTTTAGTCTATCCTTGAGCATGAATATTTTAGGCGCCCAAAATAATCCCACTTTACCGAGACGCTTCATTGCACTGAAACAAACACATCATCACAACTCAATCAATCACTCTGTCGAAACAACCCACACAGAGGTAATATCTGAATACATATGTATGTGTGTGTGATTATTTGTGCATTGACCCATGTGTGAATAGATGTCTTATTTGCACAGCCTATAGTTACTCTGTCCAACTGTGTAATGAACTGTAAAGTAAAGTAAAATAGGAATGCCTCAGCAGATACAGGTGTTCTTATTTTCTAAAACGTAATCATAGGAATCCAGCGCTTTTAAGGGAAATTTTCTCATGTTTAGTTGCTGTGAGTAAGACAGATCCGGGCTGTGATATGTGTGCTTTTTAATGTGTTTGGATACTCTCTTTAAATATTCAAGATTATGTTTACTTGTATTTTTCCTGATATATCTTCATACTTGAAATGCTGTTGTCCTAGCTCACAGCTGTGTAATACATTTTGTTTAAATAATAGTAATTAAACAACCCTGCTAAAAAAAAGTCAAATATTATTCCAAAATAAAACGACTAAAAATATTTTCAGTGACACCAGCTCAGGAACAGGCAACAAAGTGAGGAGCATACTATGTTGAATGGTATGAACAGATTGTGATCATTATCATTCATTTCTTTGGAGAAAACAAAAGTCGACTGAAAGTGTCTAGTATCTGGCTGAATCTGGGTGTGGAGTATTGTATGGTCTATTTTCTTGTTTTCCTGCTGGCTAGACTAACGTCTGGGGAACTTAAGATTTGTCTAACTCACAAAAGTTTTTTACTGTCTAAACCAATTATTGATTGATGACAAAAACTGTGCCTGTGATTGTTTGAGTGTGTTTGTGCGTGTGTGCCTGTGGGGCGTCTTTGTCGTTGCAAAATGACAGTGAGCTGGAAAGCAAGTGACAAAATAAGAAAACACTGGAATGAAAAGAGGGAACAGGAAGTGTCGGGGGGAGGGGGGGGAATAGAGCTGTCGTCGCCTGTGATCTCTGGAGCAGCCCGCTCCCGTTTGTCAAAACATGGAACCATCATCTGTATAAACCGGTTCAATGATCGCTATTATCAATAGTGTTCGCTCCTTTCCCTCCTGTCCTGGTGGCACGCTGGCCAGCTGAGTGACCCTCTACTATATAGTGCCATATGAACATGTGCCAAATGCTATTGTCCCTGCCAAGGCTGCAGGCTATGTTTTTTCTGAGAGTGTATGGATGTATGTATGGACAGAAATGTTTATTCCAAAGAAAAAGACGTTCAATTTTGAAAATTATTTTGTGTTTAACAATGTTTAATAAGCTCACATGTTTTCAAAAAGCTGTGTTTTTTTAAAATCTAAAGCTGCTCTTATCTGTTTTTTAGGCCTGATCACAACAACTGCGAGGAAACTGGACCGAGAACAACAGGCTGAGCACTTTTTAGAGGTACAGAAAATACCCGAGCAGTTTTTATAGATTCATAGTGTTATTATTTATCTGGCCCTGCCACTTGCCACAGCCCACTATTAACAGAGACAGGCTGGAGGACAACCCTGGCAGGCCCTCAAGGCTCCATAAACTGTGATGAATGGCTGTAGTTTTGGGCCCCAGGTTTAGAATTTTCTAAATGTAATCGTTCATCATTGGTTATCTTCTCTACTCAGGACGGGAACAGGGAGGAGAGGGGTTGCTCTGCCCGGTGTTTGATAAGCGCAGACACCAGGCATACAGATAGCTCTGTGATTTCCATTCCTTCAGCTCCTGCTGCTCTGCATGCAGATGAACCTGATAATCACAGATTCGCGAGCAAACTTCGACTTCCCCAGACTTTTTCTTACAACTTATTAAATGAATCCGAAACTACAAGCACTCTGTTTGTCTGCGAGGAGGAATGAAATGACCCAAACTTGACCCTGAGTGATGTGGTCTGCCGTTTTGCTTCTGTATTGCCACTTGACTCTTCAAGACTCAATTACTTTTTATGCTGCTTTGTTCTGCTCCAATACTTAATAAGGATGCCAACGCAGCACAAAAAAAAAAGCAGAACAAGATGTTGAGGGAGGCTGGCATCTAACAGCATCACATACTTAACACCTGAAAGGAGTTTAAAATTGGGGGCAGAGAGGTCTTTGTTGTTGCTTCTTTCTGTCATGTCTTCTTCTGAGCTTTCAATAGGAATGCCAGTCCAGTCTTGCCACACACTGCTCCCCCTGCCAGCCTCTGCTGCCTGTTTGTAATTAATAGTCAAGTGAGCAGTCAGGCTGGCAGCAGTGGTGTCCACCCCGATCTGATCTGATTGATCAGTGATCAGACCTCTGCCTCTGCCCCCAGGGGATCAATAATACAAAGCGATTTCCTGGGAAAGCAACTCCACGTGGGCCAGCATTCCACATTCACAGCCACACACATAGAGCCAACATTTTGTGATGTTCTTATATCCCTATCAAATACGACCTCAAATATAAAAAAAAAAAAACATGTTCAAAACAACAAAACAATGAGGCTTCTCTTTGCTCTAATGGTTTGTATGTTTACTTTAGGTAACAGTCATAGACGGCCCAGTAACCACCCGCCAGTCCACCGTGTGGGTAATAGTTCACATCGAGGATGAGAACGACAACCCACCCACCTTCCCTGAGGTCACATACCGCATCAGCCTGACCGAACGAGACCGCAACAAGCGTGGGGAACCAGTCTATCGTGTCTTCGCTTATGACCGGGACCTCGGTGCAAATGGTAACATCACCTACAGCATCATTGATGGAAATGAGGACGATAAGTTCAGTATCGACCCCAGAACGGCTATGGTGTCATCAAAGAAGATGGTGACAGCTGGAAGCTATGATATCCTCACTGTAAGTGTCATTTAACAGATTTAAAAAAAACGGTTATTTGCTTTTTTTTAGTGTCCTGATTTTTCTTTAAGTGCTGTTTGGTATTTAGCTCGGCTATTGAAAGCTTTCCAATGAGATGCTGCTAAGGAGATTACAGCACTCATTAGCAACAAGGTGAACGTGACAATAAATCTATAGCCTGAATTACTCACTAAAGATGCTCTTACTTAAGATAAAGGCACAGTGCTCCTCTATTTCCTCTTCCTGGTTACTGCTTTTACAATGTTTGTTTTCTGATTCAACTTCATTTAAAGCCTCTCTGGTTCTATTAGTTAGTTTTTCAACCCTAATATTTGTAAAAAAAAAATTATTTCCATGGTCAACAAACTTAAAAAAAATTCAAAGGGGTTGGCAGAGCAGACCTGAAGTTGTTTTTTATGCACATCAGGTTGCCAAGTGCATTTTGGATAACTACTGCATGATTTGCGTTTTATCCCCTCTGTCAGACCCGGTGTAATCCGAAAAAAAAAAAAAAAAAGAATAAATTGCCATTTGTGTAGCTTCCTTTTTTTCATACAAGCAATGTATTCATTCCTCTCCAGTCCCTCTTTCATATGCACTGCAGACACTTGAATTTCCTTATGCATCTCATTCACTGATTAGCTTGTCACTTCTGTGTGCTTTCGAAGTCTATCCCCACGCCTGTGCTCAGCTGAAGTGGTAAAAAGCTCACATTTTGAAATGTGGAAGCAGCAGACAGGGACGACAAACACACCAATCCTCTCCCCCCCCTGCAGCCATCTTTCTTTATTTTAGGGGTAATGCTGTTCTCAAAGCAAATAATGGTTGGAAGAATATATTTGGCTCTCAGGTTCAGCTCTTCAGTGAGCACCACTTACGGCACCATTCTTTATAATTACCTCTCATATAGGTTCCTCCCAAGATTTAAGTTGATTTATTCTGCTTAATGCTTTTCCTATTTGGTGTGGGAAAAGCAGAGCAAGATATTCAAAGTCCGACAGAGACGGCGCGTGCCATTAAACTGTAATGGCTGAGATCAATTTTGAGGTTTGCAAAAACGATTATGTATAGGTGGGACGTAGGGGTGTAGACGTGTGTAGATGTAGAGTAGATGAGGATAAATCACATCCATATATCCTTAAAGAAATGTTTGACTCTGAAGTAGAGAGGCTAGAACATGCCAGATTTCCTGTTGTTTGCTTATGCTAACACAAGATCCATCTGTTGTTCTTAGTCTTCTATCAGCACTTGTTGATGTTTGATTTATACGTATTTTTCTTCTCTTAGATTAAAGCCGAGGACAGCGGGCTCCTCCCTTATGGTCGACTGTCAAACTCCACGTCGAGTGGATTCGCAAACCTGTCCCCTCGCCCGTGCCTCTCCAATTCACCCAGAGGTACTACAACTTCTCTATCCTGGAGACGGCTGCTGTAGCTCAGCCAGTGGGAGTAGTCGCTGTCAGCCAGTCGAGTACACCTCTTTGGTTCAACATCATCGGTAAGTACATTTCAGTCAATATTAATATAACAGAGAAGGTTTGGCTGGGAAATTAAAGTGCTCTGGGTTCTCCAAGGCAGCACAAGTGACTCTTATCATTTGTCAAATTTGCTTCTCCAAATAGTTACTTGATGTGTTATTGATGTATTATTATTGTTTAATTCATTTATTTTCACAGCTCAGATTTGTCAGCTTACCTTGAATTGTCCCTTGAGGGATGCATAAAGTGTTTAGAATCTAACTGACTTCATAGCTTCATAGTGCAGTTTTATGGGGGTTGCTTTTGAGAGATGTTTGTTTGGCTTTTTGGGTCAGATCTGTTGCACATGAAGCCCTGGAAGCAACGTATTTCACACCCTGCAATGTAAAAGTTAGCATAGTGTTAAGTCTCCAGATACAGATTGCAGACTTCTTCAAAGACTTCAGCAAATTTCCTGTAACTTGGAGATATTTTAGGTGTTCTTATTTCTTACACTGCTGTCACTCTTCGCAATCTTGCCTGTAGTAAGCATTTCTCCCAGTCAAAAATGACTTTGTTACAATCAAAGGGCATTTGACACATTGTGTAGTTGTTATTATACAGGCATACATGCCTTATATAAAACATTTTGATCTTTAGGGTTTATTTTTCTAAAAGCAAACTGAAAAACTAAGGGCAAAAAATAAAAGTTTGCTGCTGCTTCTTATTTTTTTGTACTCTGGTGAGGCAATAAATCTTCTCAGGAGCTTAATGGTTCTGTGTCTGTCTGCCTTTTTCAAGAAAATTGAGCTCTGCCTTGGCCCCTGATTCAAGCCTTTGACAGAATAATCAGTGAATAACTCATTATCGATTGCTACTCACCAGTTCTGATTACGAAAGTCTTTGCAAAGACCAAATTCCCATACTTGGATGTGAATGTAAGAAGATGCTCTTGTTCTTTTCCAGCCACACTCATCAAATACAGACACTGTGAACGTGGTTTGTTTTCACTGTTCCACTTTTACAGTTGGTATCAGTGGAGTAATTTTGCAGCAGAAATTCATTAATATTTTACATAATTTTACGCAAATTAAAATCATGATTATTATTCTCTCTCTGAAACTTTGAGAACTGGACTTTAATATCATCCATGATTGAATTACATTTCCCACACTTTGCTGAAGTATTCTGAGGTAAAGTTCACTTGCATTACTTAATAATGTATATGAATGTGAAGTCAAGTAGTCGACTTTGCAGAGTGCTGTATATACTGTAGATGATACAGACCTTTGAAGACCATCCTTGGCTCCCTAAATATTAATTGTCTCTTCCTCTCCCTCTCTTTCTCTCTGCGCGGTCAAGGAGGACGGCTCGCCAGAGAAACGTTCTACATCCCCCAGAATGCATGTGGAAGGAACTGCTCACTGGACACAGGTCTGGTCCAAACTCATTTTTCTTCATTTTCTGTCCTTTAATACCAAAGCCTACTGTAGGAGAAATTTAGATTAGTAGCATTCAGCATTAGTGCCGTCCGTGTTTGTTCAAAGGATGCACTGATTGGTTCTGAAAAGCTGGGAAGGATTCTGATTCATCTCCTCACAAACAACAACAGTTTATAATTTCTGCCCGGGCTGTTCAACCTTTAAATGCCTCTTTGGAAAGTAAACGGGGAGGTGATCTGCATGTATTGTTGAGATAAAACTTCACAAAGACTTACCTGCATTTAAATACCTGAACATCTTGAGACATTATGGCGGTGATGCCCCCTTTACACCCAACATTACTTACTGAGTCTAATGCTACACCCGCCATTTGTTGGGATACAGTTCAATTAAAGTTAATTCATTTTGTCTTACTGGCATTAATGTAAGCTATATAAACAGATTCTGTATACAAATGTGGATACTGCATATAAGGAGCAGTTACAATCCCCTTGTAAAGGTTGTCTTTCAATTCCATTCTCACCTCTCGAGAGACTAATTCTGAGCAATGACCCACATGAAAAAGTTAGTCTTGGTCTTCGTCCTGTAATCTCCTCTGATTACACCAAATGCTTTAAAAATGTTGCCGTCACTCCTAGAGGCTGAGAAAGTTATGGAAGTTATTTCTGCTGAAGTGTGAACATTGAGGTAAATCAAAAAAGCTGAAATAATACACTTCATACAATCCAGAAAGCTGCCTGTAAATGTGTGTCGTTTTGTTCTCAAACTTATCCATGAGATCCCTTTCAGTATGTAGGTTTTTATTCTCTGGCTAAACATCTGTAAACATCTGTACCCATGTACATGTACCTGTCCTATTCTTTTGAAAGCTATGTCTCAGAGAGGAGTATCTTCAAGATGAACACAAGTCCTGCTTCTGATTTATTGTATAGCTTTGACCTTCAGACAAAAGGATGTCACCGAAGATTGATAAATGGACAATCTTACCTCACTTTAACGTTTAAGTGCTTGTTTTCCGGCTGCCACTCAAACTGTCTACTGATAATTAAATGCTCTGCAGAGAAAGGAGAAAGGGAGTTGTTTACCAATATTTCTTCTCATATAGTATTTTATATAGTCCTCCTTAAGCCATTGTATTTCTATAGTAAGGATTTCTTTCTTACAAAATCAATTTACAAATACCCAAAACCTCATCAGCCACAGCAACACATTCTGTGGGAAACTGATGACTATGAGTTGCAACGTGAACGGTTAAAAAAGGCATACAACTACTGGACTGTATTTCTAGCTTAGTGTGGACTTTCATACTTCACATACATGTCACTGCATTGCTATGGGATCTTTTGCCTTGTAGAATGTGTGAAACCATCAACACAGGGAGCGATTTATAATGGAGCACCACAAAAGACCTCTGTTGTTAGTCACGACAGTCAATTACAGTCTAATAGCAATTAAGCTTATTGTTTTGATACAGGTGAGTAGGTAAACTAGCTGGGTAATTATTAAAGAGTGAAATTATTGGCTATCTAACTCAGCAGTAATTACCACATTAATTTACATACATTTTCAAATCTAAGTCATAAATTATTTGCTTTTACATACAGTTTATCTGCCAGTATAGTAAACCGAAAGTCTGAATATAGTACCACTTATATTACTAAAAGTAACCCTGAAGCAGGATAAGACCCTCCAGAGGCACCTCGTACAGACAGGGGAAAAAACAATGCATTTTGTTCCTCAGAAACTACAGATTGTGATTTCTGTGAGATTGTTGTGTAATATTGACCAACCTCTCCTTCAACAAAAAAAAACGCAACAAAAAAAAAAAAGAATCCCTGTGGTGTGCTTCGACTCAACACGCCTCAGTGGTCCTGTGAAAAATGCCCAATCAGTATTCATATGCTGAGCGGAGCTCAAGCGCCCAGATATCTCGAGAGAGACGCTGGAATGAGACGAAGGATGGCACAGAATACCTAACACGCATCAATCCTCTCTACCTCACTCTAATCAAACATTAAGCTTCTAAACTGTACACTCACCGCCAGCGGAAAACACCCAGCTGCTGGGTTTTTGATCTCCGAGATGGGTTGTGTTTTGGAGTGATAAGACAGATGTTTGTGTGGCTCTTAACAGCTCTCAGGGTGCCAAGTAGGTTGGGTGCTACATTGCATTGAATTGCAGTTCATTTTATTTCACAGACCCTCCAGCTCCAGACGCAGGCACCTGGCCAAAACAATTACACAGTAATAAGTTAGAGCACCTGAGTTTAGAACGCAGAGTGAATACAAAATGACTGAAACTCCCTGTGATATATGTGTGTGTGTGTGTGTGCATGTTTGTGTGTGTGTGATCCCAGGGAGCTTTGACATGCAGTTTGACCTTCAAGTCGGGGTGGGGACTCTAGTTGTAGCCAAGCCTCTGGATGCAGAGGTGCAGTCCGTCTACAACATGACCATACAGGTGACAGATGGGACCAACTTCGCCATGGCACAGGTACACACACTTTTGATTTGTTATGTACTTGCACTGCCTCTCACACACTCACTACCCATATTTAATTAAATTATTGTTACCTCCTCCTCGGGGAGCTGTTTATTTCCAGCTTTCCACCTTCCTAAGTGCACTCCCTTTTTCTGAAATTATCTCCTGCTGAGTATGTAATTTGCTTTTTGTTGCTCTGTTTTTGACATTTTGTGTGCCACTGCTGTCTTGGCTGGCATACTAGGTCTGCTTTGTAATGGAAATCCTTGGTAGAGTGGATTAATTGGATTAGCCTTGGCAAATAAAGGGCAAGTGTTTGTATAAATGCAGAAAAAATGCTCATATCCTTTTTAGCTTAAACCATACCATTACTATTGATTTAACAACAGGAGTTAAGTGGAGCTCTGCCTTAAATGTATTCTTTTAGTGGGTTATATATTATCTGTCAAAAAGCTAACCTAGAACTTTGAGATGTGTCTTAAAAGTTTAGAGCATTATTAAATCGACACACAAGGGCTCTTATCTTCATGAATGATTTCCTCCATTTATTCTCTGTTCCTACTTTTCCACTTCTTTCTCACTCTGTTACACTTAGGTGTTCATTCGAATACAAGACAGCAACGACAATCCTCCCATCTTTTCCCAGCCAGCCTATGATGTCAGCATCTCTGAGGATGTACCGGTTGATATGGAGCTTGTGCGGGTTAGAGCCACAGACGTGGATGAACGTTCCCGTCTGAGCTTCTCCATCTACGGCAGCGTGGACCCAGCTAGTATGAGACTGTTCCGGGTCAATCCTGGCACGGGAGTCGTCTACACTGCAGACAGGCTGGACTACGAGGCCAGAACACAGCACATCATCACTATTATGGTGAATAAGAAGAAATAAGAGTGTAATGTCTTTTCTGTGTGTACTTCAGTAAGTGCTTAAATCAAGCAGCAACGTCCTAAGCCTAGAAATTAAGCCAATGCGTAAGTGCCAAAAACGGCTGTTCCTCGAGTAGCTGCTTGAGGCTCACTCCAAAAGAACATTCTCTGTATGGCTTATTAGTAAATGCCCAACTTTACATCAAAATTGAACTTTCAAAGCATGGTATATAAAATGGATGTATAGTATATATATATATATATATATATATATATATATAACTGACCAGTTAAAATTAGATTAAGCCTCAGGAATATGCACATAACCTGTATAAAACATGGACATAGTCTCAGTGACATCACCCATTGGTTTTTGAAGAGGCATTTTGAACAATGGCAGTCGTGATATTTGAAATGCTATCTTATCCTAGCTTTCAATTGATCTAGATACAGGAAAAGAGGTGGATTTGTGGCAGCCTTAAGCTTCCTAGCAAGCAACTACAACATGCCACCCTGTCAGTCACTCGGCTACACCCCTTATTTTACAGTGTGCATGAAAACGAAATGGGTTGGAGAGACCAAAACTGTTTTTTGTACCAGTACCATTAAGTAATTAATTCTGCTGTAAAATGGTCATCCTAACATGCCTGGTAATAGGGCTCCTAGGCTATTGCAACTAGCCTCAAGTGGACACTGGAGGAATGCACTTTTGCACTTCTGCATTGGTTTCATTTTTCAACACCTGAGGTTGTCGCTTGGTTTTACATTAGGTGCCATGGGTGCTTTGAGTGACTGGTGGATGCTGGTAGCTGTCTGCTCGGTATCTCCTTAGCTACTTAAGTCACTATGTCCAACCTCTGCACCCGGTTTTCAGTTGTTGCTGCCTTTTGAGAAGTTTTTATGCACATCTTAGACATATATTGTGGCTTTGTGCTTTATTATTTATTGGCCATCCAAGAAGTCTGTTCTTAAGCTTTTCCGGCAATTAAAAAAATATATTTATTTTGTTGACACACTAGCACCAGCTTAACTAGCAGGTCGTTATACCTGGCTTTTTTTCTTTTGCTAATTTAGTGTTTGTCATACATTAATATATTTGTGGAGACTTGCGCGTGGTAGTCGGGATTATTGTTGGAATATCCTTGCAGGTAAGACTGTTAGTTGTAGTGAAAAGATGATATAGTAACACTTATTTAAATAATACCCTTTTCATGTCAATTAACTGCTACTCTCTAGAAATGGGGGCGAGTTAGCAAATACATTATGCACACCATCATAGCTTAATAGTCTGATGACAACTCCAATCAGCACCCATAAGAATTACAGCAGAAGCTCCTGCTGTGGGAATCAAGATGGATAACTAACGCATAGGCCATCTTGTAAATTATCCACGGGTACAGACTGTTAGGCTTAGATTACATTGAGTTTGCCAACCCTTCAAAAAGAGGGTTTTCATCTGCCTTTAAGAAAAAGGCAGATGACAAATCAATAGGTGATGTCGCAGTGGCTATCTCTATTATACAGTTTAAAATTATGCATGTACCTGTGCTCTTTTTCAAGTGCTGCTCCTCTTGGCAGCTGTGCCTGACTTTCTTAATTTAATCTGATTTCTTTTATTAATCACCCCCTTCAATGTTATCCATATTCATCTCTAATTTCGCTCCAGGTCAAGGATCAAGAGTTTCCATTTAACCGTGACCTGGCTCGTATCCTGATAGCGGTGGAGGACTCCAATGACAACATCCCCTACTTCACCAGCACTGTATATGACGCTGTGGCATATGAGTCTTCCCCTATAGACACTTCTGTACTGCAAGTGACAGCCTTAGACAAAGACAATGGGATTAATGGAAAACTCACCTATAGTATCGAAGCAGGTGGGATTCTATCAGATAATAAAGACGTCTGTTTTAATTATGTTGTTTTTCTGCTGTTATAAACCCTGCCTTGAACCGTGAATGGCTTTTTAATGCTTTCTCCGAGGAGAGCTAATTGGGATTGGTATTTACCAGTAATGATGTCTCTAACCTTTCTGCTTCTTGCAGGTAACAGCGGTGGTGTGTTTGGCATTGATAATACCACGGGGCTTATCTACATTGCCAAGGACTTGGACACCAACTCTCTAGGCTTTTACACACTCACCGTGCGTGTCACAGACAGTGGATTTCCTCCGTTAATGGCCACAGCTACAGCACGCATATCCTTGATCCTCTCCGACTTCTCCAAACCCAAATTCTCTCAGAAAGAGTATCAGGCAGAGGTGAAGAGAGACATGAATAATTGACAGGATGCAAGAGAGGTTCCAGATAGGAATAATGAAAAGCTACAGGCTGAAGTGGCTTTATACTTTTGTAACTATCACCAAAGTGCCCAAAAATGATATAATTTTATCTTTGTATCTACAGATTATGGAGAACAGCACTATAGGAACACATGTGACCACTGTTAGTGCTCTCAGCCGCTCCGCGCTCTTTTATGATATCACCAGGGGCAACGAGGAGCACAGCTTCTTCATCAACCATCACACTGGTGTAATAAGTACCCGCAAACCACTTGACTTTGAGGTTCGTAAATGATTGTGTTTTAAAGTGGTCTGTATGTAAATTATAGCCATCTGCTAAATTGTGGCTAGACATGGTTTAGTCTCTTAATATGTATTAGCTTATACATATGCATATAAAATGACACTTTAACTTATTGGATTTCTGTGGGTTTTTTTTTGCAGCAAACATCCTCCTACCTCCTGGTGGTGCATGCTCTGAGCATGGCTGGAGAGGAGCAAGCACTACTGTTATCATTCAGGTGGGGGATGTCAATGATTGCCCCCCTATCTTCCAACAAATCAGGTATCAGTAGCAGTCAAAAAAGAAGTATCAGTGTCTGTCAAAAAAGAAGAAATTTCATGCTTCTGTGATGCTTGCTGAGCTGTGTTGAGTGCTGACAACATGCAATTTTTTGGAGTGTTTTATGCTTTTCTCTTTTACACCAGAGTCCTGTTTGTCTTTACTTTTACAGGTATGTGGGAGCAATCAGTGAGGCTGCTCCAGTGAACAGTGTGGTGATGGGAGAGGATGGTTACCCTCTTGTCATACAGGCCACTGACAGGGATCGCAATCACAACGCCTTGCTAGAGTTCCAGATTTTAGATGAGACTGCTCGTATATTTTTCAGCGTAGACTCTGGGACAGGATCGATAAGGTAGATTATGACTTTTTTGATATATTTAATTCAAATGATACATCAAATTATAACTTGAGTGGATTTCTTATTAATCGAATTGTTTGTACATTTTAGAACGATTGCAAGTCTGGACTATGAGACTTTCTCTGAGTTTGTCTTCGAGTTCACGTTCGAGACAGCGGTCAGCCTCCAAAGAGTGCTGACAGCCCAGCAGAGGTGGTTATAAAGGCAAGTATATGACATTTGAATCAGCATTCACTACCTGATGAAGGATTCTTGAAGGATCTTGACTCATTTTCATTCTTAGGTTACATTTTCAGACATTTCCCCCTTTGTGTTTTCCTTTTTCCTAGGTGATCAACATCAATGACTCGCCTCCAAAGTTATTACAGGATACCTACGAGACAATACTCCTACTGCCGACCTACGTGGGAGTGGAGGTCCTAAAGGTTGAGGCTTTCGACCCTGACATGACTGCTGACCTCACCTGAGCCCGGACATATCCATCACGCCCCAGCTGGTATATTCTCTGGTGGACAGCAATGTGGAGTACTTCTCTGTGGAGCGCTACACTGGACTAGTAACTGTCATTAATGAGAACCTCAGTAAAGACCGGTACCGCTTCAATGTGAAGGTAAGGGATCGCCACTAGTTGTCCTTATGCAGAATACTTCAATACCTCAGATTTCTCTCAAGAGATTTTCTATGATATGTTAGACTATGTTGAACCATAGATGCAACAGAATGAAGCGGTACAGTTGCAGCAGCAGAAAAAAAGATTGTATTAAATTGCAGTTTTTACCTCACAGAAATTGTAATGCATTCAGTGGTTGAAGCAGGAAATCTGACCCTTCATCTGGTCTTCTTTCCCTTTTTTCCTCATTTGCTTCATGTAATATTAACACTTAACGTTTCACACAGTAGGTCATCCATACACTGACAGAATGATAAAGGGACAGCAGCTAGAGACCACTTTGGATACTGTTTTCATACTGCCTCCTAAGTTTCCTGCCAAGTTTATTTCATACTGCTGATATAGGTATAGTGTCACAGATGACTCTCCACTCAGAGACTCTGTTCCAAAGGGAATCCATTAAATTAATAGAACATTACAAGACAATGTGAAATGGAGATGCAATTCTAGACTATGGATGAGAGCTTTTTTGTGGTAACATGGCACATGAACAAAATCATTTCACAACATTTGTTTTGCCTTATTTGTAGCAGCATTACTGATTGTTGCTGCATTGGTTTATTAATGTATTAATCCCTGTTCTTTGCAATAGCCTGGCCTAAGGCAGCTCCTCATTGTTCCATCTGGTACCCCCTTTTATGGGAAGGCACACAGAGCCTGAAAAAAAAGTGGGTTAAAAAAAGTCCAAAAAATAACTACCTGTATGATACCAACTTCGAATGTCGAATTGTCTTTTGTGTTTCAGGTTTTATCAGACCAGCTAACATAAGGAAAAGCCCAGTTTAAGTAAACTTGCTTTAAGGGTAATTTAGAACTTGAGTCACAACCTCTATAGCTTCCATATGTATTTCAAGTTCAGTCAAGTCAACTTTGATTGTTGTTCATCCATATACAAGGTATACACAAAGTTGAAACAAAAAGTTGTTTCTCACCAAAACTAAAATGAGAGAGCAGGATGCATCCATCCGAAACGCCATCTTTTTAAATAAAACTGCAAAAGTAGTTTTCCACTTTTCGCTGAGTGCCCAACAAGACGCTCTTATCCTTTTGCTTTTGTTTGTTTTAAGGTTTGGGATGGCCGTTTCTCCAGCACGGCGTCGGTCATTGTGCTTGTAAGAGAAGCCGTTGACAGTGGCCTTCTCTTCACCTTCCCCTTCTACTCCGCCTCCATCCAAGAGAACGTGCCAAATGTCACTCGAGTAACTGTTGTAAATACAGTCGGCCACCGCCTCAACGAGCCGCTGAAGTACACTCTGCTGAACCCCGGCGGGCGCTTCACGATCCGGCCGACCTGCGGAGTGGTGCTCACCACCGGTGTGCCTTTTGACCGAGAGGAGAAGAGTAGTTATGAGCTTGTGGTGGAGGTCAGCAGAGAGGATGAGATACTCAGGGTGGCTAGAGTGAATGTGCAAGTTCAGGTGGGTGAGGAAATCTGTAAAGAGTGTTTGTGCATGATGTATACAATGTGCATGGAAAAGTTTATGAAGACTTTTGAAGTGTTTTTTTGTTATGAACAGTTTGGTCCTTTTTTGTGTAGATTTTTTTAATTTACCACAAGATGTTTGCTTTTGCTTTTACAGTCTTGTAAGATGATCATTGTTGTCTTTTTTTTCCAAACCTCTACTTTAAACTCTTGTCTCGATCAAAAGTTCCCCAGATACTGTGCTGAAGTTTTGCTTTGATGCTTTGTTTTTATGTTTGATGTAGGACTCTTCGTAATAGTGTAGCTCAAATAAACATGGTGTTTAAGTTTTGAACATTTTATTCTGAAAGATGCACAGTGGGGTCAAATAGATGTTAGATACACACTATAGAGTTATTGTTCTGTATATCTTTGATCATTTGAACACAAAGAGTGTTCACTGATCATACTGAATGTTGGTGACACTTTCCCAGCAGAGCCTCTGTTTTTACGCTCTTTACAATAACACTATCGTATTTTCCCACATTTGCTGTTTTTACTCCAGGTGGAAGACGTTAACGACAATGCTCCAGAGTTTGTGAACCTCCCATACTATGCTTTAGTGCAAGTGGAGGCAGAGCCAGGATCAGCCATTTTCACTGCTTCAGCGATTGACAGAGATTACGGCCTGAATGGTGAAGTGACTTACAGCCTTAAGGAGCAGCACAGGAACTTTCAGGTGAGAATTACAATGACATGCTCCTATTTTTAAGGGTTGGTTGTTAGCGCAATTGAATAGTACCAAAGAGCTCTTGTATATTCCCTGCAGGTGAACCCAGTGACAGGAGCGCTGACCCTAAAGAGGGCCTTTGAGGCAGACTTATCTAACGCAGAGTACAAGGTAGTCCTTGTGGCCACTGACGGAGGCTATCCTTCTCTATCCAGCGAGGTGGAGCTGCCTGTCACTGTAGTAAACAAAGCCATGCCTGTGTTTGACAAGCCCTTCTATGGAGTCACCGTCAGAGAGGATGTGTCCGTCTCCACCTCTGTGCTGTGCATCAACGCCACCAGTCCTGAAGGCCAGAGCATCATCTTCACCATCTCAGACGGAGACCCATCCCTCCAGTTTGACATTGGCTTCGACTCAGGAATCATCAATGTGATTTACCCATTAGACTACGAGACCACGCAGTATTACCGCCTCACAGTGAAGGCTACAGACACACTGACGGGGGCCAAGTCCGAGGTTGATGTTGACATCGTCGTGCTGGATGTGAATGATAACGCGCCGCTGTTTCAGAACACCTCATACTCCTCTGTGGTCGCTGAGAACTCCATGATTGGAACCACAGTGTTACAGGTGTGTGTGTGTGTGCGTGTGTGGTGTCTTTGTTTGTTGAGTCAGTCCACTGTTTACTCTAACTAAATGATGGTTTACACTTAGGACTCACTACAGCAGCATTCTGGATGAATATTAGGTGGCAAATGATTTATTTATGAGGAGACAATGTGATATTTCCCAAGAAAATTTCCCAGTGGACGCTCTTGACCTTTAGTGAAAAATAGACTGCTGCTGTTTCACTGTGCAACATGTTTGCACAAGACAATTTGAAGACACCAAAACTATTACAATGCAGTGATTTCTGTTACATATTCTTTTCCGTGAACCGGTCTTCAAATAGCATGATGGTTTTATTTGACAATAATATTACAAAAACAAAAAAAAAAACAGGAGGGAAATCTTTTAATTTATGTTTAATTTAAATGCTTATTGTGCTTTCATGTAGGGAAACCAAAAAACTATATGCAATGATAATGAGTCATGTTCGGTTGTTTCCTCCACATATCAACTCATTTATCTTGCACCCTCAGAATTACTGAAGCACAAAAGGAATATAAATGAGGGTAACTTGCTTCATTAGTGTTGGCCAATGGCATCATCTTTCACAGAGATCAGCCTATTGTTCTACTTTCCAGGAAATGATGAAATAAATGAATGAATGTCTGCTTAGGGCTTCCGTACTAATATACTCTAGGCTTGTTAAAAGCCTCTCAGTCAACAAACATAATGCAGAAAATCAATCAATCAATCAAACCACTTTGATAATTCATCTGGGTGTGAACACATTGTACAAAAAGGGTTAAAATGTTGAACAACATCTAAAACAGATACTTAAAAATAAACAGAATGATAAACACACAAAATAACAAGATGAAGGATCTGTCCATCAAAAAAGAGAAAAATCTACTGAGCATTTAGAAGTCCGATAGGATGCAACAACTTGGAAAGAATTTGAACAGCAGATATTTTTCCTAGTAGTTACAACATAACAGTCAACAACAACACATAGAGTTCATGTTCAATAATATGTCCAATACTTCTGTTTGTCTGAGGATTTATTGTTTGCCAAAACAATTCATCCCATTGTTTCAGTCCTGTGACCTTAGTACATATTTCTATGATGCCGTTTCTGTCGTTAAGGTTTTTAAAGCAGCAGATAAAAGAAACAACTCAAGAGACTGTGGAATAAAGATTGATTTTAAAAAAATGACGGAGGATTATGAGACAAGAGCAAGGATTTAAGTTTTACAGAGAAAGAAAAATAGCTTCAGTGTTCAATTCAAATGAATAGTGAACACTGAAAAAATAGAATCCCAATATTTAAATGATGTTACAATTTCCTCGCTTTTTTATGTATCTGCACTGATATATTTCTGCCTTTGAAGACTGACTTAACACTAAGTTTTATTTTTCACTTGCATGAGAAAGAAGCATTTTTTGTGCTAAAATAAGAAAAAAATTGACTTTGTAACTGAAATCTAACATCTTACTTCAAATATCACAGATCAGATTCTCCCTATACAGTTATTTTGTTGTGACTGACAACCTGACAATGGTCTCACTTTCATATATGGTATAATCGTGAGTGTTTAGCTGAAGAAAATAATGACGTGAGATGCTTAATAATGTTTGATTGTTTGTCATTTTAGTTTCAAATGGGCAATCGCTATGTATCAGGGAAACTCAGAGCTTGAATTCCTTTTTTCATTTGGACCCAGAGTGGGTACTGTAGCTGGAGAGGGGGAGGGTAAACAAATCAGACCTGTTCTTGAATAATGCATGAAGGAGAGCTGTGTTTAATGTTACCATCTTTGTAGGTGTTTGCCCAGGACCAAGACTCAGAGAAGAACGCCATAGTGAATTACCAGATCCTGTCTGACCTCTACAACAGCTCCGACTACTTCCTCATCGACAGCACAAGCGGGCTGGTATTCACCGCCCGCCTGCTCGACTATGAGCTCACCCAGCGTTACAACTTCATTGTACGAGCGACGGACAGTGGAGAACCGGCCCTCAGCAGTGATGTCAGTGTCACTGTTTTTGTCACCGACATGAACGACAACCCACCCAATTTCAGCCAAACGCTGTACGAGGCCTTTGTCAGCGAGCTGGCTCCCCGAGGACACTTTGTGACTTGTGTTCAAGCGTCGGACGCTGACATCTGTGATGCTCAAGGCTGAGGTGAGATAAAAAACGTTTTACAAAGATCTGAGTCTGCTGTTTTTTTCTCTCTTATGTTTTGTGCTGGTGATGATTCGAGTTTTGGTTCCCAGTTCTTGAATCCATTTTGAATCTTTTGTGTAAACTTTCTGTTAAATTAAGCCAAGCAATAAAAGCCCATCCCTTACGATGCAATCTCCTACACAAAGAAAGGGAATTTGTCTTTTTTTATTCAGGTGATTTAGCCTCACACTTGTGTAACTTGTGCTTGCAGCAGATTTCTGAACAAAATGACTTTATCAACATGATTTTTACTTTGCTCTCAGGTACAGTCTCGTCTCTGGGAATGACAGATGACTTTTATGCTGGAGCCTGATACAGGGGTGCTCAGCTTGTCTAACAAGAGGAGACAAGGCATGAAACTCTCCTATCAGCTCAATGTGTCTGTGTCAGATGGAGTCTTCACCAACACTGCTCAGGTGCGACAACTTCCTGGGGGTTGCAATTTAGTTCTGTCAACTGATTTGCTCTTTTTTAACCTCTGCTGTGTTTATGTGCTTCGAGCTCCCTGACCTCCTTTAGCAACTTTTCGCTTCAGATTTGTTCCAGACATTTGAAGCCGTCCAGAACAGTATGGCAGCTGGTTTCTAATGTGTGTTCATGTCATATCCAATTTATGATGAGGATGAGCTGCCAACTGCAGAATAAGTGTTCACATCTGTCTCTTAGTGGTAATTACAAGCGGGACTGTTATATCCCACATCTATAAAATGCACATTACATGTTGTAGCAATAACATGCCAATCAATTATTTCACTTCTTCTGAAATTATATGAACAGTGTTCCCACCTACATCAATCACTATTTTGCCACACAGCCTGATGCTCTGACTGATGTTCTACATGCTGAAGTGATGTGATCGTGTTTGACAAATCAGCCAGTGATGCTTATTGCAATGGCATCAAGAAAATGTCAGCGGACGTGAGGACGTAGAGATGATAGGATGAGGATTATAATGATGATGGTGATCCCCAGGTGATTGTACGTGTGCTGGGAGCTAATCTGTACAGCCCAGTGTTCAGCCAGAGGTTCTACCTGGCTGAGGTCAGGGAAAATGCCCCTCCAGGGTCAATGGTCATTCAGGTAAGTTTGTGTTCTCACTTCTCACTCACTGATGTGTCTTATCAGGACTAAATGTCCAACAGCAGTGGAGCAATTCAACTAGATTTTTTGTCTGTACTTCCAGGTTCGTGCTACAGACGAGGACTCTGGACTGTTTGGTCAGATCACTTACTCGTTCATCAATGATCTGGGCAAAACTCAGTTCACCATTGATGCAGATGGAGTCATATCCACTCTTCGGAAATTAGACAGAGAGAATCCTGTTAACAAGGACATGGTTCTGACTGTTATGGCCCTGGATGGTGGAGGTATTCATTTGAAAACTGACTAGAATGATTGTTAGCTTATCCTTTGCACACATCATTTTAAAATCAGCTAGTATATGACTTTCCCTGACCTATAAATCTGGATGGTCAGAAATTTGGTTGACAGTAAAACTGTCGTTATTTTTGGTAAAAGCACTAGATGTTTTACAGATTGTAGCTTTAATATAATATTTAAAAATACATTAATCAAGCAGCAACTTTGTTTAGTGTTGAAAAAAGAAGCCAATGCTTGTACTTTAGTCAAACACCAAAACCAAGGAATCCCCATTAGAGCCATTTTTACAGCAGAAATAAACATGTTTACATACTGGTTAGGAAACGGTTTTGGTCTCTTGAGCTCATTTGTTTATTGGTGAGGACTGTTAGGGGGGAGAGGGTTGTTTTGATTATATTTAGACTAAGAGTTATGCATAGTAAATGTTGGTAGTTGTTTGCTCGAAGGCCAGGCTCCACTAAAGGGTAATCCTTGACCTTAAGCAGTTGGCCTAGTTTTTGTTGTTTTTACTGTTTGAATATGCTAGCTCGATGACAAGCTCGGTGGGTTTGTTTCAGCAACCAAGATATTTATTCTGCCTGCCTCAGCTCCACTTTTGCCTGCTTTTCAATTTGCTGAAAGTTGGAGTGGTTTTTTTTTCTAATGCCATCATTGGCCTTTTAAGTAACCAATAGGTGACGTCACTGTCAGTGTTTTATACGGTCTGATATTTAGGTATAAACCCATTTAAGATGCATCAGTTGATTAAAGCAGATTGTGATTGTATATAAACCTAAATGCATGTGATGAATTCATCAATTTGTGTGTGTTTTTTTCCAGGCCGTGCATCTTTTTGCACAGTGCGAGTGGTTCTTGCCGATGAGAACGACAACGCCCCTCGGTTCAGAGCTGTGGAGTACCGCATGAGCATCAAAGCAAATGTTGCCAAAGGGTCTCTGGTCACACAGATCCAAGCCACTGACCCTGACGCTGGGTCTAATGGGAGGATCACCTATTCCCTTTACAGCGAGGCTCGCCTGTCACTGGTTGATGTGCTGGAGGTCAGTACATTCTGCTCTGTAACTCTCTGCTTCAGACTGCTGCACTTTCTTTAAATGTATTTGCACCACACAGCTGTGTGCCTAATATGCCTAATACTGCTGCAAACATCTTCTCGGTTCCCTTTTAAAAGAGGCCAAAATCTAACCAAAGCTCAACACATTTATTTAATGAGAGTAAAGCACATTAAAAACTCAATGTATGCTAAAGGCCCCATTTTTAATTAAGGGATATTCTCAACTGAACCCCTCCCCATATCAGTGGATTAACGGCCATCTGTTAACTGTAACAATGAATTTTTGCTCATCAAATTGTAATTACTTCAAATTAAGATTGATGTTACAGTCAGTTTTTGCTGTTCACAGGAGATGCTCAATTATATAATGAACTAATAAAGAACTGTGCAAATAAATTATACTAATGATGTCTCTATAAAATGCTGATATAAAAAAATAGATGTAGCAAATAGTTATAGATATTTATGAAGTGGAAGCCAAACAACATAAAAAAAAGAAGTAAACTGCCAGAGAAGTATAATAAATACTATACTATACTGAATGGCATTTGTTCTTTTGCTGGTTGCCCAGGTGGAACCAGACAGCGGTTGGATGATGACTAAAAGCACTGTGGACCACCTCCAGGGGACTGTGCTGTCCTTCTTCGTCAAAGCAACAGACTGCGGTTCTCCAGCAAAACACTCACTGGTGTCAGCCTTCATCCACGTCGTCCCACCAGACGCATTCGTTCCCTCCTTCAGCCAGCCTCAGTACTCCTTCACCATCCCAGAGGACACAACAGTAGGAACAGCCCTGGGGTCTGTGTACATGGGCCCCGGGCAGACTGGCTTCTTTAACACAATTGCAGGAGAGACTGTTGACAGCAACCAGGGTGGGACCTTCCTGGTGGAGAGGGATTCAGGTCTGATTCGTCTGATAAAGCCTCTGGACTACGAGCAGGTCAGCATCTACCGCTTCAAAATTGCCGCGACAACAAGAAGAGACCTGATCGAGTCCGTCTCCACCGTAGACCTGGAGGTTAAGGTTGGTCATAAAGTTGAAATTAAAACCTTTTAGCATTTTGTGTCATATTATGTCATTTGTTTTTATTATTATTATTATAATAATATAATAATAATAATAATAATAATAATAATAATAAAGTTTATTTATAAAGCACTTATCAAAACCAACGTCACAAAGTGCTTTACAGAAAAAATAAAAAATCCCAACAGTCAAATACACAACAATAAAATCCTATTAAAAGCATGAAAAATAAAAAAAACTGAGTTTGATGTTTATTCTCAGCTTATACAAATAGTTGATATAATGTGCTTCTTGTAAGCACTTGATTAAATAGCAGATGTAACACTGACTGACTGCATGGGTTTTCCATTATCATATAACAAGTTAAAAATAATGAACCATAAAGTAGAATCCTGTGACTGGTGTTTCACCAAACCATTTGGCAGTGTTATGGGATGAACAACAATCCCCAAAGTGACCCAAACGTATCTCGGACAACATCTTGAAAAAAGTCAAATCCATTGGTTTCATTTATCAACATACAAAATCAAATCATTACATAAAGACCAACTTGGGGCAAAAAAAAAAAAAAAAAAAATTCCACACTGGAATCCAGAAAGACAACTGAATGCTCAAAATGAACGAGCAGAGCTACAGACAAAGAAGTTGTAAAGAGCAAACAGTAGAGGGAGTACATACTGTACAGCGTTGATTCAGCTACTCTGATTTACTGATGATTTTTCCTGTTTTATTTTAGATCCTAGATGTGAATGACAACAAGCCAGTGTTTGAGACGAACACCTATGTTGCCACAGTCATGGAGGGGATGCCTGTGGGAACAAGAGTGGTCCAAGTGCGTGCACTTGATCCAGACTGGGGCTCTAATGGACAGGTGTGTGACAGCCAATCTCAGCTGTACTAGTACTTGTGTACTTTGTGTACTGTTCTTGTGTACTTTGTTCTTTTTGCTATTGTTCTTATTCTACTAAAGATTATTTGAAAAGCTGCTAAATTCATTTTATTTTCCAGGTTACGTACAGCCTCAAGCCTCTGCTCACTTACAACATGGACCTGACTAAAGATACTCGCTCGCTCCCCCTCACCGGCCCAATCACTACGGGTTCTTTTTTCGCCATAGACAGTAAAACAGGCTGGATTACCACAGTGAGCCAGATGGACCACGAGATCTGCTCCAGCTTCAGCTTTGAAGTAGTGGCCTCTGATCTGGGGGAATCTCAGTCCCTCTCCTCTACCGCAGTGGTAACCATCACAGTGTCGGACGTTAACGACAACCCACCAAGGTTTGAAAGGGATCTGTACCGAGGCTCGGTGAAGGAGAGCGATCCCCTGGGTGAGGTGGTAGCTGTGCTGAAAACCAAAGATCAAGATGGCACTGATCAAAACCGCCTCATCAGTTTTTACATCACCGGTGAGGAGGAGAACAGAGCACTGACATAATGTAGTTGAACACAATCTGAGCTGCACAGATTGTCCCTCATGCAATGCAGTGAGCGTTGCATAACAATTATTCATTAAGCCTAATGGGGGTGCCATTATTAAAGGTCACGTTTTAAATGAGTTTGAACTCAAATGTCGAACATGACTTACCTTTTTATTTTTCATATTAGCTTTTAATTCTTCTTTGTCACATGGAATGCATTATACAACAAAACATTCGAAATGAGTATAATCACATTTCGCTTTCCAAATAAGATGCAACATAAGGAAAAGAGGACTGCCTAGCAACACAGTATAATTTATATTGTATCACTTGCAGGAGAATCAATCACCCTGGGAAGGTCTTGACTTTCAGACTCACACGTGACTTTGTGTTGTCGTTTCTTTTTTATGGGTGTAATAAAAATATTTTGTGAGGACTCTCTAGTAGAACTCTCACCTTCACACTCAGCCTAATGCTTTTAATTCATATAACTGTCTGATGATCACTCAGGATGATATATTTTGGCTTCATGTTCTGGCATTTAAAGATACTGATTGTCCTAATGGAAGCGCTATAATAAAAGGCCAGATTTTTAACTCTCAAAGGCCATTTCTTCTGCACATCAACCTGATTTGCTATGTTGATAGATGTGTATTGATTGAGCCAAAGGGTACCTGCATCATTTGTGTCTTTGTGTTTATGTGTGTGATGCTTATTTATCCTGTGAATGAAAGACAACTCCTGTTTATTCAGATGTCAGTTGCAATCCATCTTCACCTCACTCATTGCAATGTGGTGACAGGATTTTAATCCTCGTCTGTGTGATCTGCAGGGGGAAACCCGCGGGGTGTGTTCGGCCTGGCCCTCGTGCAGGGAGAGTGGAAGGTCTATGTGAGCGGACTCCTGGATCGTGAGCAGCAGGACTGGTATTTGCTAAACATCACAGCCAGCGATGGCCTGTATGTCGCTCGTACCGCAGTGGAGGTTACCGTCATGGATGCCAACGACAACAGTCCCATCTGTAACCAGGTCAGCGATATGGATGAATGGAAGTAGGTGAAATGAAAAAAAACACGCAAAGCAAACAAAGAGAGCAGCAGGCTGTGAAGCAGGGACATGAACCTCTCTGACATTTGGTAGAGTGTGGGGTTCATTTAAGAATGGTTTAGCCCAGAAATTAATGTATGTTTGTGTGACTTAGAAAGTTAAAAAAAGGAGCAGAACTGGATTTGTTCTATTAAAATATTGATTGCTTGTTCCACAATGCTCTAATCTCAGCTGTATTTATTTAAAACAAAATACATCTGCTCTCATTTTTAGGGAATGTCCTTTAATCTGCAATTAAACAAACTCATTTCATTTAGAAATCTGAAATTCAAAGAACTGTTCTCTTTAGATCACAGTAGACAGCATTTAAACAAACAATAAACATGATCAGTAATGAAACCCATCCACTTTTGCACAGTATGCTGATTCCTCCCACATAACTTACATAATCTTCCTAACTGTATTAATACTGAGGCGAAGGCCAAGCCATGACAGGAAATCGCTGTGAAAAGGAAAGACAAATGAGCTGTGCGGCCTTCTGGGATTTTCCCTTTACATTTGGTCGTATTCGGCAGCTCTTCGATTTAAGATAATTAGTGGAGAAACTTTCCCTCTCCCACTAAACTCATACTAATTCTGTTTGAAATCAATTTTCCTGTTCTCCTCGTCTCCTCTTATATTCTTTGTGTTCTTATACAAGTCGGAAATGTTTCTCATACAACAGGATAGCAGCATTACATGGAGTCAAAGACGAAAACTGCAGATGAAATATATAGCTTGAAGTTAACTATAACAGACCTATAACAAGTTTGTATGCACACATCTTTTCTTAGTAGTTTGTGTCGTAAAAATGGTCATGAAAGAAGCCAACTGCAGATGTAGTAGGAGTAGCTGTAGAATAATTACAGGTACATGTAATGCTACAAGCGGTGTTCGTCATGGTCGATTCACTACATTATGTATTAGTTATATTCTTAGTGGTAATTATGGTAGTAGGGGAGGTTAGAAGAAAGTGGCAGCCAATGGACGAGTTGCTACCTTGTGCACCCAATGTACAGCGGCTTTAGCCCTCGAAGCGGGCGGCCTGGTATGAATCTGACCTGTGGCTACTTCCCCGCATGTCATTCCCCACCCTCTCTCCCTCCCCAATTTCTGTCCATCTCTATCCACTGTCCTATCTCTCCAGTAAAGGCACACAAAGCCCCAAAATAAATCTCTCAAGTAGCACTCAGAATACCTCTAATACCAATCAAATAATAGCATTTAAATAGCTAATTTTAAGATGTATTTTTTGAAATTGTAGAGATATTGAGGTATTAAATTTCACATTTGAATATCATAAGGGAACTAACCAATGATTTTTTATTTTTATTTTGTAGTGATAATTGTCTTTGATTAATCAATAAATCCATGCTTTGTGTATTTCAATAAGTTCAAATTAGTGTTAATGTAATAAAACATTTGCAGGATAAAACCTGTAGTACAGAGCAAAAGCGCAGCATGTTGGGGTTAGCTTGAGTGAACTTGGACATACGTACCACAATAGTTTCCACACTTTGCCTGTCTGTGTTCAATGAAACAGTGCAGTCAAAGTTCATTTCTGCAGTCAGTCACTGGCTAGAGTTGAGGCAGGGTCAGAAAGGAGCACTCAACTCTGTTGTTCGTGTACTATCAGTGGAGATAATGGATGGACAACAGTTTACTGTGTTTTTAGGTGAGTAGGGCAGAGGCTTTTTTTTTCTTTTCTTTTAACAGTGTAGGTTTACGATGTGCTTTTTTTGTCTGCTTGGCAGGCGGTGTACAGCGTCTCTTTTCCTGAGGACATTCCCGTTAACAAGGGCATCGTGACGGTGGCGGCTACAGATGCTGACTCAGGCTCCAGTGCTGAAATCCAATATTCACTCTTTGGGATTGGGGTCGAAGATTTCTACATGGATGCAAACACTGGTACAATCATTTTTATTTTTTTTGCAGGATCAAAACATAAATACACACCTCAGATTAAATGTCTTATCTAAAGCTTTACAAGCGCGTCTTCATTTGGGTTTCAAGGTGAGCTGCGCACAGCCACAGCCATGGACCGAGAAATGACACCCAGCTATAAACTCATTGCCCAGGCAACTGATGGAGGAGGGCTGTTCTGCCGCTCTGACATTTCTCTCAAAGTGTTGGATGTGAATGATAATGCCCCCACTTTCTCCTCGCCTTATTACCTGGCTAGTGTGTATGAAAATGCTGCCCCCAAGGCTTTGCTTACCCGGCTGCAGGCCAGCGACCCTGATGAAGGTAAACTGAGATGATGGTGTCCTGTTTTATGTGGTATGTCTAATATTTCCAACCAGAATAAAATTGAATTCAGGTTTAACCCATCATTTCATACAGCATACAAAGTGCTTTGATTTTGATGAGTAATGTATATGAATATGAAATAGTCTTGTATCAAAATAAGAGACCAAAAAGAGAAAGATTTTTGATTGATATTAAGTCTTGTGAGTCTGTGATTTTGTTCTCTATTATCTCAGGTCTGAACCGTACGGTGATCTATTCTCTGGTGAATTCAGTCGGTGAGTTCTTCTCCATCGACCCGGTGTCTGGGATGGTAATTCTGGAGAGACCTCTGGACAGAGAGAGCCAAGACTCTTATCGTGTTCGTGTCCAGGCAACAGACCAAGCTGGCCAACAGGGGGCACTGTCCTCACAGGTAAGATGGTTCAAAATCAGTTGTATATTTGAAATTTCTCACAATCCTCAAAATCTGTTTTTTATGCTTAAATGCTGATTTAAAAGACAAAAGATGTGTTGTTAAATTATTGACATGAAAAACTATTTTCACATGTGCTTTATATCAAATAATCATGGCTCAATCCATTATAAAATCAGAAATAGTAATTTAGAGGGTTTTTGATCATTTAAGATCAATTATTTATAGAAAGGCACACCGTGTAGTCACGTAATTTAATCATTTTATCACAATAATGTAAATAAGGTTGATATAATTTATGTTAAATTGCAGATTAGTATTCAACAGAATCATACGGTGATATGTAATCTGTATTTCTGTCCATACTTGAGATAAGAGAAGCCAATGGGGGGAAGCATGATGTTTACTGAAGAGATCAGATAATGAGCGTAGTAGATTTAATCAGGATAAATTGTCATTGAATTGTGAAGAGGATGGTTTGGGAATGACGGGGAAGGTGACAGTTACAGATACAGAGGAGGGGCAGAAAAAAGCACAGAAAGTATCGAGACTCTCGTACCTATCAGGGTTTCTCTTTCTCAGAGTCGGATGGAAAAAAAACATAAAATCAAGTTGAAATCAAGCCCCCGGCAAAACTGAGGTCAAGAGTGGCCATTTCAAGGTGATGTGAGTTTAGGAGTTGCTGACCATGGTGCTGAAACTTACAATGATCACTTGTAGCAGTATTACAAGTTGCAGCAGCATTTGCTACAGTGACAGAGGTTAAAGCCACGTAAAAAGTCCACACATTAATATAAAAAGGACAAAGTATCAGTAATAGCATCCAACTTAAAACATGTAGAACTGGGATCAATTGGGGCTGCTTGGTGACTCTATTAGTTTATGTTCATGCAGGAGAGACTAGTAGGACAAATGTCCTGAAGATCACCGGGCCAAACAATACACAGTTATAACCAGATTAAAAAATGGCAGGAATAGAAAAGCGTCCTCTTTCTCATCTTCAGAGTCAAGAATTATTATTTAATACAAATAGCTAATAAATAGCTGACTGTCCTGATAACAAACAAAGTTTGTAGTGTGGAAAGGCAGTCTAAACTGAAAGTTTGAGGCACTCTGATGTAGTATAAAAATCATTTATTTGACACATCCCTGTTAAATAAAATACTTTCAGTTTAGACTGTCTTTCCACACTTCAAACTTTGTGTGTTATCAGGACAGGCAGCAATTTATTTGCTATTTGACTTCTGTCCCCTGTTCTTGAAGAGCACCTGATTCCTCTACATTTTTTGACCTAGTGCAGCACTCGCTTCAACCTTTTTTCTATTATTTAATACATTTGAAAAATTGAAAATATATCTCAGGAAAGATACTAGAAACTAGTGGTAAAAAACAGATGATAATTCAATATTTATGAAGTGTTAACTTTCAACCAAACCCTCAGTTACAATATATCCTTTCAAAATGAAACACAATAGAAGCATTGTGATTTTATGGCTATGTCAGGAACACAAGCCATCAGCTTCCTGACAAGATTACTAATAAGGTTAACTGTTTGCTTCTTTAACACCGAAGACTTATTTTAAAGTTTGTTTTGAACCTTTGTCATGACACAAAATGACATCAAGAGAGACACGAGGGGTTAATGTTTTCCTTGAGATTTCAAAAACTGTATTTTTATGACTTTAATGTCTAACCTTTTTCCAACAACCAAAAAATTCTCCCTCGGGCTTTGTTGGACACAGACTTCAATTGATTTTTGCCTGAGTCCACTTTCTTGTTAGTGAAACCTTAAGTATCTTTTCTGCCATTGATGTATGTGTAGCCACTGTCCAAGGTGTTGAAACAGAACACTCTGGGCCAGGAGCATCACAGACGAATGGATTGGGTTTTGACAGACTCTTGTGTGTCCCACAGGTTGATTTGACCATTTTGGTGCTGGATGTGAATGACAACGATCCCGTCTTCCAAAGGAGGGACTATGGAGTTACTGTCCCTGAGGATGTAGCCGTGGGAACAGATGTCCTGCGCATTTTGGCGACGAGTGCTGACATTGGCCCGAATGCTGAGATCACCTACAGCATCCGTTCAGGAAACGAGTTAGGAAAGTTCTCTATAGATGTCAATACGGGTGAGCAAAAATCCTTGTATGTCAGCATTACTTTTAGGAACAAATGTAAATATTAAACTTATACTTATGTCCTGAAAATGATTGTATTCTATGTGTACTGTATGTTTTAGGCTCTATTTCTGTGGCTGATGATTTGGACTTTGAAGTGTGTAAGGACTACTACCTCACCGTTGAAGCCTGGGACAACGGGGATCCTCCTCTCAGCACTGCTACAATGGTAACCATTGAACTCATGGATGTCAACGACAATGCCCCGGCCTTCAATCAGGACATCTACAACGTTCTGGTCAGCGAGGATGCGTCTGTAGGGCAGTCGATTACGAGGGTAACATCTTTTCTCCTTAAGTTAGACTGTGTTTACGTTTGTTGTTTTTTATCAAACTTATCTTTCACTCCAAATGTGTCTGTTTTTAAGGTATTGGCCGAAGACTTGGACAGCCAGGTGAACGGACGAATCACCTACTCTATCCTGAATGGTGACCGCAGCAACCACTTCTGGATCGACCCTGTAACGGGGGTGCTCAAAGTCAATAAGAGGCTAGACAGAGAACTAGTAAGGAAGCATCTTAAAGTATAATATCTCATATACAATCAATAGTAATTTTCTGGTTCATGAGCACAGCCAAGACAGAATATACCCTCAGCGCTCAAGGTCAACATCCAATGAAGTCTCATAAGATGCAAACATAACAGTGCTTGCTGTTTTGTCTGGTACATACTGATGATGCAGCACTTTTGCGCCCCTTTGCTTCATGTAGGTATCCAGGTACTCTCTGTCAGTGCAGGCGTTTGACAGTGGCTCTCCCGCCATGTCTTCCACTGTCACCCTTAACATCGACATCTCTGACGTAAACGACAACCCTCCTGTATTCACACCTCCCAACTCCACAGCCATCATACAGGTAACAGTGTTTGTGTGTTTGCTTGTGTTTACTGTGTTTTATGTTTTTGATAGGATTACCTCAGCTCCTCTCTCTCCTTACTTCCAGCTTAACCAGGCTGCTGACATCACCCTGCTGAAGCTGTCAGTCAGTGACAAAGACTCCCCGAGAAATGGCCCTCCCTTTGAGTTTCGTATTGTGTCAGGAAATGAGGGGAATTTCTTCTCCCTGGACCAGACTGGAACTCTGAAGTCCAACTGTGCATTTGGCCCTGATGCCCCCAGAGAGTTCACACTTGAAATCCAGGTTTCTTTCAACTCTGTATATTCAAGAAACGTTGTGTTGTGTTAGCATGGTTAAACACAGTCAGCATCAGTAGCTGCCAATTTTCCACACAGTTTGTCACTGTTAGCTGCTAAGTCAGTCTATCAGAGACGAGGGTTTTAGAATTTAGCCCTGGATACACACATACCTGTCATAGAGAAGCTATTAACAGTAATACTTATTTTCACTCCAAGCTACATGGCTGTCTATATATTTTGTTTTTAATGACCGGTTATACAAATTTAAGCAGATTTTGAGTGAACAGAATCTCATCCTGTCACTTTCTTTTTACCATCTCTCTCAGTTTTTCCAATATGTTAATCCAACTTTGTTTTGGTCTTTCAGGCAGGTGACTCTGGTAAACCTCGCCTCACCTCTTCGTCCTGGATATTCCTGAGAGTCATCGGGAACAGTCAGTATAAACCTGTTGTCTCCCCCTTGGAAATCTTTATCGTCATGGTAACAGATACCTTCTCCGGTGGCCCTATTGGTCAGATCTATGCAACCGACCGTGACCCAAATGATGTGCTGTCGTTTACCCAGAAGCCTCAGCCAAAGAGCATGTTTAAGATTAATAGACAGGATGGCAGCATTGTGGCTCTAGCAGGTCTTGAACCTGGCAGGTACACACTGAAGCACACAAACACACACTCTAGCACACACAGAGAGTCTAGGAGCTGGTTATATTACATTTCCCTGTCCTCTCCTACCAGGTACCAGATGAACGCCACTGTGAGTGATGGACGCTTCGCTGTGATAGCTGACGTCTCAGTCCAGGTGGAACAGGTGACGGATGTGCTCCTGCGTAGCGCGCTGAACTTACGCTTCAGCTCACTGTCCCCGGAGGACTTACTGAGTCGCTACCTGAACCAAATCAAACTAATGTTACGGGGGATAGCTGGCTGGAAATGGTCGCCAGGACAACAGGATCCCCTCCACATAGTCAGTGTGCAGCCAGTGACAGGGACATCAGGTGTGGACTTGCTGCTGGCAATGGAGAGGCCAGAGACATCAGGGAGTAGACGCATGGGAGGGTTCTACTCCAGGAAAGAGTTCTCTGCAAAGCTGGACGAAGCAGGAGATCGCGGTCAGATTCGAGGCGTTCTAGCTGGGGCGGTGGTGGTGAGCAACGTTTGTTCTGGGCAGCTGGATTGCGGGGAGAGGGTATGTGAGCAGACACTGATGATGGAGAGCGGCTCACGTGTCTCCTACAGCACAGAGAGGGTCAGCTTGGTGACACCAAGGTTCAGCCGAACAGAGACCTGCACCTGCCCTGGTGAGCACTTCAAGCTAGAACATGCAATTGAACCCCAGAGAGTAATATGATATTATACAAAGATGCCCACATCTGGACACACAAAGCCAAGTACTTTCATATTAAGGAAGCTGATTTTCCATCATGCTGACTTTACTATTCTCTTATATCACAATATCTGCTTCTTTACCAACAGGAGGAATATGCCCCACTCCTATGGAGCTTTGTGAGGGTCAGTCCTGCCCAGCAGACATGCAGTGTGTCCGTTCTGGTCCAACAGCGCCATCTGTCTGCCAGTGTAGGACTGAGAAAGTTGACGAGTGTGCAGGTACGATTTCATGTCTTTATGTTCTGAACACTTCCTAGTGTCCGAGCCTGTTGGAGGATTTGATAATGACTTATTTATCCTTCCTATATTCATCCCTTTACACTCTTATCTGTAATTATTGACATGTGAATGTTTTGTGACTGTGTAGGACAGACCTCTCTGAGTTTCTCTGGGAACAGTTATATAAAGTACAGAGTGACAGAGAGTGGCCAGAGCGGAGAGATGAAGCTTGGCCTTAGAATCAGAACACTTCAGAGAAGAGGAGTCATTATGTTCACACGTGTAAACCCCTGTACCATGCTCAAGGTAAGTACTTTCATTTTCTACTTACTTATATTGTTTCCTTAAGCATGGCTTGCTAAAACAATGGTGAGTTTTTTTTTGGTGACGTTTATAGATTAAACTTTCCCATCCACAGATTGAAAGTGGGCGGCTCTGGTTCCAGCTGGACTGTGACAACACCCTCGGCATTATGGGAATCTCTGGTAGACCAATAAATGACGGTCTCTGGCATGCTGTTGCCTTGGAGCTGACAAGGAACTACACCCTTCTGTCACTGGATGACAGCTATGTGGAGCGCCGCCGAGCAGCCCGAGCCCCTGTTCGACTTTGGCCTCTGGCCCCCGATTCATCCTTTTTCTTCGGCGCCCAAGTGAGGCCACTTAACGGGCAAATCGAGAGACCGAGCCCTGGGCCAGGGCAGAGTCTGGGAGGGCCAGAAGCAAGGGACCGAGGAGGGCGGGCACCACCAAGAGCCCAGGACGGCTTTCAGGGCTGTCTGAGCTCACTAATGCTGAATGGCAACGAGCTGCCACTTCAGAATAAGAGAAGCCGATACGCAGAGATAGCTGGGCTGAACGAGGTCAAACTGGGCTGCGTGCTTTATCCAGATCCATGTGTCAGTCAGCCGTGCCTCAACGGAGCCGTCTGCAGCAGTGTGCCCTCTGGAGGTCTGTTTGGATCAGTGTGTGTCATCTTGTGTAAATAAATTGCACGAACAAATTCTGTCATATAAAACATCTTCACTCAAGGTTATATTGCTGAGCATACAGAGTTTTAGTACCGGACTTATTCTAATTAATTCAGTAGTGACCATCAGTTTCTGTAGAACAGTTTTTTTTAGGTAGTACAGTATATATGGAATCTTATAAATGCTTTAATATTGTTCTCAAATAGAAGAAAATGATCCACAAAGAACAGAGTCATATTTATTACATTTTGTAAGATCTTTTGTTTGAAACAGTGAAATTGCCTCTACCAGGTGTACGATGGCAGGGAGCGTGTGTTCTTCAGGGTTTGATATTATTATATTTTCTGATTAAAAAAATGTGATGACACATATTCAATCTTTCTCCAACAGGCTTCATCTGCAGTTGCAGTGCTGGCTTCACTGGGGGGCGCTGTGAAATGGCATTGACATCCTGCATTCCAAACCCATGCCAGAATGGAGGGGACTGTAAGACTGCAGGCAGTGTGTTCCTCTGTGGCTGTCCCAGAGGACTTGGTGGACTTATGTAAGATAAAATAGCACACAGCGGGCGCACGCACACACACACACACACGCACACACACACACACACACACACACACACACACACACTCACACTCTTGTAAGCCTTATTTACTGATTGTGAAGCAGTGTTGATAAATGGCTTGTCCTGTAAATACACAAAAACGGTTAGATAAGCGATGATTCAGACACAATAACATCTGCCTCTCCGCTCTGATACACATTAAAACATAAAAGAACATGTAAGATGCAGAAAACACAGTCACACACATACACTCATTAGCAGCCCAGCAGCTACTGTGTTGTTTTAGTGGTTATTGTGTGAAATGAATTAGTGTTCCTAATTTAATGTGATATAATTTCTGTTGAAAAGCCTATAATCACTCTCCCTGCTTCCTTCTTAATTACAGCTCTGTAATTGCCTTTGAAATAACCTCTCTGCTCATGATGTTGTTCGACAGAGCTGCAGCTAGAGGGCAGCTTTCCCCCAAAAAGAAAAAAGTTCAGCTTGTTCATGATTCTGACAGAGATGTACAGCTCTGATGATCAGTTTGAAATGTATTCCATTTAGCTGAATAAATAGTGTGATGACTTTGAAACGCAAACACATTTTATTATATATCAAGCAAATGCTTTTTTTTTTGTTACAAAATGTTTAATTCCAATTTAGTTTAATTAGCACCCCCCCTCCCCCCACTGGATAGATGATATAATCACATTCAAAATTAGCTTTTCAATAATAAAAAAATATATCGGTTTAGTTGGAAAGTTGTTTAATGGTGAAAATGTTTCCTTTAATTCTGAATCATAGCCTTAATATGGCATACATAGAATATATCTTTATTGTCATTGCTATAATAACAACGAAAAACAGTTTAGCAGATTGTCGTCAGTGGCAGCACATACAGACAGACAGTAAAAAGGATAACGTAAAGACATGCATTCATTTCACATCTGTAACATGTAGAGCGCTGGGCCGCTGTGTCTGACCACGCCATCCTGTATGGATCTCATACAGGATACACTTCTAAAAGTTTACTCAAGCAAATGTTTAATGGCACTTTGTGAGACTTTGATATTTCTGACAGAACTTTTTTACAAGGAAGCTTCTTGCAAAAAACTCAAAGGTACTTTTTCTTGTCACTTCAAACCATCTTTTTTGAAAATCCCATCAACAAAAAATAATTGAAAAGAGAAATACATGATTTTCCATCTCGCTCACTGCAGGGCACCGTGTTGAAAAGGACGCACAAAGAGCATGTATGTGTGTGTAGAAAACTACATTTGCGATTTTTGCCCTTATCTGGGAGTAATTCTGTGCGTGTATATGAGTTGGTTCCAGTATTGAGGCATTTTGTTTTTAACAAAAGCATGTAAATGAGGGTGATAGGAGAATCCGTGAAGATAATCTCTTGATTCAGCACAAGAAAGACTCTGTGAAAAGATGATCTCCAAAGTATTTATTTTCATTCTGTCTTTAAACTCACTATCACCTCTTTCATCTCTTATTCCTCTCTTTCACTTTGATACAAATCATCTCCACTACTCTCATGCATAGCAATGTATTTGTCCATGCCTCTGCAGATGTGACGAGGATGTGAATGAGTGCGAGCAGGACGGCTGCAGAAACGGTGGAGAGTGTGTCAACACATTTGGGTCGTTCTACTGTAACTGCTCCGAGGGATACGAGGGCCAGATTTGTGATGATCTGACACCTGGTAATCTGGGAGATGACATGCAGGTAAAGTATTCAGCACTTGAAAGTGAATTCATGCAGGAGTAAATCTCACAGAATGTAAAAACTATAATCCAAGTCAATCCAAGTAAGTCCAAGCTTTTCGGCTTGCTTTTTGCACATTCAGCTTGCTCCTAATAGGACTTGGCATATTTAGTGCAGCTGTTGAGGAAACTGAGTGTGCACTGGCCTCCCATGAAGGTTTATTCACCAGTCTGGTATGTTTGTCCCTGCAGTAGATGAATGAAAGTGTGGTAATGGCTAGGTCACAGATTCCATTAGAATGTGTCACGCTCTTGACTTTTGTCGTGCGCTGTATGCGGGTTGAAGGCTGCAATTAATGTCATGCATTGTTTGTATTTTCTTCTGGGCTTTATGCCTTTATCAGTAGAAATTGGGAGAGAGAATGGGGATGACATGCAGAGCGCTGAGGGTTGGAGTTGAACCACTTTGCACATGGTACACGCAACCTAACTGCCAGGCCAATCAGCGCCCCATGTTATGCATTGTTGAAAGAAAGCGTCTGTATTACTCTAAAGACTGTGCAGAAATGTATACGTAGTACACAAAGCCATCAAGCTGCTTTAATAAAAAATAGAAATAGCTTTGTTTTTTTAACCACATTGAAGGCCTCAGATTCGAGGAGCAAAATTGAATAGAAGTTTCCCTTTAGCTTCTGGAGTTTACCAAATCCTGTATTCTGTTTAAACAACAACTTGTGGGAATGATCATTCCTCCATATGACACGACCAGAAATGCAACTGTACTCATCTTTGCAGGTGTGCGGTGATGAGCATTTTAATTGTTTGCAATCTTAGAAATGTTAAGTTCATTAATTTAAAAAAAAGGTGATTTTGGTTGTGATAAGTTTGTCATGATGTTGGCCTTTTAAAATGCATTGTGTTAAATATATTGCTCTCCACTTCAGTGTGGACTGTTTACTGCAAAACTCCATCTGTTCCCTTCCCCACTTACCATTCATTTTAACAACAGTACTCACATAGCTGCCTGGATGATTTTAGAAATACAAAAAAGTATTAAGTTTTAGAGTACTATGATAGAAAATCATGTGATTTGAAATATTTAAAAAACGAACAAGGACGGTAGATCAGGATGTGTCTGTGCAAATTCTTGATGAATTGTGTTTTTGTCATAGACAGAGGGTCTGAGGTGGTATTAACAACATGAAATAACCTCGATGTTTTCATCATACCAACAGTTACAGAGTTTTCACTTCATGTTGGGAAATATGTGATTGTCCTTTACTGAAATAGAAGTAAATTCCTAAAATGATGCCCTGAACCTGAGCTGCTGTGTTTCCACCAGAGACATATCCTCATTTTTATAATTCTTCTCTTCCTGTTGCCCAGGCGGAGCCGCTGTCTTACATCGGACCAGGAGAGATAATTGGCATTGGCGTCCTCGCCTTTGTCATCCTCCTCTTACTGATACTCTTCATGGCCTTTAGAAAGAAAATCAAATTTAGGAAGGATTCTGACCCAGGACCGGGGACTGTAATGGGTGTGTCAGCTATTTCCACAGAAACCAGCTACATGCTGCACAAAACTGGCGTGGGCGCAGAAGGGATTGAGTTTAAAGCAGTGCGTGTGTCAGGTTCACCGGGGGCCACCAGCACGTATGGGGAGGTCGGAGGCTGCACTGGGGGCCCTCCCCAGGTCATGGTACGTCCAACTACCCACTCCCCTTTACCAGGAGGACTCATCAACCACGGCCTGAGGAGCGGAGACGGTGATAAGACGACCTCCAGTGAGAGCAGTCAGGTATGTCAAAGTGTGCATGGACAAGATGAGAATTTATTTCTGTGTTTCATTCATCAAAAATAATTACCTCACAGGGCAGCGAGACTTTATTATGGCAGTTTTAGTTATAAAAGAATCACAGGAAACTAACTTAATATTGTAATTTTCTGCCAATATACTAGTAATAAAATGAAAACCCTAGCTAGTACCTATTTCACATCACAACGTCATTATTAATATCAGCATGTCTTCTGGCCCGAAGATTTGATGATGCTGTGTTTCTGTAATTCATTCATTCAGTAATGGTATTATTTGAGAGACATACATCTTCTTCCCTTATTATTGTATTCTTATTCTTCTTGCAAACAGGCGCGGGACAGACTGTTCCTCTTCACTCACCACATTACTGTCCTCAAGGTTGAACAAGCTTTACGTGTGATATGTTACATAAAAAAAAAAAAAGACAATGAAATCTTCCTAACATTGCCATTTTCCTTTTTGAACGAGTGGAAGCTGTAGTATTTTACACCTAATGAACTTACTTTTAATAACAAAAAACAACTTAATTGTCAGCCATAATGTCAAAAATGTTCAACTCTAGTGCAACCTAGTGGTAATGTTAATAAATTACCATATCTATCCAGCATGGGGAGCATGAATGAATGGGCTGAAAGTGGATATGGATAAAATGCACCACTTTTTACTGGTGGGGAAGCAGTCGTCTACACAAAATCATACAAAAATGGTTTCAATTTTATTTTAAGGTCAAGTATTTGGTTCGACTCTGACCTGTTGCTCCTTTCCCATGTCATTCCTTGCTCTCTCTCTTCCCAGTTCAGACTCTATTCAATGACTTAAAAAAACAATAAAACAAAGAAAAAACAGCTGGACTCTTTAGTTCTGTGGTAGACCATATGCTAGCTGGGATTTATTAGACTGAAAACACATTTCAGGTACATAATAACTGAACTTGAACACCCATGTTCATCATTATAATACAAAAACTGTCACCAAAGTGTTGCTTATTTTTCAGGTTATATTGGTCTTTTTCTGGGTTTTTTCAGTTGTTGTTTCATTGCTGCTTTCTTTCGTCCTCACAGTTCAGCAGCTTCCTGTCAGACCTGTCTACTGTCCGAGGTATGGCCAATAGGAGGGGTGTTGCAGTGTGCAGTGTGGCACCCAATCTTCCTCTGGCATCGTCCTGCCACACAGAGCACAGTCCGGCCCACAAAGTGTCCTGGGATGGCGAAGAAACTAGGGACGGGGGCCTGGAGAGGTTGAGAGACGAGCGAGAGGACGAGTGGGGGCAACGAGCTTTTCAGCTGGAGAGAACGCAGAGAGAAAGTAGTCCACAGGGTAAGACTGTAATCATGTTCTCCCACATTCACAACCACAAGCACACAGCTTGTACAGTAGTTCCAAAACCATGGAGTCATCTTCCCAATCTCAAGTTCCACTTTCACAGACTCACTGACTTTTAGGTATGTTCCTGGTTAGTGTCTGATGACTCATTGTCATCCCTTTCTCTAATCTTCAAGTGGATGAGGGCGCTGATTTGGATTTAATGATGCTGAATCATGCAATTTCCTTTAGTCAGCATCCATGTAGACTTTCCTTTGAGACTTACTCGGAGTTCATTGTGAACTTAATGACCTGAAAGATGTGATTATCCAAATGTTTATACATTGAAGAACTTCTAAAAAAAAGTTTGAAAAGAACATTTTTATTTAAGAAGAAATGCATTGACAAAACAGAAATCAAAAAACATTTTTATCTGTAGGTGACAAAATGCAGTAATCTACTTTGTAGTCACTTTGTTAAAGTGACATATTTATAAAGGAACAACATTTCTGACTTTTCTGATTCTTGGTAGTTTGCTAAAATGTGCTAACAGGATACTTGTGCACTAATGAAAGGATCATTTTTGTGTTTCTTAATTAATGTCTTGTTAAAGAGGGGCAGATTATATATGAGATTATTCTTTTTTCTGCTGCTTTTTTATTCAAGATTTCAAATGTTATGTTTGTATTCAAATGTTTTGTTTGATCAATGAATGAAATAAACATACAAATAAATAAAGAACTAAATAAACGCTGGTTGAAGAAACCCCTCATCTCACTTATGCCCCTATGCCCTTCTAATACGTAACATAACCTAGCTTGTGGGCAAGCACAACAGGTTTGTCATGATGTTGGCCTTTTAAAATGCATTGTGTTAAATATATTGCTCTCCACTTCAGTGTGGACCAACCAAAACAGCAATGCTACCTTCAACAGACTCTCGCTACGTTTATGCGACCTAGACAGGTAATGATGACAACGCCAATACTTTCTACCCCACTGCATGGCCCCTACTGGCCCCCACCACTCAGCCGTGTAGACCCATGAGCAGCCAGAGCCAGGACATCACTGGGGTTGTCAAATGGAAACCTTTTTTCAGCAATGTTTACCTGATTAGTCCCACAACACTTCAGGGAGGTTGGACAGTGAGCTCCGGCATCCCACAGCCAATCCCCCCCCCCTCAATTATAGCTCCTCATATGCTGCCCACCATACCCACGTGCATAACTTCTATATCTTACCTACCCCACCCCATCACAGCCCAAACAGCATTGCCACCTTCAACAGACCCAGTACATGCAAACTACAGGTCGTGACAACACTGATACTACCCACCCTACCACAAGGCCCCTAATGACCCCCACAAACAAAACACAACTATGCCTGGCATCTAAAAATAAATCCACACTGGGGGTGGGCTTTTTTTCTTAAAGTTTAAGATTAGGATGGGCAATAGTGTTACACCCTCTATCATCTGCACTGATCGAGCTAATTCACAAAGAGCTATGCCTTTTAAATGACCCACATCAATGGTTCCAGAGTGATCAAAATACTATTTAATTTGGCAAATCCTTTCGTCAAAGCGTTACTATTTACGATTGAATAAAGGAAATTAAAACTCTCTTTCTTTTTTAAACTGCAAAAATTGGCAATCGATAATGTTCTTTTGTATCAGAATGTTTCTTTGGTCTCATGTGCACTTCTGTTTGAGTGGTCAAGTTCATCAGCAGTGACTGCTCTCCTTTGTTCGAACCCTGTTTTTGCTCTACAAAAGTGAAGTAAACATCAAAGCAGCAAAAACACTTTGGATCAATAAGAGTCATCTTTCCTGGTTAGTTTTCTTCTTATTTTTTGCATCTCAGAGCGCTTTGTGTGTACCGTCATCAACAGAGGGACCAATGAATAATGAAGGGAAATGAGAAGTAGTTTAGCCTGATAGCCAGTTCTCAGTAGCGAGCGCACACACCTCACAGTTAGTTTTCTGTCAATAAAATAACCACTCTGCATCTCAGTGCTAAGGTAGACGTCACACTTGTTGATTCTCCGTCCAACCTGTTGTTTGAATAATCAAGTCTGATGTCGGAACTTCCTGATAATTATTGATTTCCCCCTGTGGATACAGGGAAGGGGAACGTTTATTTACTGCTCCCCTGCTGTGTGTTAAGAAAAGAGTGTGCCCCTTGGGTTTACACTTACATCCCGGTTCATGAATTAATGTGCTCATTTTTGGATTAAAGCCTCCGTGACACCTCTGTTACAACAAGTTCAATTAATCATCTTAAAAAAAGGTTAATAACGAAACTGTGTCAACTTGATTAATAGAACCATCTACACCACCGAAGCAACTCATGATAGAATTAATATTGCAATAGATGGGCACAAGTCAATACATGAAGTAAACATATTGGTTGTTTTTCTGTCCCTACCCGCTGCTTATGAATTAATAAATGTTGTGAATAATGAAATAGGCAGTAATAAGGTCCCTTGGTGATCATTTTTGGTATTAATTGTTGAATGTCTCAACAGAAGTGAATAGCTCTTTATGTTTTTTTTTCAAAGAAATTTCGGTAAATTGAAAGATTTGAGATGAAGTGACGTTGACATAACATGTACGGTATGTCACATACATACCCCATTCAAAAAGTCCTGTTTTTACAGCACAACTAAATGTTAACTGCCTGGTACAAAAAAAAACATTTTGGTATTTATGACAAAATGTACAGGGGGAAACGTTTTCATTACTCATCAGTTTTGATTTAATGAAGGATACGAGTTATGCATAATGACACACTTGTCTGTCCTGATTGACAGGCGACACAGTGTAGTGGTTTGTCAGCAGGCGTAAAACCCACATCAGCTCATTGAGACAGCGCTTCCAGCATAGACCGCCTTTAACGGGCTTCCTTAGCCCCCTGCAGTTAACAATGGGTGATGTCACTCAGGCTTCGTCCACAGTCTATGGTTGACATCTACGGCCTCACACAAACAAAACCTTCACAGTACCAGTTTCGGCTAGCAATGCAAACAAAGTAAAGGATTTTAGCGGAAGTGTAAATATAATGACTTTACCTAAAAAAGGAAGTTGAGGACTTTTTACTTTGGAGGCTATGCTTAGAGGTATAATGGGTTTAGAAAAAAGACTTGAAGTGGTATAGATGGCAAATTTAACTAAATGAAGCACCAATAAAGAGAAACGTGAAGTTCCAATTTTTAAAATAATTTTAGGGTGACACATTGAATGGCAGATGACTCCTAAGACTTTTTTTTTTTCATGGCTCTTAAGAAATGCAAAAGTGGATGAAAGTTTTATAAAATTGAGGGCAGGTTGAGATTATTGTCTGGCTGAGTGTTAGGATTAGAGAAGGGGTTAGGATATTAACAAGAGTCTGCCAACTTTGGCACACCGCAGAGAAGTTAAGTAAGGAAAATAACTGACAACCAAATAATTAAAAATGAAGGGTTTTTGTTTTCTTCGTAGACTCAACCATGTGAGAAGTTTTGCCCCAAGTGCATGCGGAATAAGACCAGAGGCTGCTAGGTTGCCTTTCTTATTTATTTTGATTGATTGTACTGCCTTACTGCCCACATTCCCACAGGAACTTTTCACTTGTTCCTCATGCACTGATCCACGACCACCCAGCCTGGGCTCAGAAAGCTTGAGTTGATGTGCAGACATCCAGGCCCTCGTGGACAGAGCCCAGTTTTGGTTATAAGACATGTTGAGCTCTGCCTGCTTCCTGCAGCCCTGTATTAAGAGAGAAACACAATTTTCAAAAAAGGCAAACCGGAGTGAGAAAAACACATGCAGTGTTGAGTTATGAAATGCAAGACTCCAATCACACGCTGACAAATTGTTTATTGCTTACCCAACAAGGAAAAATGTGTTTTTTCCCCAGTGATATATTTTCTTTGTAAAGCAACAGCAGTTAATAACCAGAGTGTTTCAAGGTCATGCATTCTCACTCACCTGTGACATATTTGCACAGGACTATTGAAGACAGCAGAACATCACTGGTGGCTTTACATTCTTATATGTTGGTATACAGTACATTGATACCTGGGTTGCAGCTGATATCAAAACTATTCTTATTTTGCTCCTGTCTTTGAGAAGCAGAAACAGGTTTTTCACAAAGGTGCTTTTAGTAACAACTTTTAGCAAAGCTCTTCAGCGCTTGTTTCCAAACAGTTTCATATTCCAAATACAGTTTTTGGATGATAGTTAGAGGCCATACGAATATTTTCTACTCCGCTGGTCATCTTAGGCTCTTTCCCAATTCACACACTAGTGCCAAATCAGGCGTTTTATTGCTGCTAGAGTGGAGCACCTGGTCGACAACAAGGCTGTGTGGCTTAACCAGTCACTCAATCTTTACAACAAAGTGCCTGAAGTCGATGTGACACGTGAACTTGCAAGCACCTCTGGAACTTGTTTGAAAACCACTCAGGGGCAATTGTGGCCAACAAAATAACAGCAGGGGAAAACTGTGTCAGGAATCACACTGACTTGTGAGCATGTAATATTTGAAAATATGCCCTTCAAGAAATACAGGTGAAGGCTAACTAGGGACACCATGCTTTTCTTTAAGTGAAATCTCTACTGTTGGTGCAATCGAAATGTTCGAGGCACTGGAGTAAGAATACCAATTTCTGCAGAGTAAGCATGTAGGCCAAAACATATATACAGTCTTTTAAATCGTTTCATTCGATTTTGGGCTTTTTTCATTTTGCCAATATACCTGCTGTTTGGAGCAGTTTGTGCTTCACATCTGCCTCTAATAGATATCACTGAGACATTACTCATCCAGCTGGTGCAGTCAGCATTAAATGAGCACACCTGGAGACACAGTTGTTCTTGGATTTGGGGAAGATTCTGTGCTCCAAAGTTTGGCAGGCTTAAATCATTTTTTGAGTTTACTGAAACTTGAGATGCCTTAAGTTGTGAATTACTTTTTTTTCCATTGTGTGTGTGACTGCATTTGGGCTCACTGTTTATCTGGGTCAATGTCAAGAATTTTTATGGACTGGGGTAGCCCAACTGGTGGCACACACACACATATGAGTAGTATGTGTACCCTTTCTGTATTATCGTTTTTACGTATTTTACATAAGTAAAGTAAAGGTTTTATTTTCCCTGTGTATCATTTTCAAACTTGTAATAGTAACGCAGCAGAGAAAACATAAATCTTCTTGTCCTAAAGGATTAATATGTAACATTTCTACTGAATTAAATCATAAAATGACGTTACTATGTCATCAGACCTTCAGGAAGTGCAACAACGCAGTAGCCAGTATGCCCTCCTCCTAAATTTCGATTACAGTGCGGAATGGCCTAAAAAGCCTCTGCATTTTCCTACTAAGCTCGATGACGTAGATACGTGGTAAAACTAGGATAAATAATAGAGAAGCTTTTGAACGTTTCAAGACTGATGCAGAGCTGGATAAATTCTAAAGCTTCAGGATCTGGGACACGGCAACCAGCATGCAAATCGACTCAAGGGACGAGGGGGCGGGGGCAGACAGCTCTCATCAATGTTTTGAATTTGGACTGCAGTAGCAATTTTTTAACACTAGGTGGCAGAGTTACATATTGCTCCTTTAAGACAAATAGCAAACTATAGTTCAAGATTTTTAAATGGTGTGGATGAATGTGAGAAGTAATTGATTATGATTTTTAAATCCAAAATAGTTGGATGACTCATGCATCAATGACTTTTCAAATATACATGAAGGCATATGGTTCCTTCCTTTAAAGATGAAAAGGTTGGGAAAAAAACGAGATATCAGAAACTAGAATTTATATCGGCTTTGATATCTCATGTTTGCTTTGAGTTTTGAGTGGAACATGCTGATGTAGCTCTTAAGTTATTAAGAAAATACTCTGAGTGTATATGAGTGTGGAATTGAATATGTACTGTTGTTTTTGTGTTTGCATGTTAGAGGTCTCACAGCTTGTGGATGAGGTGACATGCCTCTCAGACTCTAATTCTGAGGAGCACTCCATTAGCTCCTACACTTCTGAGTCCTTCGATGACAATGGTAAGACCCCAATGCACTCCTTCATCTTTCTGTTCCTTTTTGTAAGTATTTTAGTTTCCTCGTAAGGCCCTAAAAAGTTATTCAGAGGAAGGGAAAATCAGTGCTCTTCATTTAAGAGTCCTAAGCAAAAGGCTGGGAACCACCTCTATAAAATTCACTGGATGTGAGAACAGGCCAGTTGTGCTGTTATATAATGTTGCTCTTTAGTACTACATAATGTTTCAAAAAGCAAGGAGAAAAAAAAAAGACATTTAAATGTTTAACTGAAGGTACCATTATGCAACACAATCCATACGCACTTTGAGCAAAGCTTCATTCAAAGGTCCTAAGTCCAAAGCATTTTTCTTGAAATTCTTCAGCGTCACATTTTACCAGGTAGATCAATACTGCTGACACTTTTCTTGGATCGTATTCGTCTCTTTTTTTCCCAGATAACTCGATACCATTGATCTTAAAGAGGTTGGAAGCCAAACAACCTAATGATCATGTGTGTGTAAATGTGTATGGATGGGTGTGTCCCATTTCCTGGAGCTGCCAAGAAAGCCATCCTCATGTCTTTTCTACTAACTTATTCAATACACACTCATTAAACCGCGTCCTCGCTGTACTCCACACATGTGCACAAACAGCACATGACACTTAACCCTTTTCATAAATGCTCATTCATTGTTTCTTTTCTTCTTCTCTCTTTCTGTATTCTGAACAGCCTCTATAGTGACGGTCATACGTCTGGTCAATGACACTGTGGATAATATTGAGAGTGAAGGTATGAAATGATATCTTCTTTACTCCTGTATCTCCTTTGTGTCTCTCTTTTCATGCCAATGTATTTGTATAGAGCTGTAGCTTTATGGTATAATGTATTGAATGCAGCCCAGCCTCTGCTCTCCTTTCCCTTCAGAGTAACACATCCTGCTAAGGTTTCCAATGTTTTTGTCCATTTCCAATACTGGATCTCTGCATGTTTCAATTTCTCCCCTTTAGTTTCTGTGTTGTTTGTCTCACTCTGTCTCTGACATTCACTTTCTCTCTCCCTTTGTAGTGTCGAACATGGACAAAGAACAGCGGCGGAGCAGCCCTGGTGAGTGAGCTGCAAAGCAACTGAAAAACATCTTATTAACTTGCCATCCCTCCGGCTTTATTTTCTAAGCTGTGATCCCCAAACCTTACCTTTTGTGTTTTTTACATTTTTCTCCCTGAATATTTTATCAAACCCCAAACAGCATAGATTTCTGTTTCACTTCTTTTTTTTTTTTTGCAACCACAACTTTGAATGTAAATGTAGGCTCCCAAATTCTAGTTACACCTCCTGACTTCCAACAAGGGTTGGATTCTAAATGGATGTTTCATTTTGAAAACAGCAAAGAGAAATGTACTAAAACTAAAATGTACTGTGGGGATGCAGGCTGATGTGAGTAGTCATTTCAAATTAACAATAACTCATATCTACAATTCTTGGGTCCTGTGTTTTTTTTTTTTCAGTTTTGCCACAGACAAAAGTTCCCCCCTTCAACATCAACGTTTGTATTAAGGAATACTGTATTTAACATTAATAAATATAACATAAATATTGTAACCATACTTGATTTATAGTTCCATATCAGTTCCTTAGGTAATTAGATTTAGAAGTTAAGTGGAAATCATTTATTTATTCAGTTAAAGGGCTGACAAAGATCTCAGTTTAAACACAAGTTTAATTCATTTATACTGACTTTTTATTTCTTCCAACTTTTGGAGGCTATTCTAAAAGGGTTTGGTGACAGATTAGAGAGGTTCTGGATTGGAAAGGTGGCTTTGATACTGGATTCAGAATCTGTCAAATACCCGCAAACCCAAGTTTACATGCAAACCACCCATCCATCCATCCATCATTTCAAAGCAGCAGCAGTCTAAGCAAGTCAACCCAAAACAGTTCAACATATATCGTGTAACAACTATCCAATTCTTTGATCAAAGAAAAAAAAAAAGAAAAAAAGCTTTCTATATTTGATTAATGCTGACATTTAAGCGCTCGGCCAAGTTGCTTGTAGTAGTCCTCCCTCAAAGCATAGCGAAGCTTTCGCTGCAGCCTTTTAGAATGTTTCAGTGGGTTTTATTGGCACTTCGAGCCGAGCCTCACATCCTTATGGAAAAGCAAAAAGAGACAGCAGCTTCAAACACTTTCCCTTTTTTCTCCTGCAAGAAGGCATCATCTGCGGGCTGGACACTAATCCTCCACTCCCACGAATGCTAAAACAATGATAAGATCCGGTTAGACCTACCCTATAGGATCCCTGTTTTGTCTCCAGCTCTGTTTTAAGACCAATGTTTATTGGCTCATGGCTACCAAGTCTGTTAGTTCTTAGGTGCATGTAATTTTCTGGATCCACAAAGCATTTCATTACAAACGCAGAGCAAGGCTGCATTTGTGCCTCAGTCACTGGCAGCTTGCTGAAGCATGAAGAGCTTTACTCCAGACAGGGAGAATTAAATGATGAATGAAATTGTTGCATGGTAGGTTAGCTCCATCTAACCCCTTGGATTTGGTGAATTTGTGTTCATATGACACATGAACAAACATATATTTCTTAATGTGTAAAAAAAGGAGAAGAAATGTGATTTATAACCAGATCAGCTGTTCATCTTTGTTAGTCTTTAAATTAGATTTGAAATGTTCAGCCTCCATTTAACATATCATTAATGCCTCTTGCATGAGGAACAAGTGTTGTGTGACATCCCGCTGTGTATTTCTGTTTGGGTGTGTGTGTTATGTGTCGTGAGTTGTGCTCGTGGGTGAATTTGTCTGTTTACATATATTTGTGCTAAATGGCTCCCTGCCAGCCTCCTTCCCTTGTTATCAAGTGTGTTTTCTTCCATGTCATAATTCCCAATGTCACCCCTCATTCAGTTGTTTCTATGAGAAGAGCTTTTCATCATCAAAGGATCAAAAGCTTCCCGTCCCATGAGATTTTTTTTTGGTTTCCCCCCACCTCACTGACAGCGAGTTGTCATCTGCAGAGCAAAGATGAGCTTTGTGTAGAGTTCACCCCCCCACTCCCCTTTAACCTCTCATTTGAACATATTTAAACAGAGTATTGACAATTCAGCAGCATGGCATGAAGAAAGAACTCACTTTTTTTTGTGGTTTGTTGGCACTGCAGTCTATAAGACACATCTGTCGGTACGTGATGTGAATTGTAAAGTAGGAGTTGGCATTGCTAATGAAGGGAACTCTTCCCACACACAGATTGACTCCTCTGGCTTCCCTTTGCTTCATCAATATGATATCTTTTTCACTCACAGCTCAGTAACCCCAACCATATATAATGCTCCCTGCATGCTGTAGTTTGTAGGAAGTAGCATATTAGCAGGGGGCTAACAGCATGAACTCAAACGTCCAAAAAAAAGAGATTTCGTTGTCTTATTTTATTTGCACATAAATTAATTTTAAATGAGAGTTGGGAGCAATTAAAGAACGCAAACACACAGTCCCACAGAGCACATTGTAAGCCCTGTGGAGCAACAGTAAGACACAAAGAATCTCATAAACCCCATGCTCACACAAGCACACACACGCGCGCACACACACACACACACACATACACAAACAAACACACACTCCTGTACATAAACCCACACACACATTCTAATATTAAACTATAAAGAGATCAAAGGATTAGATGTTAAGCACAGAAAAAATCTTCAGATGAAAAAATGAAAGATTCAAACAAAATTACCCTTTAGTGCTAATGATCTACAGAAGCCCAGACATGCATCCATACATTTTTTATTTTCTGTAAAAATGAGAGGAAAAAGTCGAGAGCTCCAGAGAACAAATGAAATGTGCTCATCATTACCGGACAACCAGCCTCGATACGCGTAGATAATCAGTTAAATAAGATCAAGACGTTGAGAAAACAAATAGAAAGTGCTCATTATCACGGCAATATAATGAAATCGAATGTGTTCTTTGATATTTTTGTATTACTTCTTTTTTTGAAGTGCCTCTGTTTGTTCTCAAGGAGGATACTCTGACTAACTTAACGCCTTCGATCTGAACCGTATCAGCTGCTGTCACCTCCTTCACTCCTCTAGATAAGGCCGTCACCATGCTGCTGTTTTAAAAGTGAAATCATCTGCTGATGTGGCACATTTTGCAGGTTTATCCCGTTAGATAGATAATCCCGTTCCTTGCTCATACTGTGAAATGCAGACAGGCTGTTTGTAATCTAACTTGTACATTCCAGGGAGGAAGACATACTTCCAGTGATTCAAATGCACTAGTTTGTCCAGGGAATAAAGCCTGGGGCTCCTAACACAGTATGATAACTTAAATCCCTTTAACTCCCGTAAGTAGGTAATTTCTCTTCCTGTTGCGCCAGTGAAACACATTGTTAGTCAATTAATCCATTGTTTTTTCTGTTGATTATTTCAGCGTACCACTGGGAGTCTTCCGGTCAGACCTCAAGCTGGTTGTCACCTTCACGTCTGCGCCCACAAGAGTCTGGATCCAATTTCGACCTGAGTGACACCCAGCAGAACATCCGGCGAGGAGGCAGCATGCGGTCCCTCCAGCTGGACTACAGCCTGAGGGGCTTCAGCGGAGACCGGGCCCGAGAGAAGGTACGAGAAACTGAGAAGAGGGCGTTCCAGTGGGAGAGGAACCAGTCAGGTGAGTGGGAGAGGAGACGTTTCCTGGACAAAGAAGAATCCAGAAGTCCCGAAGAGGACGGTAAAAGAGGGGTGAGCCAGGATCACACAGACCTTCTGCAGACCTTCAGCCACGACAGCTGTGAGGACTCACCTGTTTACGAGGAATACCAAGATTCAAGCCACAACCAGGAGGAAGGGGAAGACTCAGAGAGCCTTTATGACACTTTACCCCCAACCAGAGCTGCATATGAAGGCTACCCGTCCAGCCCCCCAGGCATCAACCTGCACCCTGCTCAGCTCTTGCCCCCCCTCAGGGCATGGGACCTACAGGGAGGGGAGTGGAGGGAATCGCAGGAAGACCAGGAAGAGCTTGGCTCTAACAGTCTGACAGGTTCTGGGGATGAGCTGGAGAGACTACTGAACCTGGTGTCGCTCAGAGCCAGGAGAGCCACTCGAGTAAACCGAAACTCGACTAGATCTGAACCTACAGACTGGGAGGGGTTCCAATAAGCACACAAGACTGTACAAACCCAATAGACTTAATATTTATTGATTAATTAGACTGATACAGAGACCCTCTGTGATTAAACTAGACATTTGAAATACCACACTGCTGGTCCACAACCTTCAAAATAATTAAAGGAGAATATTACCATATATACTTTTATTATCCCACATTATTATCCGGCTGTAAGCAAACACTAATCCCCCACCAATCCCCCCGCTCATTTATAATCAGGAGCAATGAGAGGAAATATGCTTTTTCTCCTGACGCCTCTACCTGTGCTGCATGAGAGTTAGCAGAGATTGGCTGGGAATCAATGCTATTACATTTAATATTTATGGAACCAGCGGAGCGCAGCATTTATTAACATCGGAATATGAAACGAGCCAGCTTCTCTCTGTTTTAGATGCTTGTATGTACATATGTTATCGTGCATTTCATACCTCATTCCTTTGACGCACACAATCATTTTGTCTGCTCAACCGTGTAATGCATTTCTTATTTTTATTGACATGATACGCGGGGCTTTGAAGAGAACACAAGTCCCAGACGTAACCTCAGAGATGCTATTAAGATGACCATCAAAATACTTGGGAGTTCATTTCTTTCTTTCTTTATTTTATTTACTTAATTATAACAGCATTTTATTGGTTAGGTGGCTGCATAACAAAAGCATCAGGGGAATATGCCTCATATAATTTCAATTTAATTCAGCCCTTAGGTTCTACTATATATTTTTATGACATCATAACTCATGCCAGTTCACATATGGACAGAAATATGGTATGCCCCTCAATGTACATTGTAATCACCAAGGCCATGCTACAAACTGAATTAAGCCCACTTTAACCCCGGTATTTATATGGGATATGAATTTTCAGACTTTATGTGCTAAAAGGCTTAGAGAATTATGTGGAAACACAGCCGTGAAGTGCAAAAGCACTCACCCGAGACGTGTACACACATGGTCCCCACACTGATAACACAGTGTAAATGCTGCTGTGATCCCAGTTCACACACAACAGAGCAGACTTCCACTCTAATGTCAACCAGCTTTGAAACAAAGGACAAACATGCAATGGTTAACTTGGACTATTTGATGATTTTTCTTCTTTTTTCATAACAACATGACAGAACAGTTGTGCCAGACTTATCAAGTATCCCCCGTTTCATTTTGAAAAGACCAGAAAAACAATGACATAACCACTTAAAGTGCAATGAAGAGAAAAACATTCCAGTCTTAACCCAAGGACGTAAACAGCAAACAATAAATGCAGCTAACTGTTATGCGCTGCTGAAGGACAGAGTAGATATTATTATGTGTCAGACAGTGCATACTGTATAAGTCTCTTAATGAAGATGTAACCCTGTAAACAAAGGTAGCTCTTAAGGCTGACAGAGATTCAAGGACACAAATACCAATAAAAACTCTTTAAAGACATCAGTAGCTTTTGTTGTGTGAGTGGACGTTTTTTTGCTAAATAAAAATTGGTTGGGGGGGGAGTAGTTTTTCATTATAAGTGAAGAGAATTTTATTCTGATGGAAGTGTTCACATAAATTCTTTGAAAGTGATGAAAAATAAACAACAACACAAATAGCTGCATTCTAGCCAACAGGTCTCAACATGGTCCTGATCAGAGTTACCAGCCTCACATTGGGATTCCCATTTATCCATTACCCCTTTTTCCTATTCCTGTCCGGGCGTACCCTCTAAGTGGGTTTGCTGTGAGGACAGCTCTGTTAACAAGGAGAGACACATCCCCTAAAGGTCAGACTAACACATGACAGGAACACATTCACACATTTGGGCACTTTATGGTTTCTAGCCAACATGATGGGACTATGGAAAAACCAACTGATTACTGTGAGAAATTCAACATAACAAAAGCAAAATGGAAGATTGAGACCTTTATATTGTGAACCAGCTCTACTTACGCCTTGGCAGTCATGTTTTGCTACTTTTTTTTCCAACTATTGCAGATGAATGATCTCGCAAAGTACCTTTAAATCTGTCAGATTTTCTGTTCGTGTTTTTCCTCAGGTGGCTGATTGACACACTGTGTGGCTGCAAATTACAAGGACTTAATGAACTTGTTTCTAGTCAGGCAGATTCATACTTCATTGGAAGGAATTTGTATTTATCATAGGTTTGAATATGTAGGCCACCTGCTGTGCTGCTGAACGTGAGCTATAGCTGAACACCAGCTACATGACATGAATAATACCCGTGACAATTATAAATAAATCATGTCAGTCTCGTCACGAGTCTTACGTTTTTGTTTTCTTTCCTTTCTGTATGGGATCTGGCAGATTCATTTAGCAGAGCTTACAGTTATCGTGGTCTGTGGGAGACAAAAAAGCGTGAAAATCCTCATGGGTTGTCTAATGCTTAAACTGTATGACCATGAAAACAAAATAAATCTAATTTTGAAATCATTGAGATTATTTGCAGAGCGTTCTGTGATCCTTGCATGGATTGTTTAGGCCGTATACGCTGTCAACAGTTGAAATGATTTAAACCTAATCTCCTTACGTCTTTTTGTTTGCCTCAGGATGTGATGTCTTTGCTGACTTGACTGGGTGTATCCAGCTTTTTGTTTGGCTCTCTTTTGTCCCCGGGAGTTTATGTCCATACTGACCAGTTGCTATGATCAAGTTTCTGCAGACCCTGCATCTCTAAAAACAACAACGCGCATCCGTGATCGGAAAACACATTTTCTGTGGTTATTGAGTCCTCATACAGAAGCCATCAGCACACATGACAAATGAAAACCACATCCCACAGCCTTGGTTTGTGTTTGATTAATAGAACATGCTCCTCTGAACAGAGTGCAAATTAAAGCCTCTTTAATTAGTCAATGTTACAACGTCCGCTACCGTTAAGTAGCGTGACATTTCTTAATGGCTCTGTCTTCATCTCTAAAGGTGTCCAGTCATTAATTCTTGATTGGAAGCTGGTTGTCATCTGAGTGCTCCATGACTACACACTCGCTCTTTGTGTTACTAAGGAGATGCATCCAGGAACTTGTGTAGTTTTTGATTATCCAAACCCCGACCCCCCCCCCCCCCCACCCCCCCCCCCATTTTGGAGTTGACACACAAACTTTGCCCTTGTTATAATCCAACCTTCCCTTAAAAAAAAAAAAAAAAAAAAAACACCACAGGGTTGACTTTGTACCAAAAACATTCCCATGGCAACCAGACAGTCCCCTGATCATGTTTGTGTTTTGTTTTCCCTGTAGCATTAAACACGTTCTGGCCGATTTGGGGGGGCTATGGCATGTGTATATGTGTTTTTGAGTGTGTTTGCTGTTGTGCAGATGAATAATATTTGCCCCTGCTCGCTGCTGCTGCTCAACATGCCTGCACCCAAAACACTGTATGTATCTTTGACTACATGGAAAAAAAGGGGACGGAGTTGCTGCCATTGGGATCAGCCTTCACCGAATAGTAATTATTGTCCTGTCCTTTCAATTATTGTGCATGTATGCATTGAAAGGACAGGACAGGGTTCAGTGATAGTGTGCATGCCTGAGTATTTAAGTATCTTAAAATTTGATGTAATGAGTTCAAGAAGAACATCCTTTCAGATAACTGTTTGCAAAATGTATATTTTAAGATTGCAAACAGCTGCAACTTCAAAATGACAATACATTTTTCCGGAGGAACAGTTTATTTTTTTTCAACAATGCATGTCGTATTTTGAGTTAAACACTTCATGTATCTTTTAGTGAATGCCAGTTTGTGCCAGTGCAATAGATAGAAATAGCTCATAGTCAAAATGTTGGCTTGCTTTTTCCTGTTCCTTTTCTCTTTCCCTGCAGGAAACATGAACCACAAAAGACACAAACAGGTGCAAGGCAGAACTCGAGGGAGATTAATTCCTATTTTCCTCAGCCCAGGAACGATTCATGCATTGCTATGTAAAATGTGCATAAAACTTGATGAAATGTGTCACTGCAGGGAGACATCCCTTAACCTGACATTATAGCCTTAAACAATCGGCATGTTTTTCTCTGCCCTTAATGGGTTTTTTTTATTACCCCTTTTTTTGCAGCAATGAAACACAGAACATTAGATTTGATCAGTTAGCATAATATGCTAAAGATGTCTCAAGTTATAACAGCCAGAGGTGCAGCTGGCATGCCCGCCTCCTCTGAATCACACCATTCATATTTTGCTTGGTTGTTTTTGTGAGGATTCTCACTTAATTTTGGATCTTCAGAGGGACATGAGGAGTCACGCATCCTTTCGGGCAAAGTCTTACGTAACAATACCTCCGCCTTCAGCAAGACGTGCTGCACACACAAAATCAACAACACAAACATTAACAACACAGGTGGAAATAGTTCTACTGTCTGGCCAAAGGGAGGAGAAAATGTTACAAGCAATTTATTCCCCCAGATTCTCAGCTCATTAAATTATTCCGACAAGGATTACGCAACGTGCCTCAATAACTTATGTACATATTCTCTTTGGCACACACTTTTGACAACCATCCGGCTTGTTTTTGGCCATCCCAGCGACAGGCACGGGGTCAAACCAAAGGCAAACATGAGGGCGTGTGAGGAAAGAGAGACAGAGGGAGAGAGCAATAAACAAAGTGACTGTTGTGTTTATTCATCATGCATCAGAGGAAACTAATGAGGACCTGCCAGTCCCTTTAGCTCTGCTGGCTTTCATTGGACCATCTGGCATTTACACCACAGAGTCAGCTAAGCCACTTAAAACCTTTCTACCCCCACACTCTCCATTTTTTTCCCTCCTTCTTCTTCTTCACTGCTTTTTTTCTCAATGACGGACCTGCATATCTGCCCGGACACAACTGTGATTGTAAGCGATGGACAGACGGATGAAAAGAAGATGTTATATAAAGGAGGAGGGGAATGAGAAAGGACGGAAGATGAGAGGAGAAGTGGGAAAAGTAGATTACCATTCCCCAGCTGCTGTTTATTGAGGGGTAGCTGTGTGGGTGATTGTAAATCCACGCCGTTCTCAGTAACACCAGGATTACACACCCAGCATGACCTAATCTATGTGCTAAAACATCTGCCTGTGATGACACTCACCCACACACACACACACACACACACACATGTGCACATGCACGTACAACCCTCTCATGACCATAATGGTTACAGATGCAGTCAGTGTCTCAGGCAATTCCATCACATGTATTATTCACAAATAACTTTAATCAGTATAATCAGACACAAAATGCCTACCCTGCTAAAACAAGGCAACAGGGATTGGGGGCTTGTATTGGATAGGGTCACGTCCATGTATGACAATATGAATTCACATCAGAGAGTAGCCCTCAGCTATGTGTGATGGAGTAGATAGGGTTGTGCACCATGCCTACCCCATCACTCCCCTCCCCCTGCTGTTGTTAAAGATGATTACTAATGTGGTCCTCTTGCATATGCCTGTAAAACGGCTACACATGTGACAGGGGGTTGACGGCTCTGCTGAGTGTGCCGGGCCATTATTGGAGTGTGGTGAAAGTACATACATGTTATTGGATTTTGCCAAAACTCCATTGGTATTGAAAAATGTTATGTAATACTGAAAAAAATCCTTCATTCGCCATGTTCACGTGGCTTCAGGCTCAGGGTAGGACGCTCCAATGCTATTGAAATGTTAAAAAGCTGTGTTCAAGGTTTAAAGTTGTACAAACTAAAGAAGCTGGTTATCATTTTTGCTCCCTCCCAAACGTCAGAAATTGACCAAAGAAGGGATGGTGGAAATAAAAAGTGAATTATAGTTGTTAACCGACCAGTTACTGTTAGCTAACATTAGCATTTTTCCACTTCCTGGCATAGACTGTATAAAATGATGGACAATATGACCCCCCCCCGGTTGTTGTTAGGATGATGCCGCTGGTAATGACGAAGGGCAGCAGCAGTTCTGTAGCGATTGTGTGAGCTTTAAATGTTTCATGGTCCATTGGACTTTTACTTTTTTAGTGTCTTCCTATTTAGTATGTTGATTGCCAGCTGGATGTATGTGTTACTGCTGCTGCCTCTCCCAGCTATAATAAAGACAACCTTGAAATGACTGGCTACACTATATATGATAAGCCCCGCCTCTTTCATGTTAACAGATGGGACATGGCATGGGTCATACAAAAATAAAACAAGTGACTCTGCAAATACATTTTATCAAACATTGCTTTTATGTCCTTGAACTGAACTATTATTTAGTTGATGAAGTGGATATTTTTCAGATAATAATTAGAAAATTAGTAACACTAATAATTAGTGACATGACAACTTGATAAAAGGGAATAAAATGCCATGATTGACAGCTCTGTTGACAAATGCAGCTTCACTGTGTGCACCTGATTAGCAGAGCAGGATGGACTTCCAGAGAAAATGTAACAAACACCAACACATTGATCTTTTGATAACTACGTTTCTGCTTCAAAGAGACAATGGAACGTGTGCTGCTGTGGACGGTACCAACTTGAGAGATCTGCACCCTTGTAGCAGGGGTGGGATGTCAAAACCATGTATGAGTCACTCTACTGAGAAATTCCAATCCGGCTTTAGAGCTTGTCACAGCACAGAGACTGCCCTCCTCAAGGTAACCAATGACCTTCTTTTAGCAACAGATAGAGGGGAGGGCACAATTTTAATTCTTTTAGATCTTAGCACAGCTTTTGATACTGTTGATCACACAATTTTAACTGATCGTCTCAGACACTGGGTTGGTTTAAAGGATACTGCGCTTAGCTGGTTTTACTCTTATCTTTTAGAAAGAACCTTCGCGGTCACCATCGGTAACTACTCCTCCTCTACCTCTAACATTACCTGTGGTGTACCGCAAGGTTCGGTTTTAGGTCCCATTTTATTCTCCATTTATATGCTGCCTCTTGGCCAAATAATTGAACGCCACAATGTCTCCTTTCACTGCTACGCAGACGACACACAGATATACCTTCCTTTGAGACCTGAGGACCCTAGGAGCCTAGCTGCTGTCAGAAACTGCCTAAACGATATCAACTGCTGGATGGCACAAAACTTTCTCCAACTGAACAATTCTAAATCTGAAATCATAGTATTCAACCCGCCAAACACCACTCATATCTCAAAGAGCAGCCTCGGTCCCTTATTCACCAATGTCCAACCCACCGCCAGAAATCTAGGAATAACATTCGATTGCAATCTCACCTTTGAATCCCATATCAAAACAGTTGGCTGATCAAGCTTCTTCCATCTACGCATCATCTCCAAAATTAAAACAATCCTAACCCAACGAGACCTTGAAAAGATCATCCACGCCCTCATCTTCTCCCGACTTGACTACTGTAACTCCCTCTTTTCCGGAATCACAAATAAGT